ATTTCAATCTCGCTTTCCTGAATTGATGGCACCAGAGCTGGCAAAAGCAGCAGTTTATCTGTCAAACAGATTGCCTCGAAGACGCCACAAGTGGCAGACACCATTGGGGTTGGTCAACACTTGGCTGAACTCTCATCAACAGTCTACCCACAAGAGGGCTGAAAAGCCACAACTAGCACACTTGAGGCGATATGGCTGCAGAGCTTACCCCTTGACACAAAACTACAAGAGAGGAATAGAAAAGTCAAACAAAACTGCGCCAAGAGCTCATATTGGCTATCTATGTGGTTATGACAGCACAAATATCTACAGAATCTGGATCCCAGCAATAGGAAAAGTCATGAGAACTAGAGACGTTACTTTCGACGAAAACACGCTGTATGATCCAAGGATTGAGGATACCAGCAAGTTAAGCCAAATGGAACTTGAATTCCAGTTCACAGAAATGGATATCCCATTCACAAATCCAATTGAACAAGACCTAGACACAGCTGGCTGGGATGGAGAAGATTTCAGCGATAATATTACCGGGCCACTACCCGCCTCGAATCCAGCCGCTCAAGAAACAACACCGGCAACACCGATGCAGGAGAAAGAATCAGGGGATTTTCAATTACCTACACCCACTTCTCTATCACCAACAGTACAGCTGTCAGATTCTCAAACAACTGAGGGGGTGAGGGAGACTCCAGAAACTCCAGAAGTATCGCCAACTCCAGAACAATCGGATCAAAGTGAGACCATAGAGGAAACCTCAACAGACCGACTCGAACTACAACAGACACCAGTCATAGAATTGGAACCAGAAGAAATCATACCACAAGATTCCTCCACAGTAATCCCAAACATAGCGAGAAGGGGAAGACCTCGTGGCAGCAGAAATCACAACATCTACAATCGATCAGCCCCTCTTGGTCAAACAAATCAACAGCCACCAGAAGCAACAAGATCATCACAAAGACTGAGAAGAGCAAGAGAATCCCACTTCACACTGCAATCTACGGATACAGTAAAAGGAAGAGATCAATGGGATGCATCAGCAGATGATTTAGGCAATCCACACCAAAAGACACTTCCACCAGTTCCAAAGAATTACAGTGAAGCGATCAAACACCAATACAGTCACAAATGGATTGCTGCAATGAATATTGAACATTTGATCGAGAAGAACGCAGTATGAATCTGGAATTTGGTAGTAAGTATACGGAGTTCTGAATAGTATCATTTCTGTATTTGAATGAGAATACAGAGAATCAACCTACAACAGGTTGCCTCTCTGAGGGGGTGTGTCACACGGACCACTGCATATATCGGGGCATGCATTCAACCCATGCACCCGGCTATTGTTTCCCATATAAAACTAACGGGGATGTCATTTTGTGCATGAAAACCTTCAAATCGGTAATTACCGAATAGACGGTTATATAATCAACCCAATAACCCCTAGACAGTCTCTAATGAATGGAAGCATCTTTTTTTACCCCATAAGTGGTGGGCAAATTGACTGCGTGACATGTGGCTCCCTTCCTCCCGCCGTCACCCAACATGTTTGCAGCCATCCTTGCCATTTTTACTCGTCGTTCGCGTCCTCTCTCTCTCAATCTCTCCCTTCCCACCCCAACCCTCTCTCTTTCTCTCAGCTCTCGGGCTCGTTCATTCGCCTTGATTCGACGTAAAGCAGCTAGAACAGGATGATATTTATAATATCTCGATATAAGATAAGTTATTTTCTTAGTTCTAATTTCTAGCGTCGGACTGATATATATTGAGAAATCAATAGCTCTACGTAGACGCGTATTACTTACGTTCTGTTCCCCCACCCTGGCAGCTTGCCCTAGCGCCGTACGAAGAATAAACCGCGCCTAGTGGTCCCTTATTATCCCTTTCTTGTGTTTACTCTCGCCCTCTCTCGGAGGATTAGATACTCCGTTAATGCTATACGTCATTTCTCATTCTTGAATATTATCCCTTAGTTTCTCGTTCTTATTCCTATCCTCCTCCTATGTCCTATTGCTTACCTCTTCACTCTTTACTCTTAACATGCTCTCTTACTATGTATAATACTTTTGTTAGATGATTACGGTTTATATGATTAAAAGAGTTATTACTACTATCTAGGTATGACTTATCCTTACTCACTTATAAATAAGGTGCTACCTAAAGAGATTAGTGATAAGGTAATATGAGTTCGCTTTCCGTCCTCTGCTACACCTTGTCTATAAGAGGGGCAAGAAAAGCGCTCCAGGGGCCTTTCTGCTTTGCCTCTCTACTATGAGAATGGGAAAAGCCCCCAGGGGCTTTTCTGCTTTACCTTCTCCATGGTAAGAAGAGAAGAAGCCCCCGGGAGCTTTTTTACTTTCCCTCCTTCATGGCGAGAACAGAAGAAGCCCCCGGGGGCTTTTCTACTTTACCTTCTCCATGGTGAAAAGAGAGGAAGCCCCCAGGGGCTTTTTTACTTTGCCTTCTCCATGGTGAGAACAGAGGAAGCCCCCAGGGGCTTTTTTACTTTGCCTCTCTACTATGGGAATGGGAAAAGCCCCCGGGGGCTTTTTTACTTTACGTTCTCCATGGTGAAAAGAGAGGAAGCCCCCAGGGGCTTTTTTACTTTGACTCTCTACTACGAGAATGGGAAAAGCCCCCGGGGGCTTTTCTGCTTTACGTTCTCCATGGTGAGAACAGAGGAAGCCCCCAGGGGCTTTTTTACTTTGCCTCTCTACTACGAGAATGGGAAAAGCCCCCGGGGGCTTTTCTGCTTTACCTTCTCCATGGTGAAAAGAGAGGAAGCCCCCAGGGGCTTTTTTACTTTGCCTCTCTACTACGAGAATGGGAAAAGCCCCCGGGGGCTTTTCTGCTTTACCTTCTCCATGGTGAGAAGAGAGGAAGCCCCCAGGGGCTTTTTTACTTTGCCTTCTCCATGGTGAGAACAGAGGAAGCCCCCAGGGGCTTTTTTACTTTGCCTCTCTACTACGAGAATGGGAAAAGCCCCCGGGGGCTTTTCTGCTTTACCTTCTCCATGGTGAAAAGAGAGGAAGCCCCCGGGGGCTTTTTTACTTTGCCTCTCTACTACGAGAATGGGAAAAGCCCCCGGGGGCTTTTCTGCTTTACCTTCTCCATGGTGAAAAGAGAGGAAGCCCCCAGGGGCTTTTTTACTTTGCCTTCTCCATGGTGAGAACAGAGGAAGCCCCCAGGGGCTTTTTTACTTTGCCTTCTCCATGGTGAGAACAGAGGAAGCCCCCAGGGGCTTTTTTACTTTGCCTCTCTACTATGAGAATGGGAAAAGCCCCCGGGGGCTTTTCTGCTTTACCTTCTCCATGGTGAAAAGAGAGGAAGCCCCCAGGGGCTTTTTTACTTTGCCTCTCTACTACGAGAATGGGAAAAGCCCCCGGGGGCTTTTCTGCTTTACCTTCTCCATGGTGAAAAGAGAGGAAGCCCCCAGGGGCTTTTTTACTTTGCCTCTCTACTACGAGAATGGGAAAAGCCCCCGGGGGCTTTTCTGCTTTACCTTCTCCATGGTGAAAAGAGAGGAAGCCCCCAGGGGCTTTTTTACTTTGCCTCTCTACTACGAGAATGGGAAAAGCCCCCGGGGGCTTTTCTGCTTTACGTTCTCCATGGTGAAAAGAGAGGAAGCCCCCAGGGGCTTTTTTACTTTGCCTCTCTACTACGAGAATGGGAAAAGCCCCCGGGGGCTTTTCTGCTTTACGTTCTCCATGGTGAGAACAGAGGAAGCCCCCAGGGGCTTTTTTACTTTGCCTTCTCCATGGTGAGAACAGAGGAAGCCCCCAGGGGCTTTTTTACTTTGCCTCTCTACTACGAGAATGGGAAAAGCCCCCGGGGGCTTTTCTGCTTTACCTTCTCCATGGTGAAAAGAGAGGAAGCCCCCAGGGGCTTTTTTACTTTGCCTCTCTACTACGAGAATGGGAAAAGCCCCCGGGGGCTTTTCTGCTTTACCTTCTCCATGGTGAGAACAGAGGAAGCCCCCAGGGGCTTTTTTACTTTGCCTTCTCCATGGTGAGAACAGAGGAAGCCCCCAGGGGCTTTTTTACTTTGCCTCTCTACTACGAGAATGGGAAAAGCCCCCGGGGGCTTTTCTGCTTTACCTTCTCCATGGTGAAAAGAGAGGAAGCCCCCGGGGGCTTTTTTACTTTGCCTCTCTACTACGAGAATGGGAAAAGCCCCCGGGGGCTTTTCTGCTTTACCTTCTCCATGGTGAAAAGAGAGGAAGCCCCCAGGGGCTTTTTTACTTTGCCTCTCTACTACGAGAATGGGAAAAGCCCCCGGGGGCTTTTCTGCTTTACCTTCTCCATGGTGAAAAGAGAGGAAGCCCCCAGGGGCTTTTCTACTTTACCTTCTTCATGGCAAGAATAGGGGAAGCCCCCGGGGGCTTTTCTACTTTACCTTCTCCATGGTGAGAATAGAGGGAGGAAGCCCCCAGGGGCTTTTTTACTTTCCCTCCTTCATGGCGAGAACAGAGGAAGCCCCCGGGGGCTTTTCTACTTTACCTTCTCCATGGCGAGAACAGAGGAAGCCCCCGGGGGCTTTTTTACTTTGCCTTGCTCCCCTTATTCTACTTCACCTCTCTAGTACGAGAATAGGAAAAGCCCCCGGGGGCTTTTCTACCTACCTAGGCTTTATAACCCTACCTTTACCTTATATAATACCTATACCTACCTACCTTACCTTATCTTATATTTCCTTATCTTATATTACCTTACCTTTAGCTATAGCTATAGCTATAGCCTAGCCTAGCTTAATCTCTTTTTAAAAAACCTACCTTACTTACTTACTTAAACTTACTTACTTCTTTTAAAATAAAATTCTTACCCCGTTTTTTAACCCTAACCTAACCCTACCGGGGCGGGGTATGCCTACTACTACTACTGTGGCTGACTGCCTCCCACGCCGTTGTCTTCCATGGGGGTTACGGCTGCCAGTGCCGTGACATAAAATCCTGTCTATATTCGCGTATAAAAGTTTATATAGTATAGAGCCGCTCCTTTATTTTAGTCTTCTCGTACACAAACCGCCTCAATCCAGCGTGCCAACTCGACGCTCTTCACATCAACCGTCCGCCAGAAAAGATCACTGCCCCAGATTGTTGGTACTCCCATGAGCAAGAACCCTATGAACCATGCCACCATGCGACCCCACATACCGGCCTCATCTTTTCCGCCGACGAGAGCCCACACGTAGGGCATCCACCGATGCGCAAAGACATCCAAGACGGGTCCGTGGACGAGATAGAGAGCGTAGCTGATGTCGGCGAGGTATTGCACGGGAGCCGTCACGAAGACGTCCTGCAGGGTCTTGATTTGCTGCAAGGCGAAGACGATCTGGACGGCGCCGATGGCGTACCAGAAGAAACAGAGCAGGTCGCCGCCCAGACTGTAATAGGGCTCCATGGTGTTGCGGTGCAGTACTGCTAACCCCGGGGAAATGTCACCGGCTTGGTCCGGCCACCCGGCGACGAACAGAGCAAAGATGAGGTTTCCGACGAGAAAGGTCTTGAAAGCTAGTGTTGCTACGGAGCTCGACGAGAGGCTGCGGGCACCGCCGGCCACTTGCGCGACGACACCCTCCTCCTCTTTGACGTGCGCCACAGCGGCAGAACGCTCGCGGCGGGCGTCCTGGATGAGGCCAATCTCGGCCAGCCCCATGCCGCCGAGGAATTCAAAGGCGGCCCAGCGGCCGCTCTTAAGGCAGTAAATCATGATAGCGAAAACGGTTGGCAGGCGTAGGTAGGTCTTCATCCGGCTCACGCCCGTCAGGACGACAAACAGAAGCAGAGAGTTGGAAAACTCGATAGGAATGGTCCACAGATGAACGTCGTACGGGAGGAGCTGAGTAATATCCCACTTCCAACTAAACGTGATCTGCCACAAGGCATTCTTCCAGTCTACCAGCTGCTCCCATAGCGTCGGCAGGGGTTTTCCTAACCATCCGAGACGGATCATGATCATAATCATAAAAGTCGAGGCGGTGGTGGGGAGGAACAGGCGAAAGCCGCGGCGGAAGACGCTACTCGAGAGCGTGCGATGCAGCCCGTCGTAGTCGTGCTTCCTGGCCTGTTTCAGAGACTTGAGCGAGAGAACGAAGCCCGAGATGACGAAGAAGATGTGAACCATCGGTTTTCCGCTGTATATGACGCGGACGAAGGCGAGCTGTAGCGGCGAGGAACCGGCGCGGTCGTTCTCGGCCGGGTTGCCGTACGGCCGAGCCAGGTACGAGCCCACTTCCGGTCCCGTGTAGTGGCATATGAAGACGATGAAGGAGGCGACGCCACGCAGGCCGTCGAGCCAGGATGTCGGGTACAGGCGTCTAGCCTTCCATTCATCGGGCCTCAGCCTCCTCTGGATGAAGGAGGGCAGCAGGAAGATGAGAAACGCGGTCAGCTTCGCCAAGAAAGACTTGGGGTGCGCAGTGTGATTCGCCCCGCCGGGCGTCGAGGGTGGGGAGCTGGAATTCGTGTTCGACAGCGGGGTGTAGGAGTACAAGCCTCCTGGGGAAAACCGAGTGACGACTCCGCGAATGGCGCGGGTGGCAAGGGTATGAATAGCCATGGTTCAGGTGTGCTTTATTCAGTTGGATTCGCAGGCGAGCATGACTGTGTTCTTCTGTTCTTGTTACGTTTTTCGGGGGTGAGACGGCCCAGCGCTTTGACACCGATATTGTGGCTTTCGGGCAACAAGATCGTTTGTTGTTGCGAGACCTGTCAATCAAAAGGCACCGGGTAGGGGAAAAGGTAGACGCCGGTTCCGTGTCGCAAGAGATCGTTGCGCAGAAGGAATATACAAGCTAAAATGAGACAGACAGTACAGCATACCAATGGCTCGACGGATCAAGACGCAAAAACTAGCCGAACAATTCAACTCGTCAACATGCCGCTATCAGACGTTTAAGGAGTTGAGAAGGAGGAAAATCAGGCGGAAGGATAGGGGACCACTTCAGCAAAAGAGCTAATTTTACCAGATGGATGCACGGGCGCTTTTAATGATGAGTAATGTATGGATTGGTGAGTAAGGGGTTCGGGAAAGGTATAAGGTTTGAGCCGTGGAGCCGACCCCTGTCACAGCATATGAGGAGTGTATGCGTAACTTTATTAGTGTTTGAGGCGGATGACACAGAAGTTTATATCAGGCAGTAAAACAATAAACGTCGGGTAGGGAGGAGAGGAAACTTGGCGGGCTATTTATATGGTAGGGTAAGGTTTTAAGTGCGGTGAAGCTTTATTTTTTTGCGAAGGATGCAGGCATAAGAGTTCTATCAGATCGTATGCTGAAATATCTAGTATAATTCTTTTCTGTAGATTCCAGCTGTGACCGAGGTTCTTGTAGACCCTCCCTCCCTATGGATGCATATTTAGCGAAAAAGCGGCTATTATTGTGGGTACCTTAGTCTTGGCAAGCATGAGACCTTACTGCATTTGATGGGATATGAAACGAGGAATCTCCACTCTGCTAAGTTTGCAGCAGATCTTCCTCTTACGGAATGAGCTCTTGCACTTAACAAGCAGGAGATAATAGACAAAGTTGACAAGTAGACTATATTACAGCGGTTTATTAAAGAGGATTAATTATCACCCGAAGTTTAAGTAACAACTCCACTATTTCTCTCCTGCTGCTTTATAATTGTTACTGATCTTTGGTGATAAACAGGCTGTCGCACTGTTATGCGGACGCAAAGAGAATAGTGAAATAGAGACGGGAACAAACACGAATATTATGGCAGACATCGCTCCAACTAATGTTGGTTATTGGGTGTAAGTGAATGGGTGTGCTAGCGGTGCAGCTAATGATGGCCGGATTGGTATTTGGGCCGGTGACGACTAGCGAATACCTGGTGTTGTATATTTTTACTAGACCCATGTTTTGCTTCCAGTATGGTTTTCGCCGTCGTGATAGGCATTGGTCCATCTGAAGCCTCTAGTTTCGATGATGGGGGAGGAATCGAGACAATTCTGTCGCCCATATTGATATAGCACCGGCTGTTTGATTCGCAAACGTGTAACATACCTTACGACGGTCAACTTGCGACTGAACAGCTGCTGCGTTCTATTGCGCAAGTTAGATATTTAGAATCGCTGAGACTGATACGTATGTAAAGACTTGCCTAGTTCAAAACTTGAAGCCGAGTGCCCTAAAATCTCACTCTTATCGTTAAGGCCATTTCAGCTTTACTTTTTACTTCTATAAAGGGCGTTTGGCGTGCGTGCGACGAATTTATACTGCCATTAGCAAAGCAAACCTAACGCATCGTACTAGCATTATGCAATCTGCCGCAATGTTCTCACTATTTTCGCGATTTGTTATAAGGTAGGCATTCTGGTGACATATAATCCCTGGAGAAGAGCTGCATCTCCGCGGGTGGCTTTGCCGCTTAGCTCCCTCGGCGCAAGGGACTTGTAGGCTTCGAGAACCAATTTGCCCATACCTGCGAAGACGAAAAACCATTCAGCATGACCGGAACACAGTCTGGAGCAGAATCAGAAGCGACCTGCCGTCGATTTGTATGGCTGCAGGGCCGCCGGCGTACCTAGTGTGAACACGGACCTCAAGACTCCTACCAGCTGGCGCCACTCTGAGGAGATCAATTTCAACAACTCAGCTCGGTGGGAAGAGACATCTTGCAGCAGCAAGTTGCGAAAAATTTCGACCTTACCCTGAAGATCAAAGACTTGACGCGTCAACGCGTTAAGCCGGAATATGTGTTCTGGGAGCGGGACCTCGGAGCCCCCACCCAAGGTTAAGCTTATTTCACGTGCCCTGCCTTACCTAACCCAGCACCCGAACCTGTCTTCCACTCTGCCACTGCAGGCACGTCACTGCGTAGCTTCGGTTAGTCTGGTTTTAAACCCCATTCCTCGCCTTTTGTTCCTTCCTTAACAAATAACAGCTCACACAAAAACGCATGCCATTCTTGTTTTACGCCATTAACAAAGATCGTCAAGATGTAGGAACCTTATCACTAAAAGGATAGAAAGCTGTAGAACGCACTGCAGAAATGCCTCCATCGCAAGTGATTTTTCCGGTATAACTGACCGGGGTCGCCGCCAGCAGATACCAAGTTCGTCTGGAAAATTAATAACGATAGAGAATACATCTACCACCTCATCAACTACAAATACGTCATAAAAGGACATGACAGAAACCTCAGATCAACTATCAAAATTAGAGAAATGGGGCAGCCAGGATAGGGAACAGAACGAACGTTACGATAGAGATATTTTCCTTTCCCATAAGCCATTAACAACCAAGTCAGCACACAGCCAGGCAAGGAAATCCACCCCATTCCTCTTTCTCCTGGGGGTTCGAGCTCACAACGACGCCCAGCATTTTGCACCTCTCCATCGCCAGGATATCGTATGAATAGAAGCCCCAGACTCAACCGCAGCGGCAGCATGAACTGGAATATCCAGAGGTGGATCAGTCATCGAATGGCCGGTTGGCCCAATGGCAAGGCGTCTGACTACGATTCGCAGTGGAATCAGGAGATTCTGGGTTCGACCCCCAGGCTGGTCATTTTTTTCGAGTTTTATACTAAGTTTACTTGGTGCGAATTCTTGTCGCGGGTTCGGCCTGAAATACCTATCAAACTTCAAGTTATAGACATGCTAGTAAGAACACTTAAAATGGCTGCTAATTATGATGACTCTGTTATAGATGGGATTATCTAAATTTCGAAATACTAGGCGCCGGTTGCTGACACATAATGGTGTTATAGGAATTCATATAAAACTCTTACATAATCATGTACATCGTGGCGCGCCCAGGCCTGGGCAACGGGCGGCGGCCGATATCTCAGATCACGACGAAGTGACAAAGCGGCAGCGGTTCGGGCCTTCGTCAACGTTTTGCCGACCAAAGTGTTAAGACAACGCAGCCGAAGTTGGCCCAACCCACTTCAATATAGTCTATAAGCTTGCGTAGTCTTTTTCTTCATCAGCCCCTCAGTAAAGGTTGATACTAGTTGATTTCAAACACAGTCTGGACTGTGTTCAGTGGGCAAGCCCACAAAAAGCACTACTGAGCCTTAGAGAAGATTTCTCTTTCGCGTATGACAATGACATGGTTTGATGTGGAGTGCCTGCGTCTGCAGTGTCGATTTTGTATGTTTTGTGCGGTCAGCAATACGTCTATGCTATCGTCTCTAGTGTGATAGCTCTGCGCTGTGCGCGTCCAGGTTGAGGACTCTGATGTGTCTTGCATCCTCTCGTGCCGGCTGCAGGCCAGGGTACTTGGGTGATGTCTATGACGATGACAGTTCTGATATCAACTTGAAGGCACCAGACTTCAAGGTGTGATTCCATTGCTTCAGTTGTCGAAAAAGTAGAAAAAGCTGAATTTTCACTTGGATCCAAAAATACTGTCTTCGTTGGACGGGCTGCAACCTGATATGAGGAATCTGAACGAATTTTCTTTTTCAGCTTACGCAAAGGCTCGCCTCCCTTATTACTTGCTATACTTTCTACTCATAATTAGAAGCAGATGCTCCCTGCCACAGCAAGACGTGTTCGCGTTGGCTCGGTTTATCTCAATGCACCACAGGTCGGACGCGCCAAAGTGGCGCGGCGCTGTTATCTGAGACAACCATTGGGACTGACACGGCAGTCTGAACGTATGCTTGTCATAAAATACTAAATGTAGGAGCTCTGCTGCAAGCCGCATCTTTCTGAATCCTTCGCCTATGTGCGATGTGGTTATTCAGGAAGCAGGCTGGGAACGCAAGTCAGCGTTTCTGTACGTCCATGTGCTGTCATCATTGACGGAAAGTGTAGTTTTGCACGAGACACACGCAGCCAGGCGCATTGAGGGTGCATTTGTGCGACGTGCAACCCAAAGACCAGAATGATACAAACGTGGACATGACTGAGTTAGGCAAAAGAATAGACACTCTTTAAGCCAAATCAGGGCCCCAGGGTTTGATCATCAAAAGAAACCTTGACCGTGCAAAGCTTAAAATTATTTTTTGATCCTATCTTGAATCGTGATAGATCCGGCTTAGAAATTTCACCAAATGAAATGTTCATAATAGCATTTCACGTTCTAGACCCATCTGTTCTCGTGTTCAAACAATATAGTCATTCTAGCTCCCTTTGGTCTGGGTACAAACTGCCTCCCGAAAATCATAATTTTGCTCGCATCTTATTACCTCAATTCTATCATGCTCAACGGAAATATCGTGAAATACTTAGACAGTCACCGCGTTTCATCACGTGGCATTGTACTCTTACACGACGTTTCCTCTAGGAAGACCATTTTATACTCTCCATGAGGTCCAGGATGTCAATATTAAAGTCCAGATCAAATATTCTTTGTACGTCGCCACCATCGGCGTCGCGCCGGACTAGGGGAAATGTTAGAAAATAAGCCTCTCCCACCTTTTCTATCGACCGAAGGAAAGGTAGTACAACATGCCTTCAGAACCGCCCCTAAAACTCGTCGCGTCCGAGGAGTCGATCCGAGTCTCCTCCCTGCCGAAGTAGCTCCGCCACGTCCACAGATAGTTGTAGAGCACACTCGCGCTCAGCCTGTTCTTGACTCGCCTTAGGCGCAAGTCGTCAGATGTCGCGCCCCACACGGCAGACGACGATGACGGCCGTGGAACTGCCGAGAAGAAGCCGAGGACGTCGCCCAGCCTGGCCGGCAGGTCGTTGTTCGCGACGCTGGTCCTTCTGAGGGCCGCGATGGATGCCTCAACCATCCGCGCGCCGGCCCCCTGGTTGACCTCCAGGATCGATCTGAAGAAGTCATTCATCGAGATTCTGAGGACGATGAAAACGGCGCAGACGTAAATCTGGTAGCAGTTAAAGAGGCAGTGAGAGAAGAAGCCGCCAGCGTCGTCCAACTTTGAGCTAAGCTCGAGAACCGAGCATGCGGCCGAGTTGAGGGCGTCTATGCAATAATTATATCCCTCCAGGCCGGCATCGTTAAAGAGGGAAACATCGTATAAGTAAAGCCTCGCGATGGCGAGATACTAGGAGAAAAGGACTGCTTCGCCGTATGTCTAGCGCAAGAGGAGAGCGAACAAATAATAGAAAGAAATGGATACTAGGAATAGGCGTAAGAGGAAAGGGGAAAAGAGAGAGAACTCGCGACAATCTTTCGGCTGCTCGCGTTGCAAGTCACAGAGCTCCGCATCAAGCAGGCGGAACATCATTTGACGCTCTCGGGTGGAATTTCCTTCTGCAGCCTGAGAGGCCAGGCCCAAGAAAGTCGAGACTCTCACTTTAAAGAGCTCTACTCGGAGATTGAGCCCCAATCCGGTTTCAGACGCATAACGGTCCGATGATGCCGTCGCAGGCTAGTCCCAGGTCTGGATGGCCAAAGGAAGGCCTCAGCCGACACTGACGATGCCCGAAACGGCTTTGTAAGAAAGGCAAGAGATAATCAAGGAGGAAGAGAATGTTGTCGATATAGATGCGGGCTGGTACTTGTCGTTGCAAGCCTCCCAGGTTCAGATCCATTCGGTGTACTGCGAGTCGTCGAAGGTCGGTCACGTTCCTAGCCAGCTTGAGCAGTAGCGTCAGCCTCGAGCTCATTCGCCTCGACTCGATGGACATGATGGTCCAGAAGAGCTTCGACGTCTCGTACTACTGGTGGGGAGATTTGTCGACGTTGACGAGCGGGAGGAAGGGATGGTAGTGGGCGACGAAAGTAAAGCCTCGCGTTGCATGTTTGTTATTAAGGTCACCTCCCCAAAAGTCTAGCTAAAAGAAGCGGTCGATGCTCAACCTTTCAAATAGCTAGTCAATCTCTCGGACAGAGAGGGTGACGTTTTCTAGCACCCTATCTATGGGTACGCAGAAAGAAGTACGGCGGCGCTGAGGAGGCTCGTCGACGCCGGGTTTGGTCGCCAGACCCGGTATGGAAGTCCCGTCGCGTTGAAAAGAGGGGGTCACGATGGTCACACAGGCAGCCTTGGAGGGGCCGATCCCGCCGGGGTCATCGGCGTCTCGAGCGGCGTACGGAAGGGTCGCCGACATTGATGTCGCGGACGTTGTCGCCCAGTCTCTCTCGATCACTGGAAGATTAGGAACCGACAAAGACACGGAGATGGCGGCACTAGAAGCTCCGGCCATGCTCTCTGCCAACTCCTAGCGTAGTCTCACGTGGATCAGGAAATCGCCTGGACGGAGCCCCGAGGGAGCGGTCTCGTGAGAGTCATGGTTCCAGAGCATCCATCATCAGTGGTTCATTTACCTTCGATTTATCTTCCACTTGAAACCTTCCACGATTTTGCAGTCAAGCCCTAAGCAACTGCCCCGGCTGCATGTCGCCCGGCCCGTCGCCTACAGGTGGTCATCGCCGACCCCGCTGAGGTCACATCGGAGCTGGCATGGTCAGATTACTTCTTTGACTGAAGGTCCGCTTTTTATATAGAGAAGCCAATTTTTCCCTTACTTTTTGCTGCCTACACTCGTTGCAGGCCTTTCTCCGACCGGAAGTTTTGTCCGGTTCGGCCGCCTATGCGGCTTACCCTCGTGACACGGACCCGCTCCGGTCTCGTGACGGCCCCGATACTTTCTAATAAAACTTATAATGTTATTAGATATAACGTACATGATAAGCGAGTGAGACAGACAAGCGAGTGAGACAGTAAACCAGACCTTCGCGACAATAATATCGAAATCTATAACAAGAAATCTTAGATTGATTAATACTACTCGGATTCCTGTTCTTCGGATGTTTCCTCAATAAATTGACATGTTCTCGCGTTGTGGCCTGTATTCCCGCATACGCCACACCGACGATGAGTCGTCTCAGACCTCACTTTGCGACCACTACTCCGTCGCGTTTCCTCTTGTAGTTGCGTGTCTGCCTCTCTTTGCGACTGTATATCCTCTCCAGTAGATATAGTAAGACTTCCTCCTTTCTGTAGACGTGTTTTCTTAGCCCTTCGACGCCGACTTAATATTGCATTCTCCTCTCGAAGGATTTGAACCTCTGACTCTAGTAATGCTACCCGATGCCCTAGTCCTTCTGTCCCTCTGGCTAGCTTACTCACAGCACTATAAATTGATGCTGGAGAGCTGCTTCGGTGGCGTGAGATTCGACTCTTAATAAAAGTAGACTGTGATCTTGCTTCGCTTGGGTTGCTCGGCGTCCTAGAGATCCAAGGGTCTGGTGTCTGAGGGACCCCCTCCTCAGGCGTTGGCGTTCGGAACTTTACATCCAGCTTTGAGAGAACACTTTCTGCATTCAAAGGGACAAGTCCAGCTCCTCGGAAACCTCCCTGGATATTTTTCCTCGTAAAAGACTGCTTAAAAGCTTCGTGAAATGCTGCAAAGAAATCTTCCTTCGAGATATGGGTTGTGCCTCGCCGCATCTTATTCTCAATTTGCCGACCGTAGGCATTCTTTAACGGCTGAAAACAACCAACATCTAAGGGTTGAAGTAGATGAGACGAGTGAGCCGGCATGCACAGTGTAATAATGTTGTTTTCTTGACAAAAGAGCTCGAAGGCTGCGGAGTGGTGACTTTCATGACCATCAACAACGAGGAGGCGATATTTCCCAGACGTACGTGGTTTTGTATAAATGTCGAAGTGTCTGATCCAGTCAATACCTCTCTCGTTTGTTGTCCATCCATTTTCAGACGTTGCAATAGCCCAATCGCCCGGAAGAGAGGTTTCTGTATACCAGCTTGAGAGGTGATACTGGCCTGCAACGATGATGTATGGCGGGATGCTCTCCCCTTGGGAATTAATAGCCTGGATAACTGTAACCCATTCCCTATTGCCAGGCTGTGTCATCTTCGTATTTGAACGCCTTTCAGCACTTGTAACAACCATTCCAGAAGCAATAACGCCCATCATAAAGCCGGTCTCATCAAAGTTGTAGATATCAGCATCAGCAATACCATACTTCGCAATTGTATTCTTCACAAGCGAAAACCAGCCACGAATCACCTCTGGATCTTCGCATTGAGCTCTCTTATAGTCATACTTGCGAAAGAAACGCGTCCTAAGCTGTGGTTGTCGCTTGACGAAATTAGAAGCCCAGCGCTTCCCAACTGGAGGCGCGTCGCGCTCTGCGAGAAGTCGATTGGCCATTTCTTCCACACCACTCAGCCGGGGAGGAAATGATCGCGCATCTAGGTCGAGAATATACTCAACTATTGTCTTCTCTTCTAAATCTGATAAATTCCGTGAATTAGGCATGCTGTCGCGTCGTGAGACTATTCCCTTTAGTCGCCGGCTTAATGTTGCGTGACTGACTGTATAGAGTGCACCTGCGGCCCGAGCACTAAGTTTTGGGTCATTTCTCATTGCTTGAAGGGCAATTTGTAACCTTCTTTCAATACTAGCTGATTCCATGATTTATTGTAGAGGAAAAGGTGCCGGTCGCGTCAAGGTGCGACGGTCGCGGTTTACTGTCTCACTCGCTTGTCTGTCTCACTCGCTTATCATGTACGTTATACTTTTCTTAATATTCTTCTTTATAAAGCTTTTTAATGACCTGTTGAACGGAAGCATCCTGCTCCATCTCCTGCCATAGACGAGGCTCCCAGTCCTTAAATCCTTCCCGGACGCCGCCACCTCTTTTCTCCAGCTGTCTTCCTGAGACCCAAAACCGTGAAACCCAGGATCTCATAGCATAATTCTGCTTGTATGCACGGGCGGCCATCTCGATGAAATAGAGTATCGCCAAAGCCAATAGCAGTGTGCACCACCAAGACGCCTCCTTGCCGAAGCCAGATAATAGCCCGCCCCGAACAGAGTAGGGACCCGCATTTGGTGCCATGGTGTTTGACACGATGAGAGTATATACCCACATGGCTAAAATGCTGACAATAGCACTCAAGAACACAAAATGTGCCTTGTAGTTTAGCTCAATGATTCTGTTATCCATGTCAGTCTAGTATCAAGGAGCATAAGGCCAACTCGTACGTACAGAAGCTTATAGTTAATCCATATCACACAGACCAAAAACGTCAACAGACCTTGTGCGTAAATTCCGTCGTCTTTGAGGATTGTTGACCCACCGTACCCAGCCCAGCATGCACTATAGGCGATCAGACCTGCAAGTAGGGCATTGCCAAACCATCCGAGATAGACAGCCATGCTGAGACCTTCGCCCTCTTGCCCATACCGGTATAGCCTTGGAACGACCATGAGAGTATGCGATTCAAGATCTTGCTCCCATGTTCCGACAATGATGATGCAGGCAATTGTGAAGAAGCTGATAAGTGCTAAGCTGCTTGGCTCATACAGGCTAGTGCCTGTTGATCCCGTTTGTTGTTGGAATAGTGCTTGCGGGAAGAATATGAATGTTTCCTTCCAAAAGGTTGCAAGAATAAATCGTGTTGTGCGATAATAGTTCCACCGACCGTGGACCAACAGTAACTTGGAAAGGTACCTGAATTGGGAGATGCTGAAGTCAGCAATCCGAGCCGCCTGCTGGCCCTCACGACCCGAGATCCCAACTCCCACGTTGGCAGCGGAAATCATAGAGATATCATTTGCGCCGTCGCCGATAGCTAAGGTGAGGGGACTCCTGGTACCGATTCCAAGCCATGAGAATATTCCCGAGTTTCTGTTAGGAGGGCCTTCTCGGATCATGCTGACAAGGAGGGCTTTTTGCGCTGGCGAGGCCCGGCAGCAGATTACTGAGTCCACTGAGATGACAAGCGATATAAAAACATTGCGTAGACGAGTCGAAGAAGGTTCCTCTATAAATTTAAGGGTCTCGCCGTCGACGACGACGACAGTATGGTTTTGCTGAGTGTCGCCGTAAGCTGGCTGTAACCTGTACTGGACCGTGTCAGCCGCTTCTGCGACTTGAAGTTCTAAGTCTCCTTGGCAAATATCAAGAATGAACACATTTGAATCTGGACTGCAGAGACGAGTTGAATGGGCTATGCTTATAGCAGTTTCTCTTTTATCCCCGGTCAACATCCAGATCTTAATGTTAGCCTCGCGGAGTTTGGCAATCGTCTCTGGGACCCCTTTTTGCAACTTGTCCTCTACAGCAGATGCACCAACAAGGTCTAGCTCTTGCTCAAGCAAGTCGCTTACCTCTTCGATGCGCTCTTGGCGGTCCACTAGGCTCGTTTCTGCCTCATGGTGGAGACGCTTCCAACGAGCATAGTCATCAGGCCGTAGGAACTTGTCGGCATAGACCAGAGTACGAAGGCCCTCTACTGCGTACGTGTCGATATGAGAGAAATACTCATGGATAGTCTCCCTCTCGTCAAACAGGGCCGGTCTCTCGAGCAACTCATGGAGAGATGTTCGCAAAGATTGTGTTTCATCTGCAAGTACCTGGCGTGATTCGAGATGAATCCAACTATCTCCATCGACCAAAGGTTGATTTTGCGCAGACCGACCATCTAGCCTTCCGGTCTGAAAGAAAGGGTCCGGTGAGCCTAGCTGACGAAATTCGCGTCGCAAGGATTTGGGTCTTCCTTCCTTCAAGTGACCACCCACAGTCGCCTGGTCGCTCTTTACGACCTTCTGCTCCGCAGCCCTCAGTCTCGGCAGGAGTACAGAGTCAGCTCCTTTGCAGATTAGCAACAGCCTACCATCAGGGCAGCGAACAATGATTGTCATTCTCTTCCGTTTGCTGTTGAATTCGATTATATCAAGAATCTCGAATGTTGTCTCTGATGAAGGGCCATCGATGAGCGTTTGCACAGTGACGGATTGCGATGATCGTTGCTTGAGAACGAATCCGAGATCTCTAGCACCTCTTACCAATGCGAGCTCGTCCGGAGATGAGGCCTGGAAATCCAAGCTGCCATCCTCTGTACGTTCGGGGAGACATGTATGGCAGAGAGCCATTGCCAAGAGGTACCGGGTCGCTTTGGTTGCAAACGGTGATGTTGGACGTTCTCTAATGTGGTCTAGCATGTAATTCGTATGCAAGATCCCTCCCTCTGAAGTCTTGATCGGCTCGTCGGGCATGTCTATAGGGTGTAGCCAAGAAATGCCCGCTACACTTATATAGCGAAGCTTCATGATATTTTCCGTCAACGTGCCAGTCTTATCGCTAAGTACGTATCCAATTTGTCCAAGGTCGTCTAGATTGTTTGTATTATTAACTTGAGCACGTGTTTCCGTTTCCTTGTGGTAGATATCGAGGTCGTTGCTTATAAGCGTCATCTGCCCCAGCTTAGTCCCCTCAAGGCCGACGTAGAGTGAAAGTGGAATGACGTTGTTGAACATAATGATAAACCCCATGAGGATATCTGCGATGCGGATCTGCGTGAAGGACAAATACCATGAGCGTCCTGCACTACGATCCCAGACGACGTGCGCTATGGTACAAGCTCCTGCGCTGATAAGCACATAGGCCATGAGAAAGAGAACAATCTTGTTGGTAATTGACTCAAGTGCTGGCTGCTTCGGCTTTCTTTCTTTGTTCGAATTAAGCCGAATCTTGCACTCTTCCCCAGTATTGATAGTGATACCAATGACGGAATTATTGCGGATTGTACTGCCCCGAAAGATGACATGATTTATTGTCAGAGGTCTCGTTGCATCATCCGCTGTAAGTTGACTATCAAAGCGGTAGAGATCGGAATTTGGGTCCTCAACAGTGAGTTGTGCTTGGCATTCAGAGATTCGCTCAATAGTGCTGCAGTCGGGCAGATTGGGCGGTCGTTCTCTGATCTTCAGGCTTGTCTCGCCATCGAGAGCAATCGTCTCAATATAGGCAAAGCCTTCCGCTCCATCGCTATGCAGGATAACAATATCTGCTGGAACATCCTCGTCTTTTTCCAGCATAATAATATCGCCGACTTTAAGATCTTTCCAGGTGGTGATCTCCCATTGAAAGCGAGTAGCACTTGAACCTCCGTTGTCGGACTCTGTGTCAGGGGCATAAGATCCATCAGCTCCCAATGGTGCTTCGCGTAAGACCCTAGTCGGCTGGTTATTCTCGGCGACGTCTTGCCTGTGTCTTTTCCAGTCGTAGTAACCCTCCTTGGCAATAATAAGAACCAGGAAGACAATAAGAGGAATGACCGTCGTGAATTTTCCGGTAGTACTGAAGCCCGGAATCAACTGTAAGATTGAAATCAGGAGCTGATAGGCGTTGGCTAGTCGAGTGAATTGGTAAATAATTTGACGGGGCAAGAAATCGAATGCATTATACTTGGATGTTTTGACTGCGTTCGATATATAGGGCTTGTCGCGTCGCTCGTCAACTAGCTGGGCCGCGAGGCCGGGGCTGATGGGGATACGACGACCATTGGGAGAAGTTGGTAGTGGAGAACGCTTCATTAAAGAGCGGATGGCCTTCCACACTCTTGAGGTAGAGGGTGCCATGGTGATGTTGGCTATTGTTGATGCAGGTGTAGTGGTAGGGATGATGATTGATAATGTGAGACTCTAAATCAGGGAGCCTGCCAAGGAAAACTTGAAAAACACTCGAGCCGTCGCTTTTTACTTTGCTTAAATCTTGTTAGTAGGAACTGGCTTAGATGTCTGACGTTTTTGAGGTTATGTTGCCCATGATTATATACTACCAAGCATATACACAGAAATAGCAAAATGTAATACGATACGGGTGTCAGGGTTATACCGGAGGAAGACTATTGTCAAACCCCACTATTCTTTCCCGGTCCGATGTTGACTGCATGCACAGGTCTCATAAAGCTCATCGCTATGTTCCTTACTGTGTTTTCAATTTGCATGGCTACATGCTGCGACACAAAGACTATTGACTCGAATTTGAACACTGACTCAAAATAGCTCCCAACGGCGAGAACGATGACGATGTGGAGCTGCAATAGTGATTTGATAAAGCCGGGGTTGAATTTTCCTAATTACTAAAGCTAGAAGATCTTTATCCCATGCATGGGTTTCGCAATATCCTGACGAGATATTTAATGGCAATCTCGGCCAGTGCTCAAATAACGAATCAATACCGTGCCAAGAGCTACAGCCTTCGTTCCAGGCAACAACATTTTTTAGGGTCCTCCAACTGATTGTTGATGGGGAAAGTTGCATGCCCTGCCATCCGATAAAGTTACCGAGAACGACGCGTTTTGCGTAATCGCCTCACTCTTACACGTTACAAGTATGTCTACCCTTGTAAAGTGTGCTACGCTGGCTGCGCTGCGCTCAGACCATGGGTCCAGGCAGAATGGTAATCGCTTTAGTTTTGTTTTTACCTGCCCAGCAGCAATCAACCACCAGCAATGTCATTCATTGCCATCCTTCAATGTCTTTTTGCACATATTCGAATTCCAAAGCAAAGCCATTGATATGTCTTGCTGACCTATAAACTAAGCGTTTGACATACACCGCTCCTCGTCTTTTCTCATTGACATCGGTTGCCAACTACCTCTCAGACACAACTATACCGGATTGACTCTTTGCATACTTCCCGTCTTTGGCTTTGTCATTCACACGCTCATCGAAATCTATATTTCGCTTACTTTCTGGTTCATCGCCTTAGCAATGGTGCATTTTCGATTCAGGACTTCCACAGAGAAGAATCACAGACCACAAGACACACCATACAAGCAACAACGCTTGAAAGCATGGAAGTGTGTTGTAACAACTTGGCCATCTAACGTCCGAGGACTGACCTTGGATGCGTAGGCCTATACTGACACCAACAAATTCCGTCAAACACTTTTTTTTTCTAGCGATTTTGATGATAGCTGTCGGGGCTTTTTGGATGGCTGTCAATGGTGATGTAGGTCTATGCCCGCCCTTATTGATGCTCAAGGTACTGACAGCCAACCAGGTTAGGCAAATTCGCATCGATTACACGACTTGCCATGAGCTCGACTCCTTTGACGCACTAGAGGCGATGCCGGCCGAGAACGTGCATAGACGTTTCAAGGCTTCGTCTGCAGGCCAGCCTGTAGATCAATGGAAGCGTTCAAACCGAATGCTGACTTTTGATGGCATCGAAAATAACTACACGCTGTGTACAATCGAATTTTTTCTTCCCGAGGATCTCCAACCGCCAGTATATTTCCATTATCATCTCACTAATTTCCTTCAGAACCATCGCGAATACATAAATTCTCGTCACTCAGAACAACTTGCGGGTCGCAATGTTAGCTTGAACGCTATTCAAAGTTCTGATTGTGGTCCCCTCAAGACTTTGAGATTGACCGATGACGAGACAGATAGGATAATCTACCCCTGCGGGATGATTGCGAACTCGTACTTCAATGATACCTTCGAGTATCCGCTTCGCATTTCTGCCGGCAGCGATACCAACCGCACCCATGCTTACAACATGTCGAGGGCGGGAATTGCTAACCCTCAAGATAAGGCACTTTATCAGCCGAGTACCTATAGGGTGCCCTCGATACAATCGGGAAACAAGAGCATTATTGTTCCGCCACCTGGCTGGGCATCTCGATTTCCGAACGGATATCACTCGGGAAATATGTTCGATCCTGCTGAGGATGAGTCGTTCATGGTTTGGATGCGTACATCCGCAGGATCTCAGTTCTCCAAACTGGTCATGCAAAACCACAAAGATGCCATGGAGAGGGGAATGTATCGTCTAGAGGTCTTTACGCGTAAGTCTTTTCCATCAATTGTCATCTTGAGGCAACACTGATCAATCATTTGAAGATTTTCCTGCTCAAGCACACGCTGGTACAAAGTCGCTCATCATATCCACTTCATCAAGCATCGGACATGGCAATGCTTTTGTTGGATCTGCCTTCGTTGGGCTCGGAAGCTGCAGCCTCCTACTTGCTTTGCTTTCCGCCCTTACGCTGAGATATAGACCCCGTAGACTCGCGGATCATGATTATATATACAACAGCGACATGAGGCTACACTATCAGAGATCGAATCTCTGACTGGGTGTAATGACGCAAATACGGTTCTAGCCACGTAGCATCAAGAGAACAATTGAGTTTTAGATCAATGCTTCACTTTCATTATCATTCGCTAGAATCTTCTCTAAATAATAAATTGTGATGATGTCGTTTATAAGAATTTTCGCATTATTCTTGAATATGCGACTCCATTCTAATAGAGACGTCCCCAAAGTCTCATGGAGCTTGCAAACTAACCACCAAATAGACAGAGAAATAGCGAGATGCCTGCATTGCTCTTTTATTAGAAAGTATGCATCGGTCAGAATAAGTTGTTAACATAAGGTAACGTTGCCATTTATTATACGCAGAATTCAGCAGAGTAGTGATTATGTATTTGCTATTTGATCATTCTATTAGCTGCTGCGAAGGATGCTGCCTCTATGCTACATGTTGACACAAAACATATTCATCAACTTTCCTTACATAAAGATTGAAACCTCAGAGAACCGGGTCAAATCTTTGCCGGATTCGCTCCCCAAACGAGAACAGCAGCAGAGGAATAGGAATAAGGGCCAGTGACAAGAAGGCCAGTAAACTGTTCCCCCAACCAAGGCCCAATGTGTCGTACATCTTTAGTCCACCAAGAGGCATCAATGCACCAATAAGGGATCTAGATAGCATAACCGCAGCAGATGCAGATGCTGCATAACGAGGATAGGAATCCATTTGGTAATTCTGCACCGTCATCTTCGTGGAAGTCAGTATCATAGTATCAGCAGCTTGGGGAGGAAAATAGAACACACCGTTAATCCGCTAAGGCTGAACGAAAACAGAAAGACCCCAATCATTGGCACTATGAAGAAGACCTTGTATTGTGTCGTCCACCCGTATAGAAGCAACCCGATGGGAGGTATGATACTAAGCGGCAACGTCAGCCATGGTGTTAATTTGATCTCTGGCCTATAAACCTCTCCCGGTTGCATGTTTCGCTTCGACCGTTTCACAAGAAAGTCTTGAATGTGCCCGAAAGTCAATACGCCGACCATCATGCCTAGACCGGAAGGTAGAAATGTGAGACCTATGACTCCCTTTCCAAACCCATACTGACCGGCGTAAACGAATGAAAATGTGGTAATAAGGAGGTAAGATGTTCCATAAAGAATTCCGATGTAAGATGCAATAATGGTGACGAGCGGAGTCGCAAGCAGGAATTTCAAAGGGCGAATCAAGGCCATCTTCAGACGTTTGCTCCCATGAACATCGAGTTTGCTGCGTAGGGTGCTATCACCGGTCAATTCCCTCAAAGCTTGCGTTTTGCGTTGCAAAAGCACCGGTGCGTATGTCTCTCTCATGACTATTAGCGCTAGAACAGCAAATGCACCACCCTACACGTAAGCTTGTTAATCTCGTATCATCGCCACTGTGAAAGCAGACAGAAGGGTACAAGGGAACACTCACCAAGATTGCGAGTAACCAGTATACCCATCTCCAACCCGCTCTTTCTATGAGAAAGCCACCTATGACAGGGCCAAGTGAAGGGCCCAACAGAGGACCAAGTGCCCATATAGACAGTGCTCTTCCACGGCTCTCAAGTGGCATCACGTCGATGATACTTCCCACGCCGATAGTTGTAGGCACTGACCCAACGACACCCATGAGGAATCTGAAGGTCATGAGCATGTTGACGTTGATGCTAAGGGCGGCCCCGACGCTGAACACTGTGAAACTGATGTTGCCGGTGTGATATACGTAAACCCTCCCGTAGATCTCGCTCAATGGGGCCACGACTAAGGGTCCAAATGCAAAACCGAGGAAGTAGATTGAAACCACAAATGTTGCCAATATGCTCGAGTCAGTCTCAAATTCTGTCATGAGATCTGGTACGCCCGGTGCAAACATTGAAGAGCCCTAGCAAATAGAGTCAGCTTAGCTCTTCTGGCCAAAGTAGCTGAACCCGTATTTGGGCCTCACCAAGGGACTGTTAAGTCAGCCCATGGAATCTTGGAAAAATGGATTCCGTGAGTACTTACGATATGATAGTCAAGATGGACATGAGTGCCAAGTTGACAAACTTGCGTGACTTCGGCCAGTTCTGCGGGTTTTCGGGATCGTTAGGCCCATCCCAGTCGATGAGAGTTGGATCGACGTTCTCTACTGTGACATTCGACATGTCTTGTACGGAAATATGGCGCAGTAATAACCCGGAGGTTCTAAATGAATCGAGCTTTCTGGTCCTATTCGGGAAGGTTGAGATCGACATGATGAAAGATGGATGAACTTGTTCTTATTTGTTACCATCGCAGGAGTTTGGACAAGTTTCAATTGATGGGTCGTGAACTTATACCAACATTGCAATCCGGAAACACCTGGTGTGATCCCTTTCGACTTGCTTAACGATATAGACCCTCACGGGTTAGGCTGAGAGGCCCAACAGGCTGAGTGGCGACTTGGTGTATTTCTCTGATCGCAGAAACCGATACTCAACATCCGAAAACGAATGAAGAATACCCTCAACTGGCCCTAGTTGGACAATGGAGCTCCGGGGCTGATCAGCTGAATGGCTTCGGTATCGCTAAATATGTCGGTTGGTCTCCTTAGGTCAAATTTGATGGCACAAGGGACACACTGAACGCTAATAACGTGATCATCTCCAAGAGCTATCCAGTAAGACTTCAGGACCTTCCGGTAAGGAGCGTATACCCATGTAAGTCATTAATAGACAATCTGTGGGTTTCTGCTTTGTTTTCACCTGTGCCATAGAATCTTTTACTGTACTAAATCCAGAGGGCTAGGGACTTGGCGGCAGAAATCGCTAGACTAATAGTCAGCTCATGTGGCGGTCATGGCCCGAGAAGGGTCCAGTACGTAATGAATGTAACAACATCTTCTTCAGGCACGTGTCCGATATTGGTAAATACCACTACCATCACAGCCTCACGGGTTGCCAAACCGAGCGCATATTTGTGATTTACAGCTTGACTCGTGTCCTAAGCCGCGGATCCCCTTCTCTTGGGACATGCATTTGTACTTAATAAAGGCCCATCTATTAATATGAGCCTATCGTTTAAGAGAATTAACGATAACGACGAAATCGGCCACGCATTGTGTAAGCTTAGAGAGAATCCATCTGCCTAGCTTACTCCGATTTACTATGTACAAAAACACCAAGGACACAATTTCCGATCAGCCGGAGCTAGGCAGCGGAGGACCCACTTCGTTGTCGGTAAAAGTAGCTTGATGTAGCAGATCCCTGCAGCTCGATTCTGTGGGGTTGCTCACCGAGTCTGTGAAAAAAATGTTGTGCTTCTATTGGTCATCGACGAATGTGCAACTCGTTGTCGCTAACTTCCTTGCAGCATATGGCTGTCTAATGCCTTTGCCACAATGAAGGCCTTGATAGGGTGTTCGGAGTTCCCAATGTTAAGATACTCCGCACGATGAACAGTGGCACGATAAGTCCAACCGTCTAAGCCGTGTCATCAGACCAATGTATAAATGATCATTCAGCATTCATGATAGTAGTACTAATAATCTACAGAACTTTACCTTGCGTGTTTCCCGAGTTCAAGGTCGCGTCCTAAATCATTTTGTCTCCGTGTTTTCAACCCATCAGAGCTTTTATATCTAAGAAGCCGAGCCCAATAACAATCATACCGCTTCCCGGCTTATTCAATACCAAAGGAAAATCATGGATCTTCGTCCAGATACTGTGTCAGTCTCTCTGGCCGCGCTGAATATGGTAAGGACAGAAACTGTTGCTGTACGAAGATTTACAGATGCTGAAATCACAGCGCAGGTGGTCATGTATCTCGCTTCAATAGTGTTCTACAACCTATTTCTTCATCCCTTACGGGACTATCCGGGCCCTATTCTTCTCCGCGTCACACGAATCGGCTACTGCTACAAACTCATCCGGGGCACACTGCCGTTTGATATCCTCCAGCTTCACAAGGTGTACGGAGACGTTGTTCGAATAGCACCAGACGAGCTTGCGTATAACAACGTAACAGCCTGGAAAGATATCATGGGCCACCGGGGGAGGGGCGCAGCTGAGTTCAAAAAATATCAGCATTTTTACAACTCCTCCAAGGCCATGCCTACGACAATTGTCAGCTCGAATGGTAGGGAGCATGCTGACTTGCGACGAACAATGTCTCATGGCTTTAGTGAATCAAGCCTGAGAAATCAGGAACCCTTGGTAATGAAATACATCGACGGTCTTGTTCAAAAGTTACATGAAATGAGCAGGAGCGACACAAAAGCAATCGATCTCATGGCGTGGTACAATTTCACGACTTTCGACATCATAGGCGACCTGGCCTTCGGAGAGCCCTTTGGCTGCATCAGAGATTCCGATTATCACCCCTGGATCCGCGGAATCTTCGCTTCTGTTCGCCTTGGAACTGTTGTACAGACGGCAAACCATTACCCTTTTTTCAAAAAGATTTTGTTCTCGTTACTTAGTACTAAGTCCAGTCGTGAGAAGAAGGCACACAATCTTGTCATGGCAACTGAGAAGCTACAAAGACGTATTGCAGCGGGCAGTAAGCAAGAGAGGCCTGATTTGATCGAAGGACTGTTGAAAAAGAAGGACGAGATGGTAAGTGGCGCAACCAGTTCCCAATCCCTATTACTTTTCCCGGGATCCTGTTCCCAAGCAGAAAATACCTCAAGACTAAAATTCTTGCCGTGAAATAGGGGCTATCAATGCCGCAGTTGATCGCGAATAGCAATACCTTAATCATCGCCGGCTCAGAGACAACAGCGACATTGCTTTCAGGCGTGACGTATCAGTTGCTGAAGTCGGGGCATGCTTTAAGAACACTAACGGAGGAGGTCCGTTCAAGATTCAAGGCTTCAAGCGACATCAACATCGTATCCGTCGGTCAACTACCTTACATGATGGCGTGCTTGAATGAGACTCTTCGCATATACCCTCCCGTTGCAAGTGGCCTACCCCGTGTAACTCCTGCGAGTGGTGCAACTATTTGTGGCCGCCTCGTCCCTGGAAATGTGAGTCACCAGTCAAATTCCACAGACCGAGAAGTTGTAAATGACGGAAACATTTGCAGACAGTTGTCGCGATTCATCAATATGCAATCCACAATAACGAGAAGTATTTTAAAGACCCTCTCAACTTTCATCCTGAGCGCTTCCTCGGGGACACCAAGTTTGCGTCGGATAATCGCGACGCCTTTCAGCCTTTCCACATCGGGCCACGGAACTGTATCGGCCGAAAGTAAGACCCCTCCCACTCTTCACACATTATCATTGGCACGCGAGCTTTGTGACCTTGGACGCTAATTCATTCGAATACAGCCTTGCATACGTTGAGATGAAACTCATTCTTGCTCAAATCGTATGGCATTTTGATCTCGAGCTTGCAGAGGAGAGCCAAGGATGGGCTGAGAAGCAGAAGATTTTTATTCTATGGGATAAGGCTCCGTTGATGGTTCACTTGAGAGCCGTAAAGAGGTCTTGATATAAGGATCGTATCGGATCTTGCAGCATGATACTTTCGATCCATATAGCACATGGCAAGCAGTAAATAAAGTGGAAGGAAAGTGAGTTGTATCAAGTCGAAGTACAGGAGCCAAAAGAAATGGGATTCAAAAGCTATATCCACTGTGCAGTTCGAGATGAATGAGAAAATTTGATGAGACACGGAGAGGGAACGACTGATATCGGGTATTGATCAGTCTATGGAACGGATATTATGCCATAACACTTTGAATGTCAGCGCATCGCTGGCTACATTTAGTCTAGGTATAGTGATGCCAAGCACCACTACTGGTGATGTCCATTACATACCACGACTATCACTATCAATGGCTTTTTGTTTCAGGTTTCCCACTTCTATCTGGCAAGCTACAAGAGTGTTTTCACTCTCAACGGCTCAAAGATAAGTCACGAGAGCCCGACCTAAAAGATAGCCGCCTGCTGCTGAAAAGACAAGCAACCCAGTGAATGGTAGGAGAATATAAATGACTGAGGAGTCAATCATGTCATATGAGTCCTTCACACCACCAAGACTTTGATCGAAGGTGTTTGCTACTTCCACTGTGTCATTGTTACTTATGGACTTTGGAGGAATGAGTATTTGGATTTGGGATGGCCATACCCAGACAACCTATCAAAAATGAAAAATAAAGTGGCAGCGACGACCACATGCTGAATCTGGCGATCAGAAATGCCACGAGAGCTGTTATGACAGCAGTGACATAAAAGAATATGAGAGCCATGAAATGGCCTAGGTGATGGTAATGGCCGTTGGATATTTGTGTGTTGACAAGTGAAGTAGGGGTACATTGCTACAGAGAAAGTCTGGCTTGGACATGAATGAAAGAATAACTCACGTTTATATGCATTCTCAAAGCCTCGAGAAATATAATCGCCTAGCAAGGCCTCGCTTTTGGTTGTTATGCAGATATCTGGCAAGGTTCCGGAGGAGAATATTGATTATGCTACACCGCGAAAACATGTGCAGTCTCTACACTCCATATCATCCAATCAGCTCGCTAGGTAACTGATGTATATGCGTCTAGGATGCTCCGGTCTTCCTTCGGCTCTCTTGCTCGCGCTTGATAGCGTCTGATGTTCTTTTCCCTGTCAGTGCAGACATCATTGCGAATTAGCGTCATGGTTTCCAATAACGACTCAAGTGTCTCCACTTCGTCATCGGTTCTCTCTTTCATTGGCTTAAACTTAGACCTACATGTCCCGCTTATCTCCACTCATTGAGACCACATTATTTTCTGAGCTCAAATGGGGCAGACTGATCCTGTTCATGATGACTTGAGTCGCCATTCCCATAACAAAGACTGCGGCTGGGGTAGAGTACAAAAGGGGAGAGAGAGGCCCTTTGGACCAGGTTTCCGTAGGGGGCTGTACCATCTATTAGACATTAGTGAGACAGCTAGAGGCCGTGCTAGCACAAAAACACATAGCGATGATACAACGCATTGGGAGCCGACCCCCAGCAAACTTTTTCCTCCACCTTGGTCGAACTACGAACCGTTCCCCCTTTAACCCCCCACGTAGGGGAATCTTTCGACTATAAATATGGCTCCGTCCACATTCCGCAATCCGAATCACTATGTGTTGAGAACACTACCGGAACCATTAGGTCGTCACGAATCCCACAGGCTCTGCCACATTTCTCTTCTCGCGTCAAACACCATTGCACTCATTCTTGCTACGCCGGCGCTCATTATCCTCCATATTCCAGCAGGTGCCATGAAGCGCTTTGGGTACAAGAAGTCCCGGGATGGATGTACGATATGCAAGCAAAGAAGAGTTAAAGTGAGTCCAGAAGTGAAGACCAGGCAGTCTGCTGAACTTGAGCTTAAGAAGCCATCGCGTGACTGGCTAACTCATCGCTTTTCCCACCACAGTGTGACGAGAAGAGGCCTTGCGGTGCATGTGTTCGCCACGGAGTGATATGCAGCCTTATAGATGGTCAAGATGCTCCAACAGCAGGGGCTCAATCTATGAGAGCACATCCGCTCCGAGAGAGACTGAGGCTACGTCCTTCGTCGGTAAGCTCACAACCCAGCTTAATTTGTTATATCTATTATGGTTTCCCAATATCTCGCCATACTAACCAAGTGTCTCTATAGGAATCCAGCGTGCCTAAGTTAAAACGACAACGAAGCTCACTCATGTCCGTTCCACTGATACCGCGCCCTTCCATTGAGCGAGTATATTCTCCCTGTAATCCCAGTGCGGAGGAGAAACGAGACCCATGCGAAAGTGAGGCTGCTTTCCCATACTTTGCTCGATTCCTGGTTGATCTTGATCCATCGGCGTCACCCAAAGACGGATGGATCTTGGATCTCGAGCTCATGCATCACTTTACGTCCACATCCTACCTAACCTTTTCTTCTTCGCCAATGGTACAGAAGGTCTTTCAGTCAAATATCCCAAATGAAGCCTTCAACCACCCGTTTCTTCTGCATCAAATACTCACCTTCTCTGCATATCACAAGGCATTCCTCCAACCTAGCCAACGACATATCTACCTACCATACGCTGCGAAGCACCAAAATGATGCTATTAACCAAATGCGTCCTGCTCTCGCCGACATCAATTCCTCTAATTGCCACGCAATTTTCGCAACATCGACACTTCTGACCCTGAGTGCCTTTGCGACGTATCCAAGTCAGGAGAAATACGACCCTGCCTTTTCGTCTATCCCTAGTATGCTTGATATTTTTACATTGACCACAGGTATGCGCACAATTTTCCGCACGTGGGATCAAGATCTTCGAAAAGGGCCGCTGGGTGACTTTTTTTCCAATGGTTTCCGAAATACCGTGGTTCGCACGGTAGACGTAAAGCTTCAACCCCTTTTCGACCAGCTTTCTTATGTCGTCTACAAGCTCATGGAATTGCGTCTCCCTCGCTTCGAATATGACGTTGTCAACGAGGCGCTGCTATCCTTGATCGAATGCGTCACCAAAGTCTCCTCGGCAAACACCTTGACTGCGCCTGCTGAGTTTCGCGCTCTACTCATGTGGCCGGGATCGATGTCCAAAGACTACCTAGTACTACTTCGAGAGCAGCACCCAGCTGCACTAATGTTGTTAGCGCATTTCTGCGTTGTAGCGCACATGGCAGAACCGTTTTGTTGGTTTTTAGAAGGCTGGGCAAAGGCTTTGATGGCTGTCATCACGGCACAGATTTGTGACAGCCCCTGGGCCGAATTCATAAAGTGGCCTCAAGGGATTGTGACGATGAACATACATAGAAGTTCCTGAATTTTCGAGAATACATGCTAACCATACACTATTCAGCAACTTGAATGGTGATTATGATGTTGGTTTTTCCCGGCCATACTGGCATAGAGGGTTAACCTGGACCGCCTCTTGCTTTCGAGGGGAATTATTCACCAAGTTTCGTACACAATACAAAACTACAGCCTTAAAACTACACTAAGAACACGCACTTTACCATATGTTAGGTCCCCGGGGACCTGAGCCCACGTCTGGTGTTTACTTCACAGTGCAATCTAGAACTTTTGGCGCGACTGGGTGAAACCTGACGGGCAAGTATACACAGCTTTTCTTGAGTAGGGCGGAATCATTACAAACTGGCTTTGCTCACTATGATCATCCGCTTGAACTTCGATCGATCTGCCATGGCTCGCCCATTCGTGCTCGACCTTGCCGTCGCAATGTGGATACATGGAACTCACGGCTTGATCTCGTTGAAGCAAATAGCCACTTCCCCCACGCCCGCTTAGGAAAAGCTTTTCAAGTGAACCAAGCATGTCGCTTATCAGCGCTGTTCTTAGCGGGGCGTGCCAGGTATCCCCCCTCGCATACAGGCAGCGTTCGTTAGGAAATGCCTCAAATGCCAACGAAGGGGCTTGGGATTCTCCGCAACACAGTAGAGTAAAGACCTCTTACGTCTAATGCGGAGACTTTGACCTTTGATTACCAATGTGACTCTCAGGTACCTAGATTTACGAGATACAAGTATACAGATCCCATTCTAGCTCCATAATAAGCAGGAAACGTCCCATACCGGTTATTGTATCCAGGTACCGAAATTCCCGGCAACCCCTGTCATCAAGAGCACAAGAAGAGTCGTGTAGTAGAGAAGGTAGGTGTAATCAGTACACGCGATGAGAGTTACGTAGCGCAGGATGGGACATCAATCCCCACTCGACTGGAACGATGCGGTAGTCAGAGACCGACTCAGTAATACAGGTGATGATATAATACTATAGAGGTGATGGCCTTCATGGACGGCATGCTCTCGGAGTCTTCATGTCGGTTATGGGACGTTCGAAATGGCATGAAATATCGCTGCACGCGTTAAGTATCTCTGTGCAAACTCCCGCAAGGGAAGAGAAACTCAAAACACTGATCAATCCATAACACTACTACTGCTCGTTACGGTTGACCCCAACATCCAATCTACTTTAGCACAAAACAGTATATGTGTGGATAAGTGGATTGTTCCCACTGCGGTGAGAAATGCGGCATTACTCACACAAGGGGTTTCAATCGCTGACACGGTAATTACAAATTGGATTCAAACGGATCAATAAACTAGCCGCTTCCAAGCTTCTGTGCGTCGATACTCGAGTTGATTTGTAATGATTGATTGTTACGCAAAACAACATAAATATCAGTCTCTCCGCATTGACCTGTTGTTCCATTGCCCTCCTTCGTCTTCCTTTCTTTACCTCCTCTCATATCTATAACATTCTCAAACTCATTACATCCCAAATATTGCCATCATGTCAAGCCTACTGGAGCCCATTGTTGTGGGGAGTAAGCTGACTTTGCGAAACCGAGTAGTCATGGGTTCCATGACACGCAACCGTTGCTTCGACGATTGCAAACCAGGGGAGGCACAAGTCAGACACTACGCAGATCGAGCCAGAGATGGTACCGGTCTGATCGTTAATGAAGGCACTTTCATAGATTGGACTGGCTGTGATTGGAAATATTCTCCTTTCATGATCACTGAGGACCATGCCATTGCTTGGCGTAAAGTCACCGATGCTGTACATCAAGCTGGAGGCAAGATCTTTTTCCAGGCCTGGCATGCTGGTCGCTGTCAGCATGATCAAATGCCAATCATGAAGGAACACAATGGTCGTGTTCTCGCTCCATCCGCTATCAAAGCAAATGATGGCAAATACCGGGATTTACCTGGGCAGCCTGTGCGTGGTAGTTCAAACTCATACTCAGAATGACAAGTCGCTGATCAGACTTCATGCTATACAGGGCCACACCGCCAATATTGAGGCTATCAAAGATGTTAGCGAGGTGATTCAACTTTATCGTCGCTCCTGTCAGCTGGCCAAAAATGCTGGCTTTGATGGCGTCGAGCTGTTAGCTCAAGGGTAGTTAACTTCCTATTACTGCGCGTATCAGACCCAGCTAACTTCCATTATTTACAGCGGCTACCTGCCCCAGCAGTTTCTGAATAGGTAAGTAGCCCAAACCAGTCGATTTATCTTCAAAGCACTGACTCGATAACTAGCCGTGCAAATAAGCGAACCGATGAGTACGGCGGCTCTGTCGAAAACAGGTGTCGTTTCATTCTGGAGGTCGTTGGCGCCATCGCGGAGGTTTTTGACGGGCCGGAGTTTGTCTGCGTGAAAATCAATCCTACGGACTTCTACAATGATTCTATGGTCCAGTTCTCTGAGATGAAGGAGGTTTACACATACCTCATCCGCGAGCTCGTAGCTCGCAAGGTCGGAATCATTAACCTTGGGCGTCGCGGTATCGACCCTAACGCCGGTACTGGCGACTTTTTCGGCCGCGTCAAACGTCCTGCAGGCTATCCCATTCCCGATGGTTATGATCCTGTTCTTGACTTTGGAAAACTAGTCAAATTTCCGGGAAGTCCTACAATGCTTATGGCGAATCATGATTACACGGTGGAAGAAGCTGATTCTCTCATCAAGGCGGGCAAGCTTGATTTGATCACCTTCGGAAGACCATTTATCTATAATCCTGTAAGTGAGAAGTTGTTGAGTTTTACTCTCTTAGAACTTGCTGATCATGTCAGGATGTTATTACCCGCATTAAACACAGTATTCCATTTAACACGAATGACCGAGGACCTACGGTCCATTATGGGCCAGTTCAGGTCGCAGATGAGAATTACAACGACTGGCCAAGTGCCCGTATTTAAGTCATCATCTTGTAACGTAAACGGGTCGAGAATGCTTGTTTAGAATAGAGAAAGTAAAAATAGATACTTATATACTAAACTTATGATGCTCTAGTCAGTGTTAATAATCTGTTATTACTCTAAATAAGGGTAATGGTTTGTTTAGATCCTGAAGAGAAAACGTACTTAACTTATTTTAATTATATATGAAAACCACTCTTTTCTCATAAGTTTATAAAAAGAAATTTTAATTAAAAGAAAAACATAAATTCTCTTTACTTTATTAAAGAACTAAATCAACCAGATTTAGTGTAGAAGAATATTTATAAAATCTAACCCTAACAGCCTGGATAGAGATCCTAATCTAGCGTTCTATAGTAGTTATTATGTCTAGGTATTTAAAGTCTCCGGGAGTTACTATAAGTATAGACGCCGTGTTGGCAAGGTATAAAAGCCCTTGTCGCCAAGGGCACACAAAATGACTGTGCTTATATGCCAACAAACTAGTTACGGAATTGCATAGAAGGCTAGACACTGCACCACGATCCCGCGATCGCGGCTGAGGTACGCACTCACGTCTCCTTATTTTGTCAGGCAGCCACTTGTGACTTATTGCTTCCGAAGCACGACTGAAAACGTGCAACCGATTCTGATATGATGTTGAACATCCAGCGAGGGTCAGAATCGGCTATCAACAGCAGCGTTGCATCTTTTTTGAGACACGCCGAACGCACAATACGCGTTGGGACTGTACAATAGACACTATCAATTTCTTACTGAGTGTCGTTCTCGAGCAGTGGTAAGCAGCTCTGACGGGCTCCCTGAACAAAGAGTTCACTATGTCTCTCACTGCTCAGCGTGCGTAATCCAGCTTAACTCCTATAATGGCTGAAATACCTAAGCTGCTCCTGAGTTCAACGCACATGACCGTCAAACTGATGTAAGCGGTGCACCTACTTCCTTATGTGCAAAACGTAGGTATAATCAGTATACGGCGTGTGCTTGTTATCTAATGCCTCATGATGACAGTACGTAGTACTCTCACCATGAGGGGAAATTATAGATTTTATCATGAGTTTAATTGTGAAGGGCCAGAACCTGCCTAGAAGGTTGTAGTGGCAGCCGCACGCCAGCCTCCAGCACGCACTCATTAAGAACAGAGGTGCTACCCCGTTGAGCTAAACGCCTAAAAGGATACGTAACAACAAGTCATCCACTTGTTGCTTGGCTGCTCTTAATTAGGGATAATGGCTTAGCTATCAACCGGGCATAGCCCGTAACAGTATGTGTACTGCAGCCTACTCACACTCGATGGGCTGATCTGTGGTACACTGGCTTGCTGTTTAACGTACACAGTACTTCCAATACCAATAGTGTCTTGCCCCGTTTAGTATGTCGTTAATATCCTCTTTATACTCTTCAGCTCCTGATGATAAGCTATTAATCATACTAGCCTTGAGGCTTTGATACGCCCATAAGCGTGATTTGGAATGGATTAATGGTGCGATACCTTTGACATCGGTCGAGGGAACGAGAAAGCGATAATGTCTGCTCTTCCTAATTTTTGCTTTCTTCTTTTTCTTGTGGAGTGTTGGCGTTTTGCTGCCGCCGGTTGCATTTCGCGCCTTGCGCATTTTGGCATGGACCTCACGATTTCCGTCCTTCCAATGGAGCCACATGTTGCAAAATTACACTACCAATGCGAGCGTTTTCCGACTATAGTAATAGACCATCAGATACCCTGTCGAGATGTCGATGAAAGGGTTCAAACGGTGTGGCCTGAACTGCGATGTCGACCTTTGTCGCGGTGACTCTGTTGGCCTCGCGAACTGCGATACTAAATTACGGCGTGACGTCGCGGGATGTATGTTAGTAAACTCCCTTTCGTGTCTCGACCATACCCACCAAAGCCGCAGTAGGGCACACGAACGACAACCGACTGAAAGGTAAATAGTGCTCAATAGGGTAGTTTGCTGTAGACACTGTAACGAAGGCCTTTCAAATCTTTTTAGACCTCTGTCAGTGTCTATTGAGTAAAAGGTTTAGCCCTCATTATACAACCATGTTAAAGCTTAGCAGTTAGTTAAAAAAAAACGAAGTTTTACCCCAAACTATTTAGAGGATGAATATGAACCAATCAACTTAAATATCTTCCCCCTTGAACTGCTTCATATCGTTTTCGTCCTCTGAAAGATGTGTAGCAGATTGAGCAGTGCTACTCATGCCAATCAAACTGTCATTATCTAGTCCTAGATGCCCCGCTTGGCTTTCTCCTAACCTGTACCTAAACAATATGTCCCTTAGACCTTGGCGATACTTGAAAAGGCTCCCTTTTGCATGTGCCTCGTAGGCTTGCCTTGATATTCTTGGAACTAATTCATTGATCCTTTCGTGTACAACGTTCTTCCGAAGCATCAGCACTAATGTGCCATCTTTTTGAATCGACACCTTGCTCTTGTTATACGCAGCGGCGATGCTTTCGATTTTTTGTCGGTTGATCGTCTTGCCTGTCTCCCGAAATCCTTGGTCCAGAATGAGAATAAGATCGCAAGCGCATTTGAAAATCATCCGCGCAGCAACTGGGGCCTCGAGTAGCGGCGCACCCAGAGCAAGGGGAATTCCACCGACAACTGTAGTGCAAGTCAAGCATAGAGCACCACCCCAAATAACAAAAGTTTGGCTGAGGGCCTGGGCCATAAATGGCCCAAGGTTACTCCATACTACACGAGCTAAGACTGTGTTGATGTCGTCGAGGATTGCTTCTGGAAGACCAAAGCATCCTTGCGCAATTTCCTTACAAAGGATCTTAGAAATGGTGGGGGTGGTGGCTGCAGAGATCACTCCAGTACCCAACCCAGCACCCGCTGCGGTAATGGTCGCCTTGAGAAATGTTAATGTTTTTTCCACAGCCTGCTCAATCTTTGCATCCACATCCGGGACTTGCGCAGCACACATTGCCTCTGATACCTCTGGACTGCTAAAAAATCCTCTGGTGAGGTTGATCAACGTTTTGATTGACTCCGGGTCATCTATAATTCCAAGCATTAATGATCAGAAATTATACAAAGTGTCAAATGCATGTACCTTGGGAAACGAATGCAAAGTTGGTTCTCAGCGCAGGCCAGAATGAAGCCGTATCCGGCTCCACCTCGAATCTCCGCCTGAACATCGCTTCTCGATCGGAAAGTAATGTCGCCGCGTCTTGACGATGTTGATTGAGCAGAATGAATTTGTCCTTTTTTGTTCCTACTATCATAACTGGAGTTTGGGGAGCAATTTCTACGACTTCTTGTAAAACATTTGCAAGAGCCGACTGCACAGGGCGGTCAGTATCGGTGTCAATACAGAGCCTAAAAACATTCTGTCAGCTGCTAAGCTACGTTAATAAGATGCAGGGTTCAAGGGGAGTCTCCGAACCAAATGACATGCAGGTTGTCCTGATTGAGTAAGTTTCCTGATCTTGCCTTGAGAAAATTTTTGAAGGCAGAGACTTCATTACTATTACCGGTCTGGAAGCCTTCGGAGTCGTGAATAATAATGCCTGGATGCTGGTCTGATTCGAATGCTTCGTTAATGTTGTGGCTCCCTCGCTGGTCTGAATTCTCTTGCGTCTGTTTTGAGGTCAGAATCGTGTTTCCAGAGTGTCGGGCGTAAACTTACCATCTCAATGCCAAACACTCTGTTCAACAGCGTAGACTTGCCAACACCCGTATTGCCACATATTAGAATGCGGCAACACGTGGACGACAAGAATCCGAGTCGCCAAGGGTCGAATATCTCCTCTAGATTTTGAGAGATACAATGGCAATAGTCCTTAAATGATTCAAGATCCCACATGATATGACCAAGAGCTTTCGGAATCCCTAGGGTAGGGTAGCAGTCCACCAAAAAGTAAACGGATGGATGGATCACGGTTCTGTTGAGATCTATTAGTAGAAAAATGTTAATTAAACACCGAGAACTCATGCCAGCAGTGCCAATTTCTGTCTTACGATTGTCGCTATACCCATATAGGCTTCCACGGACATCCCTGTCAAAAATACGCCGACTCCTGATTGACAGGCCTCGGAACCCCGTATTGATTTCTACGTTGTGGGTGGCGACGGCCAAGAGGTCTGGACTCTTTTTCTGAAGCTTTCTTCGCTGCACTTCCTGCAGATTTCCGTGCTGGTGGGATTGGCGAAGATCAAACATCGTGATCTCCACCCCATTTGAGTACTTGAAGTTCCAGGGCTGTGCCTTGATTGGCCTGGCGGCATTAGACGCGCCTGTTGTCTTGTCTGCATGATCTTTAGGCTCTGTCGAATCAGGAAAAACCAGTTTTAGTGGGTTCTCGATTAAATCTCTGAGACGGTCCGGCGGGCTATGTTCGAAGTTTAAGCCATGTGCCTGACTCTCAATGATCATCCATTGCAGGGGATACAAAGAGAGCCCATCATTTTAGGCCCCGCCCCCCATATCCATATGTGCACCAACGAACCAAGCCTGTAGGCAATCTTTTCCGAGTGTGTCGAACTTTGTTTCGATTGGAAGTGGTGGAAAAATAATCCTTTCCTCGTTCAATGCGAGCGCATGTCGAATGTTCTCTACGAAACTAAGATCGGAAACTTCAATGTCGTCTATAAAGGTCATCTTCACTGTGTCAAAAAGACCCATGAACTTGATCGTTGGTGGCTCCTCTATTTGCTTCAAACTTGACAGCTAGTTAGCATATAGTGGAAAGATAAACCAACAAAACGATAATAGTTACCCAAGTCGATATTCTCTTCCTTTGTTCGCCGGCTTCTTGCCCGCCTTGACCAGACTTCTGAGACCTCTCCAAGTAGATCGATCGTTGGCTGGAACAACTCTTTCTAGCGGTAAGCGGCTCAAAAGAACAGATACGGCACGGCATACATCTTGGCCAAAGGTTAGTCAAGCTCGAGGAGCAGAGGCAACGCACCATACATGCACCACGGCTGAAGCCAAAGAACCATAGCTCGTCATGCTTCGAGGTGATCTTCGCGCAACAATACTACGCACGGTCAGCGTGTCATGAATGATTTGTTGATCTATACTCTTCTGTTACCGCGTAAACCCTTTGTATCTGCTCGCGGCATCCATTACCAGTTATTCCGTCGTGAAGTTTGTTCAGGGGCTGTTTATCGGTACCGATACCGGGGAAATATTCTGCAACCTAGCCAACGTCAGAGTCAGATTTGAGTTACCTACAACGGGAGTGGCAGTTCTTGCCTGTTCGATCTCATTACCATCCGGATCTTTGACTCGGCCTAGTTTCACTGCCGCAAAAATACGGAAAACGTTGCTCTGATTCCCATATCCTTGACCTGGAACGAAAGAGGGATGGTGAGCAGAAATACTCTAAAGATCGGCTGCTTACCTTCTGTGCCGTCTTCACTGAACCATGTTCCATCAACACAGACCACAATCCTCTTGTAGCTGATCGGTTTGCCCATGTCTTGCAGTACAATGGCAATCGCCGTCTTATAAGAACTCTGAGTAGAGTGAAAGAAAATTTGTCCCAAGAACACTTGGCTCCACAGCAGGAAATCTCGCTTCACAGTAATTCTTCTCGCTGTGAGCGAAATGCAGGCTACTCTATTTTGTTTCCCCCTTTTTAACCAGCAGGTGCATGACGTCAGTCTCGCTGCCATAACTGCTGACATGCTCGAGAAGCAGGTTCAGTGGCTCATTACCTTGGCAGACGGACATCATGTAGGCCACCACACCAACGATTTGGAAGGGGCGATTGGTTGGGTAAATCGGACCAGAATGTGGCTTATTCTTTTCTGCGGTTTCAATTGGAACTCGAAAATTTCACCAATCGTGACTCGATGTTTCCGGGATTATCTTCCACGCCGCAAATCGCATGCTGCAGTGGACTTTCAGACCCGGCAGGCAAAGTCTCACGGAGATAAAGCTTATGGGATGCAAGCGCGTCCCAAGCGTGTGATACCAATTGACAACAGGGACACTCATAGTAATGCCCTTCTTCGTCGCCATACATTTGTTTCCGTTTTATTCCCAAATGGACACACAGACGCAGTTTCATAAATGAATTCGGAACCAAGAAGCCTTTTTCGAGAAAGAGAAGAGACGTTTAGAAAAATAGTTTTTAAAGTGCGCGCGGCGTACAGGAGCGGTTTAGGTCAGCACTTTGACGTCGCTTTACTACTAAGCAAATATATCATATCGAATCTATTTAAAGACGCTTATTGAAGAACTATCACTTTTGAGCCCGGGTAGGCCTCCGAGTTGCTCTGCACCTATGCATATGATTGTTCACGTGTTGGTTATACATAATGAGACACTCCTTCTGCCCGGCGATGGGGTGTGCAAGACGAATTAGATCATGTACTACTCTTCCCACCACAGGGGTGAAGGTTTAATAAGGGTACTGGGGGTTAGGATAGGGCAATATTTAGGCTTAGGGTCTGCGAATAGCCTTACTCTTCGACCAAAGCCATGAGGATATGGCTTATAAGAGGGGGGGATCGTGTCACGTGCGGAATCGGGGATCGGAAGTCGGGGTCGGCGGCCCTAAGAGAGGGGTAACCACTGCCAAGCCGGCAAGCCAACAAGCTATATAGAGGGCTCTCGATCCTATAAGGGATTGAGAGGCTAAGAGATGAATGCAGTCACCATCACAACCCCTACTTTCTATCCTCTTCACTCTGTGCTATACCCGCCTCTGACAAGTCTATACACAATCGATGGGCTGATTTGTGGTATCTTGGCTTGCTGTTTAACGTACACGGTACTTCCAAGACCAATGGTGTCTTGCCCCGTTCAATAGATCGTTCATATCCTCTACATACTCTTCAGCTCCTGATGATAAGCTACTGATCGTACTAGCCTTGAGGCTTTGATACGCCCATAAGCGTGCCTGGTATTCATAACCTGCACCGTTCCACTCCCGTGCCGCAATAGCATATGCCTTGCTAATAAACAACTCTAGACCTTCTTGTTTATACAGACTGACTAGCAGTTCAGCCATTGCTGTTGGTTCGGCTGGTGCAATTTTTTTGTCTTCCAGATGCCGTTCGAGCAGCAAGATCTCATTGATGCGATCATCGGACAGGTCAACGAATTTCTGTGCAGCTTTGCAGTGGTCACAAACGCAATCGAAGCCGAGTGATGAATTGAGGTACTGTTTTCGCTCTTGCGAGGGCAATAGCGCATAGTTGGCTCCCAAGTAGGATATAGTAATCTCCTCGCCAGCAGCAACATCGCGAACTGCGTACAAGTTGTGTGCGAACAAGTCCCAATCCCACTGAGGTGCTGCATTAGGGCGACAGCTGTGGTTGATCTTCTGCCGTGCTGTTAGTGACGGAAATGGGGGATTTGTCCATGTTTCATTTGTCTCCACTACTGACCGATATATTTGCATGCACCGCAAACATTGCATCGTAATCTGATCCCGGCCAATCCTCTGTCGGCCCACCACTGACTGCATAGCTGTTTGTCCTGAGTCTTGCTTCTATGTTGTACGCATCTTGCCCATTCTGTCGGCCGTAGAGACTGTACACCGTTTGACGTGAGCTTCCTGGAAGCATGTCAATAGCTGCTTCCTCGAAAGCTACCCGAAGTTCTGTCGGTGAGGCCTTGTTCAACCAGCCCTGGTCGACGAATACAATCGGTGATTCCTGCGTGATAAGAGCTCCTGCGCGTATGTGTCTGTCTGCATAGATGCCTCGACCTTTACTTCCGCTAGCTGTAGTCCTGAACGGCGGCTTGCTACTAGAAGAGCCAAGATCTTTGGATGCAAACGCTTTGGATCTAGAGATCTGCTAGGCACGTTCTGGGGTCGTTATAATGGCTATACCGTTTCCGTGGTTGAATCGCGCGTCTACAAACACGCAGTATTGCTGTCCGCGGTTATCCGACCAACAGTTCTCTTGCTAGTAAGATGAGGCACCATCCCCATTGTCAATGGTAATTACACAAGCGTCTTGCCCAATGATTTGCTTGTAAAGAGTAAGCAGATCACTGCCAATAGCTTGCCCGGCATAAATTGCCGCGAGAACAATCTTCGAAGAGTGCATTTTGTTAATGTCTAGGCAGTAGTTCATAAGATTAAGAGGTCATCGCTTTCGATGAGATTCTAACATGCGCGGAGCATCTTTCTCTTTCGTAAGACAAAGCATAAAGACAGATTATTATCGCCACTGTATTAACAGTTCTACCGACATGGAACTAACTGAGGCTTGCTTTTTAGATAAATGTGAGTTTACTCCTTCCTAGTTAGAATTTCAATTTAAGCTCAAGATATTCAAAGGAAATTTCTCAGAGAAAAGTTTCTTTTATCAAAAATTAATATCTCATTTACAAACTAGTTTTCTTAATGTACTAATTGTAATTACTTAATCATTTTAGCATTTAAGGAGGTGGTTTTTTTGAAGTAGCAGTAGCTCTATAAATACAGAGTAGATACCCCTCTTAAAGAATCCTGAACATGAAGTCGTTTCTCATCCACTCGTCACATTACCAAAATAATCTATAACAATGCATATCCTTATCTTTGCAATACTACCTACAGTTCTACTTGCCCAGGAGCCTGTGATGGATCCTGACTTCGCCAGACCAAATATTCCGGTAGTGATGCCACTGGATCCCGGGGCTGTACCCCCGGGGATTGAGATTCCACCAGCAATGGTATGGATAGGTGGTGGAATGGATCCACAGATAGGTGGCGGCGGAGGAGGAGGAGGAGGAGGCGGCGGTGGCGGCGGCGGCGGAGGAGGAGGAGATCCGATCATGGAAAATGTTCGCCACGGACGCTTCTCTACTAAATCCGGCGGTAGTCTTGGTCGCAGTAGCGGCGCCGGTAGCGGTCGCTCTTCCAGAGCTGGTCGCCCTTCAGGTGGCAGTCGCTCTAGGGGTGGGATGTAGGGGAATAATTATTTAGAAGGAGGAATTTTGGCTCGCTTGAGTTTGAACTTCTGGGGGGGAAAGGAGAAGAAAAAAACGGAAGGGAAGCTATGTTTTCTCGAAGCCTGTCATGATCAATAAATATGCACGTTCACGCAGGCAAAGCTAGTCCACCAAGCTTACTATGGCAGGGCAAGTATTTCATAGTCTCACTGGTCAATAGAGCTTTGTGTCTATCACAATATGGGCTTAGGTTACCAACGAAATACTAGAGACTGTCTAATAGGAACGCGTCAGCCAACGTGAATTACTTAGCACTAAATGGACTATATATAGAAGGTCAGTAATAGCATTTTGAATTTGTTAACTGAATGCAAAGCGTGTTTTCTACAGTCTTTTGATTGCTTTTTTAGGGGTCTATAATACTAGACTAGAGCAGTCATCTACATATTTTTCTAAAGAAGGGAAATATGAAAGGAGGCTAAGGGGAGAAAGCTCGCAAAGTTCTTACAGTTATATTTCTTCTAGTATCACTTACTATACTAAGGCGGAGCAAGTACGGATTGTAACGATGGGGTGTTGTCCTGAGACATGAGTTCTCTCAATGACATCATTCCGGGACCGTTGCAATTGAGCATATACGCCGCACTTTACATTGAAATCCTACCCTATCTCATGTAGATTGCTTGATATCCTTGAGCGACCACTGCAGCAAGTCATACTAACACCCCTACTGATCTGCTTCTCTGCGGAGGCTAAGGAAGCTAACCACCTATTATTCTACTGAGTGACATCAGAAATAAGAGACGATGATGATCAATGCTTCACCTTCTCATCCCGCCAAAGCCCATGAGGCCTATAAGATCTCTCAAGCGATAGATCAAGAGCTAGTCACCATCGCTCACGACTTTAAAGACTTTTTACACACTTAAAATACCTGACGGAAATCAGCCGAACTGGGCTATGACCGAAAAATCGGGACAGACCAAACGAAAAGTAGCTAGACAGTAAGACTTCGAGGGCGTCAGCATGTAGAGTATGCAGCTTGACCGTTCGGTTCTCTACGTCACATATCCTCGGGGAATATGTGCCAGGGGCTTCGCCTTTGTTGCTATGGCGTGAACAACATTCAAACCAACACCAGCAGCAGTAACGGCAGGAGTGGCAGCGGATTTCCAGATCGACCGAGCAAAATACGTAAGCAGTTTCTGTAAGAAGGATAGCCTGTGTATAGGATTTCGCCCAATAAAAGCATGACGACTGACCTGAAAATTCATCTAGAAAGCTTAGGAGAATTACTAAATCATAGCAAGTTGCATATGAAGTACCTTCAAACTTTAGACTACTTATGTAATTGGTATCTGCAAGACGGATGCTTTCTTGGTTCATCCAGTAACGCTCAAATATTCTCCAGCTGCCCTTCAATTTCCACACTCGTGCTAGTGATCAGACTAGCATTAATACTTACGTATACATACAGACATGCTAGGTATGCATTAACTACACTCTCGGCTGCTTAGATCCGATTAAGCTTAGCTTTTCAGTAGTTTACTTTTATTTTAACTAACCTCACCCTACTCTGATGGTCAACTCTACTTTCTACTAAGACGTCATTTAGACTTTAGGTAACTCCAGGATCTTAACTGCAGCATCTTAAACCTTTGAACTTCAACTTTATTTAAGTGAAGATCTAGCAACGAAACTCCATAAGGCTCTTGTCTACAAAACTGTAATAACAAAGCATTTAATAGGCCTGGAATAGGAAGTGATTAGGGCCGGTCTCCTAATTCCTATGGTAATAGACTGGCTCCAATGACTGTCAGCGGTGTGCTGGGATTTCTAGCTTTTGGAGTATCGATGCAACATTCGATTTTCATGCTCACAAGGCCTGGAATGAGTGAGGGGTGGTGGGGGAGGGGGTGGACGGGAGGAGGAGGCGGGCGCTGGAACACCGGCATTGGTGCGGTGATTGGGGCGGGCAACGGAGATGAAGAACCAGTAGAAGAAAGGAGCACACAAAAGGTTTACCATCGTATTAACAAGATGAATGGCACTGTGTAAGTATTCATCATGGCGTTGTAGCAGGAAGACGTGCTGACGGAAGATTTGCTACGGGATTATACCGCTCTCGAATCTTTAGAGGAGACTGACTGACCGATTGAGTCTTGTCAAACGGTGGATTTGGACCATAGCCATTACGCACACAGGGGGCATTAATTCAACAAATGCAGTATCCGTTCTTACTTCCCATATCAGATTATTGGGTCGGCATTTTATTGTTAGAAACTCCTAATAAAACAGTCAAGTAAGGGCCCTTCAATTCATCTATGCAGTCTTTTTCAAATACAACGTTAGTCACCTAGTTGGTTGGTAGGCCATACTACAACATCATAGTATCCACTAATATTAATTATTTGACATAACGTACATGATAAGCGAGTGAGACAGACAAGCGAGTGAGACAGTAAACCGCGACCGTCGCACCTTGACGCGACCGGCACCTTTTCCTCTACAATAAATCATGGAATCAGCTAGTATTGAAAGAAGGTTACAAATTGCCCTTCAAGCAATGAGAAATGACCCAAAACTTAGTGCTCGGGCCGCAGGTGCACTCTATACAGTCAGTCACGCAACATTAAGCCGGCGACTAAAGGGAATAGTCTCACGACGCGACAGCATGCCTAATTCACGGAATTTATCAGATTTAGAAGAGAAGACAATAGTTGAGTATATTCTCGACCTAGATGCGCGATCATTTCCTCCCCGGCTGAGTGGTGTGGAAGAAATGGCCAATCGACTTCTCGCAGAGCGCGACGCGCCTCCAGTTGGGAAGCGCTGGGCTTCTAATTTCGTCAAGCGACAACCACAGCTTAGGACGCGTTTCTTTCGCAAGTATGACTATAAGAGAGCTCAATGCGAAGATCCAGAGGTGATTCGTGGCTGGTTTTCGCTTGTGAAGAATACAATTGCGAAGTATGGTATTGCTGATGCTGATATCTACAACTTTGATGAGACCGGCTTTATGATGGGCGTTATTGCTTCTGGAATGGTTGTTACAAGTGCTGAAAGGCGTTCAAATACGAAGATGACACAGCCTGGCAATAGGGAATGGGTTACAGTTATCCAGGCTATTAATTCCCAAGGGGAGAGCATCCCGCCATACATCATCGTTGCAGGCCAGTATCACCTCTCAAGCTAGTATACAGAAACCTCTCTTCCGGGCGATTAGGCTATTGCAACGTCTGAAAATGGATGGACAACAAACGAGAGAGGTATTGACTGGATCAGACACTTCGACATTTATACAAAACCACGTACGTCTGGGAAATATCGCCTCCTCGTTGTTGATGGTCATGAAAGTCACCACTCCGCAGCCTTCGAGCTCTTTTGTCAAGAAAACAACATTATTACACTGTGCATGCCGGCTCACTCGTCTCATCTACTTCAACCCTTAGATGTTGGTTGTTTTCAGCCGTTAAAGAATGCCTACGGTCGGCAAATTGAGAATAAGATGCGGCGAGGCACAACCCATATCTCGAAGGAAGATTTCTTTGCAGCATTTCACGAAGCTTTTAAGCAGTCTTTTACGAGGAAAAATATCCAGGGAGGTTTCCGAGGAGCTGGACTTGTCCCTTTGAATGCAGAAAGTGTTCTCTCAAAGCTGGATGTAAAGTTCCGAACGCCAACGCCTGAGGAGGGGGTCCCTCAGACACCAGACCCTTGGATCTCTAGGACGCCGAGCAACCCAAGCGAAGCAAGATCACAGTCTACTTTTATTAAGAGTCGAATCTCACGCCACCGAAGCAGCTCTCCAGCATCAATTTATAGTGCTGTGAGTAAGCTAGCCAGAGGGACAGAAGGACTAGGGCATCGGGTAGCATTACTAGAGTCAGAGGTTCAAATCCTTCGAGAGGAGAATGCAATATTAAGTCGGCGTCGAAGGGCTAAGAAAACACGTCTACAGAAAGGAGGAAGTCTTACTATATCTACTGGAGAGGATATACAGTCGCAAAGAGAGGCAGACACGCAACTACAAGAGGAAACGCGACGGAGTAGTGGTCGCAAAGTGAGGTCTGAGACGACTCATCGTCGGTGTGGCGTATGCGGGAATACAGGCCACAACGCGAGAACATGTCAATTTATTAAGGAAACATCCGAAGAATAGGAATCCGAGTAGTATTAATCAATCTAAGATTTCTTGTTATAGATTTCGATATTATTGTCGCGAAGGTCTGGTTTACTGTCTCACTCGCTTGTCTGTCTCACTCGCTTATCATGTACGTTATGGCTTTAAGCTACTTGTAATATTCTAATTAATAAATATAAATTCCGATTTTCAGCATCGAAGCAATAATTTGTTGCGCTTAATTTAGAAAGTTTAGCACCTTAAGACGATTTTTAAACAGCTATGTAGAACTTCAGCTTGCGGCAGCGTCATTAATTGCATTTAGGCGTGACAACGTTTTATGGGGGAAGCAGGTCGAGTAAGATAAAGTTTAGACAAAACCTCGGGCGTCGGCGGCCAGCGGCGCTATTGAGGGTGCTAATATTGACTAGATTGATAGCTAAGTTAATAGTTAAAAGATTTCCTTGTCTAGATTGGTTTTCGCGGTCACGGGGATGGAATCAGCCTAAGCAAGCAATGAAATAGCGGCTTCTCCAACCAGCGACGCCTTCAGAGGGTTTGAGATTTAGTCCTTCAAAGGCAAAAGTATGTTTCATAACCTTACACAAGAAAGATGCCGACTCATCCGCAGACTGGTGTTATAAAAAGTTTCTTGTTTGGACGTCCGTCTCGTGATAGGACCTGTTGCATCCTGGCAAATCAGGTGTCGGCTAATAAACATCATAGAGACGTCAACAACTCCTTTAGCATAGGTCAGTTTCAGGAGCACTAGTCTCTTACAAAGGCGCCTCTTTTACCTCTTTCCGGTATAGGCGCAAAACCGGCAGCAGTCTAAGCCAACCTCAAGTTCAATACCGTTCCAAGGTACCTAGCTAAGTGCTAGCCCATGGTCACCGATAGCAGCGATTATTATTCCGTTGCTCCGCATGCTGTTTTCATTAGACCGCATATCTAATCTAGTAGTACTGATTTCTTACTTTATCACTTATGGCTAACCTGCCGTTATTCCGGGCTTAAACTTTAGTATTGAAGGACGGATGGTATGCGAGCAATGTCGAAGAAATCATGACTATTGGTCTTACGCAAAGTTACTAAATAGCGTTTGGCTCTGCGTATATTCTTACTTTTCCTAGTTCGTTGCTTCATGGTGGATTAATGTACTGATACCAACGAACTCACAAAGCTGCTTCCTACTGCGAGCGGAGTGGGAATAGGTGTCTGAGTCTTGTAAAGACAAAGAAAAAGGATTTGATTGTAGAATAGATAACTAAACTCAAGACGATAATGCTAATTTAACTTAACTAATCAAATCTGGTTATACCATGGTTAGATTCATTTAAGCACGTTGTTTACGTCATGATGGATTTGATTATGACTGATGACGCGACCCTACGTAAGTCAGTGCTGCCATAGCGTAGTTTGTCGGCCTTGTCGTCTCGCAGGGAATTCAATTTTGTTTTCGCAAAAACGAAAGGTCTAACAAATGCTTCGACACGAACTAATCCTCCTTGATGGCTTGCCATGTGCGACGAGGCCGTTTAAGCACACTCATGGGTTACTCATGATGGACAATCAACAAAACACTCATTCTAATTTCTCGGCGTTTCGGCTCTTTCGGCTCCCGGGGTTTCGGCGATCACTCCTCTCGAAATGCCGCCTGGATTGAACTAGTGTTCTTCAGTCCGAGGCGACTTGCTTCAGGCGACGAAGTTGATTCCCTTTATTCTCCATGTATTCATTCCTTAAATAGCTTGTTAAGTAGTCTTACTTTAGGGCGTATCGCTGTCTGCTTGTAACATAAGTTTGTAGGGGCCTAGTAAGCCATAACAACCCGAAAGGCCCAATGCATCTGGTCCTGGCGTTCCAGCTAGAGATTTACGGCCTAGCGGCATACATGACTGAGAAAACACCTTCTGGACTTGTTTAGTTGCAGTCATTGTGGACTTTGCTACAATTATTTACAAGATCTATCTTCGGTGAGTCGAGCTAGGGGTAGGTTTAGAGTAACCTATCGTCCATTTCTGTGATGAAATCGCGACTGGAAAATCTACTAGACGCTCAATTTGATCTAATCATTCATACCCCCATCTGAATCGTGACTCTATAAAGCATACCCAGCAAATGGCGCTTTAGTGAAGTGGCTAGGAGTAATCAGTTGTCCCGATCGCCCAATACCCCGTGGCAGAATTGACCTGGTACTAGTAATAACGAAGATTCCACAGACATGTCCGATATTGGTAACATAAATCTAGAGTTGCAATTGATCGGTAGCTAGCAAGTCCATCATCTGTTGGCCTACCGTAAACCAATTTTCTGCATGTGGAACTTGCACAGTCCTTTCCACTCCACCGCTCAAGTCCATAGATTGTGCCGCATGAAAATGACTTGGTGATTTAACTGAATTCTCAGCACTTGCAACACTACTTTGAGCAGCAGGAACATCGTTGGACGCTCCAAACCCCATAGTTCTTAGAAAACCATCCATTTCGTCTCTGAACTCCAGTTGCTCTGCCCTCAGAGGGACGGGAGCCAGTTTGAGCTCAGTATAGCGAACAGCAACACTGTGGAAAACTCGGAAGAGGCGAAAGTGGTTTGCGATTGTGTTGGATTGATCACTAGTCGATTGCATAGAGCGCACAAAGTCTTGCATGCGTCCTAGATCGCCTTCATCCCCTGTCTCTATGACGTGACAGAACAGAACGATGAAGGGAACGAAGGGCGAGAACAGTATTGTCCTAAAAGAATGTATTTGTCAGAGGTCTCGTGGTTTTGTGTTCAAAGTTGTGGCGGAATGGCTGTGCATACCAGTTCACATAGTAGGGTATATATTGCGATGATCCCAAACCAAAATATTGTCACGAAAATTTCCATAGCAGGAGCTTCCTCAAAAAAGCATGATCGTTGGCTGCACAGCAAGACGATGGTTGACATTCCATCCGAAGCAGAACGAACCTTGCGCTTTTTGTATTATTTCCACCGCAGCTTGGATTGGGGGCATATGTCCTGGCTCATGGCCTTCTGATACTCCAGACTTAGCCATAGGAAAGAGGAGCGCCGGCGATAGTGGTTGATCCTTCAGGGCGTTGACGATTTGCCGAAGAGACTCTAGAAGTCCTTGTGTCTCAATACCAAGTCCGCTATCACCATCTGAACTCGCAAAATGGTGAAGAAAGTCTATTGCAAAAGAGGAGTGCGCAGAAAGAGATGACGGGCCCTCTTCAGGGGCATGTCCTTCTTCCTGCTTCGACGATTTGGCTTTCGGGTCACGACCTGCCTGTCGACTTTTATGACACTCGCTCCGTAAAGGCAGAGCCGTCAAACCCTCTGGCACATTAACATTCGCGGGCGGCTCGGCCTGATTAGGTGAGCTGGTGAAGTGACTGGGCAAGCTTGCCTTGGGCGACTCGACATCTCCCGTCATTCGATCGGTCTGCTCCTTTCCAAGAAGCGCTTCTACTAAACGGTCTACTTGTCCGAGCCGTTGATCAAGTTGGTCTATTTTGCCTTGACTGATGGACCGAAAGGAGGCTTTGTTAGAACGCCACATTAGAATAAGGCAAAGCGAAAACATACTACTGTGTAGAATACAATTCTCTTCGTCGCTTTGGTCTTTCAGCACGCGGCGATACCTTGCACTATATTTTGGTGCGTTGACAATGCGAGCATGGTGAACCTCGATCGCAGCGTACCTGATAGGACAAATCAGCTACAGATTCAAGCGGCAACTCAAATTCGTCGCACGAACTTTTCGAATTCGGCAAGCATCGCACTTCACAAACAGACAGTCAGCTGTAAAACATCATTCAAGAGGTAGAATCAAGGGTGCGACATATGCAGTGGGGAAAGAATCCTTCATACGGCTTTCTTTGAAGAAGCTGGCGGCTCCAGGTCCGAGGGTCGGGCAGAGGTGTCCGACATTATGGAAAGAAACGCGCGAGTACGGGGTATCACTGAAGCCCGAAAAGTTGAAAGAAAAAGCGGTCATCAAGAAATTCTCGGGGCGCGAGGCAAAGTCGTATGGGTATTAGATTACTGATCTCTTTCTCGCGCCCCCGAAGTGCCGAAACCCCGAAAGCTAATTATTAGCTGACATTTACGGTATTTCTCAACAGCAACCACCCCTCGCCTAAGCTGTCTTGGATGTGGATCTGGTACATTTGAATCAAGTGCCATTCCAAGGGACTCGTGTAGTCCATTGACAAAGAGATCATCCAGGCCTTTGACCATAAACCAAACTAGTTGGCTTACGGAGATGACGGAGCCCATAGGTTAATGATTAATCATTGGCCGGACTGATGACCTGCAGGTCTCGTCTAATATCTGCACTAGCATTGTGGATCTGCATAGGAGATCCACAGTTCCCGAGCGCTTCTACACGAATCTTGCATCGATACGCGGCCTGGGGCAGAGCGGAACGAGGTGGTAGAAGAACTGTCAAACCCGAGCAACCAATCGGAAGAACGGCTTACTTGCGACCGTATGTAATTATCGTACACTAACGAGAATGCCTCGCCTTTCTCCCTGGCTTGCTTCAGGCACGTATTCGTATCAAAAGGAACCAGGACATGGGGGGTTGCCATCGTCGAGGCCGTGAGCCGTAAGCCCTCTTCCCATTCACTTGTTTTTCTGTCTTTTGGTCTCAGCGCAGTCTCGTTTAGTCAATCTTGAGCTATTGATCAGTTTTTGGATCAAGTATAAATGGTGCGGCACTAGACTATAGTCATAGGCATACCTCAAGAAATGCTAACATCAAGCGCAAACATATTTTGACTATCAGTCAGTATAATTGTTGACAAAACATGTTAATTCTGGCATGATGCTAACAGCAGTCCTAGGAAGAAGCACCTTGTCTTTCGAAAAACTCCGTGCACGCCCAAACGAATTCTTCTTTCAACCAGAAATACACGCCCCAGAATAAACGCGATTGCCTGACTTGCAACTTGTTGCATGTGCGGCTTCGAAAAAAGCAAAGATGGAAGGTTTTAATCCAGGAAGAGTCCGGACAAGCAAGCACACAACAGTTCATCCCAAACAGCACGCCAATGGTGTCCCCAAAACGAAAGACGAGGTCAATGCTCCACTGGTTGACGGCTGGAAGCCCGGAACAGACCCGAAGATAGACCATTCCGGAGAGTTCGAGTTTGGGGGACCCGTTGGCACCACCATCATGATGGTCTGCTTCCCCATACTCATGTGGTACATGTGGATAGGTGCGATTCATTACAACGGTAGTGTACCTGTCAGAAGTCCTGGACAGACCTGGTTTGAGTTCGCTTTTGAGCTGCTGAACATAATTTACGAGAGCGGTTTCCCGCATGCCAAAGCCTGGTTATGGTATTGGACGTACCTTGTCTTTGAAGGTGCCTGCTATTGCCTTCTCCCAGGTGTCTGGGCCTACGGCAAGCCATTACCGCACGAGAATGGCAAACAGCTTCCTTACTACTGTAATGCGTACGCGAGTTTATATTTTACTCTTACGGTTTTCGCCTTGCTGCACGTTACAGGCATCTGGCCCATCTACACGGTTATTGACGAATTCGGACCTCTCCTATCTGTTGCTATTCTAAGTGCTTTCATTGTAAGCGCTATCGCCTACGTCTCAGCTATATGGCGGGGTAAGCAACACCGAATGACGGGGGTTTTTCTCTACGATTTCTGGATGGGGGCCGAGTTAAACCCGCGTCTATTCGGGATCTTGGACTTGAAAATGTTCCTAATGGTACGTATGCCCTGGTTTATCCTTCTTACCATAAGTTTGGGTGCTGCAGCACGGCAGTGGGAGGAGTATGGGTACGTCTCCGCCGAGGTCATGTTCATCGTCATGGCTCATTACCTGTACGCGCATTCATGTAGCAAGGGCGAAGAACTTATTGTAACAACATGGTAAGATACAGCTTTGAAATGTGATTTAGATTTTGGGCATACGCTAAGATTTTCAAGGGATATATACTACGAGAAATGGGGTGTGATGCTCATTTTCTGGAACTTGGCTGGAGTGCCACTCTCCTACTGCCACTGCACTCTTTATCTAGCAAACCATGATCCCTCCGAGTACCGCTGGAATCGAGTAGCTTTGGTCATATTCACTATTGCTTATCTATTCTGGTATTGGGTCTGGGATAGTTGCAATAGTCAGAAGAACCGCTTCAGCGCCATGCAAAGAGGAAAGGTTGTCTGGCGCAAAACTTTCCCTCAGGTGCCGTGGCAAACCATTCATAACCCCAAGGTCATCTCCACCCCTGCCGGCAACATCCTGGTGGATGGTTGGTATGGACTTGCACGCAAAATCCATTATACTGCAGACGTATGGTTCGCCGTCTCATGGGGAATGATTACAGGATTCCAGTAAGTCTTTCAGAACTACATAAGTACTTTAACAATTAACTGATTCTGGTGTAGGAGTCCTTTTCCGTGGTTTTATGCTGTATTTTTCATGCATGGTTGCACATCGTGCTTGGAGAGACATTAAGCGATGCCGCCAGATATACGGAGAAGGATGGAAGGAATACGAGCGCCGTGTTCCTTATTTGTTTATTCCGGTAAATTTATCTTGATAAATGATGAGAGAAACGCATAGAGCTAACCTTTGGATAGTATGTCATTTGACGTAGAGACTCGGCTGCGCGAACCATTTGCATTACAAGCTTTGAATGAAATCGAGAAACTTGGGGGGCAAGCGTTCAGTGAACCAGATGTAATCATAATTTCTTCGTTATTTTTACCTAGTTCTCGTAGACAATTGTCGCCGGTATGGTGGCACATTCAGAGTATAGTTATTGTATCGGCTATGATTCCCCCATATGTACCGATTGCCAATCAAGTTGTTATCATCACTGTCCTGACCGATACATACACAAAGTCGCATCAGTACATGTTCGCTGAGCCGATCACTGAAATTCATAGTGTATTCAACCACAAGTGAAACGAGGCGGTCTAAGTAGAGCCGTGGCAATAGCATGCAAAGCAATTCATGTCCTTCCTTTGAGAAACATTGTATATCCATAGTAAGAAAACAACCCCCATTCAGGGAACCACACGAGAGCTATACAGCATACACAGCTACAATTTTACAGTCCGAGCAGATACATCCATTTGCGACAGTACTAAAGTGGTAAGAACTGTAAATGTGTTTCAGAGACACTGCAAAAACATTTCTAAAGGAGCATCAGTTAAGTATTCATCAAAAATACCTAATCCATCTATACCCATACGATTGAGACGAACAATACACGAGCAAAGCCTATATATGTAAGTATGAATAGCTCAGAAGTACTCATTCGCTTTAGGAGGAACGAATGCTGACTACTTGAGTTACAAGCTCGTCAAGTTGCCCATGAACCCAATCCTGAGGCGAGAATAAGCTTCTTAGTAGCTGGCTACACCTTGAACTTTACTTTCTACGCACATCGTCCTCTGGGGTGTAAGTCTGGTTGTCTGTGAAGCCAAATTGTCAGTTCAAGAGTCTGTGGATAAACTAACACCTTGGAATGCTTACTCCAAGGAGAAAACTTGGCTAGTTCTTCCCAGTTCTGCGCTTCCAGAAGCTCAGCCGCCTTCCTGGCGGTACCTTTGGGCATATGAATCTCCTTTCGAACTCCTTCCCCGTCAAAATAGACCATTTTGTTAGGTTCCACAACCATCTCGCACTGCTTAGACACCGACTCGGTATCACTGGCGGTGACAGCTCCTGTCATAGTGACGTCTTTCTTTCTTTTTACTGGTCCTCCAATATACTGCTAGTAAGCGCAGTTATTGCTGCTGCCGAGCCTTAAGCAGCAAGATCCTCCACTTGGTTGACGGTAAATACCCGATGTTTCTGCAGCCTCCCTGGTTAAAGAGTACAAGTCGTTGCCGCTGGCACAACTCGTACAGGAGAGTGAACCGCAGACAGGACTGCTGGCCAGACAACAAGATTCCGCAGCAGCGTTCCAATACTACACGAGAGCCAGAATGTAGTTATAAATCCCTTTAAAGAAAAATTTGTTCGCGAATGTTGGCATGGGGGCTCAGCGATACCACGAAGGCCGCGGGATGTAGAACTATAGGAGCCATATTAGCGCGATAAATTAAGAGAAATTTGTTGATTATAACGATTGTAGCATAATTAAAGAGAGGTTATCTATATCACCTTTGAATGCTCAGACTATATTGTGGAATTAGTCTCTTGGACCATTAGGATATGACACGCCCAATTGTGGAAGGCAGAAAAATCGTTAGAATAAGCACAGTCAGTTGGGCTTACAAGACGATTAAAATACAACAAGAGATGGTCAGTGGGGTAAATCCAACCCAAGGATGTACTGTACTGGGCCCATTATAAATAGTTTGTAAGCCTCGGGGCACACACGAAACCACGTCATACTCATTAAGAATTATGATCTTTGTATTAGTCAGAATGATATGATTGGCTAAATGCTGCAATAGCTTCTGACGTATCATCTGCCGTCCTTACGTGGCCGGGAGGAAGGCTTATCAGTAACCCGAGTGGGATGGAATGGTCTATTGTTGATGTGTGCGAAAGATGTTTATTTTCAATGGTTAATTGTACATTTATTTGGTCTCATTGTTATTGAAAGGAAACCTGAGAGAAATCGTTCTTTCTTTTGTTATATAACTAGGAAACACAACTTATTTCGAATTCTGCCGGGATAATTAGCTCCTACTGAAGAATTGTGTATGCTTTATTCCAGTTTCGGAACTTACGGTTATTTCATTGACTGCATTGAGACGCCATTTTCGCTAAGGGAAGACCTCTGTAACAGGTCAACTGAATTTACGTCCTCCTTCCGATGCGTTGGGTGACCACAACTTTTGCTAAGCGCTCAACAGGGCTCATAATAGTAAATCGTCTAGAACAACATTTCAAGGTAGATTATTTAATGGTCAAGTGATGGCATCGAGGGCCTTAAAGTTACGTGCCTATTATCATTTCAGAGCAAAATTCTGATGAAAATGGTGGTAGTGCAGCCTGCTCAGCGAGTCTTGAACACAAAGGAAGATCCCGAGGCAGGGCGACTTTATCAAACATTTCCATACTTCAAGCAGTAAATAGTTCACTTGGAGTGAGCATAATGCAGCAAAATTCGAGTCCTATCACGGGCGGTGTTCCTTACAACGGAAGGTCAACGACTTTATGTTAGGGGCGGAGAAGGCTCCACAATTTGGTTTGTCAGGGGATTGGCGATTGGAGTGAAGCAAGTGACATGCAGCCTGGCCTAACAAGTGGGACGAAGTCAGCATAAGACGAGACCCCCTGAACAACGGGGTATTAGTTAGGAGGCCAGATCACGGAGACCAATACAGTCATCATTAGCCCTCATCGATCTTTTCACTGTGAACAGACACCCTAACATCTGTGAACTTTATGCATTGTAGGCATGCCTCATGCCTTGCCAACTGAATCATCGAAGGTAAACACATGCGTGTCAATCTTCGTCTCTCATCATTACTATGTGTATGACATTACGCCGTTTCTGCATCTAACATTTCGGACATAGAAGGGCTGCTTGCGTGCCATGGTATGTCTTATGCTATACTATGCTTGCCATGAGTGAACTTGACGCAGGATAACGAATTGTGTTCGGGCATGCGGAGAAGCTGCCACAGACATATTCGGTCCTAGCCACGCTCTTACATTTCGTAGGTCCATATCCATTGATCCCTACTAAGGTATGAAACCCTTGGCCGAGGAATTGTTGGTCAACGTGCTGCCCAAAGCATGAGAGCCAAGGCAACAAGATTGGCAGAGGCATCGAACATTCTCAAGGCCGCATGACTCCGCCACGTGTCTAACATGCTCACTTTTCTGCGTCCTCTCCCACTCGGTTCGGCAAGTCTTTGCAGTGCGGGCCTCTATTCGCCCTTGTTCCGAGGGCAAAGCTCGGTGTAGACAGAATTTCATTGATCCCCCGCGTCCACGACACATGTGTTTGGGATGCTGCCTGAGCAACGAGATAGATCACATCTCGAGCTAATCCTGCGTGGGTGACTGCGATACTACAGGCGAGTTCTCAAGATGTAACAACGTGCGGGTATTGTGTTTGGGTTACTCAGATATGACGGCATTTAGCCGAGTCAATCGCCCGTCTCGTCAGGTTCGTGAAGAGTGTTGCCTGGCTGTATTCATGCAGGTTGTGGAGGAAGAAGGTATCGCTGGAAGACGGGCCAGTATACTGTACGGATCCATCGAGACAAGTACTGCAGGGCGCAGACGATTGAGTAAACGCCGATGGCCTCTTCAGTCGAGCCGATGAGCTGTTTCATCCAAAGAATCTTTCCTAGAGTTAGCATATGTGCGTTCTTCTCCAGGGTAGGCGGGGAGGGAGGGATCGCCGTTGTCGTCTAAGAGAGCCGGCATTGGCAGTGCTTACTACATACCGTTTCGGATTTATCTTTGGTGCTCGCCACAAAGTACCACTGGTGCCCTTCGATGATCACGCCTGGCAGGAAATCCGGGAGAGGTTGCAAGGGCTCCAGACGATGGGCAAGCCGCTCGAGCGATTGCCACTGGGCTGCGAACCAGATCAGAAGCTGAGTTTTGGCGTCACCAAGCCCCTCGTCGTGGCCTTTGGTCTCAATGCTTAGCCCGATCGGCCGCCGGCGCAGGGGTGCGTAGTTGGTGTGGTTTATTGACATGCTAAGCAGATCGTCTTGGTACTGGATCGCTCGGATGGCCTCAGCAGCATGGGCCTCGGGTTCGAGGAGCATGCAGAAGTCTACCCTGCGGGAGGGACCGCGGGTGTCTGTATACTTGTCGATGATCTTAGCTGTCGGACTAAGGACTGAATGTTAGCTTCTCTGTGATCTATTTTGTCACAAACAATAGGGGCCGAGTTTGTCCTCAAGCCACGGAAGAGAACCTGTCCCCTCTCTTTCCCCTTTTCTCATCAAGATTCCACTTACCATGGCATAAAAGACACCTTCCCCTCAGACCCTGCAGCGTATAACGGCACAGCAAGTTGCATGACGCGGAGGTGTACGACCATGTTCCAGGAAGCCTCGCAGTAGCCCTCGTTTGAGCACACTTTGGCAGCATCCAGAACGGAAAGAACCTGAGCGACCGATGGTGAGGGACCTAGTTCGTCTCGCTTCGCGTCATCATCGTAGTACCACGATTCAATGGTGTCGAGTTGCGGGTAAGTCGCTCGTTGGGTGTTTATATCGGCCTATTTCAGACGACATCACAATAAGTATGGTAATGGCTAGGGGCAAGAGGGACAACATGCAGCAGCAGCGGTTCGGTTGTACATACCTCCAGACGCTTAGCGATGACCTTGGTGCCCTTGCTGAACCTTGCCATCTCTCTCCAAATCTCTCGCAGGGAGGCGGGAACTCGGGCTTCATCCGGGGCGTATTGAAGGACGGTAATGGGGGCAGGCTTGTTCTGTCTTTCAGACAGTTGCTTCTTGGGGGAGATGCGGGATGAGCTGGCAGCGCTTCGCTGAGACGGGGTTCGGCCGGAGAGGCTGGGACGGTGGGATTTCACAGGACGCGGGGTCTCGTCGTAATCATGCGTGATGCTATCCGATGAGGCGGAGTGGGAAAAGTCATCCCGGGGTCTCTTAGTAGGCGATCCCATCTTCTCAGAAGACTCTGGGGTCAGAGGCAGACGGCGTTTGCGGCTCTGCAGCTCTTTGCCGTTGCAGAGGATGGGACTGAAGACAGATTCGGAGGATTTAGGATCGGGTCTGGTAGTAGCCTGCGGAGGGGAGACGGCATGGAAATCGGAGCTTTCGTTTCGGACGAGATCGAGCCATGCGTAGATCCTCTCTCTCGATTCGGCGCATCCGCTCGTGGCCATCGGCATTGGGGTTGGGAGCTGTCGCGTCGATAGTTTATTTTGAAGTGTTGTTGTTTGTGTGTACCAGTGCATGTATTGCTCACGAGCAAAAGAATGTGCGATTGCCTTGTTCAAGGAACACGCAAATTAAGACGAACGGGATGGATGTGCAGCATATTTGCATCACAAAGTATAGTGAACTACCTTATGACATGCCATTACCTCAAGATACTCAGGGTAGGTAGTGGCAGGGGTGGAAGGCTGGTAACTGGTAGCTCCAAAGTGCGTTGCGCGGGGTGACGCAGCACGGACCTCGACGGTAAAACCGCGGGGCATCGGGCTAGCATTCCGCCGGGGGCCGGACTTCGGTCAAGGCGACCATTGGGTGAAAATAACCTGACCAGCAACCCACTCTAATAGTTGATGTGGATTGGCTAGAAAAGATTGTGGTGGGTCTACCTGACCAACTCTCCAATGGTTACCTTACTGTAACTTCCCTGGAGTTCGCCTAACACAGGTTCTACCTGACCCCCAATGTTGAGGTGACCTTGGTCAAGTAATCCCATAATTTACTAGTACGTCTACCTCTATCTTATCAATCTAACAAAGGAGATATAATGACAATTTTTCAATGCGACTTTACAAACGCGCACCGTCTGTAAATCTTCGTTCCAACCAGATCAGTTAGTCAGTTGGATTAGAGGTAGTCTAATGGTTTTGCCAAAGTGGGGCCATCATATAAAACCCGACTATGGTCAGGTTGACTCCCAATGTTGGTCAGATTGACTCTCATGGTAGGTCAGGTTATCCAACCCCAATGGTCGCCTTTATTACCGTTACTAACCAGCTGACCATGGTCAGCCGATCTCAGTATCGCCGCATAATTCACATAAAATGTTTAGTCAGCTTGCTTCCCCAATGGTCGGTCGTCCTCTTATCGGCCTATCATATTGCTCTTCCAGGAACTTGTAATACTTGGCTCACCTTTGACTTTTTCTAGTAAAAGTATTCTCCTAATCCAAGCCAATATCACATTTTCTATACTGCTCTTTCTTGTTTCTCCTTTTTCTTTTGCGGAAAACATCTGGATATTATACTTAAGTCCTACTGTGGCTTAATTTCGGTCCATGTTTTAACTAGTATTAGATATTAAGACCATCTAGATGCAATTTAGCTATGACTAAGGTAAGATACCTGCGACAGCGGTTAACAGCTGCATTAAGAAGCTTCGTATTTGTCTTTGCCACTCGCATGATGATGTCGTTTTCGTTGTGCTTTTATGTAAGCCTCTAGACCTTTGGCTACTAGTTCCACCAGTGTAGAGGCTACCGACCTGGTTGTCAGTAGACTATCCATGTTTCTATGCTACAGAGTCACTCTAGCTATTCTTCTTTCAAGAATGAAAACTATCTTAATTCTGTCAGCTACTGGTTCCCACCGCAGAGCGTATAAATCATAATCTCATGCTATGGTCACGTTACCTATCACTTGATCGCTGTTCTCAATAGTAACCCATTGTAACACCCACACCCCCCAACTGTTGTAGGCAGTTGAATATGACGAAATCGGCTGTTGAGACTAGTGGTACGGGCGGAGTTTGAAAATTCATTGGGGTGGCTCTTGTTGGTCCCGTTGGTATGGCTCCTGTTGAGCCAGTTGTTTCTGGCCGCGCTCTCGAATTTTTTGCCCGTGGCGCAGAGTCTACTCCTTCCGAAGTTACCCTGAGAGTTGGAGATACTCCAGGCGTTCCTTTTGTTCGTCATTTTCAGTTCACGAATCCCCATCGCTCTTTCACCCCAATCAATCGCAATGTCACTCTTCGGCAGATTGGCTCGTAAGCTTGAGAGTTGAGACTCGCCTTCCTGCTCCACAGTTGCGCTATTAGGGAGGATTCTGATTGTAATGCTCAATTCATCGAACAGCTACGGTCTCACTTCAGAATTCCTCCATGGCCACTCCTTTACCTGCTGACCACTGCTCCATGGCCGCCAATAGACCTAGAAGGACCTTCATATTTCTACCACTGCGCTGGCTTTCAACTTAATGACCCATCAACCTTGCATGCCACAGAGACAGTCACAGGTTATCCTCAACTCAGAGGCCCAGACAGGTCCGTTGTGACGAACCAGCTACCTGCCGGATGCGATAGTTGTGAGCAGTTCTAACAGTCGTGATAGCGGTCAGGATCATAAATGATACTTTTGGAAGGCCATTCAACTCTGAAGCAACTGGCATCTAGATGTGTTGTTGATCGTGAGCAACCACAGGCCCAGCACCTGTGTTAACATATGTGCCGTGTATCTCTTATTCTGGATGTTTGAAGACTGTTGGATGCGGTTTAGAAAAAATTGAATAAAACCTGCAGACCTGCAAAATAATAAATTAAACATTTTCAAAAAAGAAAAAAAGCTATTTCCGAACGCTGCGGTTCCGCTACTCACTTCGAAAATAGCAGCCTAGGTGGGATTCGAACCCACAACCCCGTTGCTTGTAAATACAACTACGGTGAACAGTTACCAGTTACACCACTAGGCTCTTGTTGAATATCTATTAAAAAAAAGGGGCATATGGTAAGAATCGAGGGAATGTTCTTTCCATGTTGATGTGTTCTTTCTGTGTTGATGTTTTTGATGTTCTTGATGTTTGTAGTTCGGAAGTGGAAGTGGGGCGGATGTGAAGTGGGGCGCTGTGGTCGCCATGGTCTCCACCTATGGCCCACCTACGCAGCGTACCTATCACTAACACCATTGATTCCGCTAGAGTCATGCAAGCAGGCCGGACTTTGACTGTTTGACTTGATTGAAACGCTGGGGAAAGTACTGAGCCGAGTTTAAGAAAGTCGTGTCCAAATTGGAAAAAGCCAATCAGACCATGTACAGCGTCCAATGGATGATGTCCAGATATTACAATATGCTTATGGGAAGAAATGTCGCATCTAATCAGGCGCTCTTGCTGATGGTCGCAGTGGTTTAACAAGGTTTAAGACTGTTTTTGTGATCCTGAACGGGAATGGCTGTTGACGTCATAAAATTCAGGATACATAATTCCGATAAGCTGGCTCCTTCTATTCGCCATCTTGTCAAGTTCTTGGTGACCTCAACAGTTTGTCAGGCCCGCCCGCTACGATAAAAAGCTGAGCAAGACCGCCCCAGACTGAGCTTTCTCACAAAAGATATCATCAATCAAATGAGATCCGAGCCTCTGCGACTTCTTTAAACATAGCTAAATGCAGCATAGTCAGCTTTACTCCCCATACTATCGGCTAATTATAACGATAATGGTCGAAGCATCAGTTAAGCAGGTAATCTGCAGAATGGGTGTGTAGATAACGAGCTGTGCTGATCACAATGTCTGGCAGCAACAACAAGAACACCTGCAGCAAGTACCAACAAAAACGCCTGTAACAAAAGCCCCACAATAACAGGAACGTCTGTAGCAAGAACGGCTACAACAAAATGCCTACCGCAACAAGAACAAGAATACCTCACAATAACAATAACGTCTTGCAGAAAAAGCGCCCCACAGTAACAAGAAACGCCTGCAACCCTAAGAACTTCTGCAACTAAACGTCTGCAGCAAGAGTGACCCACAATAACAAGAACGTCTACAACAAAAGGCCCACAGTAGCAGGAGCACCTGCAACAACATCGATGTCATTTGGGCCTGCCCAAAAGACACACTGCGATCTTCGGGGTGGATATGGTCCTGTGAGTCTGACAGCTGATGTCTTCATGGGCCTTAATCGATGAGAGTGGACGGCAATACAGTCCTACTTATGGGTAAGTAGTTACTTAATCATTGTGCTGAACTTTGACGTTGATCTTTGAGTGCAGTTTCTTCATGGTGTGGGCAGCAGGAGCTGGCCTTGGACAGTCTGGTAAACAGACAGAGGCATTCAAAGACTATGCAAGCATATGGATCACCGCAGCGTATTGCCGCTTGGCGCAGTGAAGATGAATACCCTCAACCATTCAATATTACTGACATTGTGATTCGTTTGTTCCCCAGAGGTTCGTCCCGTTGCTGGACCCTTGCATACTACCTACGAAAAAGCCAGAGTCACATTCATCCCACCATTAGGCACATTTTATATCCTTGCAGTCGCCCTGCCTTCTTGCTTTCCTCCTGTCATCGCAGGGCTACTAAAGCACCGCGATTCAGTGGTAACAGTCCACGCTCCACTCAGAGCCAAACAACAAACTTACACATGTAGACCATTCACTTCCGTCCACCGATACTTATCCAGTACTCCTTGAGGAGACCGGGGTTGTTCCGCTTGATGAAAGACTCCGACACAACCGAGACCTCGGGTGAACCAATCCAGGTGACTGTCATTGAAGCGCTGCTCTTCTTCTTCTTGCTCGTAAAGGTATGGGAGTTGATTTTGAGCACGTGCCAGAGCTCGCGAGCGCTGGGGCTTAAGACGGCACGGTGGTCCTTCGACTCGACGTATTCCTTCCAGAGGATGGGAGCATCTTCTTGAATCAAGCTTTCGGGTTCCCAGGTTGTGGTGTTTTCGGCAACGTTCCACAAGCACTGCAGAATGATTTGAGTTTCATCGTTGGGGTCAACGTCATGGTTGAGAATTCCTAATAGCTCCCATTTGGCTTCTTCGACCACGGCTGTGTTATCGGCGGGTGTGAGTTGCTGCTGGGATGATGAGGATGCCTTTTCCTAGTTGGCACCTAGGTCATCAGCAGGCTCGGCGACTCCTTCGATTGGGTGGTCGGAAGCTACTGGCGCAGACACGGGCGCAGGCTTGCTGGCGGTGGCGGCAACGGCGGGTTTCCGTTGGCGAGGGCTCAAGGTTCGAGCCCCCAGTGCTTGCATAGCTTCGAAGCTCGGTTTCCACCATGCCTTCCTGCCGGACAATCGCGCCATGTCTGGCAGCCTGATTCGATGCTTGTCGGGTTGGCTTGAAAATTGAGGAGTGGAAGACGGGGGAATTGGTTGGGGTTGATTGGAGGCAACAGGCGGACAGATGTGGGTGTGGAAGCGTTTGATTTGGGGACCAACACACTGTGACCAGACGAGATGAGAGATTAACGGTGACGGTGATTGATGTTAATTGAAATAATTTGAGGTGTTGCAGTCGTTAGTTTGTAGATGAAGCAACGCAAGTTGCGTCTGAAAAGCGACCTTGGGACGTCGAATTAAGGTGGGAAGTGGAAAGTGGGGAAGGTACGGCAGGCCCACAAGAAAGACTACGTCCACGTCCCCATTAGTGAAACCTTATTTTCTAGTTACATATTTTTTCTGTATCGTGTGTACTCTGAAAATCCATAAGCGGGACTTTTAATGACTGCACCATAAATGACTTCCATCTAGACAAATGGACGAGAAACACATGGACATAAGTGGAGTTTCGCCTAATCAAAGTCCCAGAATCAGTGTGTTCCATTTCTCAATTTCTCAAGAGCTGTTGTGATCTGTTACGGTCTGTTATGGCTCTTGTGGGCTGCTGTGCCTGTTACCTATGGTTTGCCTTTGGGAAGGATAAGCACGAGGAATAATTGCTTTGATAGTATCTCTATCCTTTCGAGTTCTTCGTTCTTTTTGGAACGCCTCAGGGCCAGTTTGCTCAAGACAATATGTGTGCGTGGGGGTGTGTAAGTGGCAGCGGTGACCTTAGACACTGAGATTGACCTGGTGCTTCCCGGCCATTTGAGGAAAGCGTGGAGAAGTATCCAAGTACCCAAGGCAGTCACAACCAGCACCGCGCCTTGCCTGCCTCAATATCAACTCCCAGGGCAGCAGAGTGCCTGTGGACACTAAGATGACTTATGGGACCAACCTGCGGTTTACCTAAGGCACCTATCTACATCTCCTTGGTTCCAGGTTTGCTGGGACATCGTGGCTCCAAAGGGATTATGCCTTTCCACACGCTTTCACAAACATCCAGTTCGACAATCGCATTTCTTTCTTGTCCATGTCATCATCAATCTCTCTCCCTCAAATCCCAGGTCCAAAAGCAGTATCAGAATCCGATCGGCGCTGTAGGTGATCTTTCGTCTCGGTCTCAGCAACATTTACCACTAGCCAATATAGACCTTAAATTTGCATCAGTCTGTCACATACGACCATACCCATTGGAAAACTCGGGATCCCGTCCGCTCTCCCATAGATAAGCCAATGAGGGCCGGATTAGTAGTTGGGTCGGTGACGACCAGCGAATACCTGGTGTTGTATGTTTCGCGTCCGCATTATTTTTGCGCCCCTAAATCATGCGATTTTTAGGTTGTTTAGATTACTTGGACCGAGAAGTGAGTTGACCAATAGCTTTCAGTGGAACGGTCCTGGATAAGGCAGTTGAAGTCATCGAGGGCGAGGTCTCACAAGTGTCAAGACATGGCATAATTGGTCGATGGCAAGACGGCCCCACTTCTTTCAAAAACGTTGCCGATGACAGAAGTTAAATTGAGCGTCTTGCGTCTTGCTGTGAAGGTCAGGTACTGATTCGCCGTCGGTTTGTGTAATGCGTTTGCGATGATATGGCGAAAAGTGATTAATATCATCATAAGAGTCCCGGCCTGCTGACTGGGTCAAGCATTCGCAGCGGCTGTGTCCTCGAGATGGCAGACTCGGCAAAAAGTTACTTTGTTGACCTCTGTCATAGACTACCTATAGTTGATACAGATTCAAGAGGCCAGCAATAATTGGGTGTAAACTGAAGTGAAAATCTTCTCTGACCTCCCACTTACGACCCAAGGGTCTTGGTGCCCTTGTACATACAACTCCGGTGCCTCTCCACCCCGTAGCCCGCTTCCCTACCCCTCCTTAAGCCGCGAGAGAAGTCGTGCCTGTCTTAGTAAGGTAAAAGGTATGGTACATGAAGGTGCCTTAGATAGCCCTTTCTTATGGGCGCTGATTGGAACTTGGAGCCTTGAGGAATGGTTTGCCTCGTCGCTCTGGCTTGCCGATAGCTGTGTGGCTACAAAAGTCCTTTTTTCGATGTTCTTAACAAGCGGGACTTTGTCATCCGATATTCGCCTAGAGCTAAATTATTCTGTCGACATATCGCCGTCAAAACCTTTACCCCAGACCAGGTTCGAGTCCTGTACGTTGCCTTCTGCATGCTTTATGAGTCAAGGTGAGGCTGAATCGACGTTCTTACACATCTTGTCATCCCGGTGCCCTGTACCAGCTGAACAAATTTTCAGCTTGAGTCGAAACAACGCCTTGGCCGTTTGCATGAAGACGGAGACGGCAACGTCGGTGCTGGTCTTGGGAGAACATCATAACTGTAAGGACATCTTGGCGCAAAGCGCAGCAGACCTTATAAGCATTTGTGTGGGACAATTAAAACGCCAAGAGCTTGAATCAGTTGGTCCTTCAGTTTTATGGCGAAGTAGTATGTTGTGCGGCGCTGCATGCCATATGCAAATTTAACAATCACGAAATACATCTGCTCATTGAGTATGTCCTCTTCAAAACTAATTACATGCAGCATGCGAGTTGACCATCGACAATCTCTAAGACTTTTCAACAATGCCTACCAGTTCTACTTTTCTGCAGCCGCTCTGTTCATACCCGGTGGGTAACTATGAGAAATCACAGAATGTTACCAAATCCGCATGTTGTGTTACCGCAATTTGCTAGGTCGACTGGCGCTGTGTCAGCAGAATTTCGCAAACCACTCACACGACGGTATTAAACAAGCAGAAAATGAATCATGATTGGATTTTGAGCTGACTTATAGCTTGGGGTAAGCGAGCATGTCAACAAGCAGAGGATCAAGACAAAAAAGAGTGAGCGACACATAAGCTAACAACAGCTTCAACGACTGTTCTGTTTTTGATTTGTTTGGTTCTTTACTAACATCATTGATCTGTCCATCAAGTGCGACACCTACAGGTCTCCAGTTATTGGTTCTGTGGAAGTTGTTTTGCTGAAATTAATTGATGAGTGTGATAAGATCTCAGCAAAGAGAACAGCGAAGCGAGGCATCGGTGAAGGCGCTTCTCCAATTCTCTCTCGACCGCCGAGTCTGTTTTTTCATTTTTTTCATTCGGCGGGTTTGGAATAAAACCCACTAAGTGCGGGACGAACGGTAGTCGGCATTATGGTTTACTACAAACACCCTTGCATCTACGTCAAGTTACTGAAAACCCGTCTTTTCTGAACCTCTGACAAACTTCCGCCAGTTCTTTTCAAAGCTAGCCTGTAACAATGAGCCCTCTACCAATATGCAGATATAGATATCGCTCGTTCCTGGGAGGGTGTCAAACGTGACTGGTCGCAGGATCGAGTTCATCTCGCAAGGCATACCAGCGGGGATGGGAACTCCGAGTGTTTTTGACGAGGTTCCCATAATGTAGGTTAAAGGGGGTTTCTCATGCTTGTGTGTTGGTATATCGGTATTTGTGCATCTCGCCCACAGAGGGTAGAAACTCAAGTTGTCCATGGAAATATCCTTCAACACCTTACTGCCAGCTTTGGTCGTCTGGTCAGTGGCGGAACCCCAGAGTTTATTGATGACTGAATGCTGGCCTAGACCTATACATGCACGATTAGTCCTACATTCTGGGTATCAGGCTTTGTAATTACACCCAAAGTATGAAGAAATCGGGAGACATCAGACTCGACCAAGGTAAAACATAACTAAGCAAACGTTTGGTGTGATTTGCGCCTCGAGCCTCTCCATAACTCGGCGGAGATCTCACAGCGACAAATGACACTCGATCCTCTAAAACAAATAGCCAGCCGTCGAAACCTAAGTTTTGGATACAACATTCAGTAGAACCTGTTTCCCGGTACCTAGTCAGCGCGAAGTTTCTGTGGCGTTCATTAAGTTGCACATATACCCTCTTTCTCTAATATGCTCGATGTATTGGTCCCGAGGTTGTTTAAAGCATCTTGGCAACTGTCCCAAGAATGATTCTCATGGGGAGCGAGTGGCACGTGGGACCATGACATGGCGTACAAAGATCTTGATGATACTTTGGTATTGAAAATCAAAAGGTCCTACAAAAGTTTGAAGTTGTACTCAAGCTGACAGCCTAAATAAAAGTACCTTACCTAAAGTTTCCACCCTTCCAAAAAAAAAAAAAACAGCCCCTTCTGGTTTAGGTAGCATCACGCCCAACCGTTTAATGTTTTCCGATAAGTGGCGAGAGACCCTGGTCTTCATGTGAAGGCCATCACAGAGCAAACATAAAAATTGAGTGCCCTCGTCAACTTGCAAACCAATCTGCTGCATTTCAATTGAATCGGGCTGGCGGCTTTAATTCCTTTATTAAGGCTGAAGGAGACCACGCGCCGCAACCTGCACGCCAAGTCCGATAGTTGCTGCAGCCACCCGAACCCCCAACGAGATTTTTCTCGATGGTGTGTGGTGTGAAGAACGGGGTATTTCTCGTACTGTTGGTTAGAAAGGGGCTGTGACTATTTCAAAATAGCTACATGCCTGCAACAACATATACCCACCGTGTTTGAAGGTGCCGATTACTTGGCAAAGCGAAACTCCTCCTTTTTGCGAGACAAATGTTGGTCTGGCGGGCAACCAACAACTGGTCATTCGGGGCTTGCTGCCGTTTGCCAACAGAGATCAGGTGTTTGCCCGACACGACACACATATTCCGTGGATCTGCAATAAACAGAGTCTTGAGTCGACGGCAATCCATTCAACTTTACTGAATGATGATGCTGTTCAGCAATGACGTGACTTGAGTGACTTTCGTTTGACATTGTGACGCGTCAAGCATCAGATCCGTCATATCCGTCCATGGCTGTAAGTACCCAGCCAACACCCCCATACATTTACTTCTGCAATCATCTGCGGTGACAGAACCACCTGAAGTCTACGGCAGCTTGCATTGACTAGTGTACTCTGCCCTGCATAAAATGTGCTTCCAGCTTAATCATGATTGGCGGTCACTCAATCTCATCCGACGGGAGGCAAAAATATGGCCGGAATGTACTGATGTTTTCTCCAGCCCGTAGAATTTGCCCTGGTCTTACGGAAGAAAACCAGTTCAGTCGTTCCACGTCACTTTTAAACAGGGATGATTAGTTCCGTTCCCCCGCTTCTTCGATTTCCCACACCCCTGCATGTCGGTTGTTCCCTCAATGGGTGGCCATGATCATCACATCCCATCGCACCAATTGCACAAACGTAACTCCGGAGGCCAATCTCGCTAAACCTAGCAGCAGCAGCAGCAGCAGCGGCGGCGGACAGTCGATGCTAATCGCCAGGACTTCAATGCAAATAGTGGTCTAACCTCGGCTAACCGCACTGGCGTCGTGTTGTGGCTTGTTTAGCTGCCTTCCAAGGCATGACGTATTTGAAATGGCTAGTCTTCTGTATACCGCTTAACGAGCTTGTCTTACGCTTTCGGATTCGCTAGATTGAGGATATTACTAGATCAGGTTTTGGGGTCCCGAAACCTGCCACAGCCCTCAATAGCGACTCTTAGTGAGCACGTATCTTTACGATGGAGAAGTGATTAGATCACAAACATATCTCATGCTTCGGACCGACGTTTAAGACGTTTGATTCTGTTGAGGCTCTCTGAATACGTGAATTCTGAAGCGTTTTGCTGCATGAAATGAAAGGAGTTGGTTGACACAGTTGCGATACAGTTAAGTGCAGAGGCTTGCAGAGCTAGAACGTGAGCCAACTGCACTGGGTTGCAAAATGTAGCATTCTTCCGTATGCAACAGTCAAGTGAAACTCTATCTACGAAACTCTCGACTATCAAATTTCGGGAAGAGACTCATGGCTTAGCTTTCTATCTAGATCCCTCACCAGGTTACCGCAACTGTGGGTCACTATCAAACACTCAAACAATTTCTTTGCCAGACGACCAGCGGCAAAACCATTTATTGTTACCAAATTCTTTAGTCATAGTGAACATATATCTCGAGCTGCTATATTCTACAGTCAGAGTCTAAACGCGATTGTGTGCTTGATGATGATGAGCAGCACTCTTAGTTTTCCGCATAGCGTCGATTTCTAAGCACATTTTCCAGGTAGCTGTTCCAGTAATGCCCCGTTGCCTTCTTATTGGGTTGATGAAAGCAATCATGCCTAAACACCCTCCCCTTAATTTGTTGATCACTGATCGCCCGAAACCATTGAGATGCTCACACGGACCTGGTACTGATCGACATATCCGTCGGTATAAGGAGTAGTTCGGAGGCATTGTTGGTTGCATGGAGACGCATCCAGACAAGAACAAGGTCCTTCTTTTTGTCAATATCCAATGACGAAGGACCCAGGTAGCGGCGAGGCAAAACACGGAAAGACAGGGGAGATGTACGACCTTTGACGGATAATTTCCGCTTCTAGACGATCCATACACCCTGAACAGCCTTCATATCGGTTAATATGGTTTGACTAGCCACTTTGACCGTTTCTAGCATTCTTTATGCACGGATTGCTTGGAGGCTGGTTAATTGGGCCATGCTTGCGGTGGTCTACGTTGGTGACTTTTCCGTGAATCACTGGAAAGTTGCCGTATCTGGTATCTTGGCCTGGTCAACCGTTTTACTGGTTGCCGGTAGGTTCATGTGCACCGGAAGAGGTGTCGCTCTGGAGGACGGTGAGTAGAAAGTATATATGTAGCTAAAATTAGAAAAGAGTGTTATGAAATAATCTGAGGCGTATTCTCATCTTGGAAACCAGTACTTGCATTGAAAAGAACGGCCAGTAAAGTCAAAACCGCAGCCCGTCAACTCACCAGACTAGACAAAGGAGGGTCGTCCCAACTTTGCCTTCCTCCAGATCCCTGTATTGCCGCTTGAGCAACACCTGGTATATAGGGTTGTGGGAAGGATAATTAAAGCGTTAGAAGAGCGGACAGTCATGATTGGTAAGGGCATTTATCATGAACCGTGGAAAAAGAAGGTGCTTCTCTTTTCTTGGTCTTTTTTCTTTTTTCTATTCAGTATGTGGTAGAATCCGGCATGGAGTTCAAGCCAAATTTTCGCGCGATTTCTTTTTTTCTTTTTCACCGACCATAGGTAATAGGGCCTGTTGATCACGAACAAAGTTGAAAAAGATGGTCGTTGGCGGTTCTGAGATTTGCAAATACGGTTTCGCCGAGGACGAGTATTCCCTTGTTGCACCTGGATCTTCTGGGTTATGAGGTTGCATAACGTTGATCAGAGCGCTCGGAATAGACAATGGCTTGAATGTGAATCATGGTCGCGAGACTTTTTATACGTAAACATTAGCATGAGATAGTTGCCCTTTCCAAGCCCATTCAAAGCTGTGAAGCCTCGCGCTCAGTCCAACACAAACTGCCTAGGACTCGCTGTAAATTATCCATCGCCTATATCGCCTCCGCCGGAATTTCCTTGTGGGTAGTTATCACTATGTAGTGGTATTGTGAACTCTAAGCTTTCTCTTGCTTTCCTAAAGCATCTAGGGGGACTTTCTACCGGCAGGCACTAGTAAACTTTCATTGCTAAGTCATCCTCGACCATACTGCTATTCTTTTAAGAGCACTTCTAAGTAGGCTCTTCCTCTTCTGTAGTCTCTTCTTACACTTTTGGACTTTTATGTCCTGCACCGGCAACAGGTCCAGGCGGGGCTTTTGGTTTGTTAGGTCATACTCTATGCCTGCGCAATGCAGACTGACCTATGGCTAGGTATGATTGAGCACGGCTGTACAACCATAAAGATGACTGGCCGTCTTCAGGACTGATCCGTTCGGAGCTTTGTCGGTGCAAGTGTTTGTAATAGGTTGTATTAATAGAACTTAGTCCTCGCTTATGGCGTCCCCATGTACATCGTTGCTACTTTCACCAGCCACAGAGAAAGACTTATGACGGGGTGGTGTGGCTGTAAGAACGGAGTGGGTGAGGTGGATTTGTACGCAGTTGATCCCCAGTCGATCCTCAGTCGGCCCATGCCTAGAGTGATCCGGCCTAGAATGACCGGAGACGAGATGCCGGAGCAGGCCAGAGTGTTTCTACCGGGTCCCCAATAAGGTCCCTCCCTCGGTTAGGCAGTTGCGACTTTCCCGTATTAGTGATTTTGGGGCGTGGCGGCGGAACGGTTTTGTGGATGGGGCGTTTTTGAACAACCCGCCCAACTTTTGGGGCGTCTTGATCCGAAACGCCCCTATGTTCTAGTCACCTGACGTTGCGTTTCCTTTCAAAACTCTACGGAACCTATCACGACAAATTATATTATTAATTACTAATTAGCAGTAGTTATATTGCTCCTTGTTGCCTACCTACTTTATTATGTTCTCTATTCTTTTAGTCTTCCCCTTTGAATTAATAGTATAATGTCTGTCTATAAAGGAAAAAAAAAGAAAGAAAGAAAGAAAGAACCTCAGTGAAGCAGGAGTTCACAGCTCATCTAGGCTGCCGCTTCCCAGTTTCTCCCTTCTTATTAACTCGTCAGTAGCCCCTTCCTCCTGATGCATATATGCAATTATTCGACAACGGCGAAGAGGAGGGGGAAAATATCGAAACCTCCCGACCAACCCACTATTTTGTCGTATCAACACATGCCCATGCCCGACCTTTGATTGTTATTTCATGTTTTGAGTACCAAGCTTTGCCCTCCATGCCACTCGAAGAGTCATTGGCGCGTATCAACGCCTCAATGATGTCGTCATCATAACCATCGTACAACGGCTAGCGGATCATGACACCAGTGTCGTTGATCCCCTCTTAATTCGAGCGGCCAGAACTGAAGCCATCCACCGCAACATGGTACAAACATTTTCGAAGCCCGTCACTCTGCTGTTCCACAACCAAGACAACCATTGGACCTTGTACATGTGGCTGAGGGCCAGCAGTGCCTTTGAGAAATACAACTCTCTGAAGACAGCCGGAACAATGTCGAACACATCGCCAGTTGTGGACTTCGTTTGCTGGGTCCTAGGCCCAAATGTTGTTATTAACTTTCGCGAAGCAGAGGTAGGCTTTTTGATGAGCTGTGTCCGTCAACTACCATGGCTGATGTCTTTTTTCTCTGCAGTGTCCACAACAGAAGAACACCTATGACTGTGGCATATACTGCCTGCAAATCGCCGAACATCTTGCTGCTCGTGCTTCTTCATCGATCAACATCAGCGCCAGTCACGTAGTACGGAATCAGCTACAAGAGGCCCTTGTGACGTCGTGGGAATGTACGTTACGCACTTCCGAGATATCTCCATACTTCATGCTCATGGCTTCGAATGTCCCTAGCCGCTTTCGACAGCTGCATGGCATCCGAAAGCGTCGGAGGCTTCTTGTGTCCCTCAACGAGCCCACCCAAGCATATCCGCTCGCCACACAAACTTTTTTCGGCCTCGATCAGCAGTTTCGCCAAGAGATGCAGTCTGCTGCGCTCTGCGTGCTTGCCGGTATTATCTCAGAGCTGCACTCCAGACACCTGCAGATGCTACAAGAAACCCTTGCTCCTTATGAGCGCGCCCAGCAACGAACGCGTGAAGCCGAAGAGAAGATGCTCCACCATGTCAAAGGCGTCATCGATTCTTACAACTCAGTACCCGATGTGGCAGCTGAGCAACTGTCTCCTGCTCAGATGTTGTTGCGAAAAAGCCTTCAGTCTCTGAAAGCAGCTGCCGAAGCTACGCAACAGTGTTGGGACCTGGCTGGTAGTAGCCGAGCGCTGGAGCAAGATACAAGTTCTCTTGCTAGTAATGCATACGCGCAATGCGTCGCTATGCTCCTAGTCTTGCGATACGCCGTTGGCAAGTTTCGCAGGGTCCGAGGTTGAAATACTGTTTTTTAGTTAAGGAATAGTATTACAACTTTGCGCAGATGACACGCATTATTTGATTGTTACAATCCGTTCCAATGAGATAACTATCAGTTTTGAATAGGTGGAGTGGTCTCATCAACTCTGTTCTTCCTTTCTAATTCGTAATCTTTGAAGCACAATCCTTTCGGTCTCATGTCTCATCAACCCGAATCAGTTGACCACACAAAGCTAAGCCGGAGAACAACACCCCAGAATCTACGAAAGGTGACTCGGTTGGACTCTGTATCAAGGAAACACAGCGTTGAGTAACATGCTTCCGAGTAGTAACCTTGGCCGATAAGCACACAATATAACGATAGCACGGCAACTACCACCATCGCGCTGCTCTCCTCGATACGAACCCAAGATATTTTGGCGGTTGCTGTGTTCACTCTTCAGACTCGGCAACTTCGTCACTGAATAGTGTCTCGACGCCATCCGCCAGACCGGTGCCAGCAACAACTGGACTAGGGTCACTGCACTGAAGGGAGCAAAGCTCGTCGACCAGGTCCTCCTCAGACGGGTTTTCGATTCTCGTCGCTATACGCCACACCAACAACGTCGCTTAAGATGAGACTTGCAGAGACAGTGATCGTTCGCCTGGCTCATCCAAAATCTTTGGGCGTTTATTTGGAAGTGTGGGTGTGAGCTTCGTTTTCGCCACCAAGTTTTCTACACTTACTTGGGAAAGCCAAGATGAGCAAGGTGAGTTTATTAGCCACTGATGCTTGGGAAATAGTGAACGGATAGCCGCCAAACTCTTGATTATGTCTCAATGCTTTATCGTCAAGGTGTTGCTAAACAATAGAGCAAAGCCGTTCACAAAAAGATCTGTAAAAGATCTGTTGACAAGGTTTGGCTGCATCCCTACGCCTCAGAGTTACTTATCATGTCCCCATTACATCACGCCTTACAACGAAAACCAGGCTCAGCTTCTGCATTTTAACATTAAGCGTTAATTTAGTAAGGTATTGGGATGACCGAGTTACAGTGCGTAACTATGAAACACTATGTCATCCAGTTGATTAGTCTTAACAGGCTCGTTGAAGGCGCATTTCAATGCGAGTAACAAAGCAGCCTTTCTCGATCTAAATGGTCTTCAAGGCTTGTAATTTTTTGTTCTACACCTGGAATTAAAAATTGTACATGTCTTCGAAAACAACGCTGCTTACAAATTCATGCAAGCTGTTTGGGATAGTTAACGTCCCACACCCACTTCTGGGCACCCCCCACATTTGGGCACCCCATTTACACCAAAAACGCCGTTTTTCGAAATTCTATATTAAACTAAATACTTTACTTATTAAAGAGAATAAATATATATTAAATAGATTAAGACTTAATTATAATACTTAAGTAGCTATATACTAGTATTATTAATAATAAGTATTATAAATTCAAGGTTTAACATTTATAATACTAATTTACCTAGCCTATATCTTAATATATAAAATAGGTAGAGATATTTAACTAATATGATTAGAATTTTTAAGTAAGATATAGTAGATTTATATATTCTTATACTTAGTAAAAAATTCTTTAAGCTTAGAATAATATTTTAAAATTTCCCTTAAGAAAAGTTTCTATTATAGAATTTTAACCCTTAATTATACTATATTTACTAAAGTAATACTTTTAAATCTCTTTTAGATATAATTATATACTTTTAATAAGTATAAATATTAATTTCCTAGATTTTTTAAATAAGTATATATAAGCGAAAATATATTTTTCTAATGTTAAGGAATACTAGTAAGTTACTAGTATCTACTAACATTTTAAAGCTTTTAGTTTTAAACTTCTATATTATAACTATTATTATATTTAAACCTTTATAAAAAATTAGATGGCTATAATTATACTTAACATAGTTTATATATATTTTCTTTTCTTAGTAAGTATAGTAGTTAGTTTAATATAGAATTTCGAAAAACGGCGTTTTTGGTGTAAATGGGGTGCCCAAATGTGGGGGGTGCCCAGAAGTGGGTGTGGGACGTTATTTCGCCCTAGTGCCACCCGCTTTGGTGATCCAGGATTGCTAGCAATCCAAGTTATCCAAAGTTCACTTTATGCATAGACTCGAAAGGATTCCGACTCTCCACAATCGCATGATTTTATTTAAGTCTTGCGTTGGCAAATATGGCAAATTGTGCTAAACCGGGGACCTGATTCATCCAAAATCTCACATACATGTGGGCAGGCAACAACCTGCTGCGACCATTCCAGTGTCCCACATCTGACAGCTTCAAACCTGCGATTTTTCTTACAGTTCCAGTGTTACCATCCGGAAGAATAAGCCTTTTGGTCGTCATTGTAGTTAGTCATTCAAATTATCTCATCTTCCGGCTTAGTTTCAGAACCGTCAGATTCCGCCCTGTTCGCTAAGTCGTGGTGCAAAGATTGGCATAGGCGCTCAGTGGTATGCAACCTTTGTAATACATGATTAAAGTTTGCATCGACTAAGCTTATATATTGCTTTGAAGAGGCCATGTCTGGTCTTTCTAGACGCTCATTCATTGCAAAGACGACAGCTTCGCGAAGTTGGCTTTCGGCAAACCCAGCAAGGTCTGTAGATTTCGTATTAAGAAGTGGGGACTTTTAAGTCAGATGGATAGATGATTTACTTTCCTTTTAGTCTTCTTACACAGTAATCCTTATACGCGCTTCGCATTATCATGTAGCTTTTTTGTACCTCGGGCAGAAATTCGCATACTCCAGCCGTTGTCTTCAACGGTGAGCATTCTCGTCTCTCATCATCTTCTTATGTAAGCTTAGTTATGCCTTGTTTTTAAAGGAAGCTTACCCGTGAAAATTGGCTGTCTAAGTGTTGAGAGAATGGTAATGTCGCTGTCTTGGTGGGGTATGAGCCCAAGGAGACTGATTGCGACGGGCATTCTCCAGCGTCGCCCAAAGAGCTCACCGATGCGAATTGCAGCGCTAAATTTATCATAGATTGATTCTTGGCATGCAATTACTTGTGTGTAAAAGTTTTCGCGTATTTCAATGACCTTATTTGCCCAGGGTGGCGGTGATTGTATTGTCCCTTGCGGAAAATTTCGAAGTCCTGGAAGCAGTTCGTATAGATTTTGATCGATTATTGCCTGAGCGGAAACGACTTGGCATCTGCCCTCAACTTTTAGAGCACCTTGTGATATGTATTCTCCGAAATAAAAGTACCCCCTCCAGGTCTTATGTTGACGCGATCGTAACCTTTCGAAATACTTCAAGTCTAAGTTATACGATTTATATTCTCGAATAAGGTCCCTATCTCGCATAAAGACGCCTTTATCACAGCAGGTTGTGTCCATGATACAAATGTAGATGTTTTCGAATGCCGATCCGTCCGTCGTGCTGGCGTTCAGGTGGAAGATGTACACAAGTGCAACTAACAGTGAGCTCGTCCAAGATACGAGATTATCATTAGGAATTTTAAGCCATCTCAGATGACTGTATATCATGTTCGCGACTTGATTACTGTCGGATCTCTCGAAGATATCTGTTTTGCAGTCGGTTGTCCCAACCATGGCATCACTGGACATGGCCCAGGTTTTACTGGTCATTCCACGAGAATTCGGAGTGAAAACACGGAACAAATACCGAGGCGTATCATCGAGTTTCGCTGTGCCTTTAGGAGGGTGAAACGGGACACACTCTCCAGCGGCCAAACTGAGGTCGTGAAGCTGATCTGTCAAAGCCTCAAGTGCCATGCTCTCTATCGCGTCGACTTTGCGAGGCAGAACTACGGCACACTTTTCTGGTCAAGTGTGGTTCCCTGTCATGCGCAATTTGTTATAAGCTTTTTTTCAAGGTTTGGCACCCTCTGATGGTGATTTTCTAGTTTTATAATACGTTAACCGCTGTAGAAACGGCGTGGCGATCAGGTAGCTTTGTTGGGCACCCATCGGGCTGCTATGCTGTTTGGCGAGGTCAGCCGACTTGCCTATCTGCAGGCTGGTTCCCAATATTACGCAATCTTCCTTCAGCGCCGCTTCTTCAACACTGTCACCGTGAGCCCGTCTTAGCCACCATTGCTTCATGTGACTGCCTGAAGTTTATCTCCAACAGGGCCAGAAAGGCCAGGCCTCGTCATAACAGCAACATTTAGACTAGCACAAATCTGATGTGGTTTTCGCTATAGCCAGACATTTGCGTGGTAATCATAAGTCTAAACAGCGGTGACCTTGAAGCTTCTACATGGTTCCAGTTGGAAACGTTTGCGGTCAGTTGTTCGGGTAAGACCGAGACGGGCATCTGAAAGTATCTCAAAAAGTAAAGCAGTCAACTACAGCAGCGTCCCTCAACTATGATGCTCTGATGGCATTCTCATGTTAATGACTGAGTATTCCTTCACAAATAGTGGGCTGAAAGGCGCGAGCAGGTTCGCAAGGGAGGCTGATATCCAAATTGCTGAAAAATGAGGCTGAGGTTGATGAAGACTTTGTAGCATTTGTGAAGCTCACACATCAGGCTTCAATATCGAGAATATCAATTGTTTTGATCGTACAAGGGATAAACATAGCCTTGGAATTTTTGAAGGGTAGGAAACTTCTACAAACCAATGCTAGGTGGGTGTTATTTAGGCTAGCCTTTGTATATAGCGTCTAACTGAACGGTGCCGTTGAGATTTTAATTTGCGCGTTACTAGAACCTTCCGTTGATTGGTACTGGTTCTTAGAGTGCCTGGTTCCCGGCGCTGTATTCAGGAGAAAGTCGAGAATGTGTTGTCCAAGCCCGGTACACATTTTTGCATACATGTCCTTCAAAACAACATCACCAGACTCATTGATATTATTATCAGGCCCGCGACAACCAGGAATGATTTTATGATGCGCTGCTGGAAGAACATATCCATGCTTGTGATTGCTGAGCCAGTTGAAGCAGAAGTAGCAGGCTGGCTTACTGCAGCTGATATATTTATCGTCATCAACAAACACAAACCGGTCCCTGCTGAACCTATCTGCGATTTGAAGTTCAGCATGTACTCTCGTGATGATTTTGTTTCGTAAATTCAGGTTCACAAGTAGGTCTTTGGGTCCAGAGGGTAGGTCGAGCTCAACAAGACTGTGTAGTGCCATTCTATTCTGCAGCGGGTTTTGGGAAGCGGTCTCCTCACAAATCCTTCGCACAATATCGTATGGGCTCATGGTTTCTTGGTCCATCACCACCTTGCGGATGACTGGCGTGTCAACCGCGCGGATAATGGATATTTGGCCAAGAGCTGGAACCTTGACTATCCCCTTCACGACATTATGGACAGCTGACCGGGTTGCACCAAGACGCCCAATGAAATGCGCTAGTTTGCTGAAGTCGTCCATGGTATCCTTCGACCTTCCTTTGATTTTTCCAACTTCGAAACCTCGCATAGCGTAGCAATAATTGACAATGTCAGTTATTGTCATACTTGGGGGTGGCTCCGAAAGTTTCCGGAGTTTCTTTCGAAGGAGTGCTGTTTGAATAGTCAATTTCATGGATATTCAATATATGGCTAGTATGCAATGGGATGCTTTACCAGTGTCCTCCTTTGCTTCCCCTCTCAGCTGCATTCTGCAGTTTCTTGCATAACGTCGCACACCCACTTCTCGCACACCCCCACATTTCGCACACCCATAAATTGGGTCATCATGAGGTATTCATCAACTTCATAACTATAAGTCTGATTCGTCTCCTGCAACTGTGATACTATCGCCAGTTTTAATAGGTAATTCAGGCTCGCTAGATTCATCTGAGCTATCCTCAATTTCGCCAGCCTCAATTTGGGCTTTGTGAATTGCCTCAATGTTGGCAAACTTCGAATTTGGGCTCATTTGGACCTTACGCCGCTTCCGTACCATTCCAGCCTCAACTTCTGCTTCCAACATTGCAATCTTCTTCTCTGCTGTAGCCAATTGATAGTCCTTTTCATCAAATCCCTTTTGAACCTTCCGAAACAACAGTCGCTGCGTTTGCTGATCTTTATCCAACTTGCTGAATAAGCTAAGTTGATCATATAGATCAACTGTCTTCTTGGGCGTTGACCAGGCTACTATGGATGTAGCAGATGCCCAGTTTTCGTCTTTTCCACCATCAGAGGCCCTCATAGGCGTAGAATAGCCTGGCTTTGAGGGCTTGGAAGCATTCTCAAGCAGTAGAGGGCTCATGAGCGGTCGAGCTATCGAAATGGGCCATAGTCCTGTTGCTTTCCAGCCGCTTCTGATATTCTTGCTTGAAAATGCCATCTGGCGTGCTTTTCCATAGCAGGTAAGAAAGTTCCGTTTGCCTACAACTGTAGAATCGTTGTGTTGAATGAGGTATCCAAGCTCTTTTCGATAGGTCGCCTTGAGAGGCCCAAAGACTGCTTGGTCTAGAGGTTGGAGAACGTGGGATGTATGTGGCGGTAGGAAAAGGAGATATATCTTGTGTTTATAACAGAGATACATAAATTCTGTTGTTTCATGACTGCCATGACCGTCTAGGATCAATAGTCTCTGCTCAGAGGGATGATCAGGCTTAGTCAGAGGGATAAAGATGTTCTCAAGCCATTCCACAGCTGTAGAGTCTGAAGTCCAGCCATTCTCAGTTGCTGTGAACTTCCAACCACTGTAAATATCACGTTTATGGATATCAAGAGGAAACCATTGTTGTTGAACCGATTTCCCTCGATAAATAACAAGTGGAGGAAGCGCCTGACCAGTTGCAGAGACACACTCAAGCATAGTTGTCCAAGCCCGAGACCCAGGCTGTTTTTTTCGCATTGATGAGCTTTCTGATGATCCCAGTACTAAGCCATTTGATCCTCTGCCTTCTAGGATACCAGTTTCATCCATGTTATAGCGATGATGTGGTTTGATCGCCTTGATCTCTGGAAGGGCGAGTTGTTGAAACCATTGCCTGATTACATTAGTTGAGGCCCCATTGACACGCTTAGAATCGATGGCTCTAGCTCTATGAACCTTGATTGATGGATTTCTCTTAATAAAGAACTGAATCCAGTTTCTCCCAAGTGGCTGGGTAGTGCCTCTGATGTCTAGGATTCGCTGGGCAAATTCCTTGAGTTGTTGATGTGTTGGCGGCAGCCCTAACGCCGCCTGGATACGCACCCATTCAGCTAAGTGACTTTCCTGTGCTGGAGATAGCTTCTGGAAGCTAGAGAAAGCTACATTTCTTGCCTGTGAACCCTTTAATCGAGACTGGAGGGTTGATGGTGGAATTCCAGCATCATGAGCTGCCTTTCGGACACTCTGCCCACTTGCAACTGCATTGAGAGCTTGATTGACTTCTGTTTCCGTATACTGGCCCATTAAGCGTATAAGAGTAACTATTCAAAGAATTATAATAATCGCTGTAAAAGTGGTGAAGATATTAAAGAATGTTGAAGAGGGTAAAATTCTACATGAGCGATTTATGGGTGTGCGAAATGTGGGGGTGTGCGAGAAGTGGGTGTGCGACGTTACTTCTGCACTTCCTCTTTGTAGGTCGTAAGCCGAGAATCACAATTCTCAACCGCAAGATCGAAGATCGCTTGTCGAACATTATCCTTAGTGCTGGAATCTACCGACTTGAGATGAGATAAGATTTTTTCCGCATAGATCTTGATATCATGGCGCACTCCCTCGTTTGCAGCCATCCAGAGGATATTGCTGTGGGTGAGCTTTTGCAGCCCAACTGCTGTCACGGTTGCTCCACCTTTTTGGACATCGCAAAGATAGGCGAAACTATCCAAAAAGTTCCTGCGAGCTTCGATCATACCATCACCAGATGGTTTTCGCCTTTCCTGATCATTGTCAAATCGACAAAGTGCTTCAAATAGCGCGAGTCGTGGGTATAGTTCTTTAGTTGCAGTGGCGAATACTTGTTCTGAAGGGGACGTAGAAGCCGCCGCGGAGTTGGTCGAAGCCTCTAACAGCATCGCGCGCGGCGCTGTAGGAATTGAGACTGTTGACATGGCAAACAGGAATGAAGCTGAACCGGGATTGTGTGCCTATCTAAGACAGTTACGATACGGTAGCAAATGCAAGTAACTCATGTCTACGTGAACGTAAGACGATGAGGGGTTTGCATACCACCGCGGCTCGCAGTCAGGTGCAACCAAGCAAAGCGTCCATCGTGGGCGAATCATAAATATAGCTCATATATCCTAGCCTATCGGACATGTTAGTGAGTAGACCAATAGCTGAATGGTTGATTGATTCCTCCAAAGTTGTCAGCCGCTCTTACGTCAGCAAGTGTGTGCCCGGTAAACGAGGTTTGGCTCATTCCCTTATACAAGGGAAAATGGCTTGACCTTCTAATGATCATTTTCGAGGTTGGACTAACTTGATGGACGACACCCAGGGCCTTTGATATTTGTATGGTCTTCCTTGATTCAATGACTCGATACAAGCCTTACCGATGGTATTTGTTGATAATCTTCACATTCAAACATCGCATAATATAATGTAGAAAGTCATTGACTAGTTGTTCAGATTTCACGGCTTCTCTGAAGTAATCACTGCTGTCTCGGGATGCTCGATTACCCATATTATCAGAGGTAAGCTCTCTTGAGGTCTTGACGTTCTTGGTGCTTCAATAGCTGTTCTGTCTTGGATTCAAAGTGCGTGAAGTCCAGTGAGATTCAGATCGCAGAGTATCTTACGTAAGGGCAAACCTCCCCGAATAAGTTGGAGGTGATGCAAACCTTTCGCTGTCTTTCTTTATTTTCGACTTCTCGGCTTTCATTGGATTTGCGCCTGCTTCCAGCTGGCCATCAGCCACTATCGGTCACGCCCCATCCTTCTATTTTCACCCCTGTCTCACCGACCGGCCCCTCACGGTGCGATCAACGAGAAGATGATGTACATATTTGCTACTGTCAATGTCCTTAGCATCCCAATTGGTAAGCCAACCCTGACGACCAAAACCCCTTGGCTGTGCCGCTAGTTGCTCAAATTTCTAGTTTACGCCTTGTATCCAGAATCCAACCAACGAACACTCGAGGAAATGGAATCCTTATTTGCTGCTCCTACTGCGTGGACATGGGACGCCGAGAAGACATTTGCGACTATGAAGGAAGATATTGGGGGGGCTTATTGGAGGAATCAAAGACCGTGGCTCAAATACTAAGGCTGAAGGCAACAAGGTACACCCATTGCGACATTATTGAAAAATGATGTTACGTCATTTTAAGCTTTCCACTTGATATTTCCTAAATGCCTTGCAAGTCGTGAGAACAGAACGATTTTTATGAGAGGTGAAATACGTAAAGAGGCTTTGGTGATTTTTAGTCGCGACTCTGGGATGGTCCTTCTGATGAGTGGGAGCGATAATGTGAGAGTGTGTTCTACTGTCTGTGTACTAGTTTGAGAATTCCCCAATACCATCAACAGCTGGCAGTAGAGAAATCTCACGGATATCAGGGTATAATGTTTAGTGTTGTTAGAGAAATTAATACTGCTCTAATGGCATTGTATCCTTTCAAGAGAGCGACCGGCAATCTTCCGAATTGTTGTGCCGAGAGTTCAGAAGCAGGATGCAGTCTGTCTATCAAAATTATACTAAAAGACTTATAGAAGCCCTTTGATGTAACATCGTTTATATCTCAAGAAAGGCAACTCAATCAAATAAGAGAGATGGAGTTCTATCTGTCAATACAGCGCCACGAGCTGAACTAGTTATAGCGGTCTCTGAAACCATATTCCAACCCCAAGGCTCGTCTAACGCGTTCGACCGTCCATTGTATCCTCGGTCCCCTCAAGGTCACTATAGAGTCTCCACTGGTAGTCTAGGCTGGGATCGTTGAAGCGCGCCTTAACGCCTAGTGTTTCGATGGCTTTAACATCCTCTGGTTCCATCTTGAAATCAGCCTCGACATTTTCCTTGATCTGCCAATCGATGGTACTCTTTGGAATGACAGAACGGCCCCCGTTGATACCCCACGAAAAAACAATCTGCACTACACTCTTGCCATATTTCTGGTTAAGTTTTTGAGAAGTGGCTGATCGATGACCCGCATCATGTGCGAAACTTCTTTACTCCAGCCCGTCGAACGGTAAAAGTCGTTCATGTTTCCGAGAGGGCTGAATTGAACCACATGGATTTCTTGAGAGCGTAACCATTCATTGAACCCCTTTTGTTGCAGATAAGGGTGTACTTCCATCTGATGAACGGCAGGAATCTTATTAAAACAGACTATTAGCATCCGCACGGGCAAGTTCTAGGGCTCTGAGTCTTACCACTGAACACTCGTCGATGAGCGTCTCGAGCTCATATTTACTAAAGTTAGAAACTCCGATGGCCTTGACTTTTCCACTCTTTAGCAACTGCTCCATAGCCTTCCAAGTATCCACATTGGTTGTTTTCCCTAGTATCATTCTCCCGTCACTGTCTCGAGGGAAACAATCTTCTCCCCTCGCAAAGGTGCAAGGGTAGTGCATCATCAAGAGATCCACGTAAGGCGTATGAAGATCCGTCAGAGACTCATCCAAGGCTCTCTCAACGTCATCTGGGTGAAAGTTATTGCACCATAGTTTCGTACCGAGAAAGATGTCTTCTCTAGGGACGTCGCTCCTCTTGATACCCTTTCCTACTTGTTTCTCGACATTATGTACTCGTGCGGTATCGATTAGACGCATTACCGCCTTCAAAGCTCGTGATACTGCGTCTTCTTGTGCATCAGGGTCTTGGAAAGTACCAAAAACAATGGCAGGAATGCTAGCGCCTGTGTTCAATTGAAAACGCTTTCCGCCAGTGGCGACACTTCTTTTTTGTATTTTCTGCTGAGTTGATAGAACAGCATAGGTGGTTGACCATGAGCGGAACGATGCTTTTACCGTGGAAATTCGAAATTGTTGTCTGAGGACGTTCATTGTGGCGAAAGTATGAATTTTGGGCGTGGACGATTGTAGATTTGTAAATTGAGTGTAGTTGACTAGATTTAATTACATCTCACGAGGAAAAAGTATTCAATAACCTAGATGATAAACGATATAGTGTTCAAGAGGCGGAAATTTATAGAGTAGAGATAGTGAAACATTGATAATGTAATCCCCGCGCTGGAGCTCGATCAGAAATGAGATGTTCGTATTGCTTCAAGGGGTTGGCATGCTGATACCCTCATGATAAAATATAATCTTTACTTAAGTATTGACTTAAACTTAGCTTAATAGTAAGTATTTATTTATAAAATATAACTCTTCTTTAATTTATTTCTATTTATCTGAAGTAATAGTAATCTTAGCTACGTAAATATTTTACTAAACGTCTCCTAATACTCTCTTACCCAGAAGATGCTCACCCTAGTTACTTACAGTAGGGAACTTAACAACTAACAAGGACGAGAGGTTAAATTAATACTAAGTGCGCCGCATTAGATAAGAGCCTTGCGCACCATTAAATAATCCTAGCCGACTCCTTATACTCCTTTGCCAGCCATTACTAAAAGTCAACTAGCTTGCGAGGCCCAAGCTTGTTATGTATGCCTGTGTGACAGCTCCGCAACTGTGGGTTTATTCTTATCAGAAGCCAGCATCTCCTGTGCAGCAACCTCGTTTGCGCTCATTTCAGGCACAGGATCCGGGTAAGAACCCTCAAGCTCCATCGGGGGGCTCCGCTGCATGTGGTTTGCATGAAGCTCTGCCTTTTCGTATCTGCCCTTGCCGTCGCTGTCGGCGATGGCAGTAGTCGGCAGGATGGCTTTCTGCTTTCTTCGTCGTCTCCAGAACCAGCATCCACCCAGGAGGATGCCAATGACGACAATCGCGCCTACAATAGGTCCAGCAATCCAGGCGGAACTTCTTGGCTGCGCTTGCTCTGTTTTCTTTCGGTTAGTTTCATGGCCAGAGACAAGTCGAAGATGGTACGCACCTCTCTGGGCTGTTTGTGATGCCTCCACGGCCGCACTGGTCGTTGATACGGAGGCAGACGACGTGGAAGAGTTTGTCGCGGACGATGTCAGGAACGTAAACGGCACGGTAGTCGTGTATGTTCTGAAGACTGTTATGGAGACCCCATCGTTGTTCGGGATGACAAACGTAGACGTGAATAGCTTAACATCGCCCTTACAGAATTCCGTATATTGCTCAAGTTTAGTCCAGATGGAGGTCCTTAGAACCTCTTGTGCTGCCTCGGCGTTCTCCTCAATACACACTGTGCACGATGCTAGATCGGTCTGGAAGTCCGAGCCTGGTTGGCAAATCACGGGGTCTTTCCCGTATTGCTGAGCAGTTCCGTAAGCATTTTCTAGGAAGAAGCTCGGTCAGTCTCTCTGGAATCGATATTTCGGCTAAACTACATACCACATCGCTCATTGCATACGGTCGGGGGGACGAGTGTACTAGTGGCTGGTGGATTTGTGCTGGTTGTCGCGGTGCCTGCCCCACTCACGAAGAGAGTTGCCGTTGTCAGCAGGGCTGAGGATGGGGAATCAAACCCTGGGATCACAACAATCGTAGGGACGATTGTCGTAGACATACCGAGCCGTGAAGCAAAATGTTACGGGCGGTGGTGTTGGTAGTCTTCAAGTTCTTGATGACAAACGACAACAATAGCCGCAGGCTTCGTTAGGATAGTTAGGAAATTAGCGGACAGATCCTAGATAAGGCGGCGACCGCAGTATTATGTAACAAAAAAACCCTTGAGGAAGATGCTATATCGCAGTGGCGGGCCATCTTGGCGCGTTTACGAGTTTCCTAGTTGGGCATCATACATAATGTTTTGAGTAATGAAGGCTTTTTGGCGCAATGGTTCGGTTACCATGCCGTTTACAGCGTATGTCCGAAGAAAGGTCTCGCCATTTGACCTCTTATCTGCTCTATGTAAGTATCCAATAACAGAAGGGCTAAAGTGGGTACGCAGACACATGGAAGCAAAGGATCAATGCCAAGGAATATAAATTAAAGTCGAATAAGGTCTTCTTACAAAGATTTACTTTAGAGGCAGTTCTTATGCAGAAGTCTTAGCCTAACTAGGTTAGTAAAACGTCTCCCTGGATTGTTGGTATGCATGAAAACCCATTGTTAGACCAATCACATGAGTCTAACATTATTACAATGCGGTAAATATGTCAAAGAAACAGACGATAAGTGCCAGGGGGCAAAGATGCTGCCTGATTTCATAGAATCGGTAAACAGCACAAAAAGCGGGTGCAAAGGTCGCAGAGGGGGTCTAATACTTGATTAAATATAATTTCCTATAGGGAGATATAACCTTAACAAACTACCTAAATTAAACATAGAAAATGCTTATATATAAGGTAGTTTATACTTCATACATAGACGCTAACAGTTTTAGGACTCGATTTTCTATTGATGTACTTTTTATTTTTTTATTTTTATTTTTTAAATCCGTCAAGAAGTAATAATCGATTGCTTTGTCGGATGATTAAAACAAATAAACAACAAGACGAAGAAAGGATTGAACTCAGTTGAGAAGAATGCGTTGAATTTGATGCTCTTCATGAATGTACGTCGTTTCTGTTTTGTTCTATTCCAGACCGGCATATTATGGTGATCGATATGGTGATCGAGGTGCATTTCGCACAGGCTTGGAGCTACTTGTACCAAGAGAGTCAGCACCATACGTGACGTTGTCGGACATATGAGTAACAAAAACAACCAGCAGCTATAAGTAGCCAACATGAAAATGGATATGGAAGAGACAGGCGTCCTCCAGGTCACCCTGAATAAAGGCGTCATTATGACACAGCGCAATACACACAAGGAGGTAGACCGACACGTCCAGCGAGTTGCTGCCGCACTTCGAGAAAAGAAGGTAAGCAACTAACCAGAGAAGAGCAGAATATCCTGGATAAAATCACCGATCGGGACCTAGCCTTCGCGGTGAGTTGCTCACTACTAGCCCAGGCGGCCGAAAACGAGGAAACGTGACCCGAAGGATGGTTCAAGTCGTCGCAAAGCTTCAACACCTTCAACTCTCAACACTTGAATCGTTGAGTGGAAGAGTATGGGAAACAGTGCGGCGAGAAAGGGGCAGTTATAACCCAGGATGGAGATGCAAATAGCGTTGAGGGTGGGTTTGATGGCGGTCGTGGTGAACAAGGGTATGATTGCTAACCACGTTTATCCCTTGAGCGCGTCTCATCTCTCGAAAGGTTTCACACTAGCTAGTTGTACCTTCAAGACCACCCTAAACCGAGACTTCAACGCAAGAGGACGACATAATAACAGCCATGCCTGCGACAGAGCAGCCTTACTCCTGTAATGTTCCAAAAGGCACCCGGTAGTGCCTCGGATGTCGCTCAATGTCGGGGAGGCAAATCGAAACTACGGAACAGACATGTCGTTAGTAAACTGTCGGGTACTTCCCTTACGTACTAACATGCGTCTTGGTTGGAGACTGAAAAAGCCAGCTGTGTGAATTGTAACGAGGTTAGCCCCTCGAGCAACCAAGAGCGAGAGAACGGTCATGTGGGAGAGGTCAGGTCAGAACTGTCGTGGAGTCTTTATGCGCGCCTGCTACAACGTTTCGAATAGCAGGAAGAAGATGAGAAGCTTAAAGAAATGGTGAAGCGGGCTCAAGATCAGTGATATATCTAATGTGTCCTTACATCAGCGTGGCCGATGCGTACCAGACAAATGTAGATCGGCTGATGAATGCGTTTCTGAGCGGCATTGCAGGTGGGTTGATGAGTACGTCGAGATCTGATCTATCAGTTTCAAGAGTGTGTCTTATTAAATAGAAGAAAAGGTGTCTAATGACATATAGATTTTTCCTTGGTACCCCCAAGACTGAAGGGTGAAATCGGTGGGTTTTCGGGTATAGGCTGAGGAAAAAGCTACGCAAGACATTCAATTGCAAACAGCGGCAAACGCCTTACGCATAGTACCTTATAGATACCATATAAACATACGAAGAATGTAGCAGCAAACAATCGGAAAGGGGTTGCTATTGTTCTCCCACATCACTCCAGTCAAACTAATCCATCTTCTAAAGGATACACCCAAGGTAACCAAGTCATTCTTCTCTCATTATCTCATCTTCTGGAAAAAAAAAAAAAGAAAGCCAACAACAACTATAACAATAACAACAACAAAAACAAGCGCAGCAGTAGTAGCAGAAACAACAGTAATGGAAGTCCCTTATCTGCCGGCTAAGTACAAACACCCTCGCGATGACTTCTCTGTACTCGTGCTGACGCTGCAATTGACTCAGCACAAGTCGCAAGAAGTCCCTCTCTGCGTACACGCCGAACAGTAACTCTCTCCAACAGACAAGCTACGGATCCTCTATTTCGATTTCATCACATCCTAAGAGCCGAGTCTCTCTGCGACCATCTTCCTCGACCAACTTGTGGTGTCGTGACTGCCCATCGCCCAGTTCCCATCTTCCATGCAGACGATGACAGCGACAAGTCCCAAGATCCTTACCACTACGGCCATTGAAGACGTGCCTGAGATCATCAAAAAATACATCTGGCACGCCGTGTTTCGCGGGGACAGTTTGGTTGCCAGCTGGGCGCCTTGGAACCACCATCTGGACTGCCGCGGTGGGCTCCTCTACGCCATTTAGCTTGGTTAGGGACGTCGCAAAACTACCTCTACCACCTGTTACAAATCAAGCGACCGGATATTGAGCATGATGATGGGCAGGGTGTGAAAAAGGACATGTCGAAGAAAACACTGCGTAGTCCACTCCCAGACAAGGGGCTACCGGTTAGGGAGACGGATCCCCTCGACAGCCCTCGACAGCCCTCGCCAGCTTCTTGTTACAGTCACGATATACACACTTGCTGACCTGCAACGCATACTGCTCGTGGCGACTTTCGACCTCGGTCAACTCGACGACGTATCAGATGGGATACTGGAGGCGCACGATCAGCTAGCAAGAATCCTGTCCGCGGTCGATGTACGAAGGGTTCGTCTGGAACTGGCGGTCAAGGACATTGAGGCTTTCATCCGGACCCTGGAGTTGATGACAGGCGTCAACACCGACGCTCATGATGCCGAAATCTTTTGGTCCGCCGTCTGGCACAGGTCTGTCGTCTCGTATCAGGAAGTAGCCCACGCCCCGCCAACATCAGTTCAAAAATATTCAGCCACAGCCGGCCGAGCCCTGTCGCACGCCACAATATTCCGTCAGGTATCTTTCACAGTTTGCAGTCTCTGGAGTTTCGCTGCTCGCCGCGCATGTGTTGCCCTGCCCCGGCTACGAGCCCAGAAGGTTTCTATATCGACAGCTGTGATTGACTTGAAGCTTCGTTTGAATAGCTTACAAGGTCAACACCACTCCCGAGTATTGTCCTTGCGGGCTAAAGAAAAATCGCAAAGCGGCGCGTCAAGGCGCTCATGGCGGATATACTGGCTCAACTTTACATGGCTTCGTGCCCGTGGTGGGTTGCATTCAGCCGACCACGTAAGGATGATCTGACCCCTAATGAGGCCTCGTTGCCGATTGAGTGGTCGCAGCGGTCTGCGTGTACATGGCAGGCTCTCTCAGCTGAACAGCAGACCATCATCAGGGCCAAGGTCAGAAACGTGGAGCAGCTGGATTTCGTGCTTCGCAAGGTTGAGCAGGACGGAGATGGAATGGTGCCGAAATTATATCTATTGTGAATTTGAATGGCCCGATTGACTGCGCTCGCCGGGACACATCAGATTTCAGACTATTAACGATGTGTAAGACCTGGGTGTGTGTATATTCTCATTTCCTGCCTGGTGAATGTGTGAATGATGATGTCGACTGCCCGCTTGTCTAATTCCCCCACCCGCTACCTTCCGAACAAAAGCAGCCAGCCCACCATTCAACCTTCCGGAACCTTGTTTCGTCAGTCAGTCATTCCAGAGGCTGAGGTCGACTTGGTTGTTTTGAATTTTGCGCTGACCCCGAGCCGACGCTGTGTTGAGGGTAAAGGGATGTTGAGCGGCCGTAGTGGCAAGAAGCCACTGGAGATAGCAAGACAACAAAAGGCACCAGTCTCTCGAGGATTGAGAACGTGACAAAGTGCCGCAAGTGGTAGGGAGACTTGTTGACGGGGGAGGGCCTTTGGAGTGGGAGTTCTGAGTGGCTTCCCAACGAATCCCTTGCTTGCATCCCTAGAGCCGCATGGAGTTGACCAACGGACGACTGTTACATGACGGTGGCTTTGTGATAGTAGCTCCCTAGATATGCTGACTCAAAAGCGATTGCGAAAAATGTCCAAGCCGGACCGAAGAAGGTTGGATTTGCTAGCGTTATAAGTTTCGGTATGGAGAAGATGTAAGCGGGCGGGGTTTGCTTACCACGAGCCAGGCACTGGGAGCGGCCGGGAGTTCTTGATGTTAATAGAAATGCATATAATTGCTGAGGACGAAGGAAGGATAAATATCTCCTTAGAAGTGGCGGCGGACAGATGAAAAATCCTGTCACTTGTGAAAGTGAGGTTCATAGGTAGTCAAGAGGTTTGTGATGCCATTGGTTAGGAACGGTGTTGTGTAGTGTGGAGGTCTAGCCACTTCAGCCACTCCGGCCACGTAGTGGCGTGTGGCGTGTGGCGTGTGTGGCAGTGTGTGGCAGTGTATGTGTTCCCTGGTTGTAAGTTAACTCACACCATAACCACATGTACCCTCATAGCTACGCAGTCTAATAGAAATGCTAAAGACGAGTTGTTAATAGCAAAACATGGACAAGATGTGCCTAGGTAGAGACAATCTTTCACTTCTACTGAAGTTGGCTTCACCTATCGAGGTAGTGCTGAGTCTGACAGGGTTCTGATAATCATCATGTCTCTTTGTGCTGTTGCGTTCATATGAGGTTCTCAATAATATGCCACCTCGGCCTTCCCATCTTACTCCGTCTTCTGATAGGTACCATTGTCATCTTTAAATGCTAAGGTCGCCCATGGGTATCTTGTAAACAAAACCAAACTCCTTGTTCCACCCTTGCCCTTCTTATAAATGTCTTCCTCCCTAATCATGTCATAACTCGTGGAAACGGGAAACCGTCTTGTGCAAAAGCAAAATATGCACGACAGACATCCGAAACAGGCTCGAGATGTACTCGTTTTTGTGAAGCGATAACGAGCCCAGCCCGTCCATGTCCTCATCCCACGCGGGTCGCTTCTCGTCAATGAGCTGGCTTGCAGCTTTCACCATGCCCGCGATAGACACGGCTATGGCTCTCTCACCATCAGTATATGGACTCTGGCCGAGGAGACGGGGAATTGGGCGCTGAGCTAGCCTCCGCAGATCTTCGTAGTACTCAGCCATTTCCCGCTGGTCCTTGGCTGCCTGCTCCCGGTGCAGCGTCTCTGCCTTAACTGCGGCGTTCAGACAGGCTTCGTGGGCATTGTGGAAACTGGAAATGAGAAACGCAAGGATGCCGCGTTTGGCATGCCGAACCTGGGTTTGCAGTGTGGCCCAGCACGTCTCCCGCTGGATATTATGAGGCATGTCGAGCAGCTGCAGGTGATGATGAATTCAGCGATGTGTGCTCAAGAACTTGCATCGAGGCGGGATGGAGCTAAGGTCGTTGAACATGGGCTCCCAGGTCTCGTGAACAGCAGCGGGCGGGATCGATGCACCTGACGACGTGCACAGTTCGTGGCGGAGGCAGAGACGTTCCAATGCAGACATGTTTGCAACGTTCAACGATTCGCTCGCGGCAAGACATCGAGCGTTTCGTAACACGTGGACCCCGCAGTCCGACGAGTTTGTTTATCGGGCATACTGCAATGCCGATCAGTATTAACACACACATCTTGGCGGGATGGGAATGGGGGCAGTTCTTACAGTTTGGTCAATCCGTGCCCCAACGGACTTGTGGTCTTGCAAACCAAAGGCAACACTCAGCATTCTGGAGACGTCCTTGGATGTCGGATCGTCAGCCGTAGACGAAGCATCCTGGCGTCGCAGACTATCGTATTTTGTGAGAGTCATATCAGCCCGATTGAAGGCATACAGAACCCAATGATTCCCGCTCTTATTGATTGGAATCAAGACTTGTTGCGCGGCTGTTACGGTGCGGCGCAGATATGAGTCTCGGCGGGCGGATGCGCGAGCTTGAATTGTGTAAGAGTTGATTACCGCAGTGGTGGGCGAAACAAGGCGGCTGATGACAGTGTTGATTACGACGTTATTCAACCACTGACCGGGGGCTAATCGGGGAGCGGCTTGTGCTAGCAGCTTGAGGTCTGGCCGTAGAGTCATAGGCTGATTCAGGTTCTTGGATTCACTGTTCGTAGCGATATAGATATACTGAATAAATACCTTCTCTAATAGACTTATTGAACAGAATAGTATGACCCGGCTTAAACATGTCCAATTGGCTTCGCAGCTTGCTGCCAAGCGATCTTTGCACCAACAAGTACTTCCATAATGGGGTTCTGTCTGCCAGTTTCTTTAGGATCGTCGCCAATAAAATCCAACGGAAATCCGATGTCGAAATCTTTTATGCTTTCGATGTATCCGATCTGTTCGTCCGTTAGGCGAATACTCAAAGCCTTGATGTTGTCTTGCAGATGCTCGATCTTTCGACCACCAACAAGCGGAAACACGTTTCTCGTTTTCTGCATAACGTATGCGAGTGCAATTTGCTGGATGCTCTCCGTGTTGTGCTCAGCAGCAACCTTCTCCAAGGCCGCGCTGACCCGGCGCGCCTCTTCGCTCTGATTACTGCCACGGCCTTTGTCGCCGATCTGTTTGCGAGCCTCGAGTTGTTTGGCCGTCTGCAGTTGGCCGCCACCTAGGACGTCCCAAGGGCATAGGGCCATGCCAAAATGGCGAGCCATGGGGATGATGTCCCTCTCGAAATCGCGCAACATAAGATTCCAGCGACCCTGGTAAACCGAGAAAGGCGTTTTACCATGGGCTTTCGCATAAGTATTAGCGGCAGAAACAACCCAGGCTGGTGTGTCTGAGATGCCTAGATATAGTACTTTGCCTTGCTCCACGAGAATATGGAGAGAATCCATCAGTTCTTCAATGGAAGTAGTCCAATCCCACCAATGAACATACAAAAGGTCGATGTAATCAGTCTTCAGCTTGTGAAGGGAATCGGCGACAGATAGCTTCAATGACTTCTTATGGTTGCCTCCATAATTGACGGTACGCCCCTGTCCGAGATCGTGTGTGCGGTAGGAATTGGTGAATTTGGTGGCAAGAAATAAGAGGTCTCGATTGCCCCGCGCAGCAATCCATTTACCAATGTATTTCTCTGACTCCTCATCCTGATAGTTGTTGGCGGTGTCGATAAAGTTTCCTCCAGCGTCCACATATGCATCCAGAAGCTTGAATGACTCCTCCTCATTCATGGAACCCATCATTGACCCCCAGGCCTGCCCAATGGACATAGCGCCGAGCACAAGGGGGGAAACACGGACCCGGCTGTGCTAGACAGAACGCGATAGCGACCGAGTTCGGTCTTGGGCTCGGGGGGTGGGGTAAAGTCCATTTTGAACAGCTTTAGTGTGGAGGGTGTAATTCTTTTTCGTTCTTTCTCTCTTTTCTTTTTAAGGCGGAGGAGAATAAGTATAGGATTAATAGAAGGCTCCAATACGTAGAAGTACAACTTTTGTCGCTACTTATAAACAGTTCCATCTAGTCACGTCGGCTGGTGTCTCCACCTCTGGGCTCTATGATACCGGAGTTAAGAGGCACATTCGACCGAACAGAATATATGCCCTTTTATTTCCTTGATTCCAGCCCTACATACTCGACTTAGCTGGAAACTCAAAATGACGATTTTCGCTAGTCCGTCCCCTGATGCCTGTCTAGTGCGGATCCGAAATGGTTTTAAAAAGGGGTAGGGGCACCCTTCGCCAAGAAATGATACTACCTTTTGGTGAAAAACATCCTCTCATCGACGGAAAAGTCCGCATCTCTCCACGGTGGTACGAGGTGATTGAGGCGTTACCAATTCCTATCTCCGGAAGAACCATGTTATTGAGCTGTGTGATACTTCGATTTGTAAGTGTCAATTATTAAACTTATCCGACCTCGCACTGGATTCCTGCGGCAATATTAAATTATCAAGGGGTCGCACACCCTACCGCCAGCCGGATGATCCAAAAGCAAGCCCATCATCTTCGACCTACGACTCAAAGCAACACCTAATTTACATTATCATTCTTTTTTACCAATCATCACCATGGCAAAAGTTATTACAGTCTTTGGCGCCACCGGCTCCCAAGGCGGTAGTGTCGTTAGGACGTTCACGCATGATCCCAAACTTAAATCAGAATGGACGGTTCGCGCAGTCACCCGGGATGCCACTTCCGATGGAGCCCAGAAGCTTGCTGCTGAAGGCATCGAAGTCGTCATTGTATGTTATTGTTTGTCCCAGAACGAGGCGCCGTTGTGTATCGCCTTCTCGCCCGCCTGCTCCGAGGCTAATTTTGACCGTCACAGGCCGACGCAAACAATAAGAAATCTCTGTTAGAAGCCATGAAGGGCTCAACCGCCGTTTTCTCCATGACCACCACTGGAAATACGGACTGGGGGCAGTCCGACATCGAGCTTGAGCTGCAGCAGGGAAAAAATTTGGCCGATGCAGCGAAGGAAGCCGGGGTGGCCCAGTATATCTGGTCTTCTCTCCCGTACGTCCAGAAACTGACAAATGGAACTCTGACCTACGTATACAATTTCGACACTAAAGCTCGGATAGAGGAGTACGTGCGAAGCATTGGTATTCCAGCAGCATTTTTCCTGCCTGGCAGCTTCATGACTAATTACTCAGCGCGCCTGTTGCAGCCATCTCCAGCTCATGACGGGGCGTATGCTATTGCTCTGCCGTTTGGTGCAGATCGTCCAATCGCCCTCTTCGATACTGCAGATACTGGCAAATTTGTCAAGGCCATCATTAGGCACTGGAATGACGTTGTCGGCAAGCACATACTAGGTACCTCAGGCGATGTTACCGGTGATGAGATCATCACGACATTCAAGAGAGCGTTTCCCGAGGCTGGTAAGGGCGCAGGCTGGCATGAGCTGGATTATGATTCATGGGGTTCTTTCGTTCAAGGCCCAGGATTGATGAAAGAAACCATGATTGACAACATGAAGCTCATTGCCGAGTACGGCTACTTTGTTGGAGAAAGTTATGAGTTGACCCAACGGATCCTAGAGGACGATCTCACAAGTTGGGAGCAACACATCAGGAAGAGTCCGGCTTATAAGGGTTTGAAATAAGGTTTGGGAGATTTGCTGCAAGCTATAATTCCTATGCAATGGCATTTGCAATTCTTGTAGCCTATACGGACCATGGTTAAACTTGCTGGTTTGGCTTAATTGGTGCCCGATTATTGCTGGATCGTTCTCACAGTCTTGAAATGTAATATCAGAACGTGGCCTGAGTAACGAGCTGTAATTTACTATTTGTGACGAACACGCTAGGCACGAAGATGCTAGTCCGCAAAGTGCGTTGATTTTTCCAGAATCTACAGCCCTAGAGGCACAATATATATCCCAAACCGGCTGGCAGGTCTCTATGTGCTTGGGACGAGGAATAATTGGAGTTCGATGGAAGGTGGTTGTGGCTTTGTAGTTGGGCATTGCTAGGGGAGATAATTAACTGCATTGTGGTTGCCCACCAAGACTCATCCCAGCATCTACTAAGTAATAAGTAGTGTTAGTCTAATAGTTGCTAATGTCACTGCGGTTAGCTTTTCTCTCGTTTATCTTGAGGTTTATTCACCCTATACCATATTAATATCTCTACTAAATATTGTGTGGTACACCTAACGTTCCTGCTTCATGCAGCGCCGAACATGACCAGAACAGGGGTATAAACGTGAATGCAGAAATCTGCAGGTATCTGAGGCATGTCGGCTGCCGAGGAGAAAAAGTAGTGTGAGACCGAAAGTATACCAGCATTTTCTCAGAGATGTTGGTTCTACCGAGCTTTTTCACGTGGTCTGGCATGAAGGATGAGTCAGAGCAGCTATCTCGAACTTCAGCCACTGGGAGTGGGCCTACTGGGCTCAGTCAAATCCGAGTAGACATGGCCGTCTTGGCTATGCTCGTCCTCTTCATTGAAAAATCAGTACATATACGGTATTCAATACCAAGGCCAACTCAGAATGGTTTCCGAAGGCTTTAAAGCATAGTCGTTTAGCTGGGCGATCAGAGTCTGTGGTGAGATTGATTTAGTTCCGAAATAATCACAAGCCCCTATTATGGGATTGGAATTACTCGTTCACGCTTTAAAGAACAGTGAAGAAAACTCTCGGACGTCGAAGCACTTCAAAATTCAAGAGCGCAAAGACTGCATTCAACAGCAGCGAGTCTCAGCTAGCAATATTACGACGTGAACAGCTTCTGGTGGTCTGCGTGCAAGCTTAACGCTACTTTCAAGGGAATCCTGTTCGTGGATGGTCCTAGAGTTGCAAAGCGAAAATACTCTTCGACCATTCTGAAACAACTCGAAGACTGCAGAAACACGGCTGGTAGAAGTCTTGAGAGATCGTCGTACCCTGGGAATATCATTAAGCCCACCCACAGGACTCAGAAGTCAAGGCACAGATCGAGTACCATCATGGCAACTTGACGAAGTTTCTCAGTCTCTCAATTCCAGTTCTGTTCATGAAAAGTCTCGAGGAACAAATAGGCCCACGATCTTTTGGGTAGGAATGCTAATGTTGGGCGCGATCAACTATCTTGAAATGAGGACTATTAAGAGACGGCTGGGTTCATTTAGAATTCAGATAATAAGAATCAGCTCACGAGTTCCAATAAATTCAGGCCACTGGTCATCTATAATTATTCGCTATAAAATGTTCTTTTGCCATCTGGAAATTGTACTTGGTATTCTGAGGTTTTGTCAGGGGGTCAATGTCGTAGGCCGGAAGCTCGTTCATCATTTCAACCTTTACTTGGAGTTGACCGCGAAAAGAAACCGAAGGGCACTCGGCGATGACGCTCGAGTTTTAGATCTGGCGTTCTCACTCTCACTGGATCCCGTCCAATCATTGGACATCAGGTTCTGAACCAAGGCACAACGAGCCGTCCAGGCCGAGCAATCATTATAATTCCGTGATGAAAATATCTTTTCACGCCAGATAGGCATCAGTTCATTTCATTATCGCCTGAAGCGGTAACGCACTGCTGGTGAGGAATTCCACAATAAGCTGACAGTAACACTCCCGGTGGGAACGAATGATTCCAGATCGGCCTCTGTCGGGGACAGGATAGTCTGGATGGTATGGATAAAGGGACTTTTGTAGAACGACACCAAACAATTGGACTATCTCAGTCACTTTAAAGCGAACGAAGCTTGCCAAGTCGGCACAAAGTTGACCTTTTTCTGGGGCTGCGGGCTCTGATCAAAGTCTTTAGGGGGAAAGCTTCGGGTAGGCGGCATCAACTCAATCCTTCGCGTTGACAAGAATTGGGTCTTATCCATGATGTAGCCGGATAACCCACTGTTCTTGCAGACAACCTAGTTAGCGAAAACGGTGGTTCCGTATCTGCCTAAGAAGTGTGGACCTAACACGAAAAGCAAGCAATCTGGGGAAAAGCTTATGTGACAACTACTTTGAGATTATTACTAAGAACATCATTGTGGTTGGTAAACGATATAAGGAATAGTATAAAAGCCCTCGTTTGTGGTGTTAATTTGGGAGCTCTAACAGGACAACTCATTAATTACGCACTCGACAACTACTCTCATCGACACCCCCTCAAGTCTGCCACCATGCTTCTCTTGTCCGTTCTCAGCGTTTTGCTGGGTGCCGCCGTCGCCCACCCTCTCGGTGCTCCGGCTGATGCCAAGTCCTTGGATATTCGCCTATCGGACATGAGTCCTGCCTCGCCCCTTGAGACGCGTGCCGAGTGTTCAACTTTGGACACCGTTCTTGAAAAGATTGGCACAAGCAGCGAAGTTGTTGTGTACGCCAGCACCGGCGGTCTTACGGCGCTCTACGTCTGCAGACGCGTGCATGGGAACCAATGCGACGAGCTTGCCGGTGCCATTGCGGCGGCCGTGGCCAGCATTTTCCTGATCCTGCAGCGATCCGGCGCTATCTCGGCCCGTGACGGCGAAACCGTCGAGTCGCTCGTCGACTTCCTTACCCGCGAGCTGTCCAGCGATGGTGCGACGTTTGAGTCCATCACCGACGCCACGCCTCATCTCCTGGCGCGCTACGACAGCGCAGAGCGCGTTCCGGAATCGGTTGCGAGCGTGCAGGGCCTCAACTACCTCAACACAACACTCAGCATGGACGTCTACGACTTTGGCGGCGGCGAGGGACACATCTACCTGCCCTTCAACGATGAGCACATCACCAAGCGCATGGAGAAGCGCGCCACGGCCCCGGGATTCAAGATTGCCTACACCACCCGTCTCCAGTCCAAGCTCACCCGCGCTCACCAGATCCAGATGTCCCAGAGGCTGGCAACGTACTGGAACACTCGTGCCAACTGCTGCAACATGCATGATCTCATCGGCTTCGTCGAGACCGGGCACTCTGCCAACTTTTACTTCCGAATCATTCCCGAGACGGTCAACTTTGGTCTCAACTACGAGACCGTCGACTCTTGCGGTCAGATGGCTCGCTTCCTCTAAAGGTAAAGTCTCATAATCTTTGAGACTTGGGTGAGAAGAATTGGAGGGAAGCTGGTTCAAGAATGACACACAAAAATTTCTGTCACCATTTGTAAATATCTCTCTCCCACTATCTACACTCAATCTTGCTCATTTTCTCTTGTTTGGTGAGATATTTACTGGAAGGTCCTGAAAAGACCACAAAAATACAATCAAACAACATAGTATCTGAACTGCCCATAGAAACAATAGTCGTTGTTTTGCTTCAGTGCTCAGACTCTCCTGGTTGCCCCGGGAAAACAGTAGAACAGACTGGATAAACGCAACTGCCAGCCATATAGCTAATATCAATTTAGTTTCCGCTGGTGATTGAGTGGGGGCCTTTGAACAATGCATACTGGTTATTCTAGCTCGGCTCCCAACTCGGAGTACGAGATGAATCAAATAGAAAAGAGAGATGCATGAAGTGCCAAAGAGAACTATCGCCTTGCTGTTAGTATATGCTCGAGTTTGGTAAAGGGTAACCATGAATGAGGAAATCGACGCATACAATTATCAACCAAATCTTTGTTAGCGCATTCAAACTGGTCGGAGAAACAAAAATATCTATAGAGCTCCGTGAAAGACATTTTTGATTTACTGTGGTCTGGTTTGTTCGAGTTTGTTTGATCCGAAAGTCGTCAACAGAAGGGGACCATAGTGGTTCGGACTAGCGACCATAAGTATCTCTTAGAAATGGGTCATCGGGCGTCCTTCTCCACTCATTCGCACGAGCTTCTTTTCCCTTGTTGGAAGAGCTCCGCTTTATAAGCCGAGTAGCCGATTAGCGGCCCGCGATGCCAAGAATCCTTCTCGAGTACCCTTGTCGTCAAGGGATGTAGTCGTGCATCACGTTACTTTGGTTGCCTATCTTGCGAGATATGCTGGATGTTTTTTATAACCCTGCTTTCGATCTTAATACACAAGGGAGCTTCCATCCACGTCTGCATATGCGTAGACAAGTAACAGGTAACTTTCGGCATTTGATAGGTGCCGAGTTGCGCAGCACAAGCTCTTGGCCTACTTCTATATACTTGTTTTCCATATAAGCCGGTAATAGTGGACATGCATGGTTTTTATCACTGCATCGGATACAAATATATGTTTCTATGGTGCCTGCTCTACCCCCCCGCCGTCAAGAAACGGAAACAAGACTATAGCATGTACCGTGAACTGTCTTCAACCCTCTGTGTTATCGACCAGGCTGCCTGTGGACTAGAAACAGGTACCGTAGCCTAGCGTGCCAAAAGTTCTCTTGTTGGAGCTCATCTGATGACGGCTTATGCCTCTCCCCATAATCTGTGGATACTTGACATCACACTACCGCGCTTGCGGATGGCTCTAAGGCTCAAACATGTGGGACGGAAATTCTCGGGATTTGCGGCCTGTTGCCTGGGAGCAAAGCCACCGCCCCTTTGGTGCGATTTATTAGCCAGGGTCCGTCTTTCAAACCCGTTCAGTCGCTCGCGGTTCCCAATTACTGGGACTAGCCATGAAATTTTGATCTGTTAACTATCATAGTAAGCGCCGTTTGTTACTTTTCTCGATATTACCCGAGTGAAATTAGTGTGCTTGATACCCGCTTATAAGATTATGTGGATGGCTATGTGAGGGGTCTCAGCTCTAGGTCTCCTCCTAGAAATTCAGGGGGAATGGGCTGACTATTCATTCCTCAACATGGTAAAAAGCAAGCAACTTTCCTGGAGAAATCCGAGTTTGGATATTCTCGCCCGACAGACCATATACAAATAGCTCACAGAGCCGCGGTGCTTACAGAAGGGCGAAGCCCACAAAGGGCGAAGCCCACAAAGGGCGAAGCCCACAAAGGGCGGAAGCCTGTGGCCCACCGAGCTGGAGGAAGAGATGGCGGGTCCTGTGCCCATTCTTTGGCCTGAAGGGTGTGAAGCTCGAAGAGGACGACCACGTTGGGATACATTCTTACATCAAGAAAGCCAAAGTGATTGGGAAGTCATGGCAGACAAACATGATGTCCAATTCCGCCGCCTCAATACGATGCTTCAAGTACCTACTTGGGAATACGCCATGGTATCTTAGTTGGACTTTAACCGACCTTATGGTGTACCCAAGGTCTATTCCTTCCGCATTTCAGGGAACAGGGTTGGACTAGAGTAGCCCTGTAGAAGAAAATAAGTGGGATTGTCAATATGCTTTTATTTAATAATACTGTGTCTTTTGGTAATAGCAGTGATCTCATGGACAGGAGAACAGTCTAAAAAAAATGAAAGTTTATGTAAAAATGCTACAATCGGACAATGTCGAGGCGGTTCACTGAAAAACGCTAGAGTATTTCATTTTCGACGTCAAGTTAGACCTTTGACCGGACACTGTGTTCGACAATGACCTCCGTAGCCTTGATGATGCCCCTCACTCTCTCGGGCCTGCTACCCTTCAGCATCGAGCCTTGACCTGTTAACTCATCTGCATCCCGGCTTTGTGATGTAGCAGTAACACTTGTCTCGCCTCTGGCAATACCGAGGCTGTGATGGTTGCCACCGGAGGCAACAGTCCAGTTTTGGAGCTCATGATGATGCCTATCACGCTGCGTGTCGTGGTGGCTACGACCACTATACTTACTAGAGGTAAAACCTCTAGCAGATTCCCATTTACTTCTTAATTGGCTGCTGTAATCTTTGAGCACATGGCTTCTGCGTTGTAAACAATGGCGTATGGTCCTTAATAGAGGCTTCAAAGTTGGAGCACATGCTGCAATGATGCCCAATTGTAGTTGTAGGCTAAGTAGCATGATGAATATGCGTAAGCATAAATGTCGCCTGGTGAAGAGGAATCCGGTGCACTCACAAACCCCAAAACTGCACGCTTTGGTTGAAGGTTGAGTCATGGTTGTTGTGGGCGTTAATCTGGTAGACAGCCTTGACGATGCCGATGGCGACGGCGCTATGAGATTTAAGTCAGTTCTACGGAGTCCTGCTCATTGCATAGTACTTTTCTGTTCTGATACTTACAAATATCCCAGACTTAAAATTCCAATTACATAAGCCCGGATTCTGCGTTTCATTTGAAGTTTCATGATTATTGGAACAGGAAGCGCAGCTAATACAATGTCGGTCAGGATATTTAGTCCTAAGGGTGACATTAGCAGCATGCATGCAGAAGTTTTTGGTAACATTGTCTCTGGAGCTGCCGCACCTGTGTTCACAACGCCGAATTGGTCTAAAACATTCCTGTCCGCGCACTTGGGGTTGATGCTCTTATCCCAAAAGCCGGACATGGGTCGACAGTGGAGGAAGAAAGGAAACATGCCCCCAACGCAGTAGACTACAGTGAAAGCTGGCCGCTTTAGTTTCAGCTTAATGTGCTGACTGAGTATTAGAACTCACCGATTGTTGCCCGTAACGCGCCCTTGTACCAATTACTGTCGGTTAAACGAAGTAGGCTAAGAGCAATGGATACTTTCAACCACATGAAAGCGCCGCCGGCGGAAATAATGGATTGCCAAAATCCAGCTTTCTGGTATACCACGTAATCATGTTTTTTGTTGATTGTCAAGAAGTGTTTTCCTAGACCATGGTTTGCTTGGATGAGAAAGACCACCCAACCTCCGGCAGCACACAGCTACTAACCCCGTCAACGCCAGTCCCAACGAGATGCAGGGTCGAGGAATGCACACTCACCGAAGCCAAAATGATCGTCCAATCATCCCACCACGGTGACTTTATAACCCATAGCCTCACATATAACCGCAAACCGACGCTCGTGAGTGCCAGCAAGTGGATCGCGGTAACAACAGCAATGATGCGCGCGGTGTTGCTCTCGGCGGCCCAATTAGGATCCAGTGGTGAGCTAAGGGTTCCATTCCCGCTACTCATTCTTGTCCTTGCATTTCTTCCGGAAGGAGACCTGGTATCTGTGGGGAAAAGTGTCTAGGAGGAGGCAGAACAAGGACGATCAACCTCAGAACGTCACAGCCTGAAGGGAAATAGACGAGGTTGTTGGAAGGCGGGGAAATTTATTATGGGGTAGACCCAAGTCGTTCATAGAGCACCGAGGATGATTTCTTACCCAAGTATGTCCCTGATTGAAAAAGCAGCATGTATTATCTTAGTTAACTCACTTTCATACTGCGGCTTTGCGGCGGCATGAAGGAATTGAAAGATATTATTGCTTTTTGTAACCTGTTTGCCGTGAGTTGTGGCCCAATGCCATCATGAGGTTACGAGTCAGCCGTTTAGGCTTCAACTTGTACAAAAAAGTAGATCTGAGTCTAAAGTTCTCGAAAATTTGTTATTCCGCTGCCGTTTGCCACTCGCTGTGCCACATACTTTTTCAACTGCTGTCTGTTCATCGTGCCAAACTGGCTTGCCTAACTCACGATTGCTAGGCTATTAGAGCGGACGTGGAACAAACCTACCCTCTGAAGAATAGAAACTCCATTTCTTGCTTGAAAATAAAAACAACTAGCCTATAAAAGGCGATTTTGGTCCTGAAGCAGCTCGTCAAGTAGGATGGTCTTGGGCTCGGTCTAATGTAAAATACGGTTTAATCACATATCCGTGTTAAACCAATGTTTCATCCTAACAATTTTAGAAAGCTTGTCGCATCCCGAGTCAGTACCACTATCTCGGGATAACCATACATGACCACGAGCGGTTATTTATACCTAATATCTATTCTCGGTCGTGAGTCCCTCCTTTTGGTAAACTTGTGAGTTTGTATAAGCTTCTCGCCGTTGTCTTATCGGTCACTAAAACGAACCATGACTTAGTTCGACAGAATTTGACGTAAATCGATTTCCCTATTGAACTGCTAAGATGCTGAATCCAATTAGGACTTTACTAGCCGCTGTAATGACAAAGGAAATTCCACCCAGCAGCAAAACTAATGACATTTGGCGCCCAGGGATTATTATTCTCTGAAAGCAACATGGAATATAAGACTCACCTCTTGGGCGATCCATAACTAGCGTATGCTTGACCTGTTTTAACTTAACCACTATGCAAACCTGCAGCCCGAGTGATCTTTGTCGCCCTAGTTTTGAGGCAGATGGATGCATCAATTTAGCCCACAGACCCCAACCAAATGATAGCCATACCAATCAAATTTTTGACTTAGTTAGCCAGAAGTACCATTGCACTCACCACTACTGCTGAGCTGCAGCTTTTCAGAGGAACCTGTTGGACAGAAAACCAGCCTCCTGATGACTGTGCCAATATTCCTGTGCAGATCTTGGGGTCAGACAGCCCATCACACACCTCATTCAACCACAGTGACAGGATCTCCTCGTGGACATGGCAGTAGTTGAAGGTCAATAGGTACTCCTTATTAAAGCGATCCAGCTCATTCAGCATAAGGAACAGTTCGGCCCTGCAATCTAAAAGTTGACTATTTGCATTCAAGGTTGACTCATACATGCCTTCTTGGTGACTTCCACCGACCAGACGCTGGAGCCGGTAATCTTCTGTCGGGTTGAAACTCTTGCGCGAGGATCAGGTCCATGAAACACCCCCTGATTTCAACCGGGGGACATAAGTATAAATATCTGTGGCTGGCATAACTATGATGAAATCTGCCCTGACATCTCGGTAGGTTCACAGAGTGTGTCGAACTAAGTATATTATGTGTTGCGAAACCACCAAAACCAGCTAAATCTGGCATGTGCTGCACAGGTGATGACGTCTTCGATCGGTGCTGAGTGCTCAACGTCTCGGCGGACAATCCGGCGATCAAACTGGAAGTCCTTCAGAGCTGGCACGCTGGCACGCTGGCACGCTGGCACCGGATATCCGGCGGCAAGTGCTTCAAATGGACTCTCATTAAGTGATGAATCTTCTTCCTACATAACAAAAGGATGGAGGCCCGTCCCTACTGTAGCTTGGATGTAAAACGACTTAAAGTGATGATAATATTGTCTAGTAATGGGATCACCCGTCAGGCAGGACGACATCCCAGCCAAGCTGGGTTAGGCCCCAAGAAATGTGAAGAACTACCGCCATAGCCTCCAACATCTAGTTCCCGTTGATTCGTGCCGTCTGTTTGAATATTCATGCGTTTGGTTTGTTTTGTGTTACTGTTGTCATCAGTGCCTAGGCCGAGTGTTCCTGCAAGGTGTCTGGGGGGGCACTGTTTGATTAAATTAAAGAGAATTATAGTGGTGATAATGAGCCAGGGGACACATCATCTCTCGTCCTCAATGTCTGATTCCTGAGAGGCCGTGTCAGATGTCCTCAACACTCTTGGAAAGACTAGTCACCCGTGAACTTCAGGACCGGAGGAGTAACCAATGCTCTCAAGGCCATGCAGTTCACATGTGAAGCTACTCGAGTCAAGGACGAAGTTCGGGGGGATTAATGAGTCAACCTTTCTGAGCACATCCGTCTGACCTCCGGGTCCTCTGTCAAACCCTCGATGACCATTCAAGCGTTGTGGTGTGGCAGACACTATGGAGAGTCTCTGAAACTTCATCACCTTGTCCACCAAACTGACGTTACTAATTTAGACACCTGCCTGTATGATATTGATACGCGCATCAAATGACCACGGTCTGGATGAGTCGAGCAGAAGTAGAAAACTAAGCTTGTGATATCCCTCGGAATTCACACATACGCAAATCTCGTGAATGATCTCGGCTTTATGGATCTTAACAGCTACAAAGTAGGTGATCAGGACTGATCGGTTATTAGCGGTAGACACCTGGAACGCATCGGATTCAGTAGCCTTGGTGGTGGATGAGTATATTGCTTTACCAGCATTTTTGTAAGGTCAAGTTCCGAGCCTTGGTCCGCCTGGACTGCCTCCTTCGGAAGTAGTGGGACAAATCGCACTCTTTGCTGCTTTTGAGTTTGCATTCGACTCGTAATGGCCGTGTACAAGAGCAATTCCGACACAGCAGCTCCGTGCATCTGGAAGGGGAAGTAGTTGTAACAATCTGCTCATCTGCATGAAGCCATCAGCCCTAAGGCAGAATGGCCGGCAGGAGCTTGACTGCGGTGCGGGTGGGCGTCTCGGTTTCCCTGCTTTTCGCTCTGGCTTCGATGTGGGTTCGACTCGATGAGGAGTGGAATCGGCCCTGTTTGACTTAAAACTTGGAACCCGAGCACCAGTGTGATGTCGTAGGTCTCAGTTGTCAGAGTATCCCAGGACAATGTCTTTCCACCCCAAAGCACCTCCTTACTCTACATAGAGTGCAGTCAACGTCAACGGTGTTAGCATCTGGACCCGATTGTTAGGGTCCACATCAGGTTCAGCCAGCAGTTTGAAGATCTGAGAAGCCACGCAATCGAGCAGCTCCACAGAGGCGGTCTCAACAGAGGAGGCATTCACAGGGTACTCCCCTAGTCTAGCGTTCGCCAACCAGCTCTAGTAATAGACAGCGATAGGTGGTGGAATTTCCGTTATCCTCGAATTTACACCAACATACTCGACCTCTGGTCCCAGGAACTCATGATCATAACGCCAGAGCTGATGTAAGTCATCAGAGTCTTCTGGAAAGCAGATAAATTCCTAAGAACTCAATCAAACAGATCAAGCAAGAGTGGGCATTGACCTCGCCAGATGGTGGTATTCGGCCATGGTCCGGCTGAACGGAGCTGGTCCCCCAGGACCATGACCCTCAGGATAGCTCGATGTCTTGGTGGCAACGCAGTATTTTCACAGTTGTTCTCCTTCCTTGACACCGTCACTAACGGCGCGAAACCCATTGACTCAGCCTTTCTCATCGCCCTCCAGATCATCATCTTTGTGCCCCTTGTCTCAATCCGCAATATCTCGAAGCTCGGTCCTGCTGCTCTCCTCGCCAACATTTTGGTCGTCTTAGGCATGGGCTGCCTCTGTTGGTATGATAAATCCGCTCTTGCGACCCGTGGCATAAACTGGGATTTTGTGACATATGTCGCCATAATTCACGCAGCCCGGGTTGTATGCAGTGCCTGTGAACCATTTACCAAACCGTCCGTGGATCTATTCCTTATTGGAAATGAAGACCAATGCACCGGTTCGATCAAAACGGTCATTTTGGGGTGTCAGTTGAGTCCGGGCTGGCTGGTCATTATTTCCCCTGCAGAAATCATTCTTGGCAAGATAACCGCCAACAACAATTGTCTGGAACCGATCGCGACGCTCTGCTCATCTGTCTTGTTCGTTCTGCGTGGGGAAGGTCTGACTTACCCTTGGGTAGCTTGGGCGCTGATCTCAGCACACTGGCTAAGTGGCCTAAGTTTGAGCTTGGTTCACCCCTTGTATGCCGAATTGGAATGAAAAATTGCACGAAGCAGCGCTCATCGGAACAGATAACATGGTACCTTCATAAATACGTGTATCTGATGGTGCAGGCAGCTCGAAGTCATTGTGGTGGCCGAGAATCTATTTACTAGGAGACTCACTGTTTTGCTCTTTGCTTTGCTAGATTAAAGTTTACTCTACTAATGCAGCTCGCTGACTAGCTACCTGGGTAAGTCGGATTAGAGCCGACTCTTTCGTATCTTTCGCGTGTTTACCACGATATCATAGGCCTACTTCAAGTTAGGAGTCCGGTCAGCAAACTTCCCTACAGTCTCCCATCGAAGCTTGTCATCCTTTAATCTCTAGAACAAACTAGCGGACAAGCTGCGTAAGTATAGAAGTGTCGGCCAAACTGATAGCACTGCCTCGAATTGAGACTCGGCAACCGGTCAGTTTAACCATGGCTATAGCTCTCTTGTAATATGGAGCTACGGCATCTTCATCTTTCTATCCCAGGCCGTCAATGTTAGGCTTCCCACCATCTCCATCTTTCAGTTGGAGAGCAAAACGGACCCACAGGACTTGGTTTAAGTGGGTAAGGCCAGCTGCGGTAAGTCTCGCTATTTGGCCCACTGAAAGATGCGAATCAGGTGTGTAGAGTTGTCCAGTGAGTCAGCTGTCTTGTTCTCCCAGGACATGTTGATAGTCTTCATAACGGTGACTGAATATGCTGCCGGGGCAGTTTATACTTCTTAGATTCGAAATGCAGCCCAGATAATCCATCTAGCTACTGGGTTTGTAAGTGGAGGGATGAGAAATAGATGTTATAACCCGTCGATAGTTGGATGACGAGGATCTGGGTTAGAACTTGACGAGCTTGAGGACCGTAAGCTCTCATTGGTTGAATAGGTACCCATACCACAGTAAGGATATACCTTCACCTGAGTCAATGCGTGAAATAAAAGAGGAAAAGATACAGAGGCATCTCCATTGTCTGTCTCCGAGGGCGATGTCAATTCTGTAGCGTCAGAAAAAGCCAGTCTAAGTCTGGCCATGCCGATCTGGCGCCAGTCCACACAGGAGCCTTTCGAGAACCAGAAAATGGTTTAATTTATTCAGTGAGTGGTGGAGAGTAGGCGTTTTCACATGCGGCTTAGATTTCTGGAAGGCGAGACTAGAAATAGGCCGCATCCAGGCGAGATGTTTTGACGGTATTGATTGAAGTTCGAAATGAGGTTCGTATTAATTAGAGGGTGTAGATAACGAAGTTTCTCCCACATTAGCTCATCATGGGCGCCTCAGACTCTCGAGAATAACAAAAATGGGGCGGCGAAACGCTCTGACGCCTCTGGCAGTTTCTGGCCAATGAAAGGCTCAGACTTGTCTGCCCCATTTTTGTTATTCAAGAGTCTGCGCAGGAACATGGGAATAAGCCGACATGGCTACAAGGTCAACGCCAGAATTGCCCTGCACTAATTCTTATTGTTCCCCTCTAATATAATTGATGACATTTATCGACCACTACGTTTAGTAGGTTGTTGACATGATCTATATCAGGCCGGGAGACTACTAATGCAGTCGGTATGCATTTTTCCATCTCATGACGAGCAGGACGGTGGGGGCAGTTTGGAGAATTGAACGAGCGAATTATTTCGCGTATGTTATAATTTCAAATTGCGAACCTAGATCAACATCGAGCTTGCAAGAAAGTATTAATAAGAATGAGGTTTCTGAGATGCACTCATCTCCTGTCAACCTGAAGAATTCCGTAGTTGATGCACGGACCATTTGGGAAGATTTCTGAAATCGTCCATAACTCTGGATGATTCCATCAACAGCTATCAATTCCCCATCACGCTATCATTAACGCTCTCGACAATACATAACCGTTAGCCACAGTATGTATAGTAGTTGTTGTGAATAGTCTCCTTTTTCAGGTTTGGGAAACCCCAGCTGGAAAACAGTCAAAAGCCAGCATCAATGGCGTCAATTGCTTGCAGCCCAGCCAATTCAACGTTTTGGGAAAAGTTCGCCAGAGATCCCGTCCCGGGCGGGCTACAGACGAGAAGAATATCTCAATTCCATGGCAACTGCATAATAAGAGATCGAGGAAGATTAGTTTGCCTTGTTCCTACTGTGGCAGTAGAAGTGACGTACAGGCTCTAAACGAGATATCTAGGAATAGCGTCACCGGGCCACAGAAGCGGAATAAGACTCGGAAGGGCTGCTTCGATTGTGATGTAACGTTATGTAACTATCGATAGAGATTGTTGGCACCTCTGGCATACACAAGATCTCTAGTACATATATGTACTCTTAATCTCAGCATATGATTTGATGGAAACTTTGGGTATTGAAGCCCTGATTAGCTTTACCCCTCCCTTAGCAAAAATGGGCTCCAATGCCGCTCGATAGGATAAGAAATCGGATGAAACAATGTTGAAGGATCTGCTGAAATAGCACTAGTTGAAGACTCAGTATTCACAAAAGGTGTCGGCTCATGACGCTCCGAGAAGAGGGCACTGATCAAGCGTCTTAAGTACGGTACACGCAAATTTTGGCAACATTCTAGAGTAAAAGAATATCGGGATGTATCACATAACATTAGCGTATCAAAGATTTACCGCTGGATACAATTGCCTGATGCAGAATGGGTTACGAGCAGACATCATTCCCATTTCCAGGTTTGGGAGGCTGGTGTGGAGGCTTGTGATGGCGACCGCAATCTTAGCTATCGCTGACAGAGTTCGAGATCGCATACAAGATGACCGATTGAGGTAGCCATCTCTAGTACGGCTATCTGATTGCCTTAGCCCAACTCCTCTTTCGTCGCACAAGAAAGCACCATGTGCCTAGCTTGGGACATTCCGGCACCGATATTATGTCGTCCGTTTTCGTCATTTGTGGAAGGCGTTCTTTAGGTAGTATGCGGTAAACACAGATGTCGCGACATAACCGAAACAGTCAACCGACTATAGATGGATAATTCAATCGCGACTCATCCTTCGGAAGTGCCATGAGAATGATCTGCGCAGTAGTGAATTTTTGATTGTGTGCATGCATATCGTGTATCGGTTGCTATTGGCCCAAGGCGTCATCGTCTGTATGTGTTGAGGTTGACGGTCAGGATCTGAGTTTGGCTTCAATGTATTTTACAGGGAATCTCAATCCGTTTCGGTACTTATTTCTTGACCACTGCCCCAAAGTCTATTACTTTGAATCTGTATGCCTGTTCTTTGTGTTACTAGGAACTCCTGGCATCGCTACCCAACCTTCTGTCCCTTGGAATTACGTATCAAATTACGGAATTGCCAGCCGTACTAAAATCCGACGTGGCATTGATCTTGTATTTATTAGGTGTGATCTTTTTTGAACCAGTTGCAAAGACGTCCAAAAACGAAAACGGCCAATTCAACTTCAACAGCGGCAACAGTTCAGTTTGTTGATTTCAACAAACTAATTCACGTTGAAAACTGCCCTATATACACGAGCCATACCAAATGCAATCCCAAGTACAAGCCAAACAAGGCGCCCTCTTCAAAGATGGCCAACTTATTCTTCAACCCGCCCCGACACAGGACCCACGAGATCCTCTCAACCTTCCTCTGCCACGGAAGCTCTTAGGGATGTCTTGTCTTTGCTGCTTCGGCGCACTGGCTGCGGCCGCTGAGCTGATTTTAGGAGCCATGTTGCCCGTCTTCGCTCTCGAGTACACCGGGATTGACCCCAAGATTATCAAGGGATTAACGGATGCTGGTGGCCTTCCGGCGAACACTGACCCTTTAGCGATTCTATCAAGTTTCCCTGGAGCGCCACCCATTCTGCACATCTACCTGTTGGCCTCTCTCCCGGTACTGGTGATCGGATTATCGAGTTTAGTACTGGTTCCCATGGCTATCTCAACCGGTCGTCGCCCCGTCGTATTGGTCACCGGTATCTTGGCTGTGATCGGAGCTGTTTGGGCTGGCAACAGTCGATCCCTACTCTCGCACTTGCTCGCTCGCTGTGTCCAAGCTGTTGGGGCCGGGAGTGTGGAGAGCCTGATTCCGTTCATTGTTCAAGACATGGTCTTCGTTCATCAGCGCAACCTATGGATATCCGCCGTCTTCGCGGCCCAAGGTCTCATTATCATCATCCTGGGTATTACAGCTCCATATGTTATCATCTATTTGAGCTGGCGCTGGATGTATTTTATTACAGCTATTGGATCATTCTTTTTCCTTATCGGTGTTGTCTTCTTTATGCCGGAAACTCGGTGGGAGCGGACGCGTGCCGAGAGGAGTAAGCCTTCTCTAACATTCTTGACTTGCTCGCTCTTGCTAACCTCTTAACTTTATAGATGGGGTTCCCCGAGATGAAATCGGCTTTGAAAAAGCTCCAAGGACCTTCGAGTACAACATTGCCTTTTACCATGGCAAGATGGAATGGCGTAAGGGTTGGAACGCCTTTCTCGACACCCTGCGTACCTTCTTTTACCCACATATCTTCTTCATCACTATGCTTAACAGCGTGATGATTGCTTGCGCATTTGCTGCTGGATATACTATTGCTCCCGCTCTTCTCACAGCACCTTGGTTGTAAGTAAGATTATTAGCCTTTCACGATCCACTGCTGATTTTCGACTAGATGGAGATTTCTAAACCTCGGTTTCTGTCTTCTACCGATCCTTTTCGCCGCAGTCGCAGTGGTCTTTATCACTGGAAGTGCTGCTGACTGGCTTGCAAATTACATCGCTAAGAGGCGCGGAGTTCGTGTGCCAGAAAACCAGTTGATCAATCTGATCATTCCAACTGTGTCAGGCCTTGTAGGTTCCGTGATCTTCGGCCTGGCTGGTTCCAATCAAGCCCAGTACTCTTATTTTGTATTCCTCGCTGGCCTCGGCCTAATGGCTTTCGGTTTCTTGGGAGCTAATTCGATTGGCGCGGTCTATGTCCTGGAGTGTTACCCTCATCTTGCAGGGCCAGCTCTAGTGAACATCGCTTCATTCAGAGCTTTGTTAGCATTCGTGCTCTCTTTCAAGATCTCGGATTGGGTTGTTCAAATGGGCTACTTCGGAGCTATGATGATCTATACGGGACTTATTGGCGCATTTGCTATTTCCCTACCGATCGTCTATGTCTACGGCCCGGCTTGGAGAAGCAGATGGCCTGCCGAGCATTTCGGCGACAAATGAAATTCCAGTAACAACCAAATGGTAAGCTTTTACTTTTGTACTTTGTTGAAGCAGTGCATATCAGACACGATTTTGTTTAATAAAAATTTGTTTTGGTGATCTGACCCTGCTTAAATGTAGCTCAATTTGAAGAAGCGAATGACATTGACTAATCCAGTATATTCGGCCTTTGGAAGAAGCCTAAAACCTTCAGTAGCGATGTATCAGACTTTGTGAATGGCGATGGCAATAATATTCACGTGCTGCGTAGATACCGAGGCCTTAGCAAGCATGTTTTCAAAAATCACGACCAATCATACTCTAACTTTCGCGTCTGACATTGAGTTGACCAATCGCACGAAAGTGTTTGAGCTACGGTTTTGGCCGCGATATCCAACAAGGCCCAGCCCGGTATAAATATTACAAATAAGTAGAGCTACGTAAACCCAAACTTAATATCTGCCCGCCTAATACAGATATTAACTACAACAATTTCACGATAGTATGTCATCACTTAGATTGTAACTATGTTTCAGCTGAGAAACTGGGTCTAGTAAGACTTGAAGTTGATGTCTTTGATAAATACGCAGTATTCGGAGCAGGTTGTTCCGTAATAAGGCGAAGATAGCCTGAACCGTTTACTGAGGACAAGAATTTATACCTGAGTGAGCCTTGCAGCAACTGTCGAAGTCGGATCTGCTTTTACCAGTAGGGACAATACACCCAGTCTAAATGAACGGTTCGAATCAGTGATTGCCATTAAGTGCCGAGAGCAACAAGGTTTGAGAAACTTTTGGGCGAGTTCACTTGGTTATATGCGTGCGGCACTCTACTTGTGGGATTTGGGGGCCGGATGGGAGTAGACATGAGACTTACACCCTCGAAGGTATTGCGTCCACAGCAGCTCTTCGTCAGTCCGTTGTGTTGTGAAAGATCGGCGCCACAGCAAAAGACGAATGTGCCAGCAGCGACACTAAAGGGTATACATGTCAACTTCCTCAACAAGCCTCTCACAGCAATTCGATCCGTAATTTCGCCGTTTCTCATTAGATTTGAGCATTTTCTTTAGGAAGATTTTATGACCTACACTATACCTATAGGGAAAAGCGAAAACCCAGCCATAAACTGCATTTTTTGTGGTCGTTCCTCTCGTCTCCGTCTATAAGGAACTTCGAAGATGGTTGACTCACATACAAGTGAACAGCATAACGCCTCAAACGCAATGCACAACACATACGGCACATCCGAATAGCAGCAAGAGGCATGGGGGTTGCATTCAGGATGGCTTTTTACAGCGTCAGATTATCAGAGAATCTTGATTAAACCGTTGATGTTTCAGTAAAGACGGAAGTAACATAACCAAATTCATCAGCACATCTTTCGCACGAACTTGACGAAAGTCATGTACACCGCGCCGTAAGCCTCTGACTGCGAGCTCTGCATCGCGTGTGAACTGACTTCCTTTTGTTCAGCAGGGGAAAAAGAAAACGCTGGCAATGCGCTTTGGATACTTGAAGTTCTTTTTATTGCTGCTGCAGCTTTCGCGCCGGAACTGAAGAGTTATTCAAGCTCGCTGTTATTAATACTACACTCGCATAGCTTTACCACCTTTCTGTAAGCAACATCTTGATTTTGTTTCCGCAATAATGTAGCTAGCGTTTAGCACTCAACAAGCTATCGATGTATCACTACCATCATAGTAGTTAGAAAGTTTAAATAATGGAGGGTCGGCACTGCTGCTCTAACGAGCTAATCTTGGCAGTGGGGCACGAATTTGATGTTCGGCTTCTCAACCCGTTCTCATACAGTCGAAGAGTCCCATTCTCTGCAGCGAAATATAGTACAGAAAGAAGTATCGTTTACTTACGGTGTAGTTATAACGCCTAGCTTTTGTTTATTGAGAAAAGACATCGCGGCCTTATTACGATAGGATTTGTGAATAGATATGGAGCGCCTAATTGAGAGATATGTTAGAAGAAATCTATACCATAATCCATTATGGACGTGCTATACACACTGGAGTACAAGCAATGTTTACAAGAACCTCTTTCATCATCTGACACTACAAGGGCCACCATCCTCCAGGATGAAGTCACTTGCTTCTTTCGCAGTATCGAAATAGAACTCTAATATTTCCTAGTGCTTCTGCTTTGTGCTATTGTTGGTTGCACTGACCTGCCTGTAACAAATAGCTGCGATGGGGGGTTAACTGCTGTGTATTACCATCTAAGCGTAGCCACAAACAAATAGTATGAGCAGGTGAAACAAGATTCTGCGTTGATTGGCATGTAAACCTACTAAGTAATCAGGTGAATCTAAGTTAAAGCCCTCAATTCTTCCGAATCTACAAGTAGGGTGTGTTTCAAGAGGAATAGCTGTGCAGCATTAAGAGGGAGCAATGTAGATAGAGTCGAAGGCAATCTTCCGTTATATGCTGAGCTCAGAGAGGGGCTTACAGACAGACCTATTTCGACCTTTTTCAATTTCACGCATAGAAGAGCTAGTGAGAAAACCTTGATGAAGGCCCAATATTTACCCGCTACCCTGATTCAGGTTGCGACATCTCGAATGGAAATAACAAGCTTCCTAATCACACGTGCACAAGCAGTGGTGACATGGAGTAAGACCAAGAAGGCTGAAGTTCAAATGCTTATTGACTCCCACTTAAATTATGGCATTCCGTATAACCTTCAGTCAGCTCGTGGTGGCGTGGACACCTGGTATTACAGCCGGATGCCTAGTGCCGGAGCGATTCATTGTGTTGCCGTTGTAACCGATTACGCACGAGTCATTGCTTGTGATTAATTTGAGCCAATATAGAGCCCTTGCGAGTACCTCAGTTACGATAATGTCACAAGAAGGCGCAGATGGTGTTATTTTAGTACCGCTTTATCAACGTAATGGTAGTCACGTAGACCCCTTTGCATAATGTTAGTAAGAATGGGGCTTTTTGTAGCATCCAAACAACGCAAATATAAATATGAAGAAAACGGTAGCCACATTTTCATGAGAGGCCTTGAATCATCTCATTCCGAAAACTATATTCCCTACCTTCTACAAGGACCAGTTCATCATGAAGCTATCCTTGAAACTTGCATTTTGCTCCCTATTCCCAGCTGTATTCAGCTACTGGGTATGAATACCGGAAGTTGCTAAGTTCGATGGCTAATACTAGTAAACCAGACATGTTCACTTTCTGATAGCATTGAAAATCACGGAATGTGTAACGACAGTACAGGAAAAGAACCGTCTCAGAAATGCCGAGTGGTGAGGTTGTCTTCGGACTTTGATTAAACAACCGCTCACGTTTGGAACAGGAGTTTCAGTGTAAGGTCCCAGGCAACGGATGTTATCCGACAACTCAGAATCTGAATGGCGAATGGATGGCAAACTGTTCTTAACCGTAGGGGTGCATTGTTACAGCACTAAAGAAGGTGTTACAGCACTAAAGAAGGTTAGGTATAGCGCTGGTCTACTGTATGGCTGGTATTGAACAGACTGAATCTTACTCCTCCTCCCACTGAGAGAGTCATAGAGGGAATTGGGGTCCTTTAGCCTCGCTATACAAGCACATAGTAACCCAGCCGTCTGCCTTGGCTACCCGCGCGCTCCGGTCGTCCGACAGAAACCGGTACCCGACCTTAGTCTCGCTGTGGTCGTCCCTCGATCACCGACTACGGTATGAGTGGCAGCTGGCCCGTGGCCTCGTGTTCTCGCCGATGTCCCTGCTCTTAAGATCGAATTCAAATGTTCGATACCAACGAAGGCAGTTTAGGGAGGCGATGAGTGGGTTTATAGAATCTTGGACACTTCGGATACTATAGTGCGAATAGCCCTCTCATAGACACCATCTCTACATACCATCAATTTAATCGGCGCTCCAGATAGACTTCGCACGTATAATGAATAAAAGCAGACTCGTCACTCCCTTCGTAGTGTTATGGCTTTATAAACGTGCCCAACATGATAGCACGCAAAGGCCATATATCATTCTACTTTAGCGGGTTGTCTACATCGGATCCCTTAAATGGATCGCTACCACTTCAACACAAACGCGCATATCCTGAATGATAATATCTTGGAAAAGGATATAAATTAAGTTGCGGCTTGATGTTTTGCGGAAAAATATAAGCCTCAAAGCAGCATTTTGTTCAGAATCAGTCAGCTTGTGCTACGGACAGAAGCTGTAGGTCTTGTTCACCGGTATGATGCATGTCTGACGTAGAAATTAGGTAAGAAGGCTAGAGACACATGTCGCTGCTGTTTACAAGCATCGCGCCCTAATAGTACTGCATTCAAATCGGACAGAGAATATCGATACGAGCCGTTTAGGCTAGTTTTGGTAGCCCGGTATCGAGTCCGGGCCGACACGATACCAAGCTCAGTGGTGAGTTGGTTACTTATCGGGTATGCGGCAAGAAACTTTCGGCTTGTGGTAGTAGTAGGTATGCCGATTGCCGATAATACGACTGCACGAGTAATATACAACATGATGCTTGGGGATTTTCATCTTATCTACCCGAAATAGATACGTCTCCCCGCTAGATGACTCACGCCCTTCTGAAGAACTACTAACTAAAAATATTTTGACTATCATAATTAATACCAATCCTTATATAGCTTGGTCATCTAGAAGACAAACAGTGGGTCTTACAAATGTCTAATAGGGATTATTTCAAAAACTCTTTTGGCCTAGCTTGCTAAGCAAATTGATAAGTGGCTGTAATTCTCTAAAGCTGGTTGAGGTATTGAGTGGGGCCTGATGCTATTGACGCTAGACTTGGTGACCCGTGTTGACCTGTCCGGATACCCCGGAGGCGTCAAACCTAATCGATTGAATCTAATCTAAAAGTTACTGCTAATGCAGCCTAAGCTGCTCAAGCCGAACGGTGCAGGGATAGACTACGGCCGAGAGTTAATAAGTTCCATACACGGAAGTCAGACAAGTGCCACAACCACTAGAGACAATCACATGGTTTTGGTCATCTCTTGAAGAGACCCCTGTATCTATTAGGATCTTCGGTTTGAGACATATAGCACAAATACCTCTACGAGAAAGTTTCCAACTTTGTAATTACATACTGCAAGTGAATGGGAACACTGTAAGCAAAGACCTCTTGACCTTAACACGGTTCCAAAACATTGAGCTATACTGTTTTTATCGATTCTAACTCGAGCGGACACCTGTAAATCTTGTCATAATAGAGAATGCTGTTGTACTCTTTGCCTAACTTCTTAAGGGGCGTTGCCCACTGCGCAACAGTTGCTCTTCAGTATGCCGTTCAAGGAGGAGAGACATCCGAATCGGTGCTCCCAGCCAATTGAATTACGATTGAGTGTCTCATTAATCGACGGCAAGTTTGGAATATCACTGAAAGTCCACCTCGTTTTCTTTGGAAATTCAACTATTTGTAACATTGGCAGCTGAGGTAGTAAGGAGACCTTCAAAGAATCCAACTTGACACTTGTATTGAATGACAACTATCATTTTAAGATGGCAAATTCATTCTTATGTAGTTATTCGCAGCAAATAGGTATGTCCATACGGACTACAGGGCCAATGTACTGCATTAACAGTTTACCGCCAAACGAAACAAGCCCATGGTCGCATAATAAACAATTTAGGCCCTCATGTAATGTAACAGAGATACCTTTCTAACGAACCAATTTGCTTCGTTGATCTGATGGACTCTGTGGCCGGCGGTGTAGGTAAAGAAGAACGTCAAATTGAGACAACTTCAAATTTACTACGAGCGCTCAGTAACGACCCCTTTCAGACCACAAACGAGCCGCAAAAGCTACTTTATGGTATGCCACATCTAGATTGTGACAGAAGCGAATTGTCGAGCGGATTAAAGCTAATCACGAGTCATTGTGACCCCTTCGAATCATGGCAATGCCTACACACCAATGCAAGCTTGGATAAGCCGCAGAGACGATTCAGCGCCTCCCTTTTCAATCTAGGCTGACAACCCAGGGAAACAGCCTCCGGGCTCATGCACAAATACCCAGTACCTAGATGGCTTCCTTCGTCAGTAACTTTACTAGTTGAAGGCAAATAAAAGACTTATTAGATTAGGTTTTGTCTGTTGTTACTTCTGTTTTCCGGCGAAACCGGCTGACCCACCGATGTTTTTAAGAAGTACTAATACGAAGTGTTGACTCCCCCGAGAAAGATTCACTTGCGCAGTCTCGTTTCTCCAGTCACTACTCACTCCAAGACACCATTAATTACCTTGAAATTTGTTCTCAAATTCAAATCAAGATGCACATCAACATCTCTGCTCTCATCGCCGTTAGTGCGTTCATCACCGGTGCCGTCGGTACGTTTCTTGGCCTTCTACTACGGCGTTGCTTAGTATATGTTTTCTAATGTTGTGCTTTCAACCGCATCCAGCGTGTTCTCCGGCAGGATGTAAGTCAAACCATCCCACCTACAGGCCTAATCAGCTCAAGCCAGCTATCAAGCACTTTGACGATACTTTGGAAGCGTTCCCATCTTTACTGACAAATAAACCCCCAAGCTTTATGCTATATTGGACAAGCCAATGACTGTTGCGATGGAGCTGACTGCATGGGTAAGCCCTGTACAGTCCCGCCACGAGTTAATTTGTTGCTAAATACGTGCAGAGCATGCCCCTGGAGAAAAAGCCGGGTATTGCGGCCATTAAATCGTCGACTTGTTATGATCAACGAGAACAGTACGATAGCAATTGAAAACGGGTTTCAAGGCTTGAATTAAGCTTTGAGCTTCCTAGATTCCTTCCACTAACCCTCGTGAAGCTATGTTTTTTTACAAATATATTCGGCGTCTGATCAGTTTTTATAGAAATGAAGACTTTTAGCATCAAATTTTTTGATGCATTAATACGCTAACTCTTCTAAGATGTTGGCATCACCTAACTATAACAAAACTCCTAGTTCCATCCTAGTTTTGGTTTATTCCATTACCTAGTATTCAAAGTTATAAAAAAACGGAAACTTTTAGCCAAGTCGTATCCTAGTATAGTATACATCTAGCAATATTTTAGGAGCCCATACTTCTTCGGAATCTGGCATATAGTATTCCTGACAGAAACAAATGCTGTTAGAGCTTCTGATTCTTCAAACCCCTACGTAATACCTACATCACGTCAACATGCGTTCATGTCACCCAATTAAAGTACTTCCCTTAATCGAGCTTTTTAGTTACCAAAGATGATTAATTCTGTAACGGGATCATAAACACACCAAGAGTCACAAGATTTATTTTGCCCCGTTAAAATCGTTTCCTCACATTTTGGTATTTGAAAAGGACTTGTTTGGTGCTGTCTTGGAATGCGGCAAGACGTCAAACCAAACAATTGACATTGATAAGCTTCTAGTCAACTTTTACTGTCTAAAGTTCACCGAAAGCTGGTAAAAAGCCAAAAAAAAAAAAAAAAAAAAAAGTATCTAGAATAAAAATCCGACCCAAAGCTATATCATACGAAACTCTTCCTATTTCCGAGCCATATTCCTACCGCACGTAAAGTCTTTTTACCCATCCGAGCTGAGTTATCCTGGGCCATTAGACTAGTTGCAGTCAGCCTTGGGCTTTGTCCTCCCGTGGTTTGATTCTCGAGCCTTCACTTCTCACGGCATAGGGTGTATGTCAAACCTCTCTAGAGTGATGCCTCTCTAAATGATTTTTGATTAGGAGCCAAGATGCGGCAGCCAGCCAGCTAGGTACCGTGCTGAGAGATGGGCTATTTGAGATGACAACTGTACCATAGTTGGTTGCCCTACTTTTAAGGTCATCGAGTCAAGAGGGCCGAGAGGAACAAACCAATATATGCGGGTTAGAATGAGGGCGGATACAAGTGCCGGAGCTCGGCAAATACGGCACAGGCGCAAACTCTGTAGGTGGTGCATAGTTCCATTACTTCATGTGTTCCGTTACCCCATTTCTCTTCAGTACAGCCAAGTATTTGAGTGCTAACACTGCCAAAGCGGTGTAATTATATTCAGCACAGCACCTTTTCATTAGGGTTTATTGAGAGGCGGATCACCACTGGATACAAAACCCCATTCTTTAGAGGTATTGTTTATAATAAAATCCTTCCATGTCAGGTTTACTAAAAGCGTTTACGGTACTTAGACCATGTCTACTGTCACAGGCATATAAGAACATGCATGCAGAAGATCCTTTGTGAAGTTCTCAGGGCGATGTATGTTTAAGACTTATTTGAATGGTTTAAGACCCTATTGACAAGCTAGGCAATGAAACTATTAATCCAAGTGACATCTATGTTCTCTCATCTGCCAATCTCGACTTGTCTCCTGGCCCTGTCTCTTAGCCTAAGATAATTGTTTGCAGCCACTCAGCACCTAGTTGAACTCGAAATTGTTGCTCCATGGCTGGGGCCGATGAATTCGACACTGCAGGTACGAGTGTCGGTGATTCTCCAGTCTACATGAATTGAAGGACTGCAGTCATACCCGCCACCACTCGCTCCGCAGTCTCCAATGCCGGGATTAGGACTTCCAGGCGGGCAAATAAGAGTGACCTCGCAGGCTGAAATAGCCTGGAGAAGTAGCACCAATGAGGCTACAGAGTGTGTGAAGCGCATCATAACTACCTGCGTTGTAGTAAGTAAAAACTACTATTTGTTCTTGAGGATGTAATTACTAGCGTAGGGTTGAGACTTAGGCCGGAGATAACGTCCCACACCCACTTCTGGGCACCCCCCACATTTGGGCACCCCATTTACACCAAAAACGCCGTTTTTCGAAATTCTATATTAAACTAAATACTTTACTTATTAAAGAGAATAAATATATATTAAATAGATTAAGACTTAATTATAATACTTAAGTAGCTATATACTAGTATTATTAATAATAAGTATTATAAATTCAAGGTTTAACATTTATAATACTAATTTACCTAGCCTATATCTTAATATATAAAATAGGTAGAGATATTTAACTAATATGATTAGAATTTTTAAGTAAGATATAGTAGATTTATATATTCTTATACTTAGTAAAAAATTCTTTAAGCTTAGAATAATATTTTAAAATTTCCCTTAAGAAAAGTTTCTATTATAGAATTTTAACCCTTAATTATACTATATTTACTAAAGTAATACTTTTAAATCTCTTTTAGATATAATTATATACTTTTAATAAGTATAAATATTAATTTCCTAGATTTTTTAAATAAGTATATATGAGCGAAAATATATTTTTCTAATGTTAAGGAATACTAGTAAGTTACTTGTCAAAAAGGGTGGTAGGCCAGGGGCGCTGGAAGCGATGCACACGCAGAGCGCCTAGGATGCCAGGAAGGCGCTAGGAGGAATGTTTGGCCGAGGACCGCGCTAGGTGCGCTTAGTCACAGGGAACACGCCGGAAGAAGGCGCGTAAGGGATACGGACAGGTCTTAGGAAAAGAAGAAGCACAATACACATCACGATTGACCCCTGAATGTGCGCCTACGAATATTCGAACAATTAACAGTCTGATTACCTACTAATTGGCCTACCTATAGGCAAAACGAAGCTATTCGAAGATCCGATCAACTGCAAAACACACGAACACCCCGTTTACGTCCCTCAAAACCCACGCGATAAGCCCGAATCAATAACGACATAAGCAAAGATGGAATCCATTGTCCTCAACAACCCCAGTCAATGGCCAACCTGGTATAAGGTTTTCCAGGGTAAAGCCACCGACTTGGACGTCTAGGAGCAAGTGGATCCCGGCGCCGAAAACCCCGAGAAGCGGATGCCGAAGCCGGAGCCTCCGGCCTTCTCCGACTACAAGAAGAAAGGTATACCGCGACATACCCGCGGATCAATCATCGAGGTGTCACAGACACCAGATATCGAAGAAGTTCGATCGAACGAGACGGCTAGACGCCTCCAAGACCTTGTCAAGGAGGACCGTGAGGAGTATGTACAGCTCCGGAGCGACTACAACCATGATATCCGTATCTACGAGCGTGAAGCGGCTGCTCTACGAGAGCTCCGCAACTGGGTCCTATCGACAGCAGCCGAGAAGTACGTCAATGCGTGCTGTAAACCTACGGAGACCCTCTACGCCTGGATGGTCAAGCTGAAGGGCGTGGCCTCGATCTCGAACAATGAACAAAAGAGCGCCGCGCGTGAGGAGTACGAGAAGACCGTCAAGCAAGCGGCTACAAAGCGGATAACCACGAAGGCCGAGATCGAGAACTGGCTCGAGCAATGGGAGGCCGCAATGTTGAAGGGACAAGAGGTTAACCTTGCCTAGACAAGGGACTTCAGCGAGTGGAGCGAGGACTTCCTAAAGGTCATTGCGAAGACCGCTATTTCTGCGTTCCACGCCACGTTCGAGGCGAAGTTCCACGAGTCGGACAACCCCTCGATCAGCGAGATCTCTGCGGAAGTACGACGATATATATGAATCTACGCAGATACCCTATCGACAGGACCAAGAGCCTCAAGAGGTGCCTTTGCCACAACAAGAGAAGGACCCAAGGAGACCATGCCTCGGAGTACAACCAAGAAGCGACATAGGGCCGCCGATTCGCGGACCCAAAACGAGATGCCAACGTGTCACGGATGTGATCTGCCACGACACCTACTTGCCAACTGCTTCTACTGCTTCCCAGAGGAAGCGTATGAAGGATGGAGGCCCAGCAACGACATCATGAAGAAGGTCACCGAGCGTCTCAAGGCCGATGACGACCTCGCGGACCGCGTGAAGAAGATCCGTGAACAACGCGAGAAGGAAGCGAAGCAGACCTGACTGTATGGTCGGTGTATGGGGTCAGCCAACGCATCGTGGAGGAAGCAGTATACGAGTAACCGTTCTGCGTTCATGATCCGGACTGAGTACCCCTTACATAACTCTGCGATATACGACTCAGGATCATCGCTACACGTGTTCAACAACCGGGCTCGATTCTCAGGTTTCAGAGCAGCTGAACCAGGGGATTACCTATGGGCAGGAGCCTCACAAGTCCCAATCCTAGGGTATGGAAACGTGGATATAACGGCTGACGCTGAGCGGGGGAAGAAGGTAAGACTCCGCTTATACAACGTCGCTTACTGCGAAGAATTCGCAACGAATCTAGTCTCCTACCGCCTTCTACGGCAACGAGGGATGTGGTGGGATAACCGCCCAGGCCAGAATTGCGTACGAAGAGCGGATGGGACACTCGTCTGCTACCTTCACGATCTCCATGGACAACAGGTTATCGAGGACAATACCAAAGCAGGATTCGTCACGCAGGCGAAGCAGCGCCACACATCGTTTACACCGCGCAAAAGACTCGCAGGAAGACCGTTCAGATGGCACCAGAGACTGGGTCACCCGGGCGAGGGGGTGCTGGAGCACCTCGTCAACGCCTCTCGAGGCGTGAAGATCATGGGTGACCTACGCAACAAGCTGCCTGACTGCTCAGCGTGTGGAAAAGGGAAGACAAGACGAATTGTTCGACGTGCCCCACGCGAGTCTATAGCGTGGGCAAAACCAGGATCAAGAGTGGCGTTCGACTTTCACTCGATTAGCCCTCAAGGATACGGAGGCTATATGTCTACGGTAATACTCTCTGACCGACTAACAGGATACTCGTGGGACTACTACCTTAAGGACCGTACAACAGAGACGCTCCTCGAGGTATTCGATCTCTTCATGGCCATGATGAAGACGCAATATAATATACAGGTCAAAGTCTTCGAATGTGACCGCGAGGTTGCAACGATTCATCAGCAAGTCGCCACTCACCTTCAATCTCAAGGGGTGGTCCTCGAACCCTCTGCGCCCAATACGCAGGCCTAGAACGGAGGCGCCGAGCGAATCGCAGCAGTTATCAAGGAGAAGGCTAGGACCCTTCGCGAGGCAGGCAAGTTCCCTGAGATGCTGTGGCCCGAAATCGTTGCCGCCGCGACGTATTTATACAACAGGACGCCGTCAGCGGCGCGCGGCTGGAAAACGCCCTTCGAACGGTTCTATAATCAGTTTCGCGGCCCAGATCTCGGGAAGCCTCATCAAGCCCACCTTCGAGCGTACGGCTGCAAAGTGTATGCGCTCACAACAGACGCACAGCTGGGCAGGAATAAGTCGAGAAAGCTTCAACCGAGAGGATGGATAGGCTACCTCATTGGGTACAGTACTAGCAACTCCTACCGCGTGTGGAATCTGCTTACTGCCCGCGTTATCACAACGCGAGACGTTGTGTTTAGGGAAACCGAGTTCTTTAATGGAGATATCAACGAGCTGCGGGATGACCTCAAAGACCTCGACGTGAACGAGCTCAACGCTCTTCTCGCGCGACTAGAGGTCTCGCCCATAGGGATAACATCTCCAGAGTACGCACACACCGCAGACGAAGAAGTCGATGAAGTCCAGTACATTGAAGACGAAGAGGCACAAGAATACACCGCACCGCCGTCGCCTAAGTACGTGGAGTCACGATTCGAACTCAATACACCACCGCGGACGCCACCTACCTCGTTCTTCGCAGGCCTTGAGGAGGCACTCGGAGTGAAGGGGTGGAGGAAGAGACGTGCTTCGATCGCTCCTGAGGCGGTTCATGCACGCGAATCGATCCACGAAGAGTTTCCAATTACCACTCCGCGTACCTCCTGGCAAGCTGCTTTCCTCGGCGGCACTAGAACGGGTAGAAAACGAGTGAAGATGAAGCAAAAGGCGAAGAACGCCGATACCAGCCTGGAAGCGGTAGTATGTTGGAACAACAGACTCGAAGGTCTCACCGTAGCCGGACGTGGTAATGGTATGAACCCTGCCCCTGGGCCCAGGAGGAGTCTTAGAAACCCTGGGTGTGAGCGTGCCTTCGACCTCCGTCAGGGAAGAAACCACGTTGATTCGAGGGTAAAGGAAGACCTTCCCTCTGGGCTAAGCTCCCACAACGGTAGGCCCGTGTCAGGTGACGGGGGGCCCGCGGTTGAGACCGTGGCCTCTAGCGTTCCGGGAGAGGACCGTCCTCTGCCCCAGCGAAAAAGCCAAGCAGGCGTACTACCCCCAGTGCCTCAGAAACATGCCGATCTATACGGCCACCCCTACGAGAGGGGATTCCGAGAAGCGGAAGAGAAGCACCTCGCGAGCCACGATGAGATGGATACATACGTCGTCGTGGACCGTAGAGAAGCCGCCGGGCACCAGATTCTGGGTTGCCGGTGGGTATACGTCTATAAAACGGACGAGAAGGGAGCACTCCAGAAACTCAAGGCAAGGATCGTTGTTCGAGGAGATCAACAGGCTAAAAACGCTTTCAAGGATACATACGCTGCGACCCTCGCTGGACAATCGTTCCGAACCCTTATTGCCACCGCGGCCTAGCAAGATCTTACCTTACTGCAGTACGACGCAGTTAATGCCTTTGTCCACGCTCCGATCGACGAGACAGTATATATGGAGTTTCCACCGGGCCATGAGCAGCAGGGGAAGGTCCTGCGGCTGAAGAAGGCTCTATACGGCCTTCGCAGGTCCCCTCTACTGTGGCAACGGCATCTAGAGAACGGTCTGAAAGCAATGGGGATGGAACGCGTCGCAGGCGAGAATTGCTGCTGGCGGAAGGGACGCGTGCTCTTCTTCTTCTATGTCGACGACTGTGTTCTCGCGTTTCCCCCTGAGTGTAGAAACGCTGCTGAGCGCCTCATTAACGGGCTCAAAGAGAAGTACCACCTGGAAGGCGGAGACCCTCTTCACTGGTTTCTAGGAATCGAGGTCACGCGCGACCGAGCCAAGAAGAAAATCTGGCTATCTCAGGCAGCATACGCACAGAAGATCGCACGGTTGATTGGTCAAGGCACACATAAAGGATCACAGAGGAAGAACACTCGATTTACGACACCTATGACGAACGAGGAGCTACTGCCCGCCGAGGAGCACGCCTCAAAGAGCGAAATAACGGCATACCAACGAAAGATTGGATCGATCCTATACTTGGCGGTGATGACGCGCCCCGATATCGCCTTTGCTGCAAGCCGTCTGGCGAGGTTTAACCAGAATCCCTCTCAGAAGCATCATCGCGCTGCAGATCGAGTATTACAGTACATCTTGGACACCTGCTTCCTTAGTCTCGAGTACGATGGCAACAACAAGAGTTTCGAAGTCGCATCAGACGCCAGCTTCGCAGATAACTCGCTAGATCGAAAGAGCTCTCAGGCGTACGCACTACGGCTTGCTGGAGGATTGATCGGATGGAGAGCGAACAAACAAGACACAGTCACAACATCAACGACAGAAGCAGAGCTTCTCGCCCTCTCACAAGCAGCACGCGAAGCTATATTCGTTAGCCGTCTGTTGAGTGCTCTTAATACGACGATTCCAAGCGGCGGAATAACGATCCAGTGCGACAACCTCTAGACGATTCGAATAGTAACTGAGGAACTCGTGACTCTAAAGACGAGGCTTCGTCACGTTGATATACACAACCACTGGTTGAGACAGGAGGTTGAGAACGGCACCATCAACGTCGTCCACACACCAACGAAAGACCTTGTTGCGGACGGACTCACGAAGAGCCTCGCAAGGCAACCGTTTGAAGACTTCATAAAACAGCTCAACTTGGTGAAGAAGGAGACGGAACCACTACGCGAAGAGAGGGACCCTCTCGCAGAGACCGCATGGAGCGGAGGGATCTTTGAAGGAGGAGAGGAATAAGGAAGAAGTCGGTTGGCCTGCCACCCCTAAGGGTAGCCTCCGCTGCTGCGTATGAAGCGCGCAGGAGCGCCCTAGGACCGAGGTCTCGAGCCGCGAAGGCTAAAGGGGTGTGTCAAAAAGGGTGGTAGGCCAGGGGCGCTGGAAGCGATGCACACGCAGAGCGCCTAGGATGCCAGGAAGGCGCTAGGAGGAATGTTTGGCCGAGGACCGCGCTAGGTGCGCTTAGTCACAGGGAACACGCCGGAAGAAGGCGCGTAAGGGATACGGACAGGTCTTAGGAAAAGAAGAAGCACAATACACATCACGATTGACCCCTGAATGTGCGCCTACGAATATTCGAACATTACTAGTATCTACTAACATTTTAAAGCTTTTAGTTTTAAACTTCTATATTATAACTATTATTATATTTAAACCTTTATAAAAAATTAGATGGCTATAATTATACTTAACATAGTTTATATATATTTTCTTTTCTTAGTAAGTATAGTAGTTAGTTTAATATAGAATTTCGAAAAACGGCGTTTTTGGTGTAAATGGGGTGCCCAAATGTGGGGGGTGCCCAGAAGTGGGTGTGGGACGTTATCTTAACGTGTCACTAGCTGATGGGGGAACGAAGTTTTGTGAAGTCTCAATATCTATCTTCACCCTTAAATACTGCGAAACGGAAACCGTATTTTGATCTTTACAGAGGTGTCCCGCTTTTCCCCGGCTATGACGGATACGGAAGTTGGATGTACTTCGTAAAATGTAATCGAAAAGTGGAGTGAAGTATTGATCTGTATTGATTCAACAAATTCCTTCATCTTTTAGAGTTTAGTATTCCATTTGCAGTATTACCCTTGTTATACGATATTTAAGCTCTACTTTGAACGACGGCGCCCGAAATTGCCGAATGTCATTCACTTCAGTCCCATAAACCTCCTAGTTTATCAGCTGATGTTCTTTCCTTTAAAAAAGAAAAACACATCCACAACAACGAGAACGAAACATTTGAAATCAAAGCAGAAAGGGCCCAAATACGGGTGCTCGCAGCCACAGAGCCCACTTTGATGCAATGCCATCCCCTGCATTGATTCTGCGTCCAAAAGAGGCAAAAGATGGCCACAGAGCACGCCCCAACCACTATAAAAAACTTGAGAGCAAGCCACAAAATACGACATATCAATAGCCAACACTTTTACGACCACTACGGGCAAGACATGAGCCGCTAGTGCCACCCCTAGGTTATGGGTCGCTTTTAAACCCCGATAAAGTTGGTAACGTCCCACAACGACGAACATGAGTCCGACAGAACAGCATCACCTTCCACACAGAGAAAGTAATACATATTAGGCATGTTGTAATCGATGCTAGACAATAAAACAGGCCAGAGATAGACTGGTCCCCGGTTGTCCCCTTCATAAAGAAGGATCCGTGCCCCCTTAGCGTGCGATAACATCTGGAAAGTTCGTGCGCGAGCTCTTATACCTAGTAATCAAATACGTCGGAGTTATTAGAACATCACACTTCGTAGAAGACACTTAGGGTAATATAGTAAACTGTAGTAAAAGTTAATAGATAAGAAATATAACAACTATGTATCAGGGTTTTCCCCTGAAAAAATATTTCTTAATTGGTTTATTTATAACGTACATGATAAGCGAGTGAGACAGACAAGCGAGTGAGACAGTAAACCGCGACCGTCGCACCTTGACGCGACCGGCACCTTTTCCTCTACAATAAATCATGGAATCAGCTAGTATTGAAAGAAGGTTACAAATTGCCCTTCAAGCAATGAGAAATGACCCAAAACTTAGTGCTCGGGCCGCAGGTGCACTCTATACAGTCAGTCACGCAACATTAAGCCGGCGACTAAAGGGAATAGTCTCACGACGCGACAGCATGCCTAATTCACGGAATTTATCAGATTTAGAAGAGAAGACAATAGTTGAGTATATTCTCGACCTAGATGCGCGATCATTTCCTCCCCGGCTGAGTGGTGTGGAAGAAATGGCCAATCGACTTCTCGCAGAGCGCGACGCGCCTCCAGTTGGGAAGCGCTGGGCTTCTAATTTCGTCAAGCGACAACCACAGCTTAGGACGCGTTTCTTTCGCAAGTATGACTATAAGAGAGCTCAATGCGAAGATCCAGAGGTGATTCGTGGCTGGTTTTCGCTTGTGAAGAATATAATTGCGAAGTATAGTATTGCTAATGCTGATATCTACAACTTTGATGAGACCGGCTTTATGATGGGCGTTATTGCTTCTGGAATGGTTGTTACAAGTGCTGAAAGGCGTTCAAATACGAAGATGACACAGCCTGGCAATAGGGAATGGGTTACAGTTATCCAGGCTATTAATTCCCAAGGGGAGAGCATCCCGCCATACATCATCGTTGCAGGCCAGTATCACCTCTCAAGCTGGTATACAGAAACCTCTCTTCCGGGCGATTGGGCTATTGCAACGTCTGAAAATGGATGGACAACAAACGAGAGAGGTATTGACTGGATCAGACACTTCGACATTTATACAAAACCACGTACGTCTGGGAAATATCGCCTCCTCGTTGTTGATGGTCATGAAAGTCACCACTCCGCAGCCTTCGAGCTCTTTTGTCAAGAAAACAACATTATTACACTGTGCATGCCGGCTCACTCGTCTCATCTACTTCAACCCTTAGATGTTGGTTGTTTTCAGCCGTTAAAGAATGCCTACGGTCGGCAAATTGAGAATAAGATGCGGCGAGGCACAACCCATATCTCGAAGGAAGATTTCTTTGCAGCATTTCACGAAGCTTTTAAGCAGTCTTTTACGAGGAAAAATATCCAGGGAGGTTTCCGAGGAGCTGGACTTGTCCCTTTGAATGCAGAAAGTGTTCTCTCAAAGCTGGATGTAAAGTTCCGAACGCCAACGCCTGAGGAGGGGGTCCCTCAGACACCAGACCCTTGGATCTCTAGGACGCCGAGCAACCCAAGCGAAGCAAGATCACAGTCTACTTTTATTAAGAGTCGAATCTCACGCCACCGAAGCAGCTCTCCAGCATCAATTTATAGTGCTGTGAGTAAGCTAGCCAGAGGGACAGAAGGACTAGGGCATCGGGTAGCATTACTAGAGTCAGAGGTTCAAATCCTTCGAGAGGAGAATGCAATATTAAGTCGGCGTCGAAGGGCTAAGAAAACACGTCTACAGAAAGGAGGAAGTCTTACTATATCTACTGGAGAGGATATACAGTCGCAAAGAGAGGCAGACACGCAACTACAAGAGGAAACGCGACGGAGTAGTGGTCGCAAAGTGAGGTCTGAGACGACTCATCGTCGGTGTGGCGTATGCGGGAATACAGGCCACAACGCGAGAACATGTCAATTTATTGAGGAAACATCCGAAGAACAGGAATCCGAGTAGTATTAATCAATCTAAGATTTCTTGTTATAGATTTCGATATTATTGTCGCGAAGGTCTGGTTTACTGTCTCACTCGCTTGTCTGTCTCACTCGCTTATCATGTACGTTATAGGAAAATCAAAAATCGACTTATAAGCACTAAATCACTACTATAGCCCGAAGCCTTGATTGGCCTTCCCCCTCCCTTGGCGAAAACGGGACTATGCCGCGGTTAATAGGATGGCCTGACAATGACGTTGATTTACTAACGTAAGACAATCCAACCAGATTTCTCTCTACGCAATCGTATTTATTATTTACCCCGCAAATCACTTAATCCTAACTAGTAGTAAAGGCTACTATTTTCAGGACTGCCCTATACTTCACCAGATCAATACTAGTAACTTATAAGTATCTCGAACTCCACTTCTCCCAACAGATTAGTTCGTAATCTAAGCAGATATCGAAATGCCATACATAGACGCTTGCAATCCCCAGGCAGATGACGCCTTTGGACCACAAGTTGTCACCTGTAGACAAGGCTTTGACTTCACGCTATTATTCGAACAAGTCATCCTCTCTGCCGTTCCTTCGGCCCTGCTCTTGTTGACTTCTTCTCTTTATCTTTTACGCCTAAGTAGGCAAAGCATCAAAACGATATCTAAGTCCAAGGTATCTTTGAAATAGGCCAAACGGGTAAGGATCAAATTCCCTCTCCGATGAAGCTCTAACTCTAATTATTCATGTTTGTGGCCAGGTTAGCATCATTTGCTTTGCTGTCACGCAGCTTGCACTCCTCATTTTATGGACGTCAGCTGGGTCTAATCCAACCAGGGCATCTATTCCTGCTTCGGTACTGTCTGTAACCGGGTCGCTGATGATCGCAACACTCTCCTTCGTCGAGCACGACAGGTCGATCAGGCCGTCTGCGGTAGTGAGCGTCTATCTCGTGCTGTCTGCCCTCCTAGATATTAGTCAAGCTCGGACTCTCTTTTTCAGAGAGGAAAATACCACCCTTGCCAGTGTCTTCATTATCAGCGTCGTTTTCAAAATTCTTACACTTGTCACCGAAACGATCGAGAAGCGCCAGCTCCTTGAGACCCCATACAGCAACTACCCGCCAGAGGCATTGGGAGGAATTGTAAACAAAAGCGTTTTCTGGTGGCTCAACTCGCTACTACTGAAAGGCTCATCCAGTATTCTGAAATTGGGTGACCTCTTCGATCTCGATAAGGATTTGCGGTCGGAGCGGCTTCATGCAAGGTTCCGACATGCCTGGGCTTCTTCTCCGAAATCTAAATCATGTTCCTTGCTCTGGACCTCGATTTGCTGTGCTCGTAAACCTATTCTGGCAGCTATTTGCTCTCGCATTCTTCTCATCGGCTTCAAGTTCTCTCAACCTTTACTGATCAACCGAGCAGTAGCACTTCTGTCTGAGCCTGACAGCCAGTCCAAAACAAACATCGGTCGTGCCTTGACAGGCGCAACTGCTCTCATTTACATTGGAATCGCCATCATGACAGGAACCTTTCGACATAACACATACAGATTCATTACTATGTTTCGAGGTGGCCTTGTTTGCCTATATTTGACACCACCCTAAACTTGAATTCGGGCGATGCTCATGAATCTGCTGCGGTGACACTTATGAGTACAGATATTGACCGCATAGCAGCAGGGTTTGAACTCTTCGATGTTCTATGGGCAGGGCCTGTGGAGTTTGCCATTAGTACCTATCTGCCCTACCTGGAGATCGGAGCATCATGCGTCGTCTCAATACTCTTGGCGACTTGTTAGTGTAATCCGGCTGTTATGTTTCTGACACCTTTTTACAGGTTTCGTCACGGTCTGTCTTGCCATTGGCAAGATGTCTGCCTCTGCCCAGAAAGAATTGGTTGAAGCAGTGCAGCGCCGCGTATCTGCAACTGTCTCTGTGTTATCTAATAGGAAAGGAGTGAAGATGACCGGCTTGTCTAGATTTGTTGATGCAGAGCTTCAAGGCTTGCGTGTCACCGAACTACAGATTTCCAGAAAGTTCCGATGGATATTGACGGCTTCTGCAACCATCAGTAACATGTCGACGCCAGCTCTTTCCACCGCCACACTTACAGTCTACGTTCTTGTATCGCGCTCAAGTACTGGGATAAATCTCGGATCAGCCCTTGCGTTTACTATGATATCCCTTATATCCTTGCTGGCCAGCTCCGTCCAGGAGCTGTCAGTAGCAATTCCCCAAATGGCCGCGGCCATGGGATGTTTCCAGCGCATCCAGAAATATCTAATGACTCATTCCGCGCATCGTTGTGACAGAAAACAAGCAGAGGTGTCCAAATCGCTGACGGACAATAATATGGAAATGCAATGTCTTATGGTTACTCCCGATCATAGTAACAGAAAGGGACTTCTGCTTTCGGTAAATAAGGGCGATTTTGCATTTAAGGCTACAACAGAACCCACCTTACACAACATCACCATGCAGCTCCCCGATAAAACCTGGACTGTTCTACTGGGACCAGTGGGAAGCGGAAAAAGCGCATTGTTGCTGGCGCTGCTAGGCGAACTCTCTCTCACAAATGGATCGGTTTACAAACAGCCATTTTTGCAGCTTGCCTATTGTACCCAAGACCCGTGGCTACCTAACCTGACGCTCCGCCAGGTCGTTATCGGTAATTCTAACTTTGAACATAACTGGTACTCGACTGTGATAGATGCATGCGCGTTGGCCCGGGACCTGGACGAGCTGCCCTCGGGCGACCAGACGATGATCGGTACCAACGGTTTGAGCTTGAGCGGTGGACAGAAACAGCGGCTCAGCTTGGCAAGGGCATTGTATTCACGGAAGCAATTGCTTTTGTTGGACGATATTTTGAGTGGGCTTGATCCAGCTACTGAGCAGCGGGTCGTCGAACGCGTTTTTGGGCAGAATGGCCTATGTCGTAACAATGGGGTGACCGTATTACTGGCCATACACTCTGGTATTTTTCCTGAGTTTTCACCTTACTGATGAACGGATCACTAATCCGAGACAGTCCGTCACGTATATAGAGCGGATCACGCCATCGTCAAGGGCATTGGAGGCAAGATATTGGAACAAGGACCTCCACGGAGCCTCTCTTCTTTTAAAGACATTGGCGGGAGCGCCCAGAGCAACAAATCTGATACGGCCATACCCTCTGGCGATCATACTGGCGTCATTGGCAACGCATCCTATGAACATGATGTTCTGGAACATGATGCAATCCAGGATGAGCTATCGCGCCAAGCTGGAGACATGCGTCTGTACGGTTACTATTTGAAGGCAATTAGATGGGCCAATGCTATTGGACTAGTCGTTGGCGATACTCTTTACGCCTGTTGTCTCAAATTTCCAACTGTATTGCTTAATTGGTGGTCTGTCGCAGAGGCTGAGTCTCCTGGAACCCTCACAGACATGTACCTGGGCATTCACGGCATGTTTTCCCTCATCTGCCTCATATCGTTCTTGCTGGTCGTCATCCTGCTTCTTCACGTAGGAATGCCCCGATCGTCGCTCACGTTTCACCACAGACTACTGAGCGCTGTTTTGAAAGCGCCGTATTGGTTTTTCGTTTCCACGGACACTGGCCAGATACTAAACAGATTCAGCTAGGATATTTCATTGATTGACATGCAGCTTCTACTCGCGTTCCTCAACTCAATGTATCTCACAGCGCTCTGCCTTATTGAGGCCATCCTCATTGCATCAACATCTAAATGGTCACTCGCAATTTATCCCGAAATACTGGCGGTTTTGTATGTTTTGCAAAAGTTCTACCTGCGTACCTCGCGTCAACTCTGGTTGCTTGAGCTCGAGGCCAAATCCCCGCTCTATTCGCAGTTCTCAGAGACACTAAAAGGATTAGTCACTATCAGAGCCTTTGGTTGGCAGCAGGTATCGGTGGAGCGAAAATACAACTTGTTAGATGAGTCACAGAAGCCCTATTACCTGCTTTGGGGCATCCAACGCTGGCTAAGCTTGGTACTGGACTTCATAGTCACCGTCTTGGCCACTTCAATAATGGCACTGGCTACACAGTTAGGGGAGTCATCCGCCGGCTCGCTGGGTGTTTCCTTAGTGAGCATACTAACATTCAGTCAAAACCTCACGTATCTAATACGAGCATGGGTCGATCTGGAGACATCTCTTGGTGCTGTTGCTCGCGTGAGAAGCTTTGGGAGGGAGACGCCCTGCGAACACCTCCCTTCAGAATGTTCAATACCGCCTAATGAATGGCCGAGAAATGGTGTTATTCAAGTAAATAACCTATCAGCTAGCTATAAGTCAGTGGCACTGGATCTACCGCAGTAGATGACTTACTGACTTAACACAGAGCTGGAACGGAGCTTGTACTGGACGGAATATCTCTCGCTATCGAGAAAGGTCACAAGCTTGGCATCTGTGGCCGCACAGGCAGGTTGGTGCCAGCTTGTCATACTAATCAAAGGCTCACTGACCAACCATGTGTTAGCGGCAAAAGCTCTTTTATCCTCTCGCTCCTTAAGATGGTAGAGATTGAACACGGCGACATTATTATAGACGACCATTCCCTGGTGGCAATGCCACGTGACACCCTCCGCCGCAGAGTAACGGTCATGCCACAAGAGCCCCTCCTCCTCTCTGGTACTATTCGTTTCAACGTGGATCCTTGGTCGGAGAACACTGACAATGCCATCATCTCTGCACTCAAGGGGGTTGATCTGTGGGAAGCTGTTTTGAGGCGTGGTGTTCTAGACACCAAAATGGACGCCAACTCGATGTCTCGCGGCCAGCAGCAGCTTTTCTGTCTGGCGCGAGCACTGCTAGGGCGGTCGCAAGTGCTGATCCTTGACGAGGCTACATCAAATCTGGACGTAGCAACGCAGACTAAAATGATGGATATAGTGCAGATGAAATCTGCTAGTTGCACGGTACTCGTCGTCGCCCATCATCTATACACAATTGCAGCATTTGACAGGGTAATGGTACTTGATCGGGGAAAGTTGGTGGAATGGGGGGCACCAAGAGACCTTTTGGGGCGGCCAAGCATATTCCAAGAATTGTATAATAGTCAGCGTTAAACTTCAGAACACACTTCTATGCGCGGGTCGAAGTAAAAGACCCATTTAAGCTTAACCAGTATACTGTAGCACCTGTTTGTCTTCCTAATATGTTTTTGTTTCGCTTGTCTTGACTGTAATAGCTCCGCTAGGTAATTGTCTCTGGGGAGATAGGTATATTAAAAGAGAGAGAATTCACGAAAAGCTCGTGGCAAATGAATCTACTTTGAAGGGTTGTGTACTGTCAACCTCAAGATATACCTACTTCAACGGCATGCTTAGCGCTTGTTAGTTTTGCTGAACCGGCCTTTACTTCCTTGTTCGTTTGGTAACTGCCACATATATCCATACGGAAGGGTTATGTGTTTAATAAAACAATGTACTAATAATTCTTCTGCAACTAAATGTTTTCTTGACTCATGGCCACAAAGAGAAGATAGTTTTATTGCTTTTATGGAGTCTCTCACACTGTAATATTACCGCAGTGGGTCTTACCTGAGCTAGTACGGAGGCTTGTATCATGTTAGACCTTTGCAGCACTGAACTACCATAGTTAGAGAACGAAACTGTATAATAATAACTAAAGTATGAATGTAAGAAAAGATTATAGGTGCTGACGACTTGATATTTCGCAGGACTTTGAACTCCCATGGGCGTCTTCTTATGAAAGTGAAAATTTCAAATATGATAACGCATTCTATTAACAAGCATCAAGCCGCTTATATAAGTTAGGCCGTGTTTTTTCGGATACGGTATGGGTGATCGGGAACCAAACTGCCGGACAGGATTTCGAAACCTCAAAGGTGGGTCATGATCAGAAAAAGGGACTAATTGATTTTGCTTATGTAATAAATCGTACCAAATACGCCGCTCTGGGTCTTAACCAGCGAGGCGGATTATGCGTGACGACATCGACAAAAAGGGGCGGGATCATAGAGTATAAGTTTCGGTCATTTCTGCTGAAGAATTTAGAATTGAGTTAGTCTCCCAGAAGTTTATCACTCGTTACACCAAATTCTACTTAATTGTTTATAATATGTCACTCTCTTTACCAAACGCCTGCGTTCCTGGAACGTTCAGCCCATCTGTTTTTGGTGCCAATATCTCATCTGTCCAAGCGAACTTGGTTTCCAACTATAGTAGCTTCGCCATTGATTACTTCCGCTACACCGCACCATCCGTCCAGGTGGAAAATGCCACATTTTGCAACGTCACAGTCACGTACACCCACCCTGGTCAGAATGACACGGTCATTACTGAGGCCTGGCTTCCACTCAACTGGAACGAGCGATTCATGGCGGCTGGTGGAGGAGGATGGACTGCCGGTCGTTTCTTTCTGTCCTACAGCAATATGGACGGTGCAATCGCGGATGGGTATGCTACCGTAACTACCGATGCCGGCTTGGGAAATAGTTCGACACCCGAAACCTGGGCTTTGCGGAGCCCCGGTGTTGTCGATCTCTTCAAGTACCAGAATATGGGTTCTGTTGCTCTCAACGACGAGGTATGTTATTTTTTGAAAGTTTCTCCTCCTGGAATATACATGCTGGATACTCACTTTCTTCATAGGCAATTATCGCCAAGTCCCTTATTAAGAGCTTTTATGGTAAAGACCCAAAGTATTCCTATTGGAACGGTTGCTCTCATGGTGGCCGGCAGGGCATGATGATGGCTCAACGGTTTCCAAGTGTTTATGATGGTATTGCTGCTGGCGCGCCGGCAATCCACTGGAACGAACTCGCGTCATACGCTGGGTGGGCATACCAAATCATGAGCGAAATCAAGGAATACCCCTATCCTTGCGAAGTAGATGCGATCACTGCGGCTGCTGTCTCCGCTTGCGACTCTCTAGACGGCGTCACTGATGGTATCATTGCTGAAGCTGAGGAATGCCTGGTTCGGTTCGACCCGTTTTCCGTGGTAGGGAAAACAACTGCCTGTGCACAGCTTAACGGCACGGAGAAGGCGATCAGTAAAACGGCAGCCATCGTGGTTAATGCAACTTGGCATGGTATGACCACCGAGGATGGGCAGCAGGTATACCACGGCCTTTTGCCCGGAGCAGACTTGACTGGGAACGGCAAGAACTCGCTGGGCCAAGGTGGACTGGCGGCCACATTGTGCAATGAGAGTGGATGTGGTGTGGGAGCGGGCAAAGGTTCGATTTTCTTCAGGCTATTTGTAGAGAAGAACGCCGAAGCCGATGTCTCCAACATTACCCGTGCTCAATTTGATGATTTCGTACATTCGGCTCGTCAACAGTACGACTCCTTCATGGAGACTGCGGATCCGGACTTGAGAAGATTTCAGGAGGCTGGGGGCAAGTTGCTTACCTTCCATGGATTGGTACGTTGCGCAAATTTTCAATACTTACATGTCTGATTACAGGTTTACTGACTTCGCCCTTGTTCTAGGCTGACAGCAGTATTCCTTCGAGGGCTACCAAAGAATATTACAACGCTGTCACTGGGGTAATTCCCAATATCCATGATTTTTACAGATACTACGAGGTACCTGGCCTTGGTCATTGCTTTGGTGGTGTCAGTGGGCAACCGGACAGTCTTTTCCAACAGCTACGAAACTGGGTCGAGAATGGCACTGCACCGGAAAGCACTCCTGTTAAGGTGACAGTCGGTGAAAATGAAGTTCACAACCGCATCCTATGCCCATATCCGCAGAAGGCCCAGTTCAGTACCAAGTGCGGCAACGCATCCGTGGCGGACTGCTGGGCTTGTGCCAAGCCTAGTGGCTCTAACAGTTTAAAAAACACTGCCTCTAGCAGCATCAAGGCCACACAGCTCAGGTTAGTTTAGAAGGACTGTTATATCAAACTCTGCTAAGACTTCTTAGTCCCCTTGCAGCTTTTGCATCTGTTCTTATCATATGTTCCTGGCTTATATAAGAACATGCGTTGGGGATAGTCATCTGAGTTAACTTACTTTTACTTCAACAACTAAGGGGTTTTAGGCATCCAACTCAATATGGTCTGGCCACTGCTTCCGATTTGCTAGAATTATAGACACCAATCGCAAAGATTGTCTGCTTGTGAACTTCCATCCGCCCTCATAAGGAAAGACTGACAAAATCTTGTCAAGAGCCAAAGCTGGACTGTGGAATTTAGTAGGCAACGGGTTGTGGTCTCGCAACGTCATCAAAGCACAAAGACCGGTTAGAACATATAGCATGGTGGCAGTAGAGAATGAAATTGGCGATTGTTGACATTAAGACTGCTCTTGATTGGGGGCATTAGCTAGTCCTTCATAGTGGAACAATTAAATTTGACAAGATATTAAGTGTCAGAGAAATGCAACGGAATACTGAGGGTGTCTGTGTCGGCAACAACAAGTGAAAGGTTTAGGGAAACATCCGTATCAATTCTACTTAGATAGTTAGACAAAAGATATCTCAACTCTGCAGATTGAAACGGACTATACGCATGCTGTTGTGAGGTGGGGTCGGATATAATTCTACGAACCCGGGCCTCCTCCGAAAAACCCGGACATGGTCCGACGCCCCCAAGTCACCAGGATGGACGGTTTCGGGGCTCCGCTGTAGTCCAGTCAAGCACTGTTCAAGTATTTCGGACCCCTTCGGTTATGATTATTTAGTTGCGGACAGGCTTTTGTCCGATGAGATGTCTATCTGAGATATCGGAGCGATACCAAAGGTTTAAGTACTTCTAATATGAAAGCACTAGATTCCTTCCCTTTTTACCTTGCCTGGAAGACATTTTTCGACACATAAAACTCCCGCCAATATACTTCAGTCATGGGCTCACTTGGTGTCAAAAATGCGACGACATACTCGTTGTCTAACCCTAGCAGGCGAGGTCTGCTCGGTAATGAATGCAACTATGTCGGCGTTTCACCTATTATGAGGGTGCCCTCCAAGTCTCACTGGCATGAAAGTAGGGCCTTCGACTGTAAAGTAGCTGCCGTCGTCGTCCCTCACATTGAGACGGTTGAAGAAGTACGCAAGCTCGTCAATATGCCAAGTTAGCTGCCAACGGCACCCGCAGGTGTTCTAACGCGTAGCCTATCCTTAACTTCCAGGGTATACCGACGCTAGCCTAGAACAAGCTACTTCATAAGGAAATAATAATAATCCCTATGATCGAGACGCTAGATGCGGTTGAGCTTGCCGAGAAATTTCTAGCCATTTAGGGCGTTGACATGAGTTGCCGCAAGCACATAAGGACAGATTATGGTGGCTCAATTTAAGGCAGGCCTGATTTCCTGCCTAACACGAGGGAGGCTGAGACATTTTGTAGTGGACACATAAAAGTGGCCAGCTGTTAGTACCTAGTTAGGCATCACTCAGGCATTAATATGCCAGTAAGCCTGACTCGGGGCTGGGAGAATAATCCCAATACTGGCTAACATTACAGCTAGACTCATCTATACTACTAGTTTGGGGTGAGAATTGTTTCCGGAATCAGCTAAGTCATTAGTGTTGTTTAAAAAGTCTTCTTAAACTGTTTATATTCTTCTATTCATTTATTTCAGTATCAACATTTCTTATCAAATGAATCTCTTCTTAATTTATGGCCACAAACATGAGGCATACTCAGGGTACTTTTTGGGTGTTCCATATATCTGACTCAACTCATCGCTCAACATCTGCGGGCCCTCAAGAAACCTCTCTTTTTCCACAGAGAGAATGTGTCTCTTAAGCGCCACATTCCACGCGAAGCTTGAATGGCCAACTCCTCCAAATTGCGTGGCGCCAAGCATGACCAGAAAATCTATCATCGCCTGATGGTCCCACGCAAGGGTATCAAGTTGCTTCCGGTTCTTCCCAACTAATAGGTCCTGCTTCGTTAGGACCGTTAATCCACGTGGTTTCGCGTCCTCTGCCATCAAGGCCATCTGTGTCTGATTCCCGGATGCGATATACATCACCGAGAGATCCCATCTGCCAGCTTGATCGAAATATGCCTCCGTCTGCTTTGAATACTCAGACCATTCCCACATTGGATCCACGGGATTCCAGCTGTCTAGTGCATCCTTCTCGGTGCGAAGGTGGGCGCCGAAGAAGTGACGGCCGATACTGAGGAATGTGGCAGTTGCGAGCTGTCGCACATCGGCTCGAAATTTGAGGATGTTTCCGAACGTGGTCGCAAAGGCTTCGCCATCTTTGTTGATCGGGTATGTAAGATACGACCTGCCTAGGTCGACTAACATAGGCCCATTAGTGGGTCTACCGGTCGGCGCAGTCTGGATATTCTCGTCGATGGTGTTGAGCCATTCGTACAGCAAGGACTTCCACTGTTCGGGATGTTCCATGCCTGTGCTTGGGATGCCTTCCTTGATAAGCGATTCCGGAAAGAGGCCGAGAGACCAGGTTCTTGGAGGCCCGAGCCTCTCATACACCTCGTCTGTGTCGTTGAAGAGGCGAAGTTGCGGACAAGAAAGCTGCAGTGACTTGACGAAGTGGTCCCGGTCGAACATGTACTCCAAGTTCTCCCTCTCTCCAGTGCGAATTACCGAGATATCAGACTCGTTCCGTATGAAGATGCGTGGCATGACCAAGGATGCACCCGCAAGCATTGTATACCTAACGCAGTTGAGGATCGAATTGCGAATGTTGCCTATACCGCCGACATTGTTCTCGCAGGTGAAAACCACTTGCTTATTTTTATCCGTGTCCCATTCTGTAGCGTTACAAACTGATTCGATGACCTCGGAATTGAGGGGCTCGAAGTCGAATACGTCCTGCGGTGGGCGTGGGATCCAAGGCACCAGACTGGAGTCAAGTCCAACCCGGTCAAGATGAAGCTGTTCACGGTAAATCCATAACAATACGAAGAAAAGGGCGATAGTGACGGCATTGGTGCGTCGGCCGATGCGCCGGTTCGAGTATCTGCCGACAATGCCCATCTGGATGGGTTGATCGAAGGCCTTTCAGGCGATGATACATATTGGAAAAGAATTCGAAATGCCACCGCGGGATGCATCCATCCACTTTTTCAAGGGTCGCCGGGCTGAGATGCCCTCCCTTTTGTGCCAAGAACTTCATTCCTGAGTTTTGGGAAAGTGCCCCTTTCATAGCTGGACGCGTTGTAGAGCACATTCAATCGCGTTTAATAAGAACAGGCTTTCGGGCTCTAGTTGACAGCGCCTCGTGATTAATTAAGTACGAGCTAGGCTTAAAACCTGCTTTTTTGTTGCATCGTCTGATTTTTGAAGCGGTCAAACGGCTCAAAGTCGAAGGAGACAATGATCACGGTGAGTTTTAAAGTAAATCTTAGAGGTTTATGTTGGAACACTAATGTAAACAGGTGCGTGTCAGCGATAAGTTATCCCTTGCTTTTCTCCAGTGTCTCACCCCTGAAAACAGATCAACAGGGGCACGTACTTAAAATGCGGGGGTTTCCGGTGGCGGTTGGAAGGGCGCTATTGAGACCATTTTTCGAGAATCCAGCGACATTTCATTTCCTTTTACTTTTTGACTGGTGGTATGGAACACTAGCAGTCTTGCAACGGATCGGGTTGGACTTGGTGATGGGCTTTTCCGCAGCGCAATCGATCACGAACCTGAGCTGAGTTCCGCCCAGCTGACTAAGTCACGTTGCAAAGACACGTTGGCAACACACTTAACAAAGCAAATCAATCTCCTCATGAGCGCTCGGGGCGGCTTCCTCAGTTGACTTTCCCTAAGCAACATAGGTGGCTATTGTAACACCGCCTCCAGAAACGCCAATAACGTTGTCAATGGAATGAACGCTGCAACGGCGCTTAGCGCTACCACGATATGGTATTAGAGTAACGACAATTGAATGCCAGGTGTCCACGTTGTCGGACCATCAGTCGTCCTCACCCAATGAAAGTTTCTCAATTGCTTTGTCCTGAACTGACAAATGCTGACACAGCCAGCAAGGGGAAAGAATCTTATCCAACGCAGCATGAATAAAATGATTTATTCGGCCGTTGAGAGAACGGCTGGCAAACCATAAAATCAGGCACAACATCGCTTGTTCAAGATACCTGTGTATCACATATCAGACTGCCCATAATTTTTGTGTGCCTACATATTGTGGAGAGACGATGTTCCGTAAGTTAAGTACATGAGTTGACAGACGCAGTAAATATAGTTGTCTTGATTGATTCTGCCCGTCCTTGACCAAAATAAAGTCTATTCCATTTCATAGGATAAAAAGAAACATGGGAATGCGTTTAAGCTACCCTATCCCATTATTTATAACCCTTAAAGGTCACAGTCCTATACAGTAAATATGCCTGCCTGCTCCATCGTGATGCTTTGATGAGGGGAAACTACTGACTCTGGCCGCAATTTTTGGCAATGCTGACACCGGCCAGTCCGTTCCAACAAAGCCAGCGCTTAGACGCAGAACTTGGGAATTGTACACGAGTCATTACAGCAGACAAGGCCTTGATCGGCACACGAGGCATGCTAAGAACGGTTAGCTTATTACTTCTAGTATGGTTGAAGCGTTAGGATTCGGGCTGAACGCACGTAATTTCAAGTTGGTACGTTATTGCCTGGGAAAATGTAACATTTTACAATATTGTTCCCAGAACAGCCTGTTTTGTAAAAGCGAGGGTTGCATTCCTGCCCTTGGTTTTCAGCTAAGGCAGAAACAGCAAAAAGACAGAAGAGTATAAAGATATGCATGATGAGAGCAATACGTAGTATGTGGTTTGCTAAGGGTAAAAAAGAGACTAAGGATAAGAAAAATATCTTGTTCAGTTAATAGGAGGGGAATCTAGCTACTTATACTGGTACCCATGGCTCATCTGATACTAGCTACTGCAGGATTAATCATACTCATGTCGTTTTGTTCGCTTTCGTAGTGGATGTGCTACTGATAAACCAAGTCACGTCCTCAAATTCAGCTATTACACTTTTGTTTAGCTTACTAGCTTATTAGGGCCAATATTATGCTTATTCTTGTAGATTGGTCTTTAAATGAATGAAAAGGCGTTTGTCAACTTGGTGATTCGTGATTCCGGTTACTTTATCAGTCTTAGATTACTGTAGATACACGACGGAAATTTCCTTCAACCGGCTTGCAGAATCATTCAAGTAATAACATGAATCAGCCACTTGTTTTTAAAAACATGCAAGTGTTGCATTACATCAATACATGCTATTCATTGAAACATTACCTCGACATACACAGTCGTTATTGTCGGTGTCTGTGCTCTGGCCTGCTCTGAGCTTTTGACATGGAGCACAAAAGCTGAGCCAAATAAACTCTGAGCGTCTCGGATAACTTCTGCCACCGCAGCGAGTTTTAATAGCCTTAGCAGACAAGATAGGCAAGTGGGGTACCGGGTGGGGTTAATTTACTGAGTGTTGACTGTGTCTGCCCGCTCTTCGATTTCAAAGCTTTTTTTAAGTCTCCGAATCAGGTTAATTTCGTACCGAATACTCCGCACTTCATATCTTCAGTAGAGATACACATTGCTTTTTTAATTCTTCCTAAAGCATGTTATTACTCTAAGGCACTTTGAAGATAACTCCCAGTATGTTTGAGGTATACAAGGTATTCACTGCTTAATATGCCTAGCGGTATGCCAGCAGTCTTACCATTCACATATATGCATATTAGGCAGCTCTGGCGATACACGAGTAAAGCCAATCTAAATGCGTTCGTGGCAGTCACACTGTCTTTCAATTGCATTCTCTCCACCAGATAAACAAGGGTCTAGATGTCATTGAACAGATCTTTGCTTGTTAAGTTTGTCGGCAAGGTAAACCCGCTTGCAGCTTGATGCACGTGCCTACAAAACAGCCTCGATGCTGGAAAGTTCATCGGTGCGGCTTTAATTTGAACATGTGGATGTGGCAATCCAAGACTTCACAAAGTGCCGATGCATGTGAAAAGATGAAAACGAGGGCCCCGTGGCCGTTTGTTCATTCAGAGTAGTTGACTAAGATCCGTGCCCATAGTCTAGCAGCGTAGTTTTACTAATATGTGACGCTTGACCACACTTATTTGCTTAGCGATATTCTATTTTCATTATGTAGCTCTCTCTCGACTCTTCTGAAAAAAAAGGATTCTAATCTCTGCTGTATGGTAAAACATAATCACTCGGTATGAGACTTGTTTTCTTCTCAGCTTTGCTTGCCCTACCGGGTGCGTCAGCCACTGCTGTCGGTGATGTAAAATCCCTTGAGTCTCGCCAGACTGGTTGCTTTTGCAAGATGTAAGAAGTAAACGCCTATGGAAAAACAATGGTTTAAGAATGCTAACAGAATCTCAGACTTGCTGGAGACGTCGTTCTTCAAGACGTCGTTCCAGCTGGAACCGGCCGAATCCAGCGCAACATGCGCATCATCGCTGGAAACAACAAGTACTGCACTGTTGTACTTGATCGTGGACAAGGCTCTTGTGCTCAGATTAAGAAGGTCGCAGGACCTTCTGGACCTGGCTGTCCTCAGGTCCGCGGAGAGATGGATTGCACCTTTGGGGCCTAGGCAATGATGAACTCGGGAATGTAGATGCTGAGCTGAAGCAAAGCAGATGTGATCGGGCATATTTCTTCCTAACGAAGGTACAGGAAGCTGTTAAGAATTCAAGGCAACTTAGGTTGGAATCACAGCGAAGCAAGCCCAGCTTTTAACAGAACATTAGACAGACAACATTCGTTTCTAAAGACATCTTGAAGAATTCGAGACTGAAATCATGTCGACAGTGGTCGCATTACCCGCCTTGCTATGTTCCTGTGTCGCTTATAAGTAGACTGCCTAGGCTAAACCTGTTCATGAGGTCAATTTGAGAGGTCTGTCAGATGTTGTCCGAAACCGAGGGAAGTTACCACCATGTCGTCCTTACCAAAGCCGTTGATTTGTCACGTAGCTACCTGTGCACACTCGTAAAACTGCTACAGTTACAACATGGCAGAATCTAAATCTAATAAACTTTATCTTATTAAAGGTGGCTATTACGTTATCGAGCAGATTCTAAAGCAGACTCAGAGCTAGTTCCCTGTGTATGCTTATTAAAAGCCGTATTAAATACGATGAATCACTCTGTTTTAGGAAGTTGCCTATTTCGACGTCGTATGAACTTGGGTATGAAACAAACTTTTTCATGCCAGCATTATCCTAGTAAAGAATTCCCGCCCACCACAATAAGCTAGTATAAAGTACGTATGTAAAGCATCTTAGCCCTGAATCGGGGAACCATTCTACGTCGACGATATTTTGTGATTATCCTAGTAGTTAGAGATGTTATGCATAACACTAGGATACAGCTTATAGCAGAGAATAAGCTGACTCATATTTAAGCTTGATATTCCAAACACAAAGTTAGCTTAGGAGAAATTATCGGGACGTAATATCAACCCAGCGGAGCCGAGGAAGTAAAACCCTGCAGTTCTCAACCACTTTACGCATTCACACAAGAAAAGGAGAGCTATATGGACATGTCTGCAACGAAACTTTTGATTTAATCTGATCCTCATTATTTTTCTCTCCTGTTTATAACCTCACTTTTGGGCTGGAGCTACTGTCACGCATGAGTGCCGTTCAACAGTTAAGGCAATGTGATTCAGAAGGCGTCCGCCCTCGTGATGCCTCCTGAGCGTAGGTGTATCTGGTTTCGGTCTGGGATCTTGACTGACAATTCTCAAGTAGCCATGAGACTATTCCAGCCAGCCATAAAACGGTTTTTCCGGTATCCATGGACACAAAGCCGTCGAAATTGCACTAACTGGATTAAAGTAGTGAGACTGATCATAAAACATAATCAAGCAAATCTGATCACCCAGTTGTCCGTCTTGTCACATCCTATAGGCGATGGATACGTTCTCCTCACTCTCTTTCTGTCATTCAACTCCCTCATTCTCTCCACTTAGCGGGTACAACGCAAGGTAGCCCCCTAACCCTAGGTAGCTGCAAAATTTTCCGTGTATGCGACGTTTAATTTGTTGCTCAGACTTCAAAATTCAATAGTAATTGAACAGTCCTGAACGAAAACCATGCAAATAGCAGTATCATACGAGGACCTACTCACAATCATCTCGTTTCGCTGGCTAGAGCTAGCTACTGGACTAATGAAGTTGTTAACTCTTTCGTGATCGGGATATCACCCCTCTCTTATGTAACGCTTCACGAGCAATCTTTCTTAGTGAGGTTTTTCTTTTGGGGGGCGGTCAGGCGTTTTCCCCGGCTTGGGACATGATGGGCGTGAGTGTCCCATCCATGTCAGGGTAATCATGCTGTGAAGCATTCGCATAGCTGGGGAGCTGCAATGGCAGCCGGTTAGCGATGAGTAGCCGAAAATTGTAAAGCATGAGTAAGTTTCGCTTGACATGGCCATAAGTACAGGGTTGCCCGATTTCAAATTCACCCCACCATCATGTTGCTGGGCTGGGGCGATTGACTGGATAATTAAAAGGAAGCTATGGAAAATCCAATTGAATGATGCTGTAATCAAAAGAGAGTAGTAATGTAAGAACCGGCGACTAACAGAGGAGGGTTTATAGATCAAGCTCGCGGTATTATATTCTCCAGTAAGAGCCCGAAGAAAGTGCTATTGAATACGCCGCAACTTCAACATTGTAAAACGCAGCTTAGTCTGCTACAAAGTACAAAGCGAGCGACGACCATTTCGAGAAATTGACTTTTATAGTTGCTTGATCAATAATGAAATCAGTAAAAAAACCCTTGCCATTTAAATAGGCATAAGTATCACTGAGACACACGACTTGCTAGGCGTTTAGGGTGCTTCCAAGGTACGTCAGTTCGTTAGCTTTCTTTCTTATACTTTTTACATCGATTCGCCGCTGTCTTTATGCTCTTGCTTCGATCAGCATCATCTGTAAAGCGTCGCTTGTGATTATCTTTAATGGTCTGCGACTGGAGTCCAGTAAAGTAGAGTCAGATTTTTGTCTGCAGTCAAGTTCACTAATATAAAAATAGTTCAAGTAATGCCCACCAATATCTGCCAATTGAAACAGGCGACCTAGTTTTCAAACTGTTCCGGAAAAGAAGTATTTTCACATTCATCTTGCATACCTTACTAATGGGCGACTGTAAGGCCGTTAGTCGACATCATAGGATGGAGAAGACTGGAAATCTATACAGGTTCCCAAGCTACCAAAGCCGAGATATCAGAGAAAAGATAAGGGATGATTACATAGACTCAAGACGAACAGAAAATCATAATCAATCGTCAAAAGCGAAACGTGTCGTGAAGCGTATACCATGATTGGCAATGCTGGTGCGCCCTGAGCCGACAAACTCCATGCCGTCTGATTAGTTTTTTTCCTTACGGGTACTTTCTACACAACATCCGCTTGCACCTGCACTAGGAGCTAACATTTCCAACATACGTGTCTATGAGCCTCGTGCACTTAGCCAATCCTGTTGTAGTCTATGACCAAAGGCATGGGCTGTGACACGCCTCCATCCTGGTGAAGAGGTCTAGGCTGCGTGATGCCCATTACGAGAAAATTACTGCGAGAAAGAGGTCTGCACTTACAAGATGTCTACCTTTACAAAACCTCACGTAAAATATAATCCATAGGATATGAGCGAGCGCTGGAAAGTGGCGCAATTTTTTCGGGCCAGGGAGTGGATTTAGGCACAGAAGTTTTCTCGAGATCGTCCTTTCTTAGAAAATGAAGAGAGACCTTGTAATGACCAATTTCCAAAAGATTTAGTCTCAACATTCCGTGATATGGATTCGGCCTTAGGCAAAGGTCAACGAAACTATATCGACAAACACAGGAATGAAGGCTGTCAGTGTAGGTTTGCCATGTAATCGACTGCGGCTGGGTCACAGATATATTGCAAGCCACAAATCAGCTCATACTCAATGTTCAATGAAAAAATATTCGACGCTGAACAGAAGCTCACTTTGTATGCTTCTGATTGGCTGTGACCCCGCATGTCTTGCAGCTGTTGTTCAGCTGTAGCCGATGGCATAGATAGTTGACCAATGATACCTGGAGATGATGCGAAGTTGGCGGTCTTGGCCGCTTCCACCCAGCATCACATCAGGCTGAGCGAAACCTCTCCTGCCTTCTTAACTTTTTACTCTTTCTTCTTCTTACATACACTCTCCATCGAAAAACTCTCGCCCCTACAGCTTCGTCAAATTCACCTCATGTCAAGTCCTTCCAGTTTGTTGCCGATTCCATCAAACCCAGCTTCATCTTTACTGCCTCTGCAACTTGGTAGGCCACCAACAGAGTGTTTAAGAACTCAGATAAAGCTAACCGCTGGTGCAGCCTGATTTAGCAAGCAGTCGCGGCGTCGTATCTCTCGCATTCCGTTACGGCACCGACACAGCTCTAGGGCCGTTCAGATGGAGCGCAAAAGAAAAGGCTCTAACGGGATTCCCTACCATGAATCACGAGTCCCACCTAGCAAGCGTCATGAGCTCGACCGAGAAGCGAAGCCCAAGCTCGCTCATCACAAATATACCGTAGGTTGGATTTGCGCTATAGACACGGAATACGTCGCGGCACAGGAGTTTTTGGACGAGGAGCATGCACACCCTCACAACCTCCCTCCGAATGATGGAAACCACTACACATTTGGCAGAATCGGCCTGCATAACGTTGTAATGGCCGTTCTAGCGGAGTATGGAATCGCGTCAGCGACGGCGGCTGCAAAGAATATGCAGCACAGCTTTCCCAACGTTGAGATCCGGTTAATGGTGGGAATTGGCGGTGGCGCCCCGTCTTCAAAAAATGACATCCGCCTTGGCGATATCGTCGTCAGCGCTGGCTCTAATGGGCGGAGCGGTGTGTTTCAATACGACTTTGGAAAAGACATTCAAGGCCAAAATTTTCAACGAACCGGAGTCTTGGGTCAGCCGCCTGAGCGCTTATGTGGAGCGGTCGTGGGGCTCCAGGCCCGGTACAGGAGAGAAGGGCACCGAATCGAAGAGGCTATCGATGACATTCTTCATCATAACCCAAACTTGAGGAGTCACTATACCCGCCCGAGTTCGGATGACGACAAGCTGTACAAGAGCAGTTTTGTTCACCTCCAAGACGGTGGAGAACCCTGCGCTGCAGTCTGTGAATATGGTCCTTCAAACTGTGTGGAGAGACCTGCACGGGCTGGGAACAAGCCTGTTGTTCACTATGGTGTAATTGCTTCAGCTAACCAGGTCATGAAGAACGCCGAGACTCGGGACAAACTTGCAGCTGAAGATCATGTCCTATGCTTTGAAATGGAAGCTGCAGGCCTGATGAAAAACTTTCCTTGCTTGGTTATTCGCGGTATATGCGACTACTCAGACACCCACAAAAACAAGCAGTGGCAAGGATATGCAGCAATGACAGCTGCTGCATACGCGAAAGATCTCCTTAACGAGCTCAGCCCGCTGTGCTGTGCCTCACCCGCTGCCACGTCAACTGAATTATGGAACTCGACAACAGAGTTTCATCGGAAAGATCAAATCGACGAGCGGCGGCAACAAATTCTGGAGTCATTGAGCTTCAGCCAAATTGACGCTCGAAAGCTGACTATCAAGAACGCACATGCTGATTCATGCAAATGGGTGCTGAACAGCTCGGAGTATCGTGACTGGCTGGATCCTACCAAACGCGAAGCACATGATGGCTTCTTTTGGATTAAAGGAAAGCCAGGAGCGGGCAAGTCGACCCTAATGAAGTTTATCTCTACATGGCACCGAAAGGAAACGCCACGAGACACCATCATTACCTTCTTTTTCAACGCGCGAGGCGAGGAACTGGAAAAGTCAACAATTGGGATGTATCGATCACTGCTCTTTCAGCTCATCGATGGCCTTCCCCAACTTCGGACCATATTGGACTTTCCTGACTTGATGGCACCCAACACTGGGCCCCGCGAGTGGACCATTGATCTCCTCAAAATTGCCTTTGAAAAGGCTGTCTTGAAGCTCGAGAATTCGTCTGTAACATGTTTTGTTAACGCACTGGATGAGTGCGACGAGGACCAAATCCGAGAAATGGTTTCGTTCTTCAAGCAAATGAGCGAAGAAACTACATCGACTCGGGTGAGTTTTCAAGTTTGCTTTTCGAGCAGACATTATCCTCAAATCAACATATCGAAGGCTGTAAACCTCGTGCTTGAAACAAAGCAAGGGCACGAGGATGACATCGTCAAATATATAAGCAGCAAGCTGAAAATAGGCAAAGGTAAAATTGCCCAAGAGGTCCGCCATGATCTTCAGAAAAAGGCATCTGGAGTTTTCATGTGGGTTGTATTGGTTGTGGACATCTTGATCAAGGAATGCGACCGTGGCCGCATCCATGAACTTCGAAAACGTCTCAAAGAACTTCCTAGCGACCTTGACAAACTGTTTCGCGAGATTTTGACCCGCGATCACCATAACCGAGACAGATTACTCTTATGTCTCCAATGGGTGCTCTTCGCAAAAGAGCCGCTGAGGCCAGAGCAACTGTATTTTGCAATACTGTCCGGGATTGAGGATGAGTCAACTGAGGCTTTGTCAGACTGGGATCCTGAGGACATTACGACCGATATCATGGAGCGATTCATCATTGGCTCATCAAAGGGTCTGACTGAGGTTACCAAAGCAAAGGAGCCAAAAGTCCAGTTCATTCACGAGTCAGCGCGAGACTTTCTACTGAAACACCACGGACTGAGCCAAATTTGTGGCGACCTTCGGGGCAATATTGAAGGGCAATGTCACGATAGATTGAAGCATTGTTGTCTCAAATATCTATCTGTTGCCGCAGCCATGGAGATCGACCAAGCTTTCTCTCCTGCTTCCTCCGATGAAGCTACCATGTTTCGTCGTTCTACAGAGGAGAGATTGCCCTTTTTGCGATATGCTACAAAGCAGATTTTTTATCACGCAGACACCGCGGAAGGATTAGGAGTCAGTCAAAGTGGGTTTCTCCACACATTTGATCTTCCTGAATGGATAGCTCTGGATAATCTCCTTGAGAAACACAAATACGCCGACACACTACCCACGCCAGTCTCTTGTATATTTTAGCCGAGCATAACGCGGCAAATCTCATAATGACAGAGGACTCAAAGCTAAATTTCTTCAACCTCGAAGCTCAGAGGTATGGGGCTCCGATACTTGCAGCTTTAGTAACTAGGAGTTATGAGGCTGTTCATGCATTCTTGGCTGCCCACAAAGAAGCCAACCCCAGAAGCTTAGCACTTGGTAACCTCCAATTGCAATATCAACAGCCAAAATCCATTTTGGACAAATCGCCACGAGAGTTCACTTTTTCGAAAAAAAGAGGCATATTTTCACATGTTGCAGAATTGGGGGACGAAAGAATCGCTGCCCTGCTCCTTGAGCTGGGAGAGGTCGACCCCGATGCAACAGATCAGAGACTTAAAACGCCGCTCTCATACGCCGCTGAGAACGGAAATTTGGAAGTGGCTAAACTTCTTCTTAAGACTGGCAAGGTTGATGTCAATCACAAGGACCAGGGCGGGCTGTCGCCATTATCACATGCTTTGATTGGTTTACATTACTCTGTTGCTCAACTGCTTATCAAGACTGGTCGAGCCACGGCTAATGTGTTCGACTCGAGAGATAGAACACCACTATCATATGCCGCAGAGGATCGGTATCATGGAACTGAGAAAATCAAGCTTCTACTTGCTACTGACAAGGTTGAGGTAGACTCAAGAGACAGCTTGGGGCGAACACCACTTTCATATGCCGCAGAGGATCGGTATCATGGAACTGAGAAAATCAAGCTTCTACTTGCTACTGACAAGGTTGAGGTAGACTCAAGAGACAGCTTGGGGCGAACACCACTTTCATATGCTGCAGGCGAGTATAATAACCTAGAGACAATCAGACTTCTTCTTGTCACCGGCAAGGTAGAGGCAAACTCAAGAGATAACTCAGGGCGAACACCACTTTCATATGCTGTAAGCAATTATAATAATCCAGAGATAATCAAGCTTCTGCTTGCTACAGGCAAGGTTGAGGTAGACTCAAGAGATAGCTTGGGGCGAACACCACTTTCATATGCTGTAAGCAATTATAATAATCCAGAGATAATCAAGCTTCTGCTTGCTACAGACAAGGTTGAGGTAGACTCAAGAGACAGCTTGGGGCGAACACCACTTTCATATGCTGCAGGCAATTTTGGTGATCCAGAGATAATCAAGCTTCTGCTTGCTACAGGCAAGGTTGAGGTCGACTCAAGAGACAGCTTTGGGCGAACACCACTTTCATACGCTGCTGAGTGGAATAGGGTCAATGCTGTCTCATGCCTGCTCAATAAAGGCAAGGCTAATCCCCATCTAAAAGACAATAGCGGACGGAAGCCTTTTGACTATGCAGCTAATGCCCATATCCGAGGCATCTTTCAGAGACATATACTTGTGTAAGACTAGAACACAGGCCAAATCAACTGCAATCCCGATCGTTTATATTTACTTAGTAATTATGTCGAGAGAATGATACTAGGAACATTATTTGCTTCACAAAGTTATTCTTCGTCTCTCTATGCTCGTGTCGCTGCAAAGCATGTTCTGAGGATGTTAGGCAAAATCCTTGAAAATGTTTCATCAACCACATGAATTGTCTGGCTGCCGGTGAGGTCAATCGAACATAGTGGCATGGTGGAAGTCGAGCCGGTCAAACCACTCACACCACGGCAAGACATCTTCAAAGGTGCGGAGGACAGATTACCAAAGGGAGATATTTTGGCTAAGGCGTGGAATATGAATTATCATTTTTGGTGAAGCCAGCCCCCCTAACGTACTGAGAGTCGTAGAAGGGCCTTTCCAAGTTCTGTAAGCATGCTCTCAGTCCACGTAGTAATTTATCTGTCTAAAGTGGTTGGTTCACACTTGCATTGTGAAAAGTGGAAAGAACTTTGACATCATTGAAGAGCGTGAGGTGAAGCCTTGGGTCAGTCCCATGAGAGAGGGCGCGATAGAGCGAGTCTGTCTCTGCGTCCAAGTCCAAGCCTTCCTCAATCGAATTGTTGTTTGCTTGAAATTGTTGCTCTCTGCCGTGCAACACCAACCTTAAGGCTGAAATTTATGAATGCCGGAACTCTTCTGACGCGGTGGTGATAGCTAAGGTATGAGGAGATTGCCGTTCAATAGCAACCCAGCTAACTGCAGGTCAACTGGAACGGACAAAATCCCGGGGTGCTTAGCGACTAAGTGACAACTCTTCGCCAGATTTTGTGGGGTGACCCTGTGACTGGGAGAGTGGTAGGAGCGAGCAAATACAAGCCAAAATCATTTATCAATGTGTGGGACGAGAGATGTGAAAATTTAACATGGTGGCGGGTCTTGGCTGATACAAAGGAACAATATTTGAGGTTGTTCAAGTATACACACAGTAGCCATTATTGAACCTCTGAGAATTAGCTAAGTTAAATTCGATCAAGAACCAAGGAGACAGTAGATTTGGTAAAGATGAGAATGCCACTTTAACAAAAGCCAGAAATTTTTGAACCATTTAAGCTCAAGTTGCTGGGTGCTTTTGTCCAGGTTAAAACTGTGTGTTACGGCCTATTGTTCATAAATGGGTGTATGTTTCGTTCATAAATGGGACTATTATGCTTCGACTGTTTAAACAATGCAGCCTGAGTCCATCTCCTTTGTTCAAGTCCTCAATGCACAAGTAGCCTCTTCCAAATCAACACGTGGAAAGTAAACGAGGATAAACTTCCACCAACAGTACAAAAACGACTGAATGGTGAGTTTTCCACGGGGAATGGCTCGTGTCTGCTGCGTAGGCTCCGTCGATCAGAGACTGAAAGACTGGGTAACAATACCCTGGTTCTAGATCTGAATGCGCAAGTCGTCAGCACCTTTAATAACAATATTCGCACCTTTGCTAGAGCGGTAGACGATGGGAAGGCAGTGAAGTGTCGCAATTCTGTATTGACTGCCCAAGACCTCATTGCGGGGCTCGCACTCAACGTATGCTGACTGGCGACAGCGAATGATCCAATTAGCTGTTTCGAAGCTCTCGCGGTTGACCAAGAATGCGATGGTGTCGACGGCAAAGGGGCCTTGGTAGATGCGGAGGATCTGGAACGGATGGCGCACGTCGTTGGTAGTCCAAGGTTGACCAGCCTAGCGAAATACCTAACGTCGCACACCCACTTCTCGCACACCCCCACATTTCGCACACCCATAAATTGGGTCATCATGAGGTATTCATCAACTTCATAACTATAAGTCTGATTCGTCTCCTGCAACTGTGATACTATCGCCAGTTTTAATAGGTAATTCAGGCTCGCTAGATTCATCTGAGCTATCCTCAATTTCGCCAGCCTCAATTTGGGCTTTGTGAATTGCCTCAATGTTGGCAAACTTCGAATTTGGGCTCATTTGGACCTTACGCCGCTTCCGTACCATTCCAGCCTCAACTTCTGCTTCCAACATTGCAATCTTCTTCTCTGCTGTAGCCAATTGATAGTCCTTTTCATCAAATCCCTTTTGAACCTTCCGAAACAACAGTCGCTGCGTTTGCTGATCTTTATCCAACTTGCTGAATAAGCTAAGTTGATCATATAGATCAACTGTCTTCTTGGGCGTTGACCAGGCTACTATGGATGTAGCAGATGCCCAGTTTTCGTCTTTTCCACCATCAGAGGCCCTCATAGGCGTAGAATAGCCTGGCTTTGAGGGCTTGGAAGCATTCTCAAGCAGTAGAGGGCTCATGAGCGGTCGAGCTATCGAAATGGGCCATAGTCCTGTTGCTTTCCAGCCGCTTCTGATATTCTTGCTTGAAAATGCCATCTGGCGTGCTTTTCCATAGCAGGTAAGAAAGTTCCGTTTGCCTACAACTGTAGAATCGTTGTGTTGAATGAGGTATCCAAGCTCTTTTCGATAGGTCGCCTTGAGAGGCCCAAAGACTGCTTGGTCTAGAGGTTGGAGAACGTGGGATGTATGTGGCGGTAGGAAAAGGAGATATATCTTGTGTTTATAACAGAGATACATAAATTCTGTTGTTTCATGACTGCCATGACCGTCTAGGATCAATAGTCTCTGCTCAGAGGGATGATCAGGCTTAGTCAGAGGGATAAAGATGTTCTCAAGCCATTCCACAGCTGTAGAGTCTGAAGTCCAGCCATTCTCAGTTGCTGTGAACTTCCAACCACTGTAAATATCACGTTTATGGATATCAAGAGGAAACCATTGTTGTTGAACCGATTTCCCTCGATAAATAACAAGTGGAGGAAGCGCCTGACCAGTTGCAGAGACACACTCAAGCATAGTTGTCCAAGCCCGAGACCCAGGCTGTTTTTTTCGCATTGATGAGCTTTCTGATGATCCCAGTACTAAGCCATTTGATCCTCTGCCTTCTAGGATACCAGTTTCATCCATGTTATAGCGATGATGTGGTTTGATCGCCTTGATCTCTGGAAGGGCGAGTTGTTGAAACCATTGCCTGATTACATTAGTTGAGGCCCCATTGACACGCTTAGAATCGATGGCTCTAGCTCTATGAACCTTGATTGATGGATTTCTCTTAATAAAGAACTGAATCCAGTTTCTCCCAAGTGGCTGGGTAGTGCCTCTGATGTCTAGGATTCGCTGGGCAAATTCCTTGAGTTGTTGATGTGTTGGCGGCAGCCCTAACGCCGCCTGGATACGCACCCATTCAGCTAAGTGACTTTCCTGTGCTGGAGATAGCTTCTGGAAGCTAGAGAAAGCTACATTTCTTGCCTGTGAACCCTTTAATCGAGACTGGAGGGTTGATGGTGGAATTCCAGCATCATGAGCTGCCTTTCGGACACTCTGCCCACTTGCAACTGCATTGAGAGCTTGATTGACTTCTGTTTCCGTATACTGGCCCATTAAGCGTATAAGAGTAACTATTCAAAGAATTATAATAATCGCTGTAAAAGTGGTGAAGATATTAAAGAATGTTGAAGAGGGTAAAATTCTACATGAGCGATTTATGGGTGTGCGAAATGTGGGGGTGTGCGAGAAGTGGGTGTGCGACGTTAGTGAGCTAATTACTAAGCTTTGAGACCTTAGTAGGAAAAGTGCAGCTTACCCGGCTCAGGGCAACCAAAAGCCCGTGCGGATCATCACCTTGAGGTGCGATGTGCTGCATCTATAAAACTGTAAGCCAAATAATCCAATGAAGTTAGATGGGCTCAAAGTTAGATTTGGTGAGGATGGATGGTGGAGAGAAGGAGGGCTTGAGGGTATAGATGGCAACGTTGAGTCGCATGTTGAGGCAGATGTTGAAGCAGCCTTCTCGGGCGAATTCTCCCTGGAGTCGCTTGTCGCGGTTGTTATTCCATCTGTTTATTGGTTTTCCGTAAGGCGGACGTTATGAGCATCGGAGATGGCGCCGTTCAAGGCTTTACCATGGACGGCCATGGCTATGATTGAGGGAGTATGTGACGGAGGTAAATGAAATCGTTGATTCGTATGAGAAGATTGCCGATGCTACCGTTAAGGAAGGTAGAAGAGGGGAAGCTGAAGGCTGGAGCTGAGGCAATGTTGTTTGTTGACGGTTAATTTGGGGAAAGGAAAATAGAAGTCAAAAGATGCTCCGAGTTAGAGTCTTGGGAAGTTTGGACCGTGCTTGCCTCCGCATGTAGTCACTGCGAGAGCGACGATATGTGGTGGAGGCAATAGCTCTAGCCACAAGCACCTGTACCTTAGCTATAGACACGCAATCAAAGATTCTTCTTTTTATTATCACTGCATTTCCTTCCTTTCTTCTTTTACTTCGCTCGGCTATGGGGTCCCTTCTCGCGGTGCCACAAATTTCCAAACTCTCCTGAATCCTATTCTATGTTTTAGTGTCATCTAATTTTACTTTGCTTTCTTTTTTCGACATGTCTCAACCAACGCGCTCTCTCCCTGGCGACAAGGTGAGTTTACCTCTACTCTTTTTGTTCTCGAACTACCTACCTATCCAACGCTGTCAAGGACTAACACTAACGTCCAAAGTGTTGGTCAATCAGTACTACTACCCTCAGGGCCCTACCATCGCCAATCTAGCCGAGTTTGTGCCCGACCGCAATCTTTCAGCAGCAACAGCCTACTGAGAAAGCGAGATGCTTGGCCGAACATGAGAAGTCCCAAGCTCGAGTTCGACCATTCACTTCCTCCACTTTCTCGCCCCGCCTCCTCTTCAAGAAAGCTCTCCACCATATTTCAATAATAACAGCTACAACGATTTTGGCTTCGGTTTCGACTTCCAGGACAATTCCCAAACCCTCTCTGCGGCTCCGAGACCTACTCCAACTTCTCCGCCAGTCCTCGAATCTGGAAACAGCGACTCAGAGACCTTTGATGACGGCCTCATTGCCATCATTCTCACAAGGCCGGGTCTTGGCTTGATCCCTGTCGGATCAAAAGAGCGTTCTATCGTCGCGGCGCGGCCCACGCCAAGGAAGAGTCTGTCGACGGAGAAGAGGAAGTGCATTGAGGGCGGGCATAGGCTCGTTGTGAGGGATGAAGTACGACGTCATTTATAGCAGATGTTTTCTCCCTCCTTTACATGTGGACATTTTGCTTTTGGGGGATATGCAGGGCTGCCGTTGTCCTTTTCTTCGGCGTTGGTGGAGCGCGTTTTCTTTAGTTCTTTCTTCTTTTAACAATAGCGCCGCGGGCGTCTGTTCGTCCTTCCCTCCAATTCGGCATTCAGTTCTTGATTAATGCCCAGATCTATTACGTATGGTCTAGGTCAGACTTGAGGAGCCTCTTTATTTCACACATACTGAGACTGTTGCGTAAGATTGGGGCTTGGTGTTCTAAATACAGTGGGGGTGGGGGAGCCACTAGGCTAAACCTCGTACCCACAGCCCAATGTCAGAGCCAAAGCCACTGAATTTTCTCTTTACCCCTATGACAGCATGAGACCTTTATTAGACATATCTTAGCAGGGGATCCTTGACTCCCTAGAACAAGCAGATGGTTCATAGTAGCAGCGTTCTTATTTCAACCTCGCAGCAAGCTTGGGTCTGTATGGCCATGTCCCGTCTCAACTAGAAGAAAAATAGGAGAAAAGGCTTGCACCATAAAGAGATCAAGTAGGTCGCCATTTTATTTTCACTTTTTTCGAGATTCCTGCTTCTTGCCTCCTGCACGCTGTAAACTACTCAAAGTGAAGCAACTGCAACTAGACACCCCGGAACTGTCTTCCTTACTTCCAAGGTACCTGAGTGCAGTGAGGGACCTATTTAGCTTAGATAGAGCAAGCAAACTCTGGCAGGAATAAACAGAGGAGCTGCCACAACTGAAATTTCTGAATCGTGGCTAAGCCTCTCTTTCCGTCTCGCTGATTAAGAATTCCAGCCTCCAGTGGCTTATTCAAGGGCAAAAGGAAAGACTAATAGGCAATTTCTCATTTAGACACCCAGCAGAAAACACAATTCGATACGTAATTTCATGACTGCGGCTAGCCTAACACCACACTGGCTAAAGAATGAGCTTCACCACTTGGCGGATCACAAGATTGGCACGTTACTCTGATTGGTTCCGAATTCATCCAGCCACAACGCCACAACGCCACAACGGCCTCATGAGCGTCAGCCACTTTCTCATTGCAGCGTTTACTTTATCTACCAAGTGCTTCTTTTGAATAGGTTGGTAGAACAAAGCTTCTACCGATATTTTCAAGCCTCGTGCTTAAGGAGCTACGCAATATAAAAGTGTCATGCGACTGGTGTACACTTCCTCAAGCATACCAGATGTTGACGCAGCATGAGCCCCACTGTTATCAATCGCTCGTCGAATTGCAGTATCCAGTAACAGTGGATTTCTTGTGCTTGTGGAGGCGCAGAATCAGCCACATGGGTGACTAAGCGAACTTGCGTTAGGGGTCTCATTGCGTAATAAGGCCGCATGACGTCGTGCGAGCAATGCTTAGTAGAACCGGTTCCGGAACAGGATCGGATCGGAGTGGGGCCGAGTTGGCACATGTTTTCTGCTCTTTTTGAACCTTTGATTGTGTGAATGACAGTTTCAAGGACCTTTGAATGAATACAAATTCAATTCGATCATTATTAATAAATATCACTCTCTACCCTTCCCTACCTTACTGGTCGACGGGGCATTTGCGGATGACGTACCCTTATTCCAAGGACTTCCTATTCTAACTACCTGAAAACTACGATATGCTTTGAGCATATTTGTGTGTCTTCCTTTGCTAATATTTAGGTATTTCATTACTTCCAAGGTGAAATATATCTCTGTACACTATGGCAGGAAGCCGAAGACATCTAATTGCACGAAACAATTGTGAGCGAAGATTGGCTCGATAAGAAGTATTCAAGAGTCTCAATCGTCTAAATATTGGAGATAACTACCAAGTTAGCCATTGAGGCAATTGAGGCTGAACTTTAATAAATGTCTTGTAATGACGCAGCGCCTTACGACGGGTAAGGCTTGGTCGGGGTCTTGGCAGAACGTAAGAGTGGGATGGAGGAATCTTGGCTCTCTCGCTAAAGACTTGACGGTGGTTTGCCAAGGGGCATGAACAAGCAGCCAAGCCACGCCTTCAAGGCTTGATTCTCTCCGAGATGCTGGTCGGCGTGAAAAGTGGGTGAATCTACAAGGGGTGCCTTTTCGTCTAATCTGCCAAAACCATGTTAGCTATGGACTTCATGACGACTAGTACTACTATTTGATGCTCTTTGAGGCAGAATGAACACTTGGACCCTTCGGGTTGGGTAACACTTTCTGTGAAACGTACGGTTCACTCCGGAGGTCAAAATCCGGAGACCGAAAGCAAGAGCTTAATGACACGTGATCTACAACTATCTATCAACATGGTGGAAGAAAAGACGATAAAGCTGACGGGTGCAGTACCCAGCTGGGACGATCTGAGGTTGAAGCAACTGCATCGATAGACTTATATATATCTAATCAAGACACCCTTACGTTCTTTTAATAAGTTCCCAACAAAACCGCATTCCCACAAAACCCTTCTTTCATATATCATACAAACTGCACTCTCGCGATACATACATGCCAGCCTCAGTCCCCAATCTTTGAGCCTCAGCAAGCAAGCCCATGGTAGGTAGAGGTAATTATTAGAGGGATAGTCATGGATGCTAATCTGAATACACTAGTCAAGTGCTCCATACAGACAAATAACAAACATGAATTCCACGAATTTTGTTGGTTACTTTAGAAAACGTTGTCAATTTCTAATCCAATCTCCTAACTCTAAATAATTTTCACAAAAAATGTGCTTTCCTCGAACCATGTCCGTTGGGAGGAATGACGGAACCAAGGAAACTCATTTTCGGAAAGCCACAATGCATAGAAGAAGGCATGGAAGAAGATTGAAACCCTCTTACTATGAATCTTATCGACGATAGGAGCGCAAGCATCATGTTCAATCGACTGCTGCCCGACTATAGAAGGCTCGCATCTCTTTTCTTATCCATGTCCCCCCCTCATAACAAGAATACATAGCGGTACATCATCTACACCAGTGTTGTTCTAGCTACGTTTACTACTACATATGTACCTTGAGGTGGACGATGTACTGTATTTCCACAATAGTGTGAATGCATAGGCAGCAAAGACACCTCGATATTATGTACAATACGATTGGCTAGAAAACGTCCTGACCAGCACCTGAGCGACTATTGCCCCATATACGACAGCACTCGGCCAGGCCGTAGTTGTTGGAATATATGAGATTGCTACAGATGACGGCGCGCTTCCGATTTTGGTATGCATTAAGCAGTGTTCCTGATTCTGCTGTTCGTAAACCCGTCCCCTAACGGAAGGCGTACGTATAGTCTTATCTCATAAGGATTGTGGCTGCTCCAGAATCTTCAGGGATGAAAACCTACCTACTATTTGGCAGTAAGCTTACATCAAAATCCAGATCCTTATGCAAAGCAAGATTTCGATAGCAAGCAGAGCAAATCTTATCGGTCTGGAGCTAGAACAAGGTCGGTATCCACTTTCCCCAGGTCTCCTTATCTTAGCCCCGGAGCAACAAGGTTTAGTACAGTTACCAAAGTCCCAGAAAAATACCTCAACACCAAAGTCCTTTTCAGAAGTCCACTTCGGAAGTCACAAGAGGATTATCAAGCCCCTGCTACTGTGGCAGGGTAGCATCGCGAAATGTGCTCGAATGATCATGACCCTGTATACTCGTATCGAACTTGGTTGAACCGAAGTTGAAACCACGACACCGACTTGCCACTGAGTCCCCTTTCATCTTAGTATCATTGCCAGGGTTTAAATGGTCTGGAACAAGACAAGCATTTGCGTGCTCAAGTAGGTTTTAATTGCACACGCTAGTGTTCTATGGGCATGCACGCGTTCAACCCTGTGCCTCGGCATATGGCGGGCTCGCGTGGTAAATCTAAGGGAATGGCTCGCGTGGTAAATCTAAGGGAATGGCTCGCGTGGTAAATCTAAGGGAATGAGAACTTATATCCTCTCGAGTAGGGATGTTTCATGTAACAAGGGTCTGGCGCATGTTTACATGGCGTACTAGCTATGAGACTACTGGATGTAGCTTTTTCCGCTAGCGATAAAAATGTAAAACCTACGATCTGGAGAATTATGCTTATTTGTGTGTATACGAACTAAGATTCTCCCGTTGACTAGAGCGTTTTCTGATCATATTGTCTTTTTCATAAGATACTTTAGCAATATTCATTAAGCCGTTTATCTGATTAATAGCTAGAAAAATAAAATGTTCATTGAAGTTCGCTTGTAGGTTATGCTTTGCCTCTAATCTAAGAGAATACCCGTTTTCTGTTTGAAACCCGTTTGTATTGTGCAAAATTAGTCTAGTGGCCCAATCCTAGCCTGCAATCCAACCATAATCCGCAAGATGAAAGAATAGCTGGCCGTAGACATTACTCTCGAACGAGACATGACTCATCTGACGTGCTGTCGTTGGTAGTGGTCTCTCATGTTATCGTGACGACCAAACAGTCGTCCGCATGCTGGGCAGGGAATGGAGGGATTGTGACTTTTCTCATGTCGATTTCTGTCCTTGATTGTGGGAAAGCCTATCATCGCAGACTCCTTGTTCCCTGATTCGTGCGACATGACGCACCCAGGGGCCCTGCAAAAATACTTTCGAAAGTGAAGACGATAGTGCTTGTACAAATCGCACCGTCGCGTGAAAAGCAGTTTGGAAGAGCAGGATGGGTGTGGGCATCGCAGAGCAGTTTCAAAACTGGGGTCGAAGCTCTCTTCGGCATTTGTATTTGCTGCAACACCAAGGCTGCTGCCTGAAGGTATGGTATCGGATTGCGCCAATCCGTTCGAGTTGATGTAAGCTTGCGGCGCATTCCAGCCGCTAGCAGCCGTGTGCATGTATGCAACGAGACCCATATCGACGGAATCGTCACCTGGTGGCTGTAATGTGGGAACTGCCGGCCCAAGGCAGAAGCCTGGTGGTGCAGGGTGCTCCCAGTCGTTTCCTGAGGCAAAGTCTAAATGCATAGCTGCATGTGGATTGAAGAACATGAGCTCGTCTTGATGTGACAAACTGTCCTCAGTAGGCAGGTCGAAGCCTTCCATTATCCCACTTCCATGTTGTTCGCCATCGTCTGCAGCATCATCTTGGTATACTGGCCGTGAAGTGTTTTGTATTGCCAGAGGGTTGGAAGCACCAATCGATGTTGCATTCCTATCCTCGAATTGCGACATGTGCCACGCTGACGTTGATTGGACCATTGGATCCCATTGCAGTTCGTCTGCCAAGTCACAGTTCAAAGATGAATAGTCTATATTATACACACATTCATCTATCGTGTTGGAAGTTGGTGACCGACCCCGAGCGAACATGTTGATGGGTGAGATAACGGTGATTTGAAGATCCCACAATGATTTGCTGGAGCGGCTGCGACCTGTGTGAGGTTGAATAACTTGGAAGTTGAGGTGTGTTATAAATGCCAAAAGAGGAATCTGGGTATAAAAGAAGGGGAGAACCCAAGAATCAAAGGACGTGCCAAGCAAGGGTGTCTCACGAGCAGAGGAGAACAAGAAGCTTGACTTGATATAAATGGATGTTTGCTTTAGTGTCTTGGATACCTCCTCTACCAACCCCTGAAACAAGTTATACAGGGCTATTCAAGGATTCCAAGTATCCAACTCTCCTGGTATTGTGCTAGACGGTATAGCTCCTACCTAATTAACGTAATATTTTAGCAAACCGACTTGCAAGGTATAAGGAGGTTTACTATCCGCCCACTTTGTACATCGGGGGGAGTAGATGGCCAAGCCGGGCCGGCACGGTTACGGTACTGGAGGTATAGTTTTGCAGTTTTGCGTATAGCAAGCGAGATATCTATATGCACCCTGTTCAACTAAGCAAACACCACCCCCTACCCCCATGCATTTGTTGGGCTGAATGAGGGGTGTGGAGAACGGTACATGGTGCCATTTCACTACCGTACTGCTATTTTAGAATGGAAGTCACGAATAGGGTAGACGAAATATCGATAAGTTAGAGCCACTTCTACCACATTAGGAGTAAGGAAAGTTGGAAGCAAATTACTATATACTGTATTGTGCTGGCGTTGTTTGCTTTGTAAGTGATAAAATAGCAGTGCAAGAAAGAGGCGGTAGAAACTCCTTAGATCATCTCCCGTAGCGAGACCGAATGCGATTCCTTGCAGAGAAATAGCGGATATAAACTGCATCAGGTTTCGGGGCAAGACAGAAGTCCCAAAAAGAAGCTTCCATAAAAGCCTTAGTCTCCGACCCTCTACCAACTCCAGCGTGCAGGGTCTCAGCTGTCCTATTGGTTGTGAAACGGGAAGTAAAGACATAAAACGACGCTGCTGGGTTTGCAGGTTGATGTTGGGTAGATGAATTAAGTGATTGGATATCGCTGCTCCGACAGTGTGCCAGGTTAGGAACGAGAGCCCGTCCGAAAGTGGCAAGATATGTTACTGCCTCAGTAAAGCGATTAACGCAGCATATCTCGTCAAATAAGCGAATCAAAAGCATTTTCCATCATGGGATTGTTCCATGAGACTAACAAGGAGTATATTATTAACCCTGGCTGCCGGGGGACGGGGGTCAGCACCGACCGGCGACGAGCTGCCCGATAGAGTATAGGTCGTCTCCATCTGGATGAATCTGTGGGGAAGTCCCCTCTCGGCTGCGCCGATAGCCGTCGAGATGAGTTGAACACGGCACGGATAATCAAAGATAGTCTACGGATAACTGAAACCCTGTTTGTATCTAAATGCTCAACAGTTTAAACTTGTGATTGTATAACAAGACTCTAATATCAAAATCTGTTAGTTAAGCCCGCACACGCTGTGGTATAGTTTGGTGGCACTCAGTTGGGTTCTAGTTACAAGGAAGAGAAACAAGCCTCAAGACTGAGTGGGGAATAGATAAGCAGAATCCTGCTTCTCGTGGCCAACGAAGGCAAATCGTGGTCAGACGTTATAGCCTACGCAAGCCAAGCGTCAGGGTTTCGACTGTAACAGGCAGGGATAGCGCGTTGAACGGGCGTTGTGTATACCTCTTTAACTAACAGCGTTAGTTTTTCCCGGAAAGACAACCGTTCACAGCATTCAAGACGCGTATCCATCAAATATGTATTTAGACCCTAACAACTTTGAGGGAAGCTTTGCGACAGGGGTCGTTTAACCCTAGCAGAGACTTGTCTAGCTAGAATCCCACTACCCTGGTCTTTTCTTGCGGGCACGCTCTTTATTGGGTTCACCTTCCCATGCAAGCTTTGCCTAGATTCTGCAGCAAAATTAAAATGCTTAAAATCGATCCGCCAAGCAGGACGATTTTCCATGTTGGTAAGACTAGAGCAAAATGACCCGATGCCAATGAGACTAGCCGGGAAACCTAACCATGGAAAGTTTTGGATGAGGCAAGTAAGCAAATAGGGGAGTTAGAAACAAAGCATCGAAATAAAATTCACAGAAAACTACCAATTTTAGACAATATCCGAGCGAATACAATCAGGTGCATAAACCGGGAAGTTAGTCGCCGCCCGCCTCCGGAAGTCCGCAGGGACCACTGGGTCATTATGAACAAATGTTTCCCTTTCTGGAGGACGGCTTACTGTCCCATCAACCCATTTTATCAATTGCTGACTGATTACAATACATAGGTCCTGGTTTTCATCCACTTTTTACCCCATCACAACAGGGATACATGACAGATGGTACGTCATTTACCTCTTCGCCATGTTCTTCCGGCTACGTGGAGAATCAAATTTATTATTGCTACGAATAAAGTAAACGTCGCGATGGTTTCAAGCGGTTCTGACGAATCAACAGCGTCATATACTAGTATAATTATAGTTACCGAGAACTTTGTAAGCGCCTATACATTTGGCTTGTGAGCTTGGACACTTTCACAATGCAACAATGTGCCCACATGAACCGCCTCAGCTTAGGCGAAGTAGTCAGAGACAACCAACCCCCTTGAAAACCCCTCCCACAACGCAATCATTCAGGATCTCCCTACTATATCAAAAGGAAATTCCAGAGACATATGTTTGTGACGCTAGTCGAATCGCGGGTTCAGTGGACGAATGATGCAACACCCCATGGTTCTGTATATTAATACTCTAGAAGAATAAATTGGAGGCTAGCCTGCAATTAAGATGCTTACCTATGTCTCGGTATATAGAGCCGATGCGGAGTCCGAGAGAGGTACCCCGCCTACCAACTTGGCTACATTGCAGCTCACTGACATCTACACACCAAGACCGGACCCGGCTGGTTGTGGACGCCGAAGACGGTCTTTGGTGGCGACCGTTGCGTATGTCCTTTCCCACGTGCCATCATCACTTGCCATGTTTTGTCGGTTTTATTTGTCAGGTTTTTCTTTTTCTTTGCCGGTAACCGGAGGATCAACGCTTGCGATTTTGCTACGGTCTGCCTAACCTTTGTAGACCTTCAACGAGGATATTAGTATTAGACATTACTAATCAGGCTCAAATTGTGAGATTAGTAGCTTCATCACTCTTCCAATTCTAAACCACCTTTATCACTCAAAATGTGGCTTTACCCATGGCGACCTGATGGCGACCTGTGGTTTCTTCCTTTTTCTTCAATGTCCAATTCTACGCCTAAGATAAGGCGCTTGACTTTGTTATCGGCTCTCTTTTGCAACCTGACTGAAATCACCATCTGGACTTCTAAAGATCCGTTCTTACGTTAATATTTATAATGAACTCCTCTTGACTTGGCATAAAGTGCCTATTGTCCTACTTATTTCCTGCCTACTGGTGCCTTGTCAACTCCTCTCTATGTTCATCTAAAGCCCATGTTGATACACTAATTTGATTTCTCTCAGCGCTGATGGTGCCTTATGAATAGTTACATTATAGGCACCTAACAACTGCGAATACAACGTAGGCTTAACACATTGACCAGGGCCTTATAGTCCTAAAACAGAAAGACAAAGGGCTAGAGCGGAAAGGGTAGTGTCCCGATACCCCGCGAAGAGTGACAACACGCAGACGTTTTTTCGTTGTATGGCTTATGTGAATACACCTTGCTCGACGTTTTCGGTGAGCATTGACATCATTTCAATAGTATCTCTAAAAGATATAGGCATCTAGTCAACGTCCCATCAAATGACGATTCAAGTTGCAGCCAAAGTGGTTCACGTGACCGGCAGCCAGACACTCGGTTGTTTCGCTGAAGTTTCCACTCAAAAAGTGCTTCAGTGTCCAAAGTCTTGTTCATAATAGAAAGCACAAGGGGCTCAAAAAATTGGATGGAGAAGTCCGGTCGACTGTGCAGTGACCGAAAGTCAGAGAATCTAGGAATTGGAAGTATACGCCTGTGTGATAACTGCATCTGATCATGTCTTTATGGCAATGTAATTATAGAAAACTTGACATCCAAAATGTTTAAATGGTAGCTGAAGTGAAAGGGGTTTTCTGATTAAGGAAATCTCAATAACTCCGCCCTGTCTTTGTTCTTTTATAACAGCTATCCAGTTGATTACCACGCATAGTTATCAGGGCATAAAGAAAACAAAAAGCCAGTCTAACGGAAAAAAGGTCTTCGATATGCTATAATAACGTTCTTTTTGTACTATAAGAACCTCCAATTTATTGCTTAAAGCTTCTGGAAAACATGGCTCAAGATCTCTCGACTCTTGAACAGATTAAGAACCCTGATTCGTTCAGTGCCCGAGTGTTCTCCATCACTCGCCTGGCCGCAAGGGAGGTGTGCAGCGGGAGCGTTGAACTCCTTCTCGAGAAATCGAGTCGCTGCAATGGATCCATCCCCTCTAATGTATAGCGGCTTTGTAGATTTTCGGTAGTTTCCATTGCCCTTGTAGAATTCTTGTGTATAGCCTCCGTTAAGCTTAAAGTTGCCAGCATCAAGAACACGAAGATCGTCTCCATTTGCGACTCCAAGCTGGTGATCAAAAGTGGAATCCCAGACGTCAAGCACAGCACCTTCGAGGGTTTGGAATATGTGACTGCTAGGGTCTCCCAACCAAGGCTCTTTTACGATGTCAGTCTGCAATGATAGTTGATTGTCGCTTTCCAGAGTGTGGAACTTCTTTTCGAGGTAAACTTTCAGCGCTCTGGCTACCTCGTCGACCTCTTGACCCGGCACTAGTTCAAAGCTGATGTGTGCACATGCGTGGCTACGGCCTAAGCTGTTCTGGGGCCGTGACAATTTGAAATCATGAATAGTCAAGCTTGGTTCTTGTCCGTTGGCTATAAGAGAAGTTTTCAGATTTGCCGCATCACGGCTCTTTGAAGAAAGCAGGAGGGTGATTTTGTCATATCGAGTCTCTTCGGCGCGGGTGAGTGGCAGAATGCCGTCATAGAAACCGGGTAACAAAATCTTGTTATGCGGCCCTTTCAAATTCGACAAGACCAACATTAGATCTGTCCACGGTTCAGTAGCTATATACGAACCGTTGACACCTGAGTGAAGATTGTAAGTTTTGGAGGAGACGCAGACAGTGGCGTGGAGAACTCCTCGGAGACCGTACGTCAGACAAGGGGTCTTATCGTCAAGCCAGTAGCCATTGCTGAGGAGGATGTAGTCAATGTGACCAATCTTGGCCTTGTTCCGTTGTACAATCTCCCGAAACCCTCGAGAACCGGTTGTTTCATCGCCCGCAATCAAGAAAATAATGTCTGAATACAGCTCTTTCGTCTCCATGAGATCTTTAACAGCATACAAGGCGGATATGATGGGTCCTTTATTGGTGCTCACACCTTTCCCGTACAGATACCCATTCATGCCTCGAAGCTGGAAGGGATCAGCACTTTCAATGTCCGTTTTGTCATCTGCCATTGTCGCCGCCACGTCGTAATGGCCATAAAAGAGAATTCTCTTTCGTTTCTCAGGCGGCCCGAGACTACCATTAAACTTCGCAAACACAACCGGCTGGTGTTGTCGGTTATCTGTAACGAGCATGTCAACTGTGGCCCCTTGCAAGCGGAACAAGTTGTAAAGAAACCCAGCCCCTCGTCGGAAATCTTGGGCAGATTCTTGGCTTGAAGAGATTGTTTTATGCGACATAAACTCGCCAAGGGAGGCTATCATCTCGTCTTCCTTCTGCTCCGACGAACGGTGCTCAGAAAGCGGGCGATCTTTGACCTCCCAAACGGCCACATTGTTGTCATTCGCTCCGGTGATGTAGAGTTGGTGGTCCTGATAACTCGCAATGGCTGTGGCTAAAACCTTACCCTCATGAGCTCTGAATTGCGTGAGGGGTTGGTAAGCATGCCCAGAACTCTCTAATGAGCCAGGCCCGTAGTCATCATGGTGCGCAATGTTGTGTTTCTGTAAGCTTGTTAGTGGCCATACTCAATAGCAACAATCACAGAAGACTAACGCTTGCGGTGCCATCATATGAGGCACTCCACAGGTAACCACAACCGATGTGTAATGATGTGACATCACTCGCATGAGCCTTTACAACACGAAGCTTCTGCTTGGTGTTCAGATCCCAAAACTCGATAATACCGTCGAGCTTGCCGCTGCACAGGGTTGAACCATCAATGGCAAGCGACATGACTGACTCTCCATCGTCTTCTCCGAGAGCCATAAGTTCCTCAAGACCATTGTGCATCCCGTGTGGACCAATGCCCTGCCCACCCAGTCGCCACACCTTAATCGTTCCATCGCCACCACCTGAGATCAAAACATCGTCCTCAGGCTCCACGAGATCTGTAGCTCCTTGTGTCAAGATCATGCAGAAAACATAGCCGTAGTGAGCGTAAAATGTGCAAGCTCTCCGGTCAGTTTCAAGAACTGTTTGTGCTCGTGGGACCAATGTATATCGCTCATCCGTAGACCGCGGTATACTGCCGCCCGTTACGCCCCGAGAGTCGAAGAATCGGTGATTTCGACGATCGGGGTGGCTTGACGAATCCTGCCGCACTATTCGCTGCGGATCCCTCAGCGAGCACCACTGGATTGTGGTGTTTTGGGAGCCAAAGTATATCGTGTCATGCTGGGAAGAGTACGCAACGGAGAAGATGTCGCCGAATGAGTCGTGAGGGCTGTAAATCTCGTAGAGACGAGTCATCATGTGGGCCTCCCAGACGTTGACGATTGGGTCAGTCGCGCTCGAGCAGAGAAGAGAATCATCATCTGATAGGAACAAGCACATGATGCTACGTTTGTGCGCCTGTACTCGATACTTTTCCTCAAAGGTTCCCAGTGCCCATACAACAATCTCGCCATCCTGAGTGCCGACAAAGATGCTGTCATGGCTAACGGCGAGGGCGAGAACGGAACTGTCGTGATTAACCAGATGGTTTAACTGAGGGGTTGTATGAGGAAACTCCTTGACAAGCGGCGACAGAGTACAGTCTTTAGTCGTATAGGCAGTATCGGCCACTGCTGCTTGAGTTATCGCTATAGAGAGACGCTGTGTGAATACTAGAGCTTTGAGGGTGATAATGAGAGATTTTTAAGAGTCATTACTGCAGGAGAGTATGTTGTAGTGGGAAGTGACCGACAAACACTTGTTTGAAGGATGAACCAAGAACTTTCGATCATATGGCGGTTGGGTTTATTCATGAGTCGCTGGTCCTCAAGTGTCTTTGAAACCCCCGAAAGCATCCAGTCCAAAACACCATAGTGGATCAATGTAATGCACAGGACAAAATACTTTGAACACAACTCCAGCAAATTCGGCTTTGATAACACTAGCTCGCCATTTGTAAATTGTGCAGCTATACTCCCGGGGGTGGAATTATGGGAAGCGGGAGGCGGCGGCCGTGTTAAAGTGAATTGATTGTATTTGGTTCTACTCAAGGAGGAATATGAAGAGGGGCTATTGAAAGTGCTCTCACCATCAATGTTCTCGATCTCATGAAGGCTTATTGATGGTCTCAACTTCTCATCATGCTGCTCCTTCATGCTCCAGCACTCCACGCAATGACCCTCATCGCTCCTTATTTGCGAAGTAAAAAGCATCTCAAATCTGGTGTAATTGTACGCCACCCGTTCGCCGTAGTCAGTCTTTACGATTTGATGTTCATTCTTAGTAGTGGGTGTAAGATTTGTCTAATTTATTGAATATGAAAAGCCGCTTTCCGATCCGCTTAAAAAAATAACGATACTATACTCGAAATATACAGTACTGATTTTTAAGCTCTTATAGTTTACGTAAGTGGGTACATGTTATTCCCAATATGGCAGTAATTTACTGGAGCTGAGGCTAATGATCTGCAGGATCTCAAATATGCAAGGCCACCAATATGCAGGGCCACCGATCGGAGAGCTATCGACATTCGGTGTCACCGAGATGTAGGGCCACCAACGTGTGCGAAACCTTGCATCAGTAGACAGCCTAGTGTGTATTATGTTTGTTCCTAACGGATGGATGCTGTAACATGCTACACTTGAATCACCCATCGTATAGAATACCAATAGTAGCGCATAAAGACCTTTTAAACACCCAAGGTTAAGTACATGCTAGGGCCAAAATTAGTGGGTCCAAAATGTTCATCTTTTCATTGTCATTTCTTAATCCATCCTGGCCATTCTACAATGTCATGTGCCCTGATCAACAACATGATTCTGTGTCCTAAGTGTTGCATAAAGAATACACAGAAGGGAAAGGTTTATGAGTTCTAGTCTTCAAATTTTTGAAAAATTGTATCAAGGTGTATTAATAGAGTCTTAAGCTATGTCTTGTCGAGTTCTTTCTTCAAAGATCAGTTTGGATACTTTGATTTTGCTATGGCGTGGTAGCTCAAAGATTGCCTGGGAACAACATCACACACCCTATTTTTTCTTATGAGACGGAGGATTACTTAATTCAAATGACTGCTTGGTCAAATACGATGCATAGAGGTACCTGTCGTACTCAACCCACGGCCTGACCAATAACACAAGTAGATGTCATGAGTCTCTCTTGCGGTCTTCATACTCAACACTTCAGTCCCTGTCCACTTTTGAGCGGCCACACCGAGGCGCGAGATTGTAAGGACCAGGGAGGGCGTCCCTCAGCCTGATCCTTAGCGATCCACTTGCGCCAAACTGGCCCTGCCCCCGTGGTGTGCGCAATATCCCGAGCTACGTGTCACTGCCTACTTTGATAAAAGCAAGAAGGTAAAGCGTCGAGAGGAAACAGCTCCGTCCTCGCGAAGTACCCTTGTGGCAGTTCGTTTTTGTTACCTGCCTTTTGTCGTTTTACCCTCACTAGCGCAACACTGGGACATAAGCCTCCTCTGCTATGGAATATGCGCGATCTATCCAATATGCCAGCATCCTCGGTGCTGCTGGCATATGTTGGGTAGTTTATCTGTTATGGAAGCACATGGTCTTGACAATGAAAGGCGATGTCAAGGGTCGTTCAACACCAGAGGCAAAGAGACAGCTGAGACTCGAAGCGGCCAAGTTTAAGCGGATGAACGAATACAAAAACATGTTTCACAAATTACAGAACCTCGAAGATTTTCCAGAAATATTACCTGCAGCGAAGGAGCTGTTGTTATCTTTTCTTGAATCAGGGCTGTCAATGGCACGATACAGAAATGATAAACGAAACATTTTGAGTGTACAAGAATTTGACCCGGATGCCCTAGAAGAATTCCTTCGAGCAGAACGTCAGGACATCCTGGATGATTTTGAATCGTATTGCGATAGAAGAACACAGGGATCTGGACCAGAGCTCTTTACAACCCACAGAGAGGCTGTAGACTGGCTGAAGTGCCGAGCACCTCTGAATCTTATTGATGGAGCTTGGCTGTGCCGCGTACACAGAATTACGACGCCATTCGCCCTTAGAACCGTGACCAGGGACACATGGCAAACACTTTCCGAAGAGCTCGGTGACGCCGAGATGGAAAAGAACCACATCTTCCTTTACCGGAAACTTTTGCAGGACGTTGGCATAAATCTCCCAGACGCTGATACAGTCGACTTCCTTAATCCACGGCACGACATGGAACAGGAGCAAAGCTGGAGAACAGCCGCGGGACAACTTCTTATTTCTTTGTTTCCTAACGAGTTTCTGCCCGAAATGCTTGGATTTAATTTGCATTTTGAGTCGCTGTCTGGATCCGACCTCAAGGCCACGAGAGAGTTACCCGAATTTGGAATCTCGGCATACTATTATACCCTTCACATCTCGATTGACAATGCCGACTCAGGCCATTCTGCCATGGCGCTAGCGACCATTGTTAATTTCATGGATATCGTTAAGAGAACAGGTATCCTGGACTACCAAAAAGCGTGGAAACGCATCCAAGCTGGCTACCTTCTGTCCCAGAGCCTGAATGACGAGCTAACGGTACATGATTATGAGGAGCGAGTGGCGGAAATGCTGTACCGGAAAGCAGCACTAGCGCAAAAGATGCATTGCGGCAGCAAAGCCCGCATTGGCAAGAGGAGCATCACGGAATGGTTTTTGTTGGCTGTGAATAATGAATCCAGCTGCAATGACATTTGGGGACAGGCGTTTCTCGACGATCTGGCAAGATCCAAGCCTTGGATCTACCGTGGTCGGAGCGACAAGAGCCGGTTGCTGCGAGAACTCTCTTGGAACGGTAAGATGTTTGGTGCATTCACGTCCGCAGAGACAGATCTGTTTCGCGCGTGGATTGACTCTCTGCCAACTGAGGATAACAACGCCGATGCTCATGCATACTGGACACGGGTGGGCGGCTTCGAGACCGTCGAAAACTCATTCTCACCACCAAGACACGATGTTGCTGTAACGCATCCCACATTTCCGCCACAAAGGCAGCGTACAAGCAAGGGCAGTCCGGTGTTTACTCCATGGCCGCCGCTACAAGTCAAAAACTGTTCATTGAATACTCTCCTCGCCCTCTGGTTTGTTCACCCATGTCTCCTCGAGAATACAGTTGCCTACACCTACCAAACCGCCACAAGGTTCAACTCCCTGATTCTGCAGCTTTTGCGAGCGGAAATGGGCTACGAAATGAACACTTCGGGGATTGCAGGCATAGACGAGCAGGTGTCCCCACAACACATGTTGGATCTTGTCATGCTTGGCCTGTCTATGGCTCGTAGACACAAAATTCCGGAGCCGACATGCCTAGGCGATGTGCTTAACGACGAGACGAAAACCATCGCCCCTGATATGGCTCATGCGACGGAATTTGCCTATGAACTTCTTTCTTGGTCAATGCGGCCAAAAGAGAACCAGGCGTTTCTGCTGGGAGTTGCGCGTGCCTTTGTCGATATGGAAGTGTGGGTAGCGAGAAGCGATGAGTTACTAAACAGGAGTGAAAGAAAGACGCTGCAAAGGATCACGGATGACAAGTTGGTTGTGTTTGAGGCATGTTTGGAAGACATGAAAGGAGACGAGGTGCGACTTCGTGAATTTACTGGTGGGTACGAGTACGCTCGTGCAGAGATTGATGAGGTGCTGTCTCATTGTAAATTAGAGATTGGGGCTTATGTTGGCAGGGAAAATACGTGTCGCTAGACTTGATGTTTTTCTCTTTTGCTAGTAATGAGGTCCAAAAAGAAAAAGGGTATGTTCTATAGAAAACTAGTCAAGAAAGTAGGGTTTTCAAGGTACTGCACATGTGTTATTGGGTGGTCTATTTTCTTCTCCTCTCCTTCTTTGCTCGTTTTCTTCCTCCAATTTACAAAACCATATTGCGCACATCACCGACAAAATAGTGTTTATTCTGCTGCGAGAGCCATTAGTGCAAGGCAGAAAAACATCAATTAGATTCCTCTGACCATCTCAGATTGTATGGTACATCCGTAACGAAAAAGAGGTGGCTGCTAGCTAGGTAAGTCCATGTCAAGCCAATTTTGCATTAGTTGCAAATTTTTGTACATTAAAATCCTGTGTGTAGTGATCACGAGACTGTAGGGTACGTCTGAGTATGCAATGAGCCTGTGATCTTGATCTTTGGACAGTGAGCCTTTTGTATCTGTTATTTCTCACGACACCACTTAGTACACACAACTAGTCTCAGTATTGCTTACATTTTCCCATCATTAAACGCTCTGAATTCTTGATTTTTTAAGGATGAGTTCTCCATCGTATCGTGTTAAAACATCAGCTAGTTTGAGAGGCTGCCGTTATTCAACCTGTGACAAATCACGAGTAGCAGGTGATTGACTGGAAATAAGGCAAGTAGTATAGAACAGCCATCACATGCCTATAATAAGCAAGATACCTCGAGTTATATAAAACAGAAATTTTTATATGCAGTCTCCGGTGTCCAGATTGTTACATATGAACAAAATCACAGAATAGCCAGCATATAATTTCATCACTTTATACAAAAATCTAGCATGAAAATCTATATTTGCGAGATAACGAGAAGTAAACCAACGGAATAACAAGCATTGATGAACAAAACTCAACTAATTTGACCAAAACCAAAGACAAAAACCAAAGAAAAACAGTTTAGATAGGGAAACAAAAGCAAGAAAGAAATCCATAACACTAAGTAAGAAAGCCAGAAAGAAAAAAGAAACTATGCATCATGCCAGAATCTGGTTGTTGTTTTTTTCAGCATCCGTCAACGTAGCTTTGGCAGCTACGGCTCTGTAAATCTTTCTCGGGAGAAGAAACAATAGAAGAAAGAATCTGTCCGAGAAGATGAGCAGCACGTGTGCCCAAGCTGGGGGATATGCGGTCTTCCCACAGCTCAAGCTCGATGGTAAGCTTGTTCCTCTCGTCCAACGCTCTGACGTAGACATCGTACTGATCAAAAAGGTTAGCATGGTAATTTGTAACGGCAGCAAATTGTCGGATAATCTTACCTCTACAGGGTCCCGAGCTTCGTGGAAGCGAAGGATAGCTCCGTTACAGGCCTCGACTGGCTCAACTGCTCCATCACCTCTGACAATAGACAAGGCCGTGTTGAAAAGCAGTTGAGAGTCGCCGTTGAGCTCTTCGTAAAGGTCCATGACAGGATATGTCTGGTGAGGCAGCTTGCCAATGTACTCTTCATGTACATCGGCCATGGTCTCAAGAATCGAAGACCGCTTGTTAAGCTGCACGTGAGTGGGAACCAGACACATTACCGGCCCAAATATCTCAGTAATGTCATCAACAGGCGTATCGCGTGAGGACATAATTGTGCCGAAGCAGGGCTCCATATTCTGTCCGCCACTCAAGCGATGGAGTACAATGGCCCAGGCAGTTTGGATCAAGGTGGCCAGGGTCATCTCCCTTCGAGCGCAGAATGCATGGATTTGGACGCCTTCTAAATCAGGAACCTTCACGTACATGGTTCCCTGGCCAGATTGGCGTATTTCATATGTGGGAAACAGGCAGGGTTCCATCTCCGCCAGCTTCTTTGTCCAGAACTCGCGCGATGATTCCTGCTGAGAGCCCTCGGCGTATTCGATAAAGTTCCGGAATGACGCCTTGGTAGACTCAAGGCGCTGTTCGAGAGCATACCGGAAGTCACGGTACAGAATGTCTATGGAATAGCCATCCATGATTGCGTGGTTTATCTCAAGGCGGACAAGTGACTTGTCAGAGCTGGTCCTGTAGACAGACAAGTGATGTTGTAAGCTTTCAGTGTCGTAGGTTGGTGGTGTCGAGATTTCTCTTGTGGGCATGCTGTCAAGACTGCCCAAGTCATGGAAAGAGATATTGATAGGTGGACTCTTGAGAATCATTTGCATCGCCGTCATTGTCTCATTCTGTTCGTGGCGGAAGAACTTTGCGCGAAGAAGAGAATGTTGCTGTACAACTGCCTGCCATGCTTCAGCAATTCTTGCGTTGTCGAAGCCGGGAGAACCAGATATCTCAAACTCATGAATCATTCGATAGATTCGAGAGTCTCTGGTCTGAGCCTTGAGCATATGGCTTTGCATGGATGAGCACGGGTAGACGTCCTCTACCTGGTTGTGAGTCGTAATTCCCAACTGGGTCCAGGTGCTGTCTGGGATCTTGTTCATGTCGAAGTAAGGCACAAAAGGACTTGTAGCTCGGACAGCTCCGTTGCTGAGTTGCTGATCTTTAGAATCACGAAGTTCACCAATGACTTGAGAGATTGACGTGATGGTCTTCCTTGCGAGGATATCGGCAGTAGAGAGATCTCCCAGGCGCTGCCGGATAGCTGAGGAGACTAGCATGGCCGTGATTGAGTCTCCGCCTAGGCGGAAGAAGCTATCATCAACGCCAATGGAGTCTGCGTCAAGATTTAAAAATTGTGCCCATACCTCCTGCAGTACTCGCTCTGTCTTTGTCGAAGGCATGCGCTTGTTAGCTTGCGGTTCGCTTGCCAGCTCTGCAATCTGTGAAGTGGTGAAGCTTGAACCAATCTGCTGCAGCTGCTTCCGGTCTGTTTTGCCCGAGGTGTTCATCGGCAACTTTCTCATGGAGAAGTAGACGCTGGGTACCATGTAGGGAGGAACTCGAGTTGAGAGAGCTTCCTCGATAGCCTCATCAACTCTCACTATCTTGGCCGTGGTGGGAGTGGTATCCGATTGTGATGAGCCACCCTTCATAGCCATAAAAACTGCCAACATGAGTTTGGCATCGTCGCCTCCTGGAGAGATCACGGTAGCTGCAATCTCATCAATCTCCGGAAGGCATTGTCTGACGTGGTGCTCGACTTCTCCTAGTTCCACGCGCTGGCCGCGAATCTTGACCTGCACATCTTTGCGGCCGATATAGACAAGACTGCCATCTTTCTCGTATCTGACCAGATCGCCTGTCTTGTAGAGGCGGCCTCTGCGGCCAGAATGCCCCGCGGAGCCCTGCAAAAGCCATGAAGGGTTTTCGATAAAAGCGGCAGCAGTCGTTTGCGGCTGGTTCAGATATCCCAAACCGACCAGGGGGCCTTCCAGGACGAGCTCTCCCACAGTTCCCATGGGCACCAAGCGGTTGGCGTCTTGAGGGTCGACTACCCAAGTCACCACACCAGTACCGAATCCAATATTGGTGGATAACTTTCCTGGCCCAACGCCAGCATGGATATCGATAGTGCTAGAAGGTGTACATTCTGCGGGTCCGTAGGTGTTAATAAGGCGGGTGCTCGTCGGCCATCCTGCGAAGTCATCTTTGCGTGCTGGTTCTCCTGCATTCAACAAGAATTGGAGGCTTGTCAACTTTTTACGATCGAACATTCGGAAAACAGAAGGTGTCGTATGGATCAAGGTGGCGTTGAAGGCAACGAATGACTCGGTCAACATATCTTTTCGCTCTCTATCAGAAGGAACACAGAGGCAACCTCCTGATGCGAGGGTCATTAGAGCTGTAGATACTGCAATGTCGAAAGCATAGGACGCGACGTCATATACCCGTTGACTGCTGCTGAATCCGAGGCGTTGCGATTGGTAGTGGAAGGCTGACGAGAGTGCTCCATGTGAAATCTTCACACCCTTCGGCTTTCCAGTACTACCGGATGTGAAGACTATGTATAGCGGGGATAGAACTCCTGGTTGTTCTTCGGAGAAGGTCTTTTGTCCTGAAAGGTTCTGAGGATTGAACATTGTTTCAGAATCAAGAGCGATTGTTGTCACCGAGAAGTCGACACAAGTCGTAGCCTGTTGTTTCACAGAGCAAAGAAGCACCTTTGCCCCAACTTGTGATATAATCTCCTGAAGACGGGATGGAGGATGCGATGGATCCAGCAAAACAAAAGCCGCACCGGCTTTCATCACAGCAAGCATTACAACTGCTGTCAGGCGAGACTTCTCAAAGCATATGGGAACAATATCTCCGTGGACGATACCCAGGGATGCTAGGCGATGTGCGAGCCTATCGGCCGATTCTTCCAACTCAGCATACGTCACCTCTCCATCCCATGCGCAGATGGCGGTTTTGTGCGGCGTTGTCAGGGCTTGTTCCCGAATGACCTGGTGCATGTATCTTTCACAGACTGATGGTACAGTACTATTCATCTCCCACACTCTGTGGTGCTCATCTGCTGATAAAACATTGACTTGGCCTAAAGTTTTATCCGTTTGTGAGGAAGATAGCTCGTCGAGTATGGCGGTAAAACGGTCGAGGATTAGTTTTACCTGCCAACGACTGATGTACTGCTCGTCGAAATTGGCTTCAACGGTAATATCACGGTGGCCGTAAGAGCAGGTGAGGTTCAGCGCATAGGTGGAAAATGCCGCGTCCTCTGATGCGTCTTGCGTGTTTGCGACATCAGCTTCCTCGTCAGGTTGAATAATCAACCAGGTTTGGAAACGACATGCTTGGTTTGCCTGAGGGCTTAGCGTCTGTATACGGCTAAGTCCAGTCTGCTCGTATGGGATCATGTCGATAGACTGTTGCTGGACATCCTGTAGGAAGGCAGAAACACTCTTGGAGCGGTCAATCTGTATACGAACAGGGACTGTGGCAATAGTTGGTCCAGCGACCTCCTCAATGCCCTTGAAGTTGGCAGTTCTTCCTGAAACAGTTGTACCAAATACAACATCGGGAACTCCGCTGGATTCAGCCAGGGTCAATGCCCATGTTCCGCGGATAAGACTTGCGACGGTTATGTTGGAGCCAGAAATTGTCGGCAGCGAACAGACTCGCTTCTCCAGAGCCTTAGCCTGTGGCTCTGCACCGGCTGTCAAGACGGGGAATGTGGGTGACTCAAATGCGTCGAGGTATGCCCTCCAGAAATCGTCGGCAATGGTAGATCTTGCGCTGGCGGTATATTTCATGTACAGGTTGAAGTCCAAGAAACCGTGCGGTGACTCATTGCGATACATACGGTTTGCTGATTCAAACAGGCGAGACAAGAAATGCCCGTCGTATAGGGCGTGATGAAGGGTGAGCACAAACGAGGACCGTTTAGCACCATTCGGGCGAATGAGAGCAAACTGAATCAGTCGAGAGCCGAGTCCCATAGGCGAGGTACGGTTCATTTCGAGGTACTGGTCCAAGTCGCTACCCGCGTCCCACGGAATGTCCTCGTCTACAACGACCTGGAGCAATCCAAATTGGGTGCTTTGAACGATTCTCGTTCGCAAAATTGACAGTTGTAGTGCGAGTTGAGACCAAGCGTTACGGAACCGGTCCAGATCGACATTTTCATCTAGTTCCACGACATATTTGAGGACATATGCGTCTGCGGACTTGGACGTCAAAGAGAGCAAACCCTCCTGAAGAGGAGTACAGGGGTAAGCATCTTGGACTTGAGCGGCCTCAATTCCACAGTCCGCAGAAATAGCTTCGATGTGGTTGGGGTGCTCTAACGCTCCTTGGAGCAGAGAGAAGGGCTGGATTTCATCGTGGATGTCTGCTTGGCTTGTTCGTGACTGTGAAAGAGCTGCCAAGGCATGAATGGTGGGGTTGCGGAAGATATCAGCAACAGAAATGGACATGCCCTCGTCGCGGGCTCGGCTGACGCAGTTCATCGCCCTGATAGAGTCGCCACCGAGGGAGAAGAAACTTTGATCGATTCCAATAGTGGCGGTATCGAGATGAAGAATTCCAGCCCATACTTGTTGCAAGGCTCGCTCTGTCTCTGTGGACGGTTGCCTCTTGCTATTGATGGAGTCGATCTGCATTTCTGCAAGCTCTTTGGCAGAGAATCGAGAGCCCAGTAAGCGCAGTTGGCGGCGATCAACCTTGCCGGAAATGTTGAGCGGTATTTTCTGGACGGCAAAGTAGATCGCGGGGATCATATAAGCCGGTAAGCGCTGCAAGAGAGCAAATTGCTCGTCTGGCAACGGCTTCATTACAGTTGCTGGCTCGTTATCGGATTCGTCGCTATCGTTGTCATGTTCCATGGCAACAAAAGCAGCTAGCATTGGACTAGCATTCTCGCCTGTAGGAGTGATCATTTCAGCAGCGACTGTTGATGCTCCTGAGATGCACTCGCGAAGATGATGTTCCACCTCACCGAGATCAACGCGTTGACCTCGGATCTTGACCTGAACATCCTTACGTCCAACATAGATCAGATTTCCTTCCTCGTCGTACTTGACTAGATCTCCTGTCTTGTAAAGAGTTCCACGGCGGCCCGGATACCCAGCACCACCTCCTTGCAGAAGCCATGCAGGGTCTTGGATAAATGCCGCGTTGGTTAGGCTCTGGTCGTTCAGATATCCCCGTGCGGTTATCGGACCTTCGACAAGTAGCTGGCCGATGGCACCTACAGGTGCCAGTCTATCGGTGTCATTTGTCATACACACCCATGAGGCTGAGCCGACTGCTTTTCCAATAATCGACCCGGAGCCTGGTTGTTCATTATCGGCGGTGTGCATTACGCAGAAGACTGTGCACTCTGTAGGTCCGTATCCATTGAGACACTTGCGACCCGGTCCCCATCGTGTGAGATCATCGCTATCGACCCGCTCACCACCAGTTACAACTGTAGCAAGCGATGGTACTCGGCTAGGGTTAAGTGAACGAGATACAGTTGGCGTGAAGAAGGCAACGTTTGCCTCCATGGCTGCAATACTCGATTCTAGGTTGTTTAGGCGATCATGGTCTGATGGAACGCAAATACAACCACCGTGGATGAGTGTAGTGAAGATCTCCATGATACAGGCGTCGAATATGTAGGAGGCGAACTGGTATGCCCGTGAATTCGAGTTAAAGCCAATTACCTGGCCGTGGTATGTGCAGCTTGAGCTTACGGCTCGATGTTGAACGACGACTCCCTTCGGCTCTCCTGTACTTCCTGAAGTGAAGAGGACGTAAGCTGTGGAGTCTGGACCAGTGGAATGGGTGACTCCGTTGACTGTGTTCCGGGCTTTCTGCATCACTTGTTCCATCTTAGGTTGGACATTGGTATCGAAGAAGTCGGCTCCAATGCCCAAGACAGTTCGATCAGGACAGTTGAGAATAGTTGCCTGTTCCTGTGACGCCAGGATCACAGTCGCGTCTGTTTGGACAAAGATTCGTTCTCTGCGATCGGTGGCCTGAGAAAGGTCGATAGGAACGAAGGCGCCGCCAGATTTTAGTACAGCCAACATGGCCACGATGACCCATTTTGACTTTTCAAAACACAACGGCACTATGATGCCTTGGCCAACCCCAAAGTCGTGAAGGCGTTGGGCCAGTTTGTTTGCCAGCTCATCAAGCTCAGTGTATGTAAAGTCACCGTCCCAGGAGCAAATAGCCGGGGCACTTGGTCGTATCTGCGCCTGCTCCTCTACTATGTTGTGAACACAGCGTTCGATGGCTGGCGGAAGGTCTTGGTTCCACGACCAAATTTGTTGGCAATCCGTATCAGACAAGCTGTTGACATCTCCTACCAGCACGTCATCTCCAGCCACGGCTATCTGGTTCGTAATAGAACCAAACAGCTCTAAAACATTTTGAACTGAAGATGAACTGATGACGGTTTGATCGTAAATAGCCTCGACTTGAACCTCACCATCTCCTAGGTAACAGGTGAGGCTTAGAGCATAAGTGGCAAACTGCTCTGCAGCTGCATCTTCTTGCCATTCTCCTAGGTTTTCAAGCTGACTCTGCTCTTCGGATTGCTCGCGTGGCTGGACCACAAGGAGTGTTTGGAACTGGCAGGCAAGATGGGCCTCGTCACTCAAGCTCTGTATGTGATGCAGGCCAAGCTGCTCGTGGGGGATAGTGTCAACCGACCGCTTCTGGAAGTTTTGAAGGAACACAGGTACTGTTTCCGCAGAGTTCACGTTCACTCTAACTGGAATAGTTGCGATTGTTGGGCCTGCAATATTCTCAAGACCAACGAGCCTGGCATTGCGTCCCGATACCGTGGTGCCAAAAACAACATCGTCTGTGCCGCTGAACGCGGATGCTGTCAGAGCCCATGCAGCTTGAACAAGTGTAGCGGCCGTAATGTCAGCCGCTTGAATAGGAGGTATCGAGAGCGATCGGAGCTCGGTTGAGGTGACTCTTGGCTCCCCACCCTGCGAAACCGTGGGGAATGGCTCTGAGGAATAGTCGGCTAGAGTCTTGCGCCAATATGTTTCGTCAGCCTCTAGATCCCTGTCGACCATGTACTTGATGAAAAATTTGAAGTCGACAGGGCTGGGGAATGCTTCCTGGTAGTACATCTGGCGGGCGATGTACGAGATCTGGCTAATGGACGCGGCATCGTAAAGTGCGTGATGAATAGTGAGTACGAAGAACGACTGCAACGAGGTGGCATCGCTGATCATGGCGAATCGGGCCAGCGAGTTACCCAGACCTATCGTAGTCGGGCTGTGTGTGTACTGATGTAAATCGTGACTTGCGTCCCAGGAGATGGCTTCATCCACCACGACCTGTACGAGCCCAAAGTGCTGATTTTGGACGATTCGTGTCCGCAAGATGGGCATCATCTCTACTAAACGATTCCACACATCGCGGAAGCGTTCCAAGTCAATGGCCTTACCAATCTTCAAGACAGTTCTAGAGATGTATGCGTCGCCGTCAGACTTCAGCGTCAAGGAGAGGAGGCCCTCTTGGAGAGGGGTGCAAGGGTAGGCATCCTGGATTTGGTTCGTCTGGATGCCACAGTCCAGAGCAAGAGATTCAAGCCCACCAGGCCCATCTATGGTAGAGGAATCACTCAATAGAGAGAATGGAGCGATGTCACTGTAAACAGTGTCCTTTTCAGTCAGTTCAGTGTTAGCAAGGGCGGCAATGGTAGGGTTCCGGAAGATGTCGGCAACTGAAAGCGACAAGGAGGAATCCTGACGAGCTTGATTTACGACCTTCATAGCTGCGATAGAATCGCCTCCAAGACGGAAGAAGCTATCGTCAACGCCAATTATGGCGGGATTAATGTTGAGAATACGAGCCCATATCTGTTGCAAGGCTCGTTCGGCGGTTGTAGACGGAAGTCTCTTGTCGGCGCTAGAATCAATGCGGCTTTCTGCCAGCTCTTGGACAGTGAAGCTACTGCCAATAGCACGTAGTTGCCGACGATCGGTTTTTCCAGAGGCATTGAGAGGCATATGTGTAAGAGCAAAGTACACGGCTGGAACCATGTAGGCCGCGAGCTGCTGCGTGAGAGCGTCCTCTATCTCCGAAGTCATAGTCATGACACGTGCTGCGGGAGAGTCGGTGTTGGTGAATTCATCATTCTCAGCATCCTCCTGGGTGACTATGAAAGCCGCCAACGTTGGACTGGCATCTTGGCCTTGAGGAATAATGACCTCTGCGGCCACAATAGGGTTTCCAGAGATGTGTTGTCCGAGGTGATGCTCGATTTCGGCCAGCTCAACGCGCTGGCCTCGGATCTTGACTTGAGCATCCTTTCGCCCGATGTAGAGCAGGCTACCGTCTTCATCATATCTGACCAAATCGCCTGTCTTGTACAGACGGCCTCGGCGGCCGTGGTAGCCAGCTCCGCCTTGAAGCAGCCAGACTGGATCTTCGATAAACGCTTGCGCCGTTTTCTCTGGGTCATTGAGGTATCCGGATCCAACGATTGGGCCCTCCAGCAGGAGTTCTCCCACAGCCCCAATGGGAGCAAGTCTGTCGACATTATCTTGATCGACAAGCCATGTTACGGCTCCCATGCCAACTCCGATGTTGGTCGCTTTGTTGCCAGTATTGTCTAGGTTGATGATGCTAGTCGGGGTACATTCGCAGGGGCCGTAGGTGTTGAGCACGTTTACACCCTCTGGCCAGCCCTCGAAGTCACGTTGACGAGTCGCCTCGCCTCCGAGAATCAACGTCTTCAGCGAGCCAAGTTGATCACGATCAACCGTCATTGCAACCGATGGTGTTAACTCAACCATCTCCGCGTTTCGGCTAAGTAGGGACCCAGTAAGGTCGTTTTTGATTTCGGAATCTGACGGAACAACACAACAGCCTCCGGCGGCCAGCGTCATGAGTGGTGCTTCAATAGATGGGTCAAAAGCATAAGAAGTAAACTCATACACTCTCATTCCTTTCTTGTAGCCCATTGCATCGCTCTGGTATTCGACAGCTGCGGCGAATGCGCTGTGGCTGATCACTGCACCCTTTGGCTGACCTGTGCTTCCCGAGGTAAAGGCGATATACATCGGCCAGTTGGGATCCGCAGAGATGTCGAGTGTTGAAAGGCTCTCTGAGGGCTGCTGTCTCAGCTCGTCGACGTAGAGGCTGGAGCTGAGTACGACGACCAGTTGTCCGTCGTATCTCGAGCGCAGGGTAGCAGCATTCTGCGACGAGCAGATCAAGAAGTTAGGTTCCATCATCTTGACCATATAGTCTATACGGCTTGACGGCAATGAAGGATCAATCAACGAAAATGCTGCGCCACACTTGAGCACCGCAAGTATGGCCACGATGGTCCATTTGGACTTTTGAAAGAAGAGCGGCACTATCGCCTTGGGCTGTACACCCAGGCTAATTATATGAAGCGCGAGTCGCGTGCTGAAAGTGTCCAAATCATGGTACGTCAAGTCGCCGTCCCAAGCGGAAACTGCCATGGCATCTGGTTGAGCTGCGACCTGGCCAGCTATGATTTGATGGACAAAGGTCTGGCTCGCTTGAGGCAGCACATTGTTCCACGACCAGATGCGTCCCAGGTCAGTAGCTGATAGCAGCTCTATGTCGCGCCAGGAACGAGTTGATTCGGCAGCAATAGAATTCAAAGCTGCACCGAGCATGTCTGCAACACGCTGGCCCTGAATCTCGCTGCAGAAGCCGGCCAAGAAGTCGATTTGAACGTGCAGCGTCGAGCCGGTATCATATGCGGAAACTGACACGTCGTACTGTATGCCCAAATTAGAACAGCTCATGAGATTATATGCAAAGGGTCGGGATTAGTTTGGCTCGCTACTTACATCAACAGGATCGGATCCGCCTTGAAGCTCAATGGCTAGATCACGATAAGACTCACCAAGCTGCTCGCTGTCGGATCGGAATGACATGATGCTGTTGAAAAGCTCCCTGGTTCCATTGCCCGAAGCTCGGTGGATGCTCATCAGAGGGTATGTCTGGTGGGGCAGAATATCCAGGTAGTTTTGATACACCTCTTGCAGAACTTCAGCTACCGGTCGACTCTGGTTCAGTCGAACAAGGTAGGGCACCAGGCATACGAGCGGACCAAATATTCCGTGTACATCCGCGACAGGAACATCGCGACCGGAGAGGAGCATGCCGAAGCAGGGCGTCGACGAGCTTGTGAAATCTCGCAAGACCAGGAACCAGGCTGTTGCGACGACAATGGCGGGTGTTATTTCCAATTGGTTACAGAGAGCATGGATACGTTTACTGTCCAGGCTAGGAACGACTACCGATACGGCCTGAGTGGTTTTGGTGCTTGGCTCGCCTGGTACAGGGAAATAGCAGGGCTCGCTGTCCTGGAGGTATGCTCTCCAGAACCGGTCGTTTTCTTCGGCCGACTGGTTCTCGACGTAGGAGACGAAGTCCCGGTAGAGAGCTGCATCGCTGACATCTAGCTTCTGATGGTATGCTAGATACATGTCTTGCATAAAGATGGTGGTCGTGAAACCGTCGGAGATGGCGTGATTCATGTGGAGGTTTAACAATACCTGACGATTGTTTACCGGTTGAATCACTAGATGGTGCTGCAAGCCACCCTTGTTGTACGCGAGAATCTGCTGGTCATCGGTGTTGGACCCGGCGTATGAGATGCTGGCAACAGGATTCTTCAAAATAACCTGCATCATCCTGTCGCTGCCAGGCATTGCCTCCACGATCACCGCTCGTAAGAGAGAGTGTCGCTGAACGACTGCCCTCCAGGCTTGTTCGACCCTGGAGACATCAATGTTGTCTTCTGCGCCTGTGGTCTCAATCTTGAAATCAAGCCGTGTTTTGTATGTCGACGAGTCTTTAGCCTGTGCAATAAGGATGCCCTCTTGCATGTGAGTGCAGGGGTATATGTCTTCCACATCGATTGCCGCAATTCCGAGCTCAGGTATAGTCTCTGCCTGGAATGCAGCGAGGTCCTGGTAGGTCTGGAAAGCCATCGGGAAGTCGGACAATGTCCATTCCGATGCTTTGGATGGCATCTGTGATGCCATTTCCTGCAGGACGACTGCCATTTGGTCTCCCCATGCGGCAATTCTGTCTTGATGGTGGATGCTTTTGTGGTACATGATGGAAACGTGGAGGCATCCTCGAGATGTGGTGGCGACGACTTCAAACACGGATGACCTCAAGAGTCCTGACATGGATGCGGGTTCGGTGTTGTCTGGCAAAGAGAGCACACCGAAAGCGGAGTCATCCCTCTCCAACTGCTGGTACTGACCAGTATAGTTGAATAGAATCTCGACTGGGAAACCGGCTGCGTGTTTACGAGCACTGGCTTCGCTGCCAAAACGGGATGTGAAGTAAGACCAGCCGTTATCAGGAAGTTGACGCAAGAAGTCCTTTGTTCGGGCAATCCGTTTGGATAGGGTCAAACGTCCAGAGGTGTCTGGTGTGGCAGGGAAAATAGTGGTATACCATCCCACAGTCCTCGAAATATCGATATTGTCGTCCCAGACTTCTCGTCCGTGTCCCTCGCAGAATACTGTTGGTGGCTCGCGATCATCGAAGACAGTGCTGAATGAGTCTACTAGAGCCGAGATCAACAACTCCATAGGTCGTGTGCCGAAAGCATCGTTGCATTCCCCAAAGACCGCAGAGGTTGTTTTTTCATCGAGCGTGAATTGTGTGGAAATGGTGCCCGCCTCAACGTTGGAGCTGGCATCAATGCCCCAGAAGGTCAAGAGATCTGAGTTGCCTTCTGAGGTGCTCAGCTGCGCTCTCTGTATCTCTGAGGTCATCTGTTGTTGCTGCAGCGCACACCAAGTCTGGAAGCTGATTGCAGGGGTTGACATGATACGTCCTTGCGTCAGTAGTTGTTCAAAGTCTTGCAGTAGAACACGCCATGAGACCAAGTCGACGACGAGATGGTGGACAGAAATGAAAATACTCTGGTAGTCGCCCTCGTCAAAAAGCACGGCCGCTAGAAGAGGGCCACGCTCGATGTCCAGAAGGCTACGGCATTGATTGATAACAACGGCCTTGTCCTCGTTACTCGCTTCAGTCAGGGAGAAGGTAGTTGTGGTGTCACTGGAAATCTGTTGTTTCCATGATGATTCCCCAACACGAAGGAAACGAGCCCTCAGCATGGGATGTAAGTCTACAAGAGAGCTGAGATGCTCTCGTACATCCGACAGGGATGTAGAGAGACGAAGTTGCAGGAAGATACTCTGGTCGAAGCATCGGTTGGGCTCAGACTGCGTCTGCATGTAGAACTGTTGAATAGGGCTGAGGTCGAAAGGTTCATGGTGGTCTGGGGCAGATTGCATCAAGACTAAGCCGTGGGAGTTGGGAGTGACATTGAGAGCGAGCTTTGCAATTGTCTTCTTCTGCAGAACATCGGCGGTGGAAATGTTTCCTAAGGTTGCTCGGGCATCGGATGATACTTGCATCGCGCTGATGGAGTCACCACCAAGGCGGAAGAAGCTATCGTCTACACCGATGGTGGCTGCATCGATATTGAGAATGCGAGCCCATATGTTCCGTAGCGCTCGCTCCGCGTCTGTGGATGGATCCCGCTTCTCACGGCCCGTGTTGACACGCATCTCTGCAAGCTGCTGAACAGTAAAGCTGCTACCGATAGCTCGAAGTTGTCGACGATCAGTCTTGCCGGATGAGTTCAGTGGCATCTCGGGGAGAGCAAAGTATACAGCTGGTACCATGAAAGCTGGTAGCCGCCTTGTGAGTGCGTCCTCAGTGTCTGCTGACACCGAGATAATACGAACGGGCTCGGTTGTTCGGTCACGCTTCTCATCTTCCTGGAAGACCAAAAATACTGCTAGAACTGGCCTTGCAGCAGTGCCTCCTGGAATAATCACCTCGGCGGCCGTTACCGGTGCGCCCGGCATACACTGGTGAACATGATGCTCAACTTCACCGAGCTCGACACGTTGGCCTCGCAGTTTGACTTGGGCATCCTTTCGACCGACATGGATAAGGCTGCCGTCTTGGTCGTAACGGACTAAATCTCCCGTCTTGTAAACTCGTCCGCGTCTGCCAGGATGCACTGGAGTGCCTTGTACCAGCCAAACAGGGTTCTCGACATGGGCTTCTTGCGTCATCTGGTCATTGTTGAGGTACTTGGATCCTGTGATGGGACCCTCCAGGAAAAGCTCGCCGGGCGTTCCAATCGGCGCAAGCTTAGAGTGGTCATGCTCGGATACCACCCACGTTACTGCACCAGCACCGAAGCCGATACTGGTCTTTGTGGCGGCTTCTGAACCCTTACCGTTGAGTGTAGCTGATGGGGTGCACTCGGAAGGTCCGTATGCGTTGACTACAGAGACTGTGTCCGGCCAACGGCTCATGTCGGAGGCAGAGACTTGTTCACCGGCCAAGATAACCGTTGCAAGGTGTGGGAGGGATGTAGGATCGATGGTGCGTGCGACAGAAGGGCTGATGTCGATGATGGTGGCTTGCGTATCGCGCAGACAGCGAGTAAGGTCGTTCTTGAGATCATCATCTGTTGGTACGCACAGACAGGCTCCCGTGGTAAGGGCCATAAAAAGGTTGCTCACAGAGGCGTCGAAGGCGTACGAAGAAAAGTCCAGAATACGGCTTTGGTGGTTATACTGCAGGCCTGCGGACTGATACTTGCAAGCTGCCGCAAGTGCTGAGTGAGAAACCACCACTCCCTTTGGCTTGCCAGTGCTTCCGGAAGTGAATACAGCGTACATGGGAGAGTCTGGCGACACTGATAATCGGGGAGGAGACAAAGGCAACGCTGGCTTCAAGAATAGTGAATCCGTAATGGTGAGGATGGTGAAATCTTGGGTGGACCATCTGGCTTGCTCCTTGGGTGAGCATACGAGGACGGGCGTTGCGAGTTCTGTGACAATGGACACAAGACGGTCCATCGGCTGCGCGGGATCAAGAGATACAAAGGCACCCCCAGCTTTGAGGATCGCAAGCCTTGCCACAACTGTCCATTTAGACTTTTCGGAACACAGAGGCACCAAGACATCTTGTTTGACTCCCATTTTCTCAAGTCGATGGGCAAGTCGATTTGCCAATTCGTCCAGCTCAGCGTAAGCAAACTTTCCATCCCAAGCATCGACCGCCAGGGCGTCAGGTCGTGCTACAACCTCATCTTGGATGATATCGTGTACACATCTGTGAACGGGCTCTGGGACCTCGGCGTTCCAGTCCCAGACCTGCTTCAGCTCTGCCTCTGGTATGGTGAGGATGCTGGAGAGCGCCAGGTTGTCTTTGGCAGATGCAAGTTGCTCTGCCATATTGCAGAATCGCTCCAGTAGTAATTCCACGAGCCATTCTGAGATTCGGCTGCTGTCATAGAGGGCCTCCACGTCGACGATGCCATCGGTGCCGAGTGCGCACGTAATGTTAAGCGAGTATGACGCAAATGCTGCCGCATCCGTTGTGGTATCGACACTTGTCCATTGGCCCATGTTGTCTGTCTGGCTTTCGTCTTCCTCGCCCGCTGCCTTTCCTTCTCCGAGCAAGTTTTGTGCCTCGGAACGCGGCTCGATAACGAGCATTGTCTCGAACTGGCAAGCCAGCCGAGGACCGTCACCCAATTGTTGGATGCGCTGCAGACCAAACTGCTCGAAGGGAATCATATCGACAGATTGATTCTGCACGGTTTTGAGGAAGGAATTGACTGTTTGCTCACGAGCAATGCGCACGCGAACAGGCACAGTGGCAATGGTCGGTCCTCCAAGGACCTCGATACCATTGACGGGGGCTTGACGGCCGGAGACCACTTCACCAAAGACGATATCCTCAATACCGGCTGAGGACGCCATTGTCATGGCCAGAGCAGCGCGCAAGACACTGGCAGAGGTGATGTCCGCTTGGGCAATGGATGATATGTTGCATTTACTTCGTTTGGTTTCGCCGGGCGAGGCTGGTGTTTCGTTGCCCGCCAGAGTCGCCGGGAAAGGCTGATTTTCGAATCCCTCTAGCTGTGAAGTCCAGTAGCGAGCTGAGGCGTCTGCATCCATCTGTGCCAAGTACTTGGAGAAGTACTTGAAGTCAACAAGCCGGGGAGAAAAGTCTCCAGGTTTGGCTGCATACAGCTGACGTGCTACTTGTTCCATGATGCCGAGTGAGTGACCGTCATAGAGGGCATGGTGCATCGTCCAAACAAATTCACGATGATGGGGTTTGGCAGGATCGTGAATCAGAGCAAAGCGGCATAGCCGGCCACCCAGCACCATGGGGTTTGCTGTATCATCTTCCAAGTACTGACGCAGGTTGTCGCCCTCTGTCCAAGGAATTGTGTCGTCAACAAGCACCTGTGTGAGCACTCCAACATCTGACTGCACGATACGAGTGCGCAAGATAGGGAAGAGACGCGTCATGTCGTTCCAAACGGCCCGGAACTTATGGAGATCGACAGAGGACGGCACATTCAGCACCAGTCTGAGGACATAGGCTTTGGCGTCGGTAGACATGGTCGTAAGGGCCAACAGCCCCTCTTGAAGGGCAGTGCAGGGATAGGCGTCTTCGATGGCCGCGATATCTACTTGGCAGAGAGTGGCTGCACGTTGGCGCAAGCTATCAACGGCATCGGAATCCATGAGTTCGAAAGGCTGCAACGACAGCAGGTCGGATGCCCCTCCGTACCGAATCTGTGATGCTTCCTGTCCCGCCTGTGCCGTCTCCCCTCTCTGGGCAAGCTGATTGAGAGATGGGTAACGGAAAATGTCGGCAACGGAGAGGGAGAGTAGGGCGTGTCCAACCTCGCGAGCAGCGCTGACGACCTTCATGGCTGAGATGGAGTCACCACCAAGGCGGAAGAAACTGTCATCGGCTCCAACGGTGTTGGGGTCAAGTTTAAGGACGCTACCCCAGATTTGCTGCAAGGCCCGTCCCACATCTGTTGAAGGTGCTTTCTCGTTGCCTCTAGAAGTAACACGATTCTCCGCTAGCCGCTTGCTGGAAATGCTGGATCCGATTTCCCGCAGTTGTCGTCGGTCTATCTTACCAGATATATTGAGCGGTATCCGTGAAAGCGAGAGGTAAATTGCGGGTATCATGTAGTTGGGCAGTCGTTCCGCAATAGCATCCTGGGCTTCTGAAGATATGGTCATGACATGGGCCGTAACAGCTTCGTTGACAAGGTTGTTGTCGTTTGTATCTTTCGGCACAACGAAAGCTGCTACCATAGGGCTAGCACCTTCGCCTTCAGGAGTGATCAACTCCACAGCTACAGCAGAGGATATGTCCGAAAGACACTGTCCAACATGGTATTGGACTTCCCCGAGCTCAAGTCGCTGGCCTCGGATCTTGACTTGGGTGTCCTTCCGGCCGAGATAGATGAGATTATCAGCTTCATCATAGCGTACCAGGTCGCCAGTCTTATACAAACGGCTGCGTCGTCCTGGATATCCAGCTCCTCCCTGCAATAACCAGAGAGGGTCTTGGATAAATGCGTCTGATGACTGATGGTTGATGTATCCGCGAGCTAATGTCGGACCTTCAACCAGTAACTCACCAACCGCGCCAATTGGCGCAAGCCTATTGCTGCCATCAGCCATGCAGACCCATGAAACCGAGCCTACAGGTCTTCCGATAATTGAGCCAACACCTGTCTGGCTGTGAGTGACGGTGTTCATGACACAGAATACTGTACATTCTGTAGGGCCATATCCGTTCAGAATCTTCCTGTGTCGACCCTGACTCCACCGTAGCAGGTCATCATCAGTAGGTCCTTCGCCGCCAAGGATAACTGTATGCAAAGGAAGTCGGCTTGGGTTCAGCGAACGAGCTAATGTGGGTGTAAAGAATGCAGTGTTTGCATCCATAGTAATCATGCTCGCCTCCAGGTTATTCAACCGGTCGTAATCAGACGGGATGCATATGCAGCCTCCATATATCAAGGTGCTGAAAATTTCCATGATACAGGCGTCGAAGATGTACGCAGCAAACTGGTATGCCCTTGTGGTTTCAGTCATACCAATTGTCTGACCGTGGTACGTACAGCTCGAGCTCATAGCCCGATGCTCCACGATGACACCCTTGGGGTTTCCTGTGCTTCCAGAGGTGAAGAGCACGTAAGCTGCAGAGGCCGGGTCTACAGACGGGATAACGTCGTCTCTCTTGCTCGCTTGAGGTTGCTTGTTAAAAAAGTCGGTCCCAATACAAGCCACGGTTCGACCGGAATGGCGAAGGGATGGCTCGTATTGTTCCGAGGCAAGGATAACCGATGCGCCAGCTTCTTCGAAGATCCTCTCCCTACGGTCTCTAGCCTGAGATGGATCAATGGGAACAAAAGCGGCTCCGGCCTTCATAACAGCGAGCATTGCGACTACTGTCCACTTTGACTTCTCGAAGCACAGCGGTATCATAGTGCCCTTCTCCACCCCTAGGTCGAGAATGAGGTAGTGCGCTAGTTGTGTTGACAGCATATCGAGCTCGGCGTAGGTAAACTCTCCGTCCCATGAGCATAGTGCAGAGGCATTTGGCCGTTTTCCTGCTTCCGCCGTCACGATATCATGTGCACATCGGTTCACCGCTGGCGGCACTGACCCGCTCCGCGACCATACAGTTTCGTAGTCTGCTGCAGATAAGGTATTCATGTCTGCCAATATCGTCTTCTTATTGGCGCTGGCCAGCTGGCTGATCACGACCTGCAAGCTGTCTAGAAGCCTTTGAACGGATAGTCGGTCGATGATGTTATCATCAAAGATGGCCTTGACACCAATGCTTCCGTCACCAAGTGAACAGATTAAGTTGAGAGCATAGGTAGAGAAAGCTTCCACGCCTGACATGTCTTTCCATTGTCCTAGAGCTGCTTCGGACTGCCCTGGCTCTGACTCCTGTGGTGGCTGCACTACCACCAGTGTCTGGAATTGGCAGGCGTGGTGAGCATCATCGCTGACGTTCTGTATGTTCAAAAGTCCTAGCTGCTCGTGAGGAATCATGTCGACTGACTGCTCTTGCACCTGGCGAAGGAGTTCAAATATCGTTTGAGCTGAGTCTAGCTTGACTCTCGTAGGGACTGTGGCGATAGTCGGCCCAACAATGTTCTCAATGCCAGTAAGCCTGGCACTTCGCCCGGAAACCATTGTGCCGAAGACAACATCAGAAGTGCTGCTGAACATCTGAACCGCCGCCGCCCATGCAACGCGGATCAGGGTAGCAGTTGTAATATTAGGTGCCAGGATAACGGGCACGGAAAGTTGTTGCGAAATGGTGCATGTCGGCTTGGCTTCTGCATGATGTCTGACGAGGGGAAAGTGGTCAGAGGTGAAGTCAGCCAGAGCAGACTGCCAATAGTTCTTATCCATCGCCATGTCCCTTTCGTTCAGATACCGTACAAAGTACTTGAAGTCAACGGGACTGTTCAGTGGCTCAGTGTAATAGAGACGGCTGAGAAGATCACAAATATAGTTGAGTGAAATAGCATCGTAGAGAGCGTGATGCATGGTCAGAACGAAGACTGATGGAGATGGAGCGGGACGGCGAATCAAACCAACTCGAATGAGTGGCAGCGCGATACCCAAAGGTTTTGCCTCGTCTTCCAATAGGTATTCGTCTAGATCGCTGGCGGTGTTCCACGGAGTCGACTCGTCGAGGACCACTTGCAACAGTCCAAACTGCGGGCTTTGGACAATCCTCGTCCGCAAAATGGGTACCATCTGCACTAACTGATCCCAGCTGTGACAGAAGCGTTGCAGGTTGGCTTTCTCATTCAGCTCTAGAATGACTCGTGATACGTAAGCTCCCGCAGACCTGGATGTCAAAGACAGCAGGCCTGCTTGGATTGGCGTGCAGGGATAGGCATCTTGTATCCGCGATGGATCAATTTCGTGGGTGACGGTAATCAAATTGCGATAATTCGATTCATCGACGTCTTTACCAAGAAGAGAGAATGGGGCAATGTCGCCGTAAGTTGTAGTTTCGTCCACCTGCGCCATGCTGGTTAAAGAAGTGATGGTTAGGTGGCGGAAGATGTCGGCGACAGAGAGATGTAGCCCATGGCCGCGCGCCAGACTGACAACTCTCATCGCTGCGATAGAATCACCGCCAAGGCTGAAGAAGCTATCGTCGATACCGATAGTAGAAGAGCTGATGGCAAGCACATCTGCCCAGATCTGCTGAAGGGCCTGGTCGATTTCTGTAACCGGCATTCGTTTATCGCGGCTGGAACCGATTCTCAGTTCTGCAAGCTCCTGCGCGGAGAAGGTTGATCCTATCCCCCGCAGTCTGCGACGGTCTGTTTTACCCGAATTGTTGAGTGGCATCGCGGGTAGAGCGAAGAAAACGGCCGGGATCATGTAGGATGACAGCCTCTGAATAAGTGCGGCTTCGGCCTCGGTAGAAATGTTAATGATCCGTGGCGCTGATGATTCGGTATCGTCATCAGCCGTTCGCTCGATGTCCTTCATAACCAGGAACGCAGCCAACATCGGGTTGGCGTTTCCACCTCCGGGAATGATGACTTCTGCAGCTACTAGACGGGCTTCGGGGACACAATGGCGCACGTGATGCTCTACATCGCCGAGCTCAACACGATGACCCCTAATCTTGACCTGCCCATCCTTTCTGCCAATATACACGATGCTGCCGTCTTCTTCGTACCGGGCAAGATCACCTGTCTTGTACAGGCGCCCTTGTCTGCCCGCATACCCTTCAGTTCCTCGAACCAGCCAGTCAGGATCCTGGATGAAGACAGCAGCCGTCTTTTCGGGCTCATTCAAGTATCCCGACCCGACCAACGGGCCTTCGATGAGCAGTTCTCCTGCGGTGCCTAAAGGCGCCAAACGGTTATGATCCTCAGGATCAACCAACCAGGTGACTGTACCCGCACCGAATCCAATGTTGGTAGCATCTTTTGGTGTTTTAGTAATCGGATTAAGTGTACTCGTTGGCGTGCACTCGGCTGGTCCGTAGCCGTTGATCACGCGTACCGTGTCAGGCCATCCTGTGAGATCGTCTAGCCGTGGTGCCTCGCCTCCGAAAAGTATCACCTTCAACTTGCTCAGGTTTTCTCTTTGCAGAATGCGTGACACTGATGGCGTGATGTGAACCATGGTGACGTTCAGAGATGTCAAAGACTCCATCAGCATGTCCTTACGGTCGGTTTCTGAAGGGACGCAAAGGCAACCGCCCGAGGCAAGAGTCATCAGGATTGTCTCTATGGACAGATCAAAGGCGTATGACAAGAAATCATATACTCGCTGAGAGCCAAATCCAATGATCTTCGATTGGTAGTGGAAAGCGGAAGAGAACGATCCATGTGAGATTTGTACACCTTTAGGTTTTCCAGTGCTGCCAGATGTAAAAACCAAGTATAGGCGAGATGCTAGGGATAGTTCATCTGGAGAAGCAGACAGGACTGCTGATGTCGACTTGGCCTTTGCGATCAATAGCGACTCATGATCAACAGTGATTATAGTAGCTGGAAACTCGGAACATAGCTTGGTTTGTGCCGTGGAGCACAAAACTAGCTTCGCCTCAACCTGCAGCACAACCTCCTGAAGTCGAGAAATCGGTTGTGACGGTTCTAGGAGAGTGAAGGCTGCACCAGTCTTGAGAACAGCAAGCATCGCGACTGGCGTAAGATGTGATTTTTCGAAGCAAATGGGGACAATATCCTTGCAGCTGACACCTCTAGCAGCAAGTTCGTGCGAGAGCGCAGTCGCCAGCTCTTCTAGCTCCGCATAGGTGAGGTCGCCATCCCATGCGCAAACAGCAGCTGCGTTTGGTGTTTTCCTAGCCTGTTCTTGGATGATTTCATGCATATATCTCTCGTAGACAGGCGGAACTGTCTTGTTCCATTCCCATACTTGACGGCACTCGTCAGCAGAGATGGCTTCAATTGAGGCCAGTGGCTCGTCGCCATTGTACGTGCATAGACCATTCAGCGTGCGGTCGAAACGACCCAGAAGCAGGTCCATCTGCCACTGGCTGATGTGCTGGTCATCAAAGCTAGCTTCTATGACAATGTTCTGCTGATCATAGGAGCAAGTGAGGTTGAGCGCATAGGTGGAGAATCCCAACTCGTCTGATTCGTCTTCGGCTATGACAATCTTTGATTCTTCCAGCTGAGTTGCTTGAGAAAGTGGCTGGGTAATGATCCAAGTCTGGAACTGGCATGCCCGGTGCGCCTCGGGGCTCAGGGCCTGTATTTTCCGCAGTCCAGTCTGTTCGTGCGGGATCATCTCCAGAGATTGTTGCTGGACTTGTTGCAAGAATTCGGAGATGGTTTGGGATTGATCAACCGTTACACGCACTGGAACCGTGGCCATGGTCGGTCCGGCGATCTCTTCAATGCCGTTGACGTTGGCGTTTCTTCCAGAGACAGTTGCGCCAAATACAACGTCGGCTGTCCCACCTGATGTAGCCAAAGTCAATCCCCATGCGGCACGGACGAGACTTGCAATGGTAGTATCAAGCTCCTTTGTAGGTGGTATCAGATACGATCGCTTGACTAAGGACTTGGCTGACGGCGGATCCGAGTTTGCTGCCAATTGGGGAAATAATGGAGACGCAAAACCAGCCAAGTAGCCTCGCCAGTAATCATCAGCAGCTTCAGAATTGGCCTGCGTGATGTGACTGATGAAGCGATTGAAATCCAAAGTCTTCATAGGGGCCTGGCTTCGGTATATCCTGTCTGCCATATCAAACAACCGAGGAAGGAAATATCCATCGTAAAGTGAATGATGGATTGTTAAGACGAAAGAGGCGGGTTGAATAGAATTGATGTCTTGTATCAAACCGAATCGAATGAGGGGCAAGCCGATTCCCATGGGTAGAGCTCGATCCTGTTCCATGTACTGGCGCAGATCGGTGCCTTCTTTCCACAGAATCTTTTCGTTTGTCACAACCTGTACTAGGCCAAGTCTCTGGTGCTGGATGATTCTAGTTCGGAGGATGGGTAGTTGCTCTGCTACTTGATCCCAGGCAATGCGGAACTGCTGCAGGTTGATATCCTTATCCAAGTGAAGCATAGCCCTCAACACATAAGCTGCGCCTGTCGACTTCGATGTGAGAGAGAGGAGACCTTCTTGGAGTGGTGTGCAGGGATAGACATCCTGAAGCCGATCAACCTCAACATCACACTCAGCACCAATCGATGAAAGTCCTCCCGCCTCATCCAAAGTATCGCCAAGGAGAGAAAACGGCAGAATTTCATCATCAACCACAGAGTCGTTGTCTGTTTGTGACATGCTGGCTAGGGCCGCTATGGTAGGATGGCGGAAGACGTCGGCAACAGAAATAGAAATGCCATAGCTACGAGCCTGGCTGATAACTTTCATCGCCGTGATCGAGTCTCCACCAAGACGGAGGAAGCTATCGTCAATACCAATAGCTGAGGGTTCAATGTTGAGCACCGATGCCCAGACACGATGTAGCGTGCACTCTGCCTCGGTGATGGGGGGTCGTTTGTTACGATTCAACCCGATACGCATCTCTGCTAACTGCTGGCCTGTAAAGCTGTTACCGATACCGCGAATCTGTCGACGGTCGGTTTTGCCAGAGGTATTGAGCGGCATCTGGGCAACGACAAAATAGACGGTGGGCATCATGTAGACCGGCAATCGCTCCGCTAGCGCTTGTTCCGCCTCGGGAGAGATGTTGATGACCCGCGCCAGACCAGGCCCAGTGGATTCATCGGAGCTGTCAAAGCTGCTACTCTGCTTCTCAACAATGAATGCTGCCAACATTGAGCTAGCATCTTCTCCCCCGGGAGTGATCACTTCAGCAGCTACAATGGCTGCCTCTGGGAGACACTCTCGTAGATGATACTCAACCTCCCCAAGGTCGACGCGGTGGCCTCGCACCTTGACGGTGGAGTCGTCTCGCCTGACATATATCAGGGAGCCATCGTCGTCATATTTTACCAAGTCTCCCGTTCTGTAAAGGCGCCCTCGACGGCCTGGGTAGCCGCTTGAGGGGGCCCCCTTCGTCAGCCACTGCGGATCGTCAACGAAAGACGCTGCTGTTTTCTCTTCGTTGTGCAGATAGCCTCGGAACAGAATTGGTCCCTCGACGAGCAGTTCACCTACAGCACCAATGGGTACTAGATGATCCGGATCTCCAGGCATAGTAACCCACGATACTGATCCAACTGCCAAGCCAATATTTGCGTCTTGGGATTTCGAAGGGCTCGTGATGTTCAAGGAGTTAATAATCGAACACTCGGCTGGACCATAGACGTTGATTACTGCTTCAAGTTGAGGCCACCACCTTGCAAAATCCTCGTCCACAGCCTTCTCACCTCCCAGCAGAAGCTTCTTCAAATTAGCGGAAACCCTCTGGGGATCAACAAGGCGGGCTGTAGAAGGCGTAAAGAAGGCGATATTGACTTCCATCGTGTTGATACTTGTCTCGATATCGTTAAGGCGGTCGTTTTCTGACGGCACGCAGACACAGCCTCCGTGTATCAACGTGGTAAAGATCTCCATGATACTTGGATCAAAAGTATAAGCGCAGAATTGGAGAACTCTGGAGGTTTCTTTGTATCCGATCGCACCGCCATGGTAGATACAGCTAGAGCAGATCGCATAGTGCTCGACCACCACACCCTTGGGTTGGCCAGTACTTCCAGAGGTAAAGATGGTGTAGGCAGCAGAGCGTGGGTCATAAACTGCCAAGGGTGTTTGCATTTCCGTAGTTAAAGAGTCCATGAAGGGATGGTCGACTGTAACAACGCAGCGCTCGGGTGCAGCCAGGCCAGGCGCATATGTGGCTGAGGCTAAGATGACACGCGCTTCAGCCTGCATAAAGACTCTTTCTCTTCTATCAACAGCCTGGGAGGGATCGATAGGCACAAAAGCACCGCCTGCTTTAAGCACAGCAAGCATTGATACTATTGTCCATTTCGATTTCTCAAAGCATAGTGGGACTAGCGTTTCCGGCCCTACCCCAAGTTCTCTGAGGTGATGGGCCAGTGTTATCGCCATTTTATCGAATTCAGCAAATGTAAAGTTGCCATCCCAGGCGCAGATAGCCGGGGCTTCCGGTCGTCTCTGGGCTTGTTCCTCAACCATATCGTGTAGGCAGCGATCTACAGCCGGAGGTACGTGTTGGTTCCAGGACCAGATATCGAGGTAGTCGGCTTCTGACAAGGCGTTAATATCAACAAGCATCTTGTCGTCGGCTGCTGTGCTGAGCTGGTTCACAAACAGCTCGAGCTTGTCCAAGAGCCTTGAGACGGATAAGCGGCTGATTATAGTCTCATCGAAAATAGTCTCGACGTGTACAGTTCCATCGGTACCCAATGAGCAGACGAGGTTGATGGCGTAGGTACTGAATGCTCCGACACTGACCATTTCCGTCCATTGGCCTAAAGTACCGAACTGTCCTAGCTCCAGATCCTGCATTGGCTGTACAACGAGCATGGTCTGGAACTGGCAGGCAAGGCGTGCTTCTTTGCTGAGGCGCTGTATGTTGTGCAGTCCAAGTTGCTCATGTGGGATCATGTCGATTGACTCTCTTTGCACTCGTTGAAGGAATGCTTCTACTGTTTGGTTCGGGTCCATCTTGACTCTTACTGGCACCGCCGCAATTGTTGGGCCGGTAATGTTCTCAATTCCCTTGACGGGGGTATTCCGCCCAGATACCATTGTTCCAAAGGCGACGTCAGGCAAACCAGTAGATACCGATATAGCTAGAGCCCAAGCAGAGCGAACAAGAGTGGCAGCTGTGACATCGTGTGCTTTTATGGATGGGAGAGCGAACTGCCGAGTCACGGTAGACCTAGGTATTACCTCTCTCTGCTGTTGTCGTATAAGGGGGAACGGATCGGATTCAAACTCTGCTAGAGTGGAGCGCCAATAAGCCATGTCAGCATCCAAGTCCCTTTCCATGAGGTATTTCATGAAGATTTTGAAGTCGGTTGGGTTGTCGAATGTTTCTTGGTGGTAGAGACGGCTAGCGAGGATGCAGACCTGGTTCAATGACGGAGCATCGTAAAGACCATGGTGCATGGTCAGCACGAACTGACATGAGCTGTCGTGGCGAATCAAAGCGAACCGAATCAGTGGTGAGCCGAGACCCATAGGGTGTGTCTGTTCCCTTTCCAGGTAGCTATCCAGACTGGTATCGCTATCCCACTGAATCGACTCGTTCACGACAATCTGAAGAAAGCCCCATTTCTCGGTCTGGATGATTCTAGTTCGGAGAATGGGCATAAGCTCCACCAGTTGGTCCCAAATATGACGGAAATGCTGTAGGTCAACCACATTTGTGTCCAGGTTGAGGACAGTTCTCAGGACGTAGGCAGATCCCACGGACTTGGAAGTCAAGGATAACAATCCTTCTTGAAGAGATGTACAAGGATAAGCATCTTGGACTTGAGACGAGACGACACCGCAATCAGCAGCAATAGATCTGAGGCTGTCATCTCCGCCAACGCCATCCACCAGAGAAAACGGCGTGATGATGCTGTCCTCAAGATCATCTTGCTCCTTCTCAGTAACGCTCGTCAAGGCGGCGATGGTCGTATAACGGAAGATATCCGCAACTGAAAGGGAAATGCCGCTAGTACGAGCCTGACTCACGACCTTCATAGCGGCAATAGAGTCACCACCAAGACGGAAGAAGCTATCGTCGACACCAATGGTAGCGGGATCGATTTTGAGGATCTGTGCCCAGATTTGTTGTAAAGATTTCTCAGACTCTGTCACAGGCTGTCGCTTTTCACGGGTTGACGACTGGGCGCGCAGCTCCGCCAGCTGTTGAGTCGAAAAAGAGGACCCAATCTTGCGTAATTGTTGACGGTCTGTCTTGCCTGATGTGTTGAGAGGAATCTGCGGCAGAGAGATGTAGACGGCCGGTATCATATATGAAGGTAATCGTTCAGCAAGTAGATCCTCCGTCTCTGGCGACAGAATCATAACGTGGGCTGAGTAGGCATTGGCGCTGTCCGTCACTGTCTCCTCTTCATCCTGCTGGGATTTGATAAATGCCGCCAGGATTGGGCTGGCATCTGTGCCTTGAGGAATAATGACTTCTGCCGCCACCATTTGTGCGCCTGGGACGCATTCACGTACCTGATGAGCGACTTCACCGAGCTCAACGCGCTGGCCGCGAATCTTGACCTGGTCGTCCTTGCGTCCAACGTACGTCAGACTGCCATTTGCCGCGTATTTGACCAAATCGCCTGTCTTATACAAGCGGCCGCTGCGTCCAGCAAAACCAGCGCCACCTTGCAAAAGCCATGGAACGTCGCGAATAAATGACTGGGCCGTCTTCTCCGGGTCGTTTAGATACCCGCGACTGAGAGTTGGGCCTTCCATGAGCAGCTCTCCGACAGCACCGACGGGAACCAATTTATCCTCGTCATCCCTGTCGACTACCCAAGCTAAAGAGCCGACAGCCCTTCCAATATCGGTACCTGGGCTTGGTCCTAGGGTGGAGAGGCTCAACGTTGAGAAGATGGTACATTCCGTTGGTCCATAGGCGTGGATAATGCGTGCGCTATCTCGCCATCGATAGAAGTCGTCGTCCGTAGCTTTCTCGCCTCCAGTGACGATGGTCAAGGTGTTTGGCAAAGATTGGGGATCCAAAAGCCTCGTAACAGCGGTGCTCAGGAATGCAATGTCAATCTTCATCTGCAGAATGACCTCTGTAAGGTGTGTCATTCTCTGCTCCTCTGAGGGCACACAAACACATCCGCCAAAGATAATAGTTGTGAAAATGTCCATGATACAAGCGTCAAAGATATACGAAGAGAACTGTAAAACTCGAGACTTGTCGGTAAACCCTATCTGCTTGCCATGGGCAGTACAACTGGTCGAAGCAGCCTGGTGATCGATGACAACACCTTTCGGCTGGCCAGTGCTGCCGGAGGTAAAGATGACGTATGCGGGAGACTGCGCGTGGAAGACTAGAGGCTTTTCTTTGTCGTCTGTGAGAGATTCGAAAAGCTGCGAGCTGACAGAGACAACAGAACGTCCGGACGGAGTGACGCTAGCTGTATGTTGTTCCGAGGTGAGTATAACTTTGGCACCAGTCTGCGCAATGATATTCTCCCTTCGCTCCGCCGCGTGTGATGGCTCGATGGGAACAAAGGCTCCCCCAGCTTTGAGCACAGCCAACATGGCTACTATTCCCCATTTTGACTTCTCGAAACAGATTGGCACAAGCGACTCTGTCTGTACCCCGAGATCAATAAGGTGATGAGCTAGCTGCGTTGCTAGTCGGTCAAGCTCGGCATACGTAAAGTTGCCATCCCAAGACTCTATCGCAGATGCCTCAGGTCGCTTTTGTGCCTGTTCTGCCAAGAAGCTGTGCAGACATTTCGATACTGCCGGTGCCGCATCCTTGTTCCACGACCAGATATCCTTGTAATCAGCCTCAGAAAGAGAGTCTATATCGGCTAAACGAGCATCTCCTGTGCCTGCGGCAAGTTGACGGATGATGGAGCCCAGCCTCTCCAACAGTCTCGAGATTGATGAATGGTCCACAACGTCTTTGTCAAAGACAATCTTGACATCCATGGAGTCGCCATCCAGTGTGCAGATAAGGTTGATGGCATAGGTAGAAAACGATTCGAGGCCTGCAATTCCTTCCCATCGGCCGATAGTTCCAAAACTTTCAAGCTCGTCGGTCTCCTGCGGCTGGACAACTAGGAGCGTGTGGAAGTCACAAGCTTGTCGTGCTTCATCACTGAGGTTCCGAATATGATGCAATCCAAATTGTTCGAATGGGATCGTATCCACAGAATCGCTTTGTACCTGTTGAAGGAAGCTAGAGATTGTCCGGGTGTGGTCTAATTTGATTCTCACTGGCACCGTCGCGATTGTTGGTCCAGAGATGTCATCGATGTTGGCAACTCTGGCATGCCGTCCAGATACTGTGGCGCCAAAGACAACATCAGTGGTACCGCTAGACGCAGAGGCTGTCATAGCCCAAGCAGCTCGAACAATGGTAGCAGCGGTAATTTCGGGTACCTGGATGTTTGGCAATGAGATGCGCCGCTCCTCAATACTCTGTGGCTGCGGTTGCATCTGCTGCCGCACAGGAGGGAAGGCTTCCGAAGAGTAATTGGCCAGCAACGACCGCCAGTAAGTCTCACTTGCGTCAATATCTCTCTCGGTGAGGTATTTGACAAAGTGTTTGAAGTCAACGGGCTCGTTGTGTGGTGACTCTTGACGATAGAGCTGACTGGCAAGGCTGTAAACTTGTCCTAAAGTAGCTGGGTCGTAGAGAGCGTGGTGAACAGTCAGGACAAAGAACAATGACTGGGATGGATCTTGAGGCTGTATCATTGCAAATCGGACAAGAGACGAGCCAAGGCCCATCGATCTTGTTTTGTCATTTTCAAGATACTCGTTCAAGTCGGTTGCCGTTTCCCACTGAATCGCCTCATCTACTACCACCTGTAGTAAACCAAAGTGCTCAGTCTGGACGATTCTGGTTCGCAGAATAGTCATGATATCCACTAGACGGTTCCAAGTATCGTGGAATTGTTGCAGATCAACAGAGGCGTCCAATCGTAGCATAGTCCTTGAAACATATGTGTCGGCCCCCGTGGATCTTGTAGTTAACGATAGTAGTCCTTCTTGAAGGGGTGTACAAGGATACGCATCACGAACTTGAGCAGGCTTGACTCCGCAATCGGCAGCAATGGAGCGAATCATGGTGGTTTCCTCGCCCTTCTCGATACCAATGAGAGAGAATGGTGCAATATCATCGTGAGTTATGGCTTCAGAGATGTTGGAGATACCTGCCAGAGCAGCAATGGTAGGATGCTGAAAGATATCCGCAACGGATAGAGAGAGATCATCAGCACGAGCCTGGCTGACGATCTTCATAGCCGCGATGGAGTCACCGCCGAGGCGGAAGAAGCTGTCATCGACACCAATGGCGATGGGGTCGATCTTTAGTACACGTGCCCAAATGCTCTGGAGTACTCTTTCGATATCCGTGGTAGGCTGTCTCCTGGCAAGACTGGAGTCCATTCTCATCTCGGCTAGCTGCTGGGCCGAGAATCTGGAGCCGATGGCCCTTATCTGACGACGATCTGTCTTTCCAGAGGTATTGAGCGGCATTTCCTTGACGGCGAAGTATACCGCCGGCATCATAAAGACCGGCAGGCGTTCTGCGAGGGCGTTCTCCACCTCAACGGAAACGTTAATAACCCGTACGGCATCGCTGTCTCCGTTCTGGCGATCGTGCGGCGCAGGGTTGCTGGCGTTGTCATCCTCCAGTCCTACTATGAAAGCAGCAAGGATCGAGCTAGTGGCATCTTGGTCTTTCAGAGTAATCAGTTCGGCAGCTACTGTAGTCGCCTCTGGGAGACACTCTCGGACGTGGTGCTCAACTTCGCCTAGCTCGATGCGATGGCCACGGACCTTCACTGCAGCGTCATTACGTCCAACATAAACCAGGCTACCGTCCTGACTATATCTGACCAAGTCTCCGGTGTTATAAAGACGAGCACGGCGACCCGGGTGGCCCTTGTTGCCTCTGGCGAGCCACGGTGGGTTATCCACGAAGGAAGACCTCGTCTTCTCCTCGTTATTCAAGTAGCCCCGGAACAGAATTGGCCCTTCGACGAGTAGTTCTCCTATGGCACCGAGGGCCGCTAGACGCTTAGGGTCTCCAGGCACTGTAACCCATGAAACTGAGCCGACCGCTAAGCCAATGTTGCCGTCTTGAGATTTGGATGGGCTAGTGATGTTCAGGGAGTTGATGATTGAACATTCAGCCGGGCCATAAACGTTAATCACGGCATCAAGGTAGGGCCACCATCTGGAGAAGTCCTCATCAGTAGCCTTTTCGCCACCCAGGAGTAGTTTATGTAGGGTGGTAACTCGCTCAGGGTCCACAAGGCGAGCTGCCGACGGCGTAAAGAAGGCTGTGTTAACGTCCATAATGTTCATCCTGGCCTCAATGTTGTTGAGTCGATCTTCTTCTGATGGTATACACACGCAACCGCCGTGCACTAGGGTAGTGAAGATCTCCATAATGCTAGGATCAAAGGTGTAGGCACAGAACTGTAAGCATCGGGTTGTTTCGAAAAACCCAATCTTGCCGCCATGATAGACACAACTAGAGCAGATTGCATAATGCTCTACAACCACTCCTTTAGGCTGTCCAGTGCTACCGGATGTGAAGATGGTGTAAGCGGCAGATTGAGGCTTATAGGGTGAGGGATTCTCTTGTTGTCGAGGTAACGATTCCAGAAGCTCTGCAGATACAGTGACAGTACGATGGCTAGACTGCTTCAGGCCAGCAGAGTAAGTTTCCGAAGCCAAAATGACAATCGCGTTGGCCTGCTTGAATAATCGTTCTCGTCGGTCGGTAGCTTGAGATGGGTCCGTGGGAACAAACGCGCCACCAGCCTTCAAGATGGCCATCATTGCGATTATCGTCCACTTGGATTTCTCAAAACACAACGGCACCAAGACATCCTCGCCAACGCCAAGGTCCGCGAGGTGATGCGCCAGGCGAGTTGAGAAGTCGTCCAGCTCGGCAAACGTGAAGTCACCGTCCCAAGCGCATACCGCGGGGGCGTCTGGCCTCCTCTTTGCCTGCTCATCTACCATTTCATGAAGACAACTGTCCACAGACGGCGGGACGTGTTGATTCCAAGTCCACATCTGCCGCTCACTGCTCTCGGAGACCAGGTTGATGTCGTTAATACTCTCCGCAGGGTTGTCAAGAATGGAGCGAATCGCGGCACTAAAAGCATGTGCAACATGCTCCGCCTGGAAGGCACTCAAGAATCCCTTCTTGATGTTCATGTGGACTGCCACATCTGTAGTACTGTCGGTTCCGGTAATGGCAATATCATACTGTCAACCCAGCACCCGTTAGCTTAGCCCCTCACATTCACAAGTTTGCATTTCGCAAAGGCGTCACTTACCTCTACAGGGTCTACGCCGCCCTGGAACCGGACGTCGTAGCCGTTGTCAGATTCCGTGATCTGTTGCGCCCCTTTCTGTAGTGACAAAATGCTGTTGAAGAGCCCGGTTGTGCCAACCCCGCGGTCACTGCTGATCGCTGCGAGTGAGTACGTCATGTGAGACAGGCTGTCCATGTAATCTTCGTGAGCATTGCGAAGTACATCCACAATAGACCGTTCAGAGTCGAGACGGACTCGAGAAGGAATCATGCCTATCAACGGTCCGAACATGTCTTGTACACCGTCGATAGGCGCATCTCTGCAAGAGGTCATATTGCCAAAGCAAGGTACCTCGGATCCAGTATACTCGCGCAGGACCAATGCCCAGGCAGTTCGGATAATTGCTGCCGTCGTTACCTCCCACTTGGCGCTGAAGGCGTGTATCTTGTCGGCATGTAGATCAGGTACATCGACGATGAAGCTGCTGCTGCTGCTGCTGTGGATGCTGTCGTCACCTGGCTCGTCGTTCAAACTTGGGAAGAGACAAGGCTCTACCCCATCCAGATAAGCAGTCCAGAAGGCCCTGTCAGCCTCGGGAGACTGCTCAGATAAATATGTGATGAAATCACGGTACAACGGGCCGCTGGGATCCAGGTTGCCGACGTATGCGTCCTTGAAGTCGCGCAGCAAGATGCCAATAGAGTAGGCGTCAACAATACTGTGGTTGATTGCCAGGGAGAGAGAAACTCGTGCAGTATCTACCTGGTGGATAAACAGGTGATGTTGAAGGCCATTGTCGTCGTAAGGAGGACCGGAGGAGCTCTCAAGGATATCATCCTGATTCTGCACGATGGAAAAGCTCGGCTCCGGGTCTTGCAAGATGACATGCAAGGTTGTACTGCTGCCGGTCACAAAAATGGCTCGCAATAGCGAATGACGCCTCACGACGGCACGCCAGGCCTTTTTGACCCTGGCGATATCAACCTGGGGACCCTCTTGAGTGGCGACCAATTCGAAATCCAGCACGGAGCGATAGTTGTTTGTATCCTTCGCCTGGGCGATGAGAATACCCTCTTGCACGGACGAACAGCCGTGAATGTCCTGGATCTGTTCTAGGTCCGTAATGCCAACACGGGGTAGCACACGATTGCGAATCTCCTGAATTTCATCGTAGGACTGGAAGGTCATCGGAAAGTCGCTGAGCGTCCACTCAGAAGCCCTCGCCGGCAATGACTCGGCCAACTGTCGTAGAACAGTCTGGTACATATCGACCCAGGCAACGATGCGTTGTTGATGCTGAGAGTTCGCGTAGTAGATGACCGAACCCGTCATGCAGCCTCTCTCTACTTGCGCAAGGACATCGAACAGAGCGAAACGACGCAGCTTGGTAGCAGATGCCGGAGTACAACCATCGGGGAGTTGTGAGACCTCGAAGCTGGCGTCGTCCCGCTCCAGCTGCTGGTACATTCCAGCATAGTTGAAGAGCACTTCCATTGGGAAAGCGGATGCGTTTGCGCGTGCAAGTTCTGGGTTGGCGAATCGAGACGTGAAATAAGACCAGCCATTGGCAGGCAAGCTGCGCATCGAATCTTTGGTCTGGCGGACAATGTCGAGAACATCGGTTCCCGGTGCGACGCCAACACACGCCGGAAATACGGTAGAGAACCAACCAACCGTTCGAGATATGTCAATTGCGTCGTCCCATGTCTCGCGGCCGTGGCCCTCACCAAAGATTGCGGGCCCCTGTCGGTCGGGGAAGATGACCGAGAACGAATACGCCAAGGCCGAAATCATCAGCTCCACCGGCTTTGTCCCAAATGCATCGTTGCAACCGTGGAGGAGCGCAGTGGTTGTCGATTCGTCGAGGGTGAAGTTGATAGAGGTCGTGGCAGCTCCGATCATGGCGGTATCGTCGTTCAAGCCCCAGTAAGAAGCGAGCGTTTCTGGCACCTCAGAAACTGAGGGAGCCTCAGAGACCAAGTTTTCCGCGGCATACTGTGACTGTAGCGCGCACCACGTCTGGAATTCAGTTGTGGGAGGAGGCAGAGCAGAAAGTCTGCCGGAGGACAGGAGTTCTTCTAGTTCTTCGAGGATGATACGCCACGAAACCAAGTCGATGACCAGGTGGTGAACAGAGATGAAAACGCTCTGTGACTTGGCATCTTCAATAAAGACGGCCGCCATAAGAGGTCCGTTGCGGATGTCGAGCCTCTCACGACAGCTGCGGATGGCTCTGGCCACATCATCTGAATCAAACGTATGCCCTTTCAAGCGGCATATATCGAGTGAGCCAGAGACGTCATCAGATATTTGTTGCTGCCAGATCGCGTTTTCATCCTGGACGAATCGTGCACGTAACATGGGATGCCTTGAAATAATCGTCTCGAGAGACATGGTCATGTAAGCAAACGAAGTCTTTTCCGACAGCTTAAGGAAGAAGTTTTGGTCGAAGCAATTACCAGGATCTTGCTCGAGTTGGACATAAAGCTCCTGGATGGGACTCAGGCCAAACGCCTTGCCTTCTGCCTCAGAAACCGCCTCCGAGTTGACGATCTCAACGCGTTTTGGCTTGGTCACAACCGAGGCAGCAAGTCGGGACAGCGTCTTTAATCGCATAATGTCCGCGGTAGAGATGTTTCCCAAGGAGATTCTTGCCATGGAAGAAACCTGCATCGCTGCGATGGAGTCGCCACCGAGCTGGAAGAAGCTGTCATCAATGCTGATGGTTGCAGGGTCGATATTGAGGACGCGTGCCCAAATCGCCTGCAATGCGCGCTCCGTCTCAGTAACTGGCTTTCCCTTGCTACGCGCGGAAGAATCGCCTTTTCTCTGTTCCGCCAGCTCCTGGTTCGTGAAGCTGGCTCCGATCGTACGTAGTTCTCGGCGATCGGTCTTACCTGATGTGTTGAGCGGTATTTGGGCGACGGCAAAGTAAACGGCGGGGATCATATACGACGGTAGCTTCTCCGCGAGAGCGTCTTCAACCTCGGGAGGAACATTGATGACCTGTGCTGCTGGAGGTTCGCTGTCCTTATCATGGAGGCCGTTGGCTCCGTTGGAGTTGATCTTCTCTTGGACAACGAAGGCGGCCAAGACCGGTTTGGCATCTTCGCCCCGAGAAATAATTACTTCAGCAGCCACAAGGGGAGCTCCCGGAAGGCATTCTCGCAGCCAATATTCAACTTCACCGAGGTCAACACGCTGTCCTCGAATCTTCGTAGTAGTATCTTTTCGTCCGATGTAGATCAAGGAGCCGTCCTCGTCGTATTTGACCAGATCTCCAGTGTTGTACAAACGACCTTGTCGTCCAGGACACCCATCACCACCTTGAACCAGCCATGCAGGGTTCTCGACGATCGCGGATGCTGTTCTTTCTTCGTCGTGTAGGTAGCCCCGGAACACGATTGGGCCTTCTACTAACAGTTCGCCAATCATGCCGATGGGTGCGAGACGATGAGGATTTCCGGGTGTGGTGATCCACGATGCTGAGCCAATAGCCTTGCCGATACAGGCATCCTGGTTTCTGGAAAAGTCCACCACATTCATTGAATGAACGATGGAGCACTCTGCAGGCCCGTAGACATTAATGACGGTATCTAGATCTGACCACTTCGCAAAGTCCTCGTTGAGCGCGTTCTCACCACCCATGATGAGTGTTCGCAGGCTGACCAGCCGTTGAGGGTCCAGGAGTCGGGCCGTTGAGGGTGTAAAGATGGCGATGTCCACCCTCATTCGGTTCATGCTCTCTTCGATGTCTCTCAAGCGTTCGCTCTCGGATGGGACGCAGATACAGCCTCCGTATACCAGTGTAGTGAAAATCTCCAAGATGTTGGGGTCAAAAGTGTAAGCACAAAACTGGAGAACACGAGACGTCTCCTTGAATCCCATCTGTTTGCCGTGGTAGATGCAGCTAGAAGATATCATACGATGCTCCACAACTACACCCTTTGGTTGTCCTGTGCTGCCAGATGTGAAGATGGTATAAGCCGAGGACGTAGGCTCTGCATCGAATAGTGGTCTTTCTTTCTGCATAGCCGTAGACAAACTGTTCATGAGCTGTTGGTTAACAGTGACAACGTGAAGACCCTGTGTAGCGATGGTATCTGCGTAAGTATCAGAGGCCAGAACCACGCGTGCATTGGCCTGGGCGAACACCCGATCTCTTCTATCTGCTGCCTGCGACGGGTCGGTAGGGATGAAGGCGCCACCGGCTTTGAGGATAGCCAACATGGACACGATTGTCCACTTTGACTTCTCAAAGCACAGCGGCACCATTACCTCTGGGCCTACGCCGAGTTCAACAAGGTGATAAGCTAATCGGGTCGCCAGCTGATCAAGCTCCATGTACGTAAAGTCGCCGTCCCAAGAGCAAACAGCCTGCGCAGCTGGCTGGCTTTCAACTTTGTCCTCTACCAGCTTGTGCAGAGAACTTTCTACAGCTGGCGGTACGTCTCGGTTCCAAGACCAGATATCTCGGCGATCAGCTTCTGATAAGATGTCAAGGTCTGCGAGCCGACTGTCCTTGACTATGTTAAGCTTGTCGAGAAAAGACCCTAGCTTCTCTAGTAGTCTTGACATGGAGGGTCGAGAAATAATCGTTTCGTCGAAAATAGCCTCGACATTTACGGCTCCGTCGACTAGCGAGCAAATGATGTTTACGGCGTACGTAGCAAAGCCTTCTGAGCCTTCGACATGACTCCAGCGTCCTAGACTCTTGGATGTGCCAATTTCTATATCCCGCGGTGGCTGCACGACTAGGAGCGTTTGGAATTGACACGCGAGACCAGCCTCGCTGCTTAGGTTCCGGATACGATGCAGCCCGAACTGCTCATAGGGGATTGCGTCGGTCGAGTCCTTTTGTACCCGCTGCAGAAACTCGAAAACCGTCTGCAGCTTCGG